TGGTTGGCATATGAAGTGCAGTAACAGCCAGGATGGCAGCAGACAGCATTGACGATGACCGTCGAACGGAGGTCAAATCTTTATGTGCCAATAATGCTCCATCCCATAGGTATCGGTTCAGTACCTGATCAAACTGAAGAAATAGCTCCTCGGCTTCTTGAATATTCATCACACCCCGCGAAATGAAGTCAGTGACCAATGCCTGATCCGGTGCAAGATTTTGTCCTGGCGAGCTCTCGCGGTTCTCGCTCAGTTGTGTCACCTCGTATAGACTCCCCATTGGTGCTGTAACCAAAGAAGTTGCGCCGGTTTCTTCTCGGTCAAGAGAATACTGTGGTTGCTGCTGCGAGAAGCTATAATTCGATGGCCTTGAAATTGTAGCCGGACGAGCAGAATTGTCAACCGACTCTGTTCGGTTATGGTGTGCAGTCCCATTATCATCGGTCGAAACGGTGGATTCTTTTCGATTTCTCTTCTTCGAAGGTGTTTCGATCGAATTACCGCCGGCTTGGTAATATGATAGCTCCGGTAGCTGAGACTTTCTAAGTAGGTCCGTCATCGCCGATTCGATCATAGTCTTCCACCTAAACAGCCACCGGCGCAATTAGTACTTGGCAGCTCTCAATCGGACCATATAGCACTCACTCGGCTTCATCTTCTAGCAACGTTTGAAGGCTCTTGTTTACAACACAGTCTAATCCCATGCGCCGACATCTTGAGCACACAGAGTCGGTTGCCTTCATGTCACAGCGAACCTTGTGCCGCTTACACTCCGTGCATGCTCGTATCCGTCGAGAAATCTTCGGGATATGCGGCCGCGAGTGGTCCTCGGGCGTGAATACGCCTGGTGGAGAAGCGGATGAGGCCTCGCCATTGGCCTCGAAGTTTGTGCGATTGCGCTTCATGGTGAGGTTGAAGTCCTCCGCATGGCGCATTCCGGGGAGAAAGGCGGGGTCGCATGAAGGCGCCTGGACCCGAATTACTCACAGTCTTGGCATGAGGCAGCCATGCATCAGGCACTAAGGCATCAAGGCACCTGAGTGGATTCCTGTCACATGACTCTTCGTCGCGCTATGCCTTTTGTGGGTTAATGGTGTCGCGCTCCCAGCGCGTTCGCGTAGTGAGTGTCAAGCTCAACTTGAATCGCTTTCCCTCTTGACCACGATAACTCAAGCCCGCCGCCAACATGGGTATTAAACGTGAGTGATGCTACGCTGGGCGTCTGTTGATCTATGCTGATGATAATCAGACCTTTACCAGGTTATCTCCGAGAATGCCCCCGATGCGATCAAGACGGGTGAGATCAAGAATCACTTCGGCCGTAAGGTCGCAATTGTATGAGTTTCATCCTGGTTACTTTCAAAAATTGCATTGATCAAATCAAAAGCTGACTGGGGATTTCTCCTATAGGATGCGTACGTCATTGGTTCGCGGTTACGATAGCTCTGCAGTCACTAACCCAACGCAGGTCCATGAGTATTTACAGTTTCCTGATTGCCGTCCGATCAGAGGGTCAACAGCTTATGAGCGAGTCGGGTGAAACAACATCCCACCTGATGGGAATGTTCTACCGTACACTGCGCATGGTGGACAACGGCATCAAGCCTCTCTACGTTTTCGATGGTGCCCCGCCAAAGCTCAAGTCTGGCGAATTGGCAAAGCGTGTTGCACGCAAGGCCGAGGCTACTGAGGCCCATGAGGAGGCTAAGGAGACCGGAACTGCGGAGGATATTGAAAAGTTCTCGCGACGGACTGTTCGTGTCACTCGTGAACACAATGCTGAGTGCAAGAAGCTTCTCAGTCTGATGGGAATTCCCTACATCAACGCGCCTACCGAGGCAGAGGCTCAATGTGCTGTCTTGGCTCGTGCCGGTAAGGTGTATGGAGCTGCATCGGAGGATATGGATACCTTGTGCTTTGAAGCACCCATTCTCCTGCGCCATCTCACTTTCAGTGAGCAGCGTAAGGAGCCTATTCAGGAGATTCACTTGAGCCGGGCTCTGGAGGGTCTTGGTATGGACCGGGCACAGGTACTGTCTCTGTCAACGTATAGCCATCACGCCTTCTAACTATTACTACAGTTCATCGATCTCTGCATTCTTCTGGGTTGTGACTACCTGGAACCCATTCCCAAGGTCGGGCCTAGCACTGCGCTCAACTTGATCAAGGAACACAAAACAATCGAAAAGGTTCTCGAGTATATGAAGAACGATCCTAAGAAGAAATACGTCGTCCCCGAGGACTGGCCATACCAAGATGCCCGCGACCTATTTGTTAACCCAGACGTCCGAGCAGCTGACCACCCAGACTGTGATTTCAAGTGGGAAGCACCTAATATTGACGGTCTGATCGAGTACCTGGTGGGAGACAAGGGCTTTAATGAGGATCGTGTACGCAACGGCGCAGCACGTCTGTCCAAGCATCTCAAAACCGCACAACAGTCCCGGTTAGAGGGATTCTTCAAGCCTGTCGCCCGTACAGATGACGAGAAGGCCAATCTCAAGCGTAAGCACGATGAGAAGCTGCAAGAGCAGAAGAAGCGCAAGAAGGACGATGCCAAGGCTAAAAAGGACGCCAAGTCAAAGCCTCGGGGTGCAGGCTAGGTTGTCATACGATAATCCCTCAATAAGTTGGCAATTTTCTCACTGTGTCAAAAAAGGGTTGGCGCTTCAAAATTTGCCGATCTAACATAGGCTGGGCTGGCGTGGGCGTTCTGTGGTTCTTTTTTCTGTTTTTGTTCTCTTATGCATTGTCTTCGCTTCGACTGTGGAGATCCCTGCTTCATGGACCGGGAGGTATGGAAGTCCTGTACATCACATCATCTCTTCGTATTTGGTATCAAAAGAAATATGAATGAGTTGAATTAATCGTCTTCGCTGTATTGGTGACAGTTCCTGACACCTTGCACACCGAGATCAGACAAAAAGGAACAATATCATGACATCACATATTGTCTGATCCTCAACGCCATGTCCAAGTAAAAGACCAAAACAACATTTCACTTGCGATGAAATCAAATCGCAGTGCCAATATCGCTCTAAAAAATCTTATCGCAGGACGTGGTGCAACAATCGCAGGGGGAAAACACCCAGCACGGAAGTATAGACCAGGCCCGACTTAGCGAGAGAAATCCAACCACAAATCAACCCAACGGCTGATCTTTACGATCATGGCAGCATCAACCCATAAAATAACAAAAATCCATAATTAGTATCTACCAGAGTTACATCCTATCCTCAAAACCCACAAGCCCAGCCCAGGTATTGCAAGATCAGCAATCAACTAACCCCAACCCTTGATTCGACCCGCCGGATGCGGGATGCAGAATAACGCAGTAATTCCTGATCCCCATCGACCCAGCACCCTGATGAACCAATGATCGGGTGCATAATCTAGCAAGCCATCTGGTGTAAATAGCCAAACAAAAAAAATACTCAATACCACTTCCCTTTTAGGGCTTTGGCGGGTGGGTTTCCAATGGGTCACAACGTTTTTGCGGGATTGGGGGCTAGATCTATACTGGGGATGAGTTAGGCTCCGAAATGGGGGCAGCTGTGGCCTTACCTCAGACCTTGGACAGTTGGGAACGTGCAGCAGCGGGGATTCGATTGGACCTTGGGCGCTTTGCTTATTGGTTCTTTTCCTGCTGATCTTGGGGATCGTGTGTGGCGTCGGTGTGTTCCCCCTCTCTTGGTGCTGGATATATATCGCGTGTCACGCTCTGTGCTTGGTGTGTTGTGCTTTTGGTATTGTTCTTTATTTGTCGAGGCCATGCTGAGAGGGTGCGGGTTCTCAATTATACCAAGATAAATATATAAATAGATCTATATGTCTACTATATATCCGTCAGGTTCTAAGTTATATCATAGTTGAAATTGCTATTTCAGTGGCGCGCATAACCGAACAGGTCAGGATGGATTCATCCAGTCATCCTGGCATATAGCGAAGGGATCAACGATGAGACGCATCCCAGGATACAAATCAGTCTCGGAGTGTTGATATAGAGTAGTTCACATGACGCGCCTGAGAACCCCGTGATCCACCCTCAACTTCTATACATTCGCCACCAGGCACCAAGTCTACCCATCATTGAGTCCCTCTCCCCAGACCGGACCGTGGAAATTGACCCGTCACCAGGTATCCCCCTCAACGGGTCACTTTCGGGATCCCCCACGGGCACGAGGATGCAGGTCCCCAGCAAGGGAGGGTAAGCTTCGATGACTTCGGCAGCTGCACATCACAGCAGATCTGCGTCAGAGGTGCAACCCTGGACTATATCACTTTGACTATACACCGCATATTGACATGTATGCAGAGACTGTAAAGTGCTGCCGTGTCTGCCATGTTCCCTTTCGCAAGCGTCCAAGCTCCAAGGATTCCATAGAGGATCGCCAGATCCGGCCAGAAAAGAGGGATGGGACGATCACCCCGGATGGCATTGGAATGTGTCCATCTCTAACCCCTGGAGATATGCAGACATGCACCTGGCGCTGAAAATGAGGCATATATGCGCGATTTCCAACGAGGGCCGGGCAAGACGCGAGAGTCTTGACCATGATCGCGCTACATGTATGAAACCAAATGAATTTATTTGCTCCTCGTAGATCTGGCAGTCCAGAATACAAATTTACGTCGTCAAAGTCTTATAGTCTCTTTTCCTTGGATCCTTGAATATGAGGGAATGTACAGTCACAGGACGTTGAGAATTGAACGCGATCTGAGAAGCGACAACAACTCAAGGTAACAGAACTCTGAGCCAAACGACTACATGATAAAACATCCAATCCAAGGAAGAGAAATCAGAAAGCAAAGAAAGAGAAAGGAAGTTAGTGCTATTTTCCTGATCTTGTGTCAACACCGGTCGCCTATAAATCGCGGATGCCCCGCGGCCTTCTTCCCTTTCCCTTCTCTTTTTCCCTTCTACCACCACAAATTCAGACCCATTAAATCTTCTCTTGATCCTTGAGCTTGTTCTTATTCTCTTTGAACAACCACTACATATATTCAATCATGCCTCCCAAGAAGTCTACCAGCGCGTCCAAGAAGGCCGCACCTGCTGTCCACACCTCTTACCGTGGTAAGTTTCCTGTGATCCTGCTTTCGCATCATATCGCGTAAACGCGATTTGTGCATCATTCTAGTCGCGAACAACTGCTGATTCGAATGATATAGATATGATCAAGGATGCCATTGTGAACGTGAGTTGATCACTGCCGGCGCGAGCCATCCTGGTTGTTGTGATTGTCGCGCCCGACCGTGACACGTCTTTGCCTTTGGGCATGGTCAGCCACAAAACCGAAGGCTTTTCTTTTTATTTGTCGTCTCTGATTACTGACTGGCCTTTCTGTATGTAGCTCAAGGAGCGCAATGGTAGCAGGTATGTTTCTTGAGTTTTCACCTCGCGGTCGCCGGTGTCTGAGATGGTGTCGGCGGCCCGGAGGTTTTTCTTTTTTTAATCCTCAGAACATTGAACTGACTGCTTTGTTCTTATAGTCGCCAGGCGATCAAGAAGTACGTCTCGGCCAATAACGACATTCATGTTATGTCTCCGGGTATTTTTGATGCTCAGTTCAACAAGGCCATCAAAGGCGGCGTTGAGAAGGGTGAATTCACTCAGCCCAAGGGTATGTTTTACTTTAATTTCACGCACATTGTTCTCTTCTGCATACGATGCTCTCTAGCTCTTGGAGTTTGCCCTAGAATATCATATGACTGGTCGGCTGACACGTCGCGCTCTAGGTTCTTCTGGCCCAGTGAAGCTTGCTAAGAAGGAGCCTGCAACCAAGGCCGCTGCTAAGCCCGCAGCCAAGCCCGCTGCTAAGCCAGCTGCTAAGACTGCTACTAAGACTGCTGCTAAGACTGCTGCGAAGCCCGCAGCTAAGGCTGCCAAGGTAAGATCTATCGATTGAGTCTCTGCATCTCCAGCTAATTGTCATCCAAGGCCACCAAAGCCACCACCAAGAAGGCTGCCCCCAAGACAGCTGCTAAGACAGCTGCCACCAAGAAGACTACTACCAAGACCACTGCCAAGAAGACAGCTGCTAAGCCCAAGGCTAACTCTGGCAAGGTCCGCAAGACCCCCGTTTCCGTATGTGTCTCTTGGTTGCTCCGCGCACCCCTTGATCGACCGTTCACTAACGAGCACTCCAGGCTCCTGCTATCGTTGAGAAGCCCAAGGTTCTGAGCACGACCAAGTCTGGCCGTGTTACTAAGACCACTGCCCCTGCTCCGTCGGCCCAAAAAGGCCGGGCAGCCCCCAAGAAGCGGGTTACCAAGAAATAGAGGACATCTCCTCGTTTTCACCAAGCCCTCCCTTTTACTTTATTTTATTTTCACGAGCGCATTTCCAGGGAGGGCATTGGGGTTTCTTTTGTCCTTCTCCTGTAATTTCTTTCTGTCGATCTTTTGATCTCTTCGTGGGTCAGACAGTCCCCTTATTGTTTCTCTTGGGATCTCTTATGATGACTCTTCTTTTTTTTTTTTTTTTCTTTCCAAGTCAAATGGATGGCGTCCTGCGGTGGGGTTTGCAATGGGGAAACTACGGTCTTTTTTATTCGAATTCTGTGCTTGAGTGTGAATTGAATCTTGGATCTTGGATCTTATACTGTCTGGATCCGGTCGAGCGTAGATCGCGTCTCCTAGACCGCGTGCTTGTCAACAAAGTGTCGATCGGCTCCACGATCTATTTTTGTCTGACAGCGCAGTCTTGGACTCTGCTTGTTGACTCGAGTCAGTTTCGCTTCCAGTAATAAGTTACAGTATATTTGCTTTCTTCTCCGGCTCGACAGTCTTATCACTTTCCGACATGAGACACTGTTGAAAGCATCGTTTCATCTATATCACCATATCATCATAATATCTCAACTCCAAGCCCCGCACCACCAGTGTCCAGTACAGTATACAAGCAAAACACAAGCCCAAGGGACCTGTCAAACCCGCCAGGGGGGTCCAAGTGGTCACCTCCAGCCCTGTCGCAGCCAAGCGTTCCAGCCCATCAGTAGATTACGCCCAATCTCCGATCTCCCGACACCACAGTATTATGCTCGCATTGATACATCAATACAGTACTGTATACTGTATGTTGTATCCCGTAGACAGTACAGTAGACAGAAGAAGACCCTCTCTGTGGCTTAGCTCCTCCTCACTCTCCCAATCACCGCCAACCCCAAGACCGGAGCCAGGCTGTATCTGAGCCGGCGTCCGCATGTGGAGAATTTCCCCTGTGGCGTAGCATTGCATATCATTTCATGATGGGGCCCTGTGTTTAGTTTTGCTTTTTGTCTTTTGGTCGTTGAAGATGATACAGTAGAGAGGGAAGGGTGGGTATGCAAGTCGACCAACCACTGTCACTTCACGTTATGTGGGACTATCACCGAACTTCACGGGGCTGTTCTGGTGTTCTTATCGTGAGGCCGAAGGGGTCCGGGTCAGGGACAGCCGATAGCGGGTTCGGATTGGGGGGGAGATCCCTTGAAGTTACTTGTACTGTATCTGCTGGCATGGATTTATGCTCTACTGTCGCATACATAGTCGAATAGGGTATGCATAAGTATGACGTTCGGCAACTTGGATAGACCCGGTTGCGCGACACCGCCGATCTCCTTGCATGGGAGGGGTAGAGACACATGGTCCAATGGTGGTTGATGGTCTGGTGAGTACAGTAGGGAAGGAGAGAGTATTGAGAGTCGTGAGAGTAGAGGATCATCAGTGGGGGAGGAAAGGAGGGAGAGCATTCGAGTTTTATGTCGTAGCCTGATACTGGATATATGCCCACGGGGAGCAACTGAACCCCAAAAAAAGATAGGGGACTTGCAAGTGTCCCTGAATACGATACAGTCGCAGAGAGATAATTTACCCTCTTCTCTGTACTGTAAGTTGAGTAAATTTGAAGAGCTGAAGTGTGGAGCGTACAGTAATTACGACACGCACGTCTTTTCGCCCCGACAACCATCTTCTCTTCCCTTTCCCCCCCTCTCCCCATATTCCCCTAATTCTTTGTCCCTTAAAACATGTTAATCGGTTGAATCCACCTTGGCCTGGAGCACTTTGGCTCTCTCTCTCTCTCTCTCTGTCTCTAATCTTTTCCTCGGTCTGGTTTACAACTTCCTTGGTCCGCCCAATAGTCTCGGGCTGTCCACGCAGGGCTCACGTCACACTTCTTTGAAGAGAAGAAGAAAAAAAAAAAAAAACACAGTCGCAGTCATGCCATCCTTCAACGACGTCTCCTACCAATCTAGTACTGCCACTGCCACACACCCTCGTTCCTTTGACTCCCCCCGAAAGTCGCACGATAAAACCTCCGTCGGAAACACCTTCCTGTGGACCAACTATCCCGACGCGAATCACGACTCTCTCCAGAATGACCGATCTCTTCTGACCGACCTCAAGAACGGCAGTGCATACTCTTTGAATGGCCCTCGGTCCAGTGTCAGCTCCTACACGCGCGATCCGCCACTCTCCAAGGACGGCAGCATGCATTCGGTGGGCAATGGGTCCGCCAATCCTCGCGAGGCCAGTCGGCCATCCATGTCGGACCGGAAACCCTCAGATTCTGGCCCGGGAGCAGGATCGATGACTGCATCAAATGGCCAACAACTCAATGGCAATGGGAACTATCGCCCTTTTCCCGGCAAGTTGATGGCCAATGGAGACACACACCGACCCTCCGCCGACGAACTTTCCATCTCGCCCTCCGCCTCGCTATTACAGATCCCGCAACCCGACGAAACGGGCCGTCACTCCTCCGATAATGATCGCCTGAACGCAACGCGGCCTGGTGGTCAGCGCCACTCCTCTCCTCCCGCCCCGGCAATCCCCGATGCTGGTCCTGGCCCCGAGTCGCAGGGCTCTAGTATGCGCCACCGCCATTCATTACAAGTCCCGAGGGCATCTAGCGTGCGTCGGGATAGCCGGGAACTAAGCGATGATGCCGCATACAGCACCGGTCGGATGTCTCCCACTTCCGGGTTCCGACGCACATCGGTGGCTTTGATGCGAAGGGGAACCAAAAATACTTTACCAGATAGTGCGGTGGATGAGGCGCTTCCAGATGAAGATGCCGCTCGATGGGCCGAGGCCATTAAACAGAAGCGTGCATCGCGACGCCGGCGCGAAGAGGAGGACGATGAGCGGGTCATTGTCGGAACCAAGGTCGATCAGAATCACGTCAACTATGTGACAGCCTACAACATGTTGACGGGAATTCGCTTTACGGTCTCGAGGATCAACGCCAAAATGGACCGGGAATTGACTTCCGCGGACTTTGACGCCAAACACAAATTCTCCTTTGACATGTATGTTTTAGTTGTTCACTGACTGGATCGTTACTAACGTTTAGCAGTACTGGAAACGAATTGATCCCCTCCGCGAAATACGATTTCAAATTCAAAGATTATGCCCCTTGGGTCTTCCGACACCTTCGCGCCAAGTTCCGCCTCGATCCTGCCGATTATCTGATGTCCCTGACCAGCAAGTACATTCTGTCCGAACTCGGCTCTCCCGGCAAAAGTGGAAGCTTTTTCTATTTCTCGCGCGACTACAAGTACATCATCAAGACTATTCATCATTCCGAGCACAAACTTCTTCGGAAGATCCTCCCCGAGTATTATCGTCATGTGGAGAACAACCCGGACACTTTGATTTCGCAATTCTACGGATTACACCGAGTGAAGATGGCATATGGTCGCAAGATTCACTTCGTTGTGATGAACAACTTGTTCCCACCACACCGAGACATTCACGAGACATTCGATTTGAAGGGATCAACTATTGGGCGTGATTTGCATGAGGCCGACCTCGAGAGAAATCCGCGAGCCACCATGAAGGACTTGAACTGGGTTCGTCGGAATCGTCATCTTGAGGTTGGCCCGACCAAACGTGAGAAGTTCATTGAACAGCTCAAGCGTGATGTTGTGTTGCTTCAACGACTCAAGATCATGGATTATTCCCTGTTAGTAGGAATCCACGATGCAGCGAGGGGCAACGAGGAGAAACTGCGTGATAAGACACTGCAAGTTTTCCAACCGGGAGGTGACCGTGAAGAAGATACAACTCCCAACTCGCTGATGCGCACTCCCTCGAAACTGGAGAATGATCGCAAGGCCCGAGAACTTCGCATGCTGATCAAACGGGAACGTCCCGTTCCTTTGGATAAAGCTGCAGCAAAGATGCCAGAAGAACTTCTTGACGAGCGGACTCATTACTTCTACGCCGAAGACGGAGGTTTCCGAGCCACCCATGAGAATGACCAACCGGGTGAGGAGGTTTACTACCTCGGTATCATTGACTGTTTGACTCATGTAAGGATTTCTGCTCAAGTGGATGAAACACAACTGACATACTCTACAGTACGGTACCATCAAAAAGATTGAGAACTTCTTCAAAGGTCTCTCGAATGACCGCACGCAGATCTCTCCAATAGCTCCAGAAGGCTACGGAGACCGCTTCATTGCTTTCATCAAGGGCATCACAATGTCCAAGGAAGAAGCCGAACGAAATCAAGAAGCCCAACAAGCTTCCGCTGCACCTCAAGTATCAACTGAAAAGCGGCACTCCCGATCTTCCTCTGTGGAACGAACCATGCAGGCAGCAGAGAAGGAGGCATCGAAAGATGTTTCCGTCACCCATCCTCGCACATTAGCCACAGTCTGGGACCCTGCGGATGCCGGAGGTCCTGGCCCAACTTCGACTCTCCCCATTGTTGACGAAGCCGGCGAGGCAAGCAGCGTCGGAGGGCACAGCTCCCACAGCCGAAACGGCCCTCCTGCATCCGACAAGGCCCTCCCCCCTATTCCTAACGATGCTCCTCCACCACCACCCAGCAAAGGCAAGGAACCTGTCCGGGCCAACCTTCTGACTCCGACAAGTCCAGCTCGTCGTTGATTCCGATGTTTTCACTGCGTTTGCAGACATCTTTGACGTGCGCTTTCTTTTCGTCTGTTCATCTGATTTTTTGTATTCAGCGAGATATCCCCCCTGTTGCTCTTGATAGATGTCGCCTATTTCATTTCCTCAGCATGGGTCTGCGCGAGGCATCTCATCCCGCTTCCTACTTTCCCCTCTAACTCTCCATCTCCAATTTTCGCAAGAAACTGATGTTCACGAGTGACATGTGTATAATTTCTTTTGATTGTTGAGCGACTCGTTCCGTCTCTTCGTGTTGTCCTCTTCGAGACTCGATCTGGTGCTGGCTAAGCCCACCACCACCAACCACCACACTGGCTCTTTCCCTCCCCCCATCTCATATCAATTGTCTTCCTACTGGAGCTTTGCTCTAATTTACTACCAAGATCATGTCTCACCAATGGATGAACAGATCCCCCTTTCGTTGATTCCCCGAACATACCAACCCACACTCTCTATACCATACCCACTTACCACCATACCCTCTCCCCAATCCATCCCACATCTCTCCACCACCAGTGCTACCACGCACATTCACACAAGACTTATCAGTCCCCTATTCCAACCCCAAATCTCTTTTCTTTTCTTTTCTGCTTTTACTTTTTTTTTCTCCATTTTCAAGATAAGTCCTCAACCCCCAAAACACGAGAGACAATCCCAAACCTCACCGGCCTCCAAAGCCCCCACCACCGCGTTCCATTCCAAGAACCCAACCCTATTTTCCTTTATCGTCTCTGTACCCAACCGAAGCCCCCTCCCTTTTCTTTCCATTTGCTCTCCTCTGTTTGCCGCGTCTTGTTGTTGCCTTGCCTTGTCCTCGATCGAGTCTCTCTCAACCCATACCCTGTACCAATCAAATCACTATACCACATGTTTTTTGTTCTTTCGAAAGATTTTCGCTTGCTTTCTTGTTCGTCTTGTGAGATCCCGTTTAGCAGAATCCAGTCTGTCGGATTATATCCCCGTTTGGACTTTTACGTACTGTAATGTAGTGTTACTTTGACCCTCGTTAAGTATAGGTATAGTAAGTAACCTATAGTAAGTACGGTAAGTATAATTGGACCTTTGCAAGTAACGTACAGTCCCAAGTTTACACACTCTTTGCAATTCCCTACCACGTCTTAGCTCATCTTCATCTTCATCGTCATCTTAATAACGTTAACTGATAATTTACCCACACATGTCTCTCACTAAGGTCAAGTCAACTTAGCGGTTTCTCTTCACGACTACAGTATTCCCATCTTGACAAGGTCTTATAAGTTGAAAAATTCAAAATTGGGCAGCCAAAAAGCAGATTCCGTCGAAGTGAGTCTCAATCTCAATTCCAATTTCAAAAACTCCTTATGATGTATGTATGTATGTATAAATGTAAGTATGCAAGTCTCTATCTGTGTAAATGCAAACCAGAAGAAACAAAAAGAACAATTTCGTAGAATCAATCTGGTCTGGTCTGTCGTGTCGAAAATCCCCGAACTGGATTCGGCCTCTTTCGTTCTCTGGGCTTGGGCTTGGACTTGGACTTGGTTCCTGGTGGTCAAGTCAAGTCAAGTCAAGACGAGGAAAAGAAAGGAGGAGTGAATGCAGTCCAAAATGCCAGAGGCAAGTGCACCTTAATGCAGTAGAAAAAATGCAAGTTAGACACCCCGTTCCTGGCTTCCTGGGCCACAAGAAGAGGGAGGGGGGTGTGTTGCCAAAGAAGAAAGGAAAGAAGAAAGCAACGCAAGAAATGCAAATGCAACGCGAGGAAAATGCACCCATCACCATCAACATCACCATCACAATATCCATCACCATCACCAACAAGCAAATCATACAACCTGACTTCCCCTCCGGCTCTCCGGCGCCTTAGCAGTACGCTGCGAAGCCCTAGAAACCTGACTCACAGAATCCGCCGGACCAACAGGATCCTCGAACTTCGAGCCGGACCTGGAAGCGATCTTGGAAGCAGCCTTCGACGCAGCCTTGGAGTGAACCGAGGGATCCCTCTTCGAAGCGCGCGAATGCGAAGAGCGATGCGAGCGCGAGCGCGAGCGGTGCGAACGCGCCTGGCTGTGATGCGAATGTCTCGATCGCGAGCGTCCATGGTGACCATGGCCAACCTGGGAGATGGAGTCGTCGGGCGTGACGATGGAGTTGACGTCGACGTCGAGGACGGATTCCGGCAGGAAGATGTCGCGCGGGGAGAGGGAGATGTAGGAGGTTTTGTCGGCGGTGCGGGTTACTTCGCCGCCGGCGCCGTGGTAGGTTTCGCCGGCGATGCTGGGGCTGGAGTAGAAGGTTGAGATGGAGCCTTGCGGGAGGGGGATTTGGCGCGCGGAGATGTGCGAGTGCTTGGTTGTGCTGCCGCTGGGGTGGTGATCTCTGCTGTGGGCGCTGGGGTTGGTGTAGGTGGTTGTTTGGGAGCTTTGGGGGAGGGGGATGTCGCGGGCTGAGCGGGTTGAGGGGGCGATGCTGGGTTCTTTGGTGCTGCCTGTTGCTGAGGGTGGGCTGCCGCGGTGCGAGGATGGGGCTATCGAGGCGGATTTGGTGGATGCTGCGCGGTAGACGGTTTGTTGGCTGTGTGATTGGCTGTGCACTTGGCTGTGGTGGCTGCTGTGAGTCGAGTATCCGTCTCTATCATCGCTGCTGTGACGACGCTGCATGTTCGACTGGGAGGCCTTGATGGTTGACGAGCTGTGAATGCTGCCGCTGGAGTTGTTGCGGGGCTTGTCATTGGCATAGCTGCTGATGAAGGTGGATGGGTTGCAGGGATAGCGCTGCTGCGAGGCGTTGCTCGGGGGTGGGTACTCGATTGCGCGGAGAGGGAGGTTCTCGGGGATGCTGTAGATGCTACCCTCTGACGCGCGACGACCAGGGTCGTCGTGCATGAACTCTGTGCCTTCGTAGATCGTGCTTGCGCGCGGATTCTTGGAGGTTACGCTGCGTGTGAGCGTTGTACGCGGGGCTGAGGCTGCTGTATATTGGCTCCGGGCGTATTCACTGCGGGCGTACTCGCTGCGGCCGTATTCGCTGCGCGGGGCGTACTCGCTGCGCGGCGGTGGTGCTTCCAGAGCTCTGAATTGGTTTGGGGCTGGCTCTTCTTCCTCGTGAGAGGCTTGGGAGGGTGCCGACTTGAGCTGGGCAAAGTTGGTCACGTATTGCATGGGACTTGGCAGCTCGGTGTTGGAAGAGTTTTCACCCTTGACCATTGCATAGGCGATAGCTGCACCTGCTGCTGCACCGATGAGAGTGCCGACAATTGTCTTGGCTGCTTTGCTGCCATCGTCGGTCTTTGGAGGCGTCTGTGGCGGTGTCTGAAGTCCGTGTTGTTGCTGCGAAGGAGCATAGGATTGAGCCTTGGATACAACCGTCGGAGCAGAGCGCTCAATGGCAGTAGGCGCCTTTGATATAGCTCGAGAATGAGCCTCGGACCTTGGAGGTGCAATGCTTTCTGCTCGAACACTCTCTGCTCTGAAACTCTCGGCCTTGACGGAGGGGGCTTTGCTGCTGACTTTGGAGACCACAGACCGACTGTCTTTGTTCTCCAGCAGAGCCATTGTCGGTCCGCTTGCGGCGGAGATGACTGATGCGCCACTACTGGTCGGCCGGTATACAGCTTCAATGCTGTTGCCGTCGAAGTCGATGATCGCCGCGCTGAAATACCCAGTTTGGGAATCCCGCTCTTTGGGCTCGCCGTGTATCTTTCCACCGGCCTTTAAGGCGCTGATGAAGAATGAGCCGACGGCGTCTTTTGACGGGGCTGGGAAGGCGACATGAACTGCGCCAGGAGGGACTCTAAACCAGATTAGCTTGTGCTTTAACATGCTTGCATAGTTGAATGAATATACATACCCGGGCTTCTGTTCGGTCATCCAGAAATCAGCAGGCTCCCCCTGCTTCTGACCGAAACCTATATAATCGTCATGTCTCCCAATGAACTGATAGCCTAAAGGCTGCAGACAAGATAGGAAGAACGACGTAGAAGTCGGCAGATGAGAGACGGTGAGGGTGATATGTGAAACAGGCATGTTGGAAGTATAAGTCCGTACGAGACGAACGTACAGTGGGAAAAGAGAGAGAGAGAGAGAGAGAGAGAGCGAAAGACAAGGGTGAAGATGAAGATGAAAGAATAGAAATGGAAAGGAAGTTGGATTTAACTCAAAGCCGGGATTTGAGGGCCCTGGATATATACGGTGAGAGAACAGTCTATACTATGACAAGGGGGAAAAACGAGGCCGAAGCTACCCCCTACAGCCAGCCAGTCAGCATCGACGGCTCTCCAGATTCGCGGTAAAGGCTCGCGCAGTCTCCCGATTTCCTGCCCAAGTGTAATCAAAGGAAGAACTTGCCAGCAGTCGTCCCAGAACGGGCGAGCCACAGGAAACCAGCCCCTCCAAGATGACAGTGGGCCTAAGACAGGAGAGTTCTTGATGGAGTCAAGGTGGGTTAATATGGCAGCTGTGATTAGCCATCGCTGTCTTCGACCGGTTGTCCTGAATGGCCCGCGAGATCAGCAGCTTGAAACAGTCAGAGCAAGGCGAGTAGTGTCGGATACGACAGCCCAAGGAGTGTGTTAGCGGACGCTAATTTGGCGATTTGCTGTGTTTGGTTAGAGGCCCAATTTAAGACTGGGTTAAAGGGCTGCCAGGTCACCGCGGGGAGGGTCCTCATGAGTCCAATGAGTCCCAATGAGTCTAAGTGGACGCGGATGGGGCGCTTGGTCGAGATGCAGTAGTTCAAGTGGGTTGGTGGAGAGGTGAAGTGGCCACGGTGAGGGCCGTCCAGGCAAATCTGAACTTGGGCAGATCTGCTGACCGCCACTATTCTTGTCTCTTCCAGACCTCTTGGTCAGAAAGGTCGGGGCATTAGGAATCCATCTGACAAATGCTTGCGGATGAAATTGTGAATCGAATGGAGAAGGTCGTCAGGAGGGCAATTTGGACTCCCAATTACTCAAACTACACACACTAGTGCAACTACTGCATCTCGGACCCTCATTCGTGCATCCAAAGTGAGGCGCTAGGTGCATGCCACGTCGCAGACGAAAATAAGAAAAGGAATAAAATAGCTATATTTGTAACACAGAAGTTGAAGATATGTGCCTTGGCTCAGGATCCAAGTCAATGGGTCCTGATCTATATGCTGTTCACTTTTTCTGATCTGCCCATCACAGTCGAGGTTGAACCTGTGGATGGAAGACGGATCAGGACTGACTGGCGAAAAGGAACCAAATGCCCTCCAGCCCGTAACGTGTCATGCGGAGACAGGGGAGAAGAAAGCCTCCAAAGGACACAAGTCCCCAACCAAAACGACCTGGGATCGATATCCCGAGGCTTGGTGTCCCGTCAAGTGATTCCCGACACTGGAATCTCCTTTAAAAACAAAACCGAGAGAGAGAAAGATAGAGATGGGATTTAACAGCGTGTGTCATGCAACTCAGTTCCCGCCCGTAAAAAAAATTCGTGGCCTCATGGCTGATGCCGGTTGGGACGGCACGGTGCGCGCTTCAAGCTGCGCAGTCTAGCCCAGTCGCTCACAGAATATCCCAGACCTCTTCGGCGGCGTGGCAGAACTTGCTGCAGGCGACACTGGCACTCAGACTGTAGTTGCTGATACTGATGGATTCGTCCTTGAAGGTGTCGGCAAAGTCATCGTGACCCTTGGCCATGGCACCAACGAAGATGGCGACCGACTCGTTCGGGTTCAGGGACTCGAGGTAATCCCGAGTGCGGACCACGGGGGCCTCGAAACTCATGGTCACCTTGCGGCAGTTGGGGGGCAGGTGGTCGGTAATGGGGTTCTTGATGACCTTGAGGAGCTTTTCTTGGGAGTTGGTGGAACGGATGGAGAGACGGTGGAGCAGCTGGACCATCAAACCGGCGAACCGCTTAAAGGTACGGGGAATGCGAACGGAGGGGTTGACTTCGATCAGCACACCCTTGGCCGTGTGGATGAAAATTTGCAGGCGACCGGCCTTGTTAACAGGAGAATCGAGGAGAGTGAGAAGGCACTGTGATAAGGTTTTAGTTCAGGCAAAATTTTTTCCAATGGCATCGCCAACTCATACCTGGTGGGTGATATCCGGACGAGCCTCACTGATATCACGGTTCATCTTGCGCATGATACCAATGTGCTCATCACTGTTCAACAGAGAGTATTTCTCATCCTTGGCGCCATTGCGTCCGCTTGAGACGGCGCGGTAAGTCTCCAGACTGGCATTGGAGAGAACCACAATTAGACGCTGGGTGTCCTTGTCGTGCGTGGGAATAGCCACGTGCTGCTCTGCGACGAGTTGGGGGAGCTCAGGTGGAGGACAAGACTGGGTCCCTGGAGAAGAAGAGTCAGACATCTTGCCGGGTTATGAATCTGTAGAGGTACGGAAGGGAGGAAAAAAAGAGCTGCAAGGAAGAACGGTTGGCCCAGCAATGTCACACCGCAGTTCCAGTCCCAGCTCAAGGGCGACTGGGGGGGGAACCAATCTTAAGGCTTGAGCATGCTTTCGAACAGGTCTTGATCGAGAAAACTCGGAGGGGCGCAGAGTGGCCACATTGGCGCCACTAGGGGGAGAAAAGAGGACATCGGAACCCAGGTACTTACTCGCACGCTTGCGCTTTCCTGCTGCTTGAGCTGAATCCGACATTGTGGTGATGGGTTGGGAGTTGAAGAGTTTTAAAATTCGGGGTGGTCGGAGATCCGCTGAAAAGCGGGAACCAAGTGACTGACCATATATAAGTTGACCTCACCTCACCTATATTGGCATCTGCAGCTTCTCGCATAAAAAGTCCCCGATTTCGGGGACTTTCCACGAATTTCCGATCTGACATTTCACTGCGAGACACTGTACACGCCTAAAGTGGTGGATAGCTCGCATTTGCCCATTCTCTCGAAGTGGTAGTTCATTGATGATTCTCCATGACTCTCTACTGTCCTGTATCCTAGGATCCCAACTGTTCACACACCATTCGCGTCCAGTAAACGTTGGAAAATCTTCTGCAGCGCAAGACTGGTGGGGGAAGATCGACATGCCCGCCCCTCCAAGGCTTGTGCCTACTGTATACTATATCACTTAGCACATCCGAATAAGCACTAACATGCAAACAAGCCCTGGAGCTTGAAAATAATACGCAGACTCTTGGATTATTGGAAGTCAGGAGGACCGAAAGACGGATGAGAGCTACCATTTACCGAATCCTTTCGTCTGACAGCGCTTCACAGAGAATCAACCGATGTGAGCGATCTCATACCTACAGTACAGTAGCCCTGGACACGCAACTCTTGGAAATCATTGGACACCTCTGAAGTTGGACCAGACGAGGATGTGTAACATCTTCTGCAGTTGCACTGAAGTAGAAACCAATCATTCCGGTCTGTCTTCCATAGCCCCCTCTTCATGGATTACTCCGTCAAGCACAAGGCCATCGTCCAGGATCAAGTGATACGAAATTAGCTCCCAAGGCGCCCTGCGAGACTGCATCTAAGCAATAGAGCTGCCTCCCAAGGCAGCACCAGCCTGTTCTCACTCAGAGAGCTCAGCGATAATAGGAGGCAACAGACTACAGTAAGTATGAACTCTATGCTGTATACCCATGCACAGTAAAATCTGGGGGGTCCATGATGGAATCCTCGTAACCTGGCTTCGTGTCAAACCAATCACGGTAATCTTCCATCTCACCCCCTGATGTGATCCAATCAGCATAAAAGCGCTCTTGTTGGTCCGTTTGACGCTTCGGTCTAGGTGGAAATAACGTCCAAGTTGGCCAAGTTGGTGCCTGTTAGTGGAGACCCAACGTGCGGTTCTCATGTTTAATTTCGAGGGCCCACGAGGTGTACGATTGGTCGGGATAGAATAAGTGTGATGATTGACTGGTTCCTGGTCCCATGAAAGGGGTGCCCGACGTACCACTCCAACATGCCAACGGGGGGAGTGGGAAGGGATTGGGAGGCATTTGATGGAATTGGGGAGGCTGTATACAATCACTCTCACATACTCAGTCACTGACTTGTGAGTCCGTAGTCACACCTCTCCTTTGTGTTTCCGGCCACAATCCTGGCTTGGTGGCAAAGAAGGTGATTAAACTCCCCACACGGTGATCATATAAACACCTTACCTCCTGATCAGCTCCCCCAGACAGCAGACAGCAGACCACAGACTTCCCCCCCAAACCTTCAACAGTCAACAGAGTCAACAGCATCGAGCAAGGGATAAGGTGAGTGGCGGTAATCGCAATTCAAACAATATGACCTAAACCAGACTAGCGCCCCACGCGTGCCCGTCACCGAATAAACTTGAACTTTCTCAACTTCTTCCACTTGGAGACCCCATTTTGGAAAAAGCAGGGATGCCGTGGACTGTCACCAATTCATTTAAGCGGTATGCTGGCGAGGATTCTATGCGCTCCCCTAAACTCCAGCTAACGACCCCATCCAGAGGCCTCATGAAAACATACGGAAGACCAACATGGCGCGTCTACGATGATGAGCGCGTAGCAAAGAAAAGACGCGTGCAGGATGAGTCGGATGAAGCGGAGACCAACCTGCAATACGCCATACGTGAATCTTCCGCCGCCGTGCTCTCCAGCCCGTCGCGTCGCAATTCCGTCGTGCTGTCAGAAGGCACGCTCGATGATATTGACGATCTCACAACACCACCGTCGTCGCCACCCCCACGATTATCTCCCCCGCCCGCCAATACTCGGAAACCGACATTTGCCTTTTTGAAGCGAAAGCATAAGGATGCCGCGTCGCCGCTGACCGAGGTCAACTCGAATAGTGTGCGCTCGTCAGTCGAGCCCAAGAAAGGCCAGAAACCGGTGATGCGCCAGATGCAGATTGACCTGGGCAACGACACTCGGAAGACGTGCGCCACCTGTGGCATGGAATATATCCCCTCCAACACCGAAGACGCCGCGCTGCATAAAAAGTTCCACGAGATGAATGCTACGGGCATCGACCTGGGCAAGGCATTTATGCGCGCGAACGCCTCGCGCTGGGTTTACGAAGCTACTCGGTTCGATGAAGGATACGTGGTGATTGTCGACCGCAAGGCGTCCCCCAGTGCGAAAAATCAAGCTAAGAAGGTGCTGGAGGTGGTCAACCGAGAACTCTCTTCACCCGAGATTGACGATGAAACACTCTGGGGCCAAATCGAGCAGCCCAAACATCTGCAGGATGGCCCGACCGAGAAAGTGGATCGCTATCGGGTTTTTCTGCACATGAAGGACAGTCGCTGTGTCGGTCTCTGCCTGACAGAACGCATCTGGGAATCGCGCCCGGTCGCGAAAGATCTGAATGGCACCCATGGCTCTTCGGTTTCCGTACGAGATGAACTACGACCGGCCATTGTCGGAGTTTCTCGTATTTGGACCTCCGGATCCTCACGGCGAAAGGGCATCGCCTTAGATCTCCTCGACTGCGTGGTGATTAACTTTATTTACGGAATGGAAATAAGCAAGGCACAAATTGCATTCAGCCAGCCCACCGAAAGTGGGAAACGACTGGCACATAAGTTTTTCGAGGATGAAGAGACATGGCATGTCTATAACGAGCGGTGATGGGGAGATAATTTTATTAAGAAGAGGAGAGAGAGAGAGAGCGTTGTTTTCCCTGTACCATACCCATATGGGATTTTAAATTGACCTTCGAGTTTCAATGTTTCAATAACGTTATATTTCCGCACTTCCACAGTTCCATTCTTTCAATAGCTCGCTGTTTAGCGGTTTCGCTGTCTAGCCTCTCGGGGCTGCCGGACGTTCGATCGGAACGCGGCGCGTAGGAACCTCCAATGGATCAGAAACTCGACTTCCCTCTTCCCTCTTCATCCACTTCGCGATGTCAAATCCATTCCGCGCAAGAAACCTGGGTCAGTCTCTTTCCTCCTCTTCCTATCTCACCTCCTAATTGTAAAACAGGCATTCCCGCAGATCCTCAGAAGACTGCCCCCAACCCCAACCCTCCCCAATCCACCCCCACTATAGCAAACGGCTACCCGGGGAAGTCATCCATATCCCTCGAGCTGGAGGTAGACGATTCCAGCTCGGACGAGAACCCATTCAACCCAGATCCTTCCGCCAGTGACAGCGAGGCCAGCGAACCCGCCTCACAGAGCTCAGCTCCTGGGGATCGCCGTCAATTCTTTGGGTCTGCTCCACTCCCTGCTCCATCTGATGATGGACCCTCTACGCCATCCTCCACGCAGCCATCCATATCAGCAGACCGCTCCCAGCGCTCTCGTCGCTCCGAGGCTCAATCCTCTCCCTCACCGGAAAGTATCGTCCGGACGAGGGAGAAGAAGCCCCCGCCTCCGCCAAAGAGCCACCACGGGAAACGCATCAGCCATTCAGCTACAGCTACAGAGACGGCTGCAGCTGCCAGCGACGCCGATACAGATGCACACACGTACACTTCACAACCAGCCCCCCGCTCGAGATCCTCCAACAGACTATCCATGCATGGCGCCGTATCAGAAAGGTTAACGCCCGGGTTAGCCCATCCAAGCACGGTATCCCTCCCCGCCGCAGCGGACTACTTTTCCGTATCAGAGAACCAGGCCGCAAGAGCATCAACAGACTCCCTGCAACGCAGCCACTCGCAGAAACGACCACCCACACCCCCTATCAGCCGACGACACAGTCAAATGCGGCGGTCGAAATCCACTCAATCGAAATCCAGCCGCCTAACCATGTCCTCGTACGACTCCGAGCGAGATCCGGAGAGCAATAGCTCTCTCCCTCCCAGCCCGGGGCCGGGCCTAAGCCCGAGCCTAGCGCGGTCTCTGTCCTCAAAGAGAATCAGTATGCCGCCGCCTACATCCGCCGCTGAATTCCAGGCTGCCATTCCTACAGGCGGTGTCTCGCTCAATCCACTAGGCTCGCCAGACTCTAGACCTCCTTCGTTGAAAGCTGGTCGCCGTGCTTCCTCTTATGGAAGTGTTCCGTCGAATTCTTCGTCCGGGCCTCCGCCGCCGCCACCACCGCCGAGGAGAATGAGGGACTCGTTGCTGCGTAGTGGTGATAGTCCGCCTGTGTCTAGGGTGCCAGATGATGAGAATCAGCCTCTGCCGCGGCCTTCCAATGCATTGGATATCTTGGCTGATTTGACCAAGCTGCAAAAGGAGGTCGATGATCTCAGGGGCCATTATGAGAATCGTAAGGTTGAGTGATATGTGATATGTGACATATGTGAGATGAGGTATGGATTGAGTTGAGTTATTTGTTAGAGTGGTACAGCAGGACTGTATTCTCTTTTAGTCGTTTCCCTTTACCTTATAGCGTGGCATCTGTGCTTGTATACATGAATGAATGATTGGACGAAGTTGGCGTATTGTTGCTGTATGATCGGCTTTCAACGTTAACTTATACTACCGAGATAGGTATTTAAGACCCCGAACGATGGTTAGCCCGACTTTCCCAAAAATTCTCATAGTCCGGCTTGGCGTAAATGCACAAAAAGCAAAAGCGCCAGAAGAGATACCAAAGGAGGACCCCGACACAAACAGGCGCAACGGACGATCCCTGCTAGTGAACAGCCACTAACCGGCAGTTCACGTATACGTTAACGTTAATGTTAACGTGGGCTAGTACTAGCGAGTCAGCAGGCGCCTGCACCTAGCACCTAGGAAGTCTGCCGAATGCTGTCCGTTGCTGGTCCAAGCAGTCCTCGATAACGAGTCCTAGTATATCCTTGCTAGGACGACACTACTGTAGCCCGGATAGCTGCCAGGCGAATGCCAGTTGCGGAGGCGCTGCCTCTTGAAACATAAGACAACTTATCTGATGTGACGTCTTGGAAATAGTTGAATTCCTTTCGGGGGGAGGGGGGAGGTTTTTTGCCCCGGAATTCCCTTCTCCTCGGATACTCGTCTCTGTGGGTCATTTTATAGTCGATATAAGGTCCCATTAGTTTGAAGGAGTATTGAAAAGAGTAATCCAAGTTACATCACGGAGTTTAAGTGAAAGGGCAGTAAGGTCACAGAGTCCACAGGTTAGTATTAACTTATAGTTCAGCATTCGTATGTAACTAACTTAACTTGAGCAGTTAGTCGTAAGTTAGATTAATCAATATACAGTTGGTAGGTAGGAATGATAACTATTCGAAGCGAACAGAGTGATCACATATTAATATAGCAAGCAGCTGATGTCAAGAAGATAGAAAAGAGTATGATGATGACGAGCCTCTAGATCCTAATTAAACTTGCCAACATTGTTATTTATACCCCAGATCGTGACCTAGTATGCAACATACACGGTACTCTGTGACTGATCCAAAGCAAATTTGTGAAATCCACGAAACTAAACTTGACTTAAACCAGCAGTAAATTCTAAACTGAGGTATATCTAGTTCGGTGTCCACCGAGGCCCTCAAGTTGAACCTAATCACGAACTCAAGCGTCATAGATCTTGGAATCACTTTCGTCATTCTTGAGATGGAGCTGCATCTTCTTATATGGCTAGTCAAACCTATTGTTCTGATCATGGCTACTACATTGAATGTTAAACATGAGTATATTCAATTGCTATATTTCATACCGTTATATAAACGACCAAAAGCTTCAAAACCTCCCGCGAGTACATCACACAGGAAGCATACTATACCATCAAAAACAGAACGCCAACCAGATATATATGCCTGTATGCCTTTTCCATCCTTCTCGTAAATCATAATCGCACACCCTCGCTACTGAGGAAGCTCAGCAGGAAATCCATCGTACCGATGCGAAGACACCCGTGTATCCGGACTCGGCAGCTCAGCATAATGCTCAGTCCCAGGACTAGACATGGGATGATAAGAATCCGCCGGTAATTCCGCAATGAAACTCTTCTGCTCCTGACTATATCTGGACGGCAAAGAATACTTCTTCAGCCCAGAGACCGAGCCCCTCCCCTGACTGCCCTGGCTCCCATGCTCATTCTCATAATCACACTCTGACGTCTGCGAGGACCACCTGGACGACCTCCTCCTCCTCTCTCGCTCCGCAGACCTCACCGACGGCGACATAATCAAACTCGACCGATCAGCCGGGTTAAACGTCCTCAGCTTTCCATCCTCCATCATCGCCTGCAACACGCCCGCATCAAGCAGCTCGGCCTTCTTGATCAATCGATCAACAAGAACCTTCGACGCAGCCTTCAACTGGCCCTTGACAAACGACATCAGCGTCAAATTGCACGAGATCTCCACATCCTCACGCAGGTACAGTCCGTTCGCAGGCGCGCCTGCAGAGCGCGGCTCCCGCCCCTCCAGATCGGGCGTTTCGTCGGGCTGGTTGCCGGCAATGCGCCATTTGCTCTGCAGGTCTATGCTCATCGGTGCGTACATGTGTGTCTGCAGGCCCCAGGCTGTGTCGTGGAAACAGCCCTTGAAGCTTATCTTGCCCGACCCCATCTTGCCCAGCCCGGGCAGGTATTGCACTCGTTCGGTGATCTCGTACCAGGTTGAGTAGTATTCGTCCGAGGCTGCATCTCGGGGCGCTTTGATCGGGCGGTGCGAGAGGACCAGCGGGTTCAGGGTGATGATTTCGCTGTGGCTGTGGAGAATGTCCAGGGCTAGTTGGCGGGGTACGTTGGAGGGGATGGGCGTGATTTGGGTATATGCTTCTTTTTTGCGCATCATCGTGGCTAATATTGGGGGGGTAGTTGTTGTTGTACAGGGGAAGTGGAGGGAGAGTCGAAGTCATATAGCGTTTTGGCCTCGTATTCTGCTTACTTTCTGACATTAAGGTTGACTATGCTTGACACAGGATACTTGGAGTATTTGAGATGATTTGTGAGCTCAGCCGCAATATATTAAGTCTTTAGTCAGAGTCTATAGTACGAGTTGATGTTACTGCGCAGAGGCACTGTTGATTATGGAGTGGATCTAGTCCAGTATTGGGCTGTGATGGATGGCCATTACTGAGATTGGGCCTTGCAAACCTGAAATCTCTTCACTTTGCCTCTTTGTGTTGGGTATTGTTGCGCTGTATCTTGCCACTACAGTAGACATCACTTTAATAGGGGAATGTAGAATGTGAGTCAGTACGACCTATCCAAGCAAGCTACCTATAAGTTATACATAGATACATCTGCAGAACGTAGATCCCCAATCCCGGTAGAAAGAACCAGCAGCATCACCAGCAAACAGAAGTATCAAAAGCGTGAGGAAGGGATGTTTGCCCGTTCAGGTAATATGACGTCGAGTCCAATTATTTTGCTTATTTCTCCCCCCCGCAGTCTTCTTTCCTCAACTTTGAACCTGAGGAACTTTGGCCCTTTTGTCTTGACCTCTTTCCAACTGACTGATCCCAGAACTCTTGTTGAATTAACCATGTCGACGCCTACGCTGATCAACTTGCCTCCTCCCCCGTCGGACCCTGTCACTCCGTCCGATATGGGACCGTAAGACCTTCGTCTCTGTTTCTACTCTGAGTGTGAACTTGTATGAACTGACCTGGATGATGCATTGGTTAGAGGCACTCCCAATTCGGGAACCACTTCCTTGTCCGCGCTGTCCACTACAGCCATCAAGGATGGCCACCAGGGCCAACCATTCCCCCACAGCCGCCACGCGCATCAGTCCTCCTCTGCTTCCACATCCTCCACCACAACCCTAGACGCTGAGCGTGCAGATCGCATCTCCCGTCTAGCCGGTCTCGAGCGGGTTGCAACTGCACGCGCCGGGGGCCAGTCCAACGCGCCCACCTCATATGCGCCAGGATACTTCGAAAGCCAACCCCTGAAGGAGCGAAGCACAGTCGGCAGTGCCAGTGCCACAGGGAGCATCGCTGGTCGCACAACCTGGGCGAGTGGGAGCGATGCCTTTGACGCTGACAAGATGAGTGAAGACCACGACCGAGATGATACCTCGAGCGTGAGCAACATCAGTGATGAGGGCAACGCCAGTCTGGTTGGTTTTGGCGAGGGTGCCAACAGTACCATCAGTGGTCCGACTTCTCGTCCGGCGGGATTGAATCGTTTGTCGTCTGGTGGCCTGGGGGCGCGTCCCACTTCCATGAGCAGCACTGTTAGCCGCCCAAACCCTGTCGCCTCTTACCTCCAGCAGCAACAATATCATGCCAGTGAAAGCTCACGGATGTCTCCTTCTCCCGCGGGATCGAGTACCCCCGAGCCTATGAACGAGGATGCTCGCATGATGAATGGTATGACGTTTGACTCGGACGTGGTTGATACTACTGCCAGAACCCCGCGACTGGCAACTCCGTCTGGAGGCAGCAATGCAGCTGGCTCCCCCGGTCGGGACTAGAGTGGGTGTCTAGATTAAGAAATTACGAATGGCGTTTTCTGTTTGCGTTCTTTGAGCTTCTGCTTTCTAGCACCAATGACCCATGTATGTAATAACACAGACAGGTATCCCCGAGAAAAGTCGATGGATCTGACTACGCGTGAGACGAGTATTGACTTTAATGCAAGCGGTTTATCTCCAAGTCCTGACTCTTGTTCCTGTGGCGGTGCCATGTTGAACACACATGATTGGGTATTCCCCTCTTTATGTGGGATAAAATGGCCACCTGGCATTGAAAGCGACATCTACAGAAAGAGAGCACTAGATGGACTGTAAATTACCATAGAAATCCTCTATATAGCTACTATTTAGGCCTGATCAAGCCGAGTCATACTTGATGTCTTGTATAGCAGATGACGGCATGCCGCCGAGCCACATCGCGACACCCGAATTTTCCCTCTTTCACTCTTCAACCTCCCAACCCTCAAACCCACTACCCTCCCTCTTCTTCGCCTCCGACCTTTCATTGCTGGCATTGACTTGTCTAGCACTGACCGACCGAAGACACAAGTCTTTTGTTCCGCCAAACCCCACCAATTGAGTCTCATTTTGATTCCAAGCTTTCGCCCACCGTTTCGTTCTTCAAGTTTTGCTTCGCTTTGTTCGACTCCCATTCTTACCTTGGGATTCTTTGTCGCGACAACTGGTTATTTCGGTCCTAGGATATCGGACTGATTTTCCATTCTCGACTTGTGGAATACGCAATCGAGAGGCATAAACTTTCTGAAGTGCTTCTGTTGGTGGTTTATTTAAAACCGTTGAAGTCAAGATGGCAGCTCCTACACAGATTGCCTGTGGGTTTCCCCGATCATTGAACCTCGGCTCGAATCGATCGATGCGAATGTTGATGGATGGATGCTGATTGTTGACAGACCGCACGCTCAAGGGCATTGGTATGATGGATGCCGCCCCTGTTTACGAGCCTGTGCCTGGGTTTGTGAGGTATGAATTGTTCTTGACTCACGAGGGAAACATTAAACTGACTTGTGCGCTTCTGTCAGACCTGAGGGCAACCTCCGCTGTAGCGCCTACTCGCCGTGTGGCCGGTACTACGCCTGGGCATCGCCCGAGAAGTAAGCTGATCTTCTATTTCTCCGGCCATGCTTAAACTAATGATTTTTTTTCAACCTGTAGGGTCTCCATTATTGACGCCTCCGTCGGTCACATCGTCGGAACCATCGCCGCCGAGAACGTGTTCGAGCTGGGCTTCTCGCCGCTCGGTACCTACGTGATCACCTGGCAGCGTACGTCCAAGGATGAGAACGGAGACGCCGTCAAGAACCTGAAGGTGTGGCGTGCCATTGAGAACGGAGAGCATGCGGTCGTGGGCAGTTTCGTGCAAAAGTCGCAGACTGGATGGAACTTGCAGTACACCGCCGATGAGAAGCTTTGCGCCCGTACCGTGACCAACGAGGTCCAGTTCTACCAGAGCGAAAACTTGTCGAATGTTTGGAACAAGCTGCGCGTGGAGGGTGTGTCGGACTTTGCGCTCTCGCCGGGTCAGACCCAGTCGATTGCGGTGTTCATTCCCGAGCGCAAGGGTCAGCCCGCCGCTGTCAAGGTGTTCATTGTGCCGCAGTTCGGTGCCCCTGTTTCCCAGAAGAACTTCTTCAAGGGTGACAAGGTCCAATTGAAGTGGAACTCTTCTGGAACCACTTTGATCGTGCTCGCACAGACCGAGGTCGATCGTACTGGCAAGAGTTACTACGGAGAGACAACATTGTACTTGCTCAGCGCCAGCGGTGCATTCGACTCCCGCATTGATCTTGATAAGGAGGGTCCCATTCACGATGTCAGTTGGAACCCCAACTCGAAGGAATTCGGTGTTGTGTACGGCTACATGCCCGCGAAGACCACCATCTTCAACATGCGTGGTGTGGCCACCCACAACTTCCCCCTCGCCCCCCGCAACACCATCCAGTTCTCGCCACACGGACGTTTCGTGCTGGTTGCCGGTTTCGGTAACTTGGCAGGACAGATGGATCTCTACGATATGGACAAAAACTACCACAAGATTACTACCGTCGAGGCCTCCAACGCCAGTGTTTGCGCCTGGTCCCCCGACGGACAATACATTCTGACCGCGACAACCAGCCCTCGTCTGCGTGTCGACAACGGCGTGCGCATCTGGCACGTCAGCGGTGGTCTTATGTACAACGAAGAGATGACCGAATTGTACGATGTCACATGGCGCCCACAGAGCATTTCCCAGCACCCGCTGGGCGACCCTCTCACCAAGCTCCCTGCTCCCCACCCCTCCGCCACTGCCTACATGGGAACCCGCAAGGCACCGGTCAAGCCCGCCGGCGCCTACCGTCCCCCCGGTGCCCGTGGCCAGCTGACTCCTCTCGCCTTCAAGCGTGAAGACGAAGGCGGTGCTGCCTTTGTCCGCGACGGCGTTCCCGGCGCCAGCATGAACGGCTTCGGCAAGCCCCGCCGCCGTGAGATCCCCGGCGCTGAGCCGGCTGAGGAGTATCTTCCTCCCGGAGCCGCACCAGGTGGTGGCGTTGCTCTGCCCGCCGAGAACTTGTCCAAGTCTGCCGCCAAGAACAAGAAGAAGCGCGAGGCTGCCAAGAAGGCTAAGGAGGAGGGAACCGACAACGCTCCCCCAGCCAACGCCCCCACTGGCCCTAGCCCAGACCGCAACCGCAACCGTGGCGGCAAGAACGGTGCCGTCAACGGTAACGGCGCTGCCAAGTCTACTCCCCCTCCTGCTGCTGCTCCAGCTCCCCCCGCTCCCGTCGAGGATCCTTCCGCCCAGGATAAGAAGATCCGCGGTCTGCTGAAAAAGATTCGTGCTATCGATGAGCTTAAGATGCGCCTTGCCGGTGGTGAGAAGCTCGAAGATACACAGATGAAGAAGATTCAGACTGAGGATGCCGTCCGGAAGGATCTCGAGGCTGTTGGATACAGCGGTTGAAGTGGATTGATTGTCTTGATGTAGAATGATGTTGACCGTGTAGAGGAATGATGCGATTGATTATCATGCGAATGGCTCCTGCATAGTCGGCCATGGACTCACTTAGATTGATCTGCATATGCATCCGGTATGGGAGCTGTTCAAATTGACTTCAATATCATTATGATATCTCATTCACATACCCTGTATTCTCCGTAGCGACAACTATATCTATTTATTCTTATGACAAGGACAGCGCATTCGTAACACAACGCCCCCAGAATGAACTGACGACATGTAGATCATCTTACATGATCAACATATGTATACCTAGGTAGAGATAACTATAAAGAGGTGACGTTAATGCTAATTGAAGCAAGCTACCCTGAGGAATTTAGATCGATATTAAATCAGTTCATTACTACAAGCTACTAAATGTCCCATTCATGCCTATCTCCCCCACACCCAACACTGGCCATCCTCAACTCAGCACACAGCAGCCACCGATGTAACAATCGTCAAGAGACAGATCGGCATCCACGGCATAACCGAGACAAGAACAGAACTCCAGCGTCAGATGTGAGGATTGCGACAAAAGCCACAATGTAAAGGGGGGCTCGTGCTAGCACGTTGAATTTGCAATGGGGATTGATTGATATATCGCATCCGATACAGAGCTTATTCACATCCGAGGATGGAATTTCAAGGCATTGATCTCGCCTTGCGCTCCACCTTACAGCGCGAATGGTCTAGTAGAGAGAGATTGAGTGAGCAGAAGAAGAAAGAGGGAGCAAGAAGTAGTGGGGTGGAATGGATATGGGTATTAGTATCATCTATGGCGATTCCAGGGCCTTTTCAAGCGAAAATACGAGTCCGTTTGATGGGGCTGCCCATGCGCAGAGATGCCGCTCCGTTAGCCATGCCGTTTAGTAGTCGGCCCATTCCTTCAACGTCTAGTTCGCCGCGTTTGAGCATGAGTTGGTCTGTTTCTGGGGTTGCTTCGGAATTCATGGAAGGCTGGTTTGGTTCGTCGGATTCGACCAAGGCTGGGGCGAGGATCATGAGTTGGTGCTCTGCTGCCACGAGAACATCGAACGCTTGTCGCTGTGCCTGCCGGGACCGGCGCACAGGTGCTGGTAGGTGGCCAATCCCTTGGAAATTCTGGCCCATTAGGTTGACATCTTGGAAGGGTGACACTCGGCAGCGGTTGGAAGCATCGAATGTACCCTTGGCCTGGACGGCGTTGCGCCACAGAGAGAGTAAACTGGGGATGACGGCACTTTGTCGACCATGACGAAGCAGGATTGATTCATCGGGGAGCGCATCTTGCGTGGAGTTAGTTTGCAAGACGGAAATCTGGCCGCGGTGGGATGGACTGGCTGCAGTCGCTGATCCCTTCAACAGACCATCTTCACGGACACGTCGAGTGGAGGGTGTCATTGGCGCAAACCGGGGTCGCTGTTCTGCCTCGGACTGGGCGTTGGAAAGCGGTGTCACAATACGGCCACTAACGGCGTATGCAGTCAACGAGCCACCGGTGACACCTTGGATGCTTGTTTGGCGGTGCAGAGGGCCCTTGGCAGCACCAGGACCGGCGCCTTCGATATCCCAGACGCCCCAATCGCCATCTTCTAGGAGTACCATCACAGCCCGACCACCCAGCACCCAATCAGCATCAATGATTGTCTTTCGTCGGGGTAGTCCAACGGGTCCCTGCTCGAAGCCGGGGTACAGGCTGATCAGCCACCGGCCTTCCATGTCGGTGGTTTCATACTCTTCCTGCGGGATGGACGGCCTTCGCGCAGTTTTGGAGGCCTTCTTCACGGAGAAGCAAGAGTATATCTTGACACATCCGCTGTGGAATGCAACAAGCAGGCTTGAATGGCGGGGAGATGGCCATGGGGCAGGGTTAAAAGTGATCGTCTGCGCTGGTGCGGGCAGGAGTCGTCGCTGAGAAACAATGTCATCCTCTAAAAAGCAATAGGAGCCAGATCCCGATGGTTCCTCCCGAATTGGGATGCGGTGCAGCAACAAGGCACCGGACCCTTCTGCAGAATGTGTGGCCACAAGGAGATCCCATTTTCCATGGCTGCCGAATCGGCCCCGCGATTTGCGTGAGCTTTCTTCCTCGTTCTCCTGACAGGTGAAAGTCAAAGACACTCCACGGGGAGTATCTTGATGAGTAGTGGCACCGAGAACTGTCAGAGTCTGAATGCGCCAGCTTGCGGAGTCGGTCTGTGTAGGGTGGGGAGGTGCAAGTGGCAGAGTCACAACTCTTGTTGAGAAGTCGGAACAGACTGCCGTGATCACAATTGTGTTTTTCAAAATAGGCGGGAAGGCGTCAAGGGGTGAGCGCGATTCCTCGGGCAGAACCTGAGGAACCGCCACATCCAGAACTCGGCTTCCAAGGGGAATGTCGACTTGTCGTAGAATCTCTTCGTATGGAGCAGCAGGATCGACCTCGGTCTCCTCCAGACTGAAATCGTAGCTGGCCTCTTCTCGTGGGGGTTGTTCAGGTTCTTCCTCGTCGGAATCGATGATCATCACTGAGTCGTCAACATGATTTTCAGAGCGCCTCGGCTTGTCTGCAGGTGCCGGTGCTTTCGACTCTGCGAAACGTCTTCCTCCTCTCCAGACAACTTTGAGTCCAGTGTCGTGGCCATAAACAATGATCGATGAACCATTTGGAGCTCGTAGGGGGTAGCCCTTTGCGGAGTGAATGCGATGAGGAAGTCGATAGCTAAAAGTTTGCAGAGAAAGAATCAGAATTGAGTCAAGTGTTGAGAAGAGACAGCAGTCAAACCTACCTGATTTGCAAGCCATCTTCTCTGGATCGAACCAGAGGGGTGGTTGGGAATGAGGGCATTGTGAGAATTGCGATGCTGTCAAGCTATTAAGAGCTTCAAGGTTCGAACTGAGGCGCCAAAGGGCACCACAATGAAGACAGACAACTCAGTGGAGGAAAAGTAAAAGCTCAATTCTCCGACAAGTCTCGAGCGGAGAGCAATAGACCAGTAGAGAAAAAAAAGGTAGTGAGGCGAGGGGAGGTGTTGACGGAAGTTGTTTTGGGCGGCGAGAAAGTCGATCCAATCCGCGTTCCAGCGCGTCTCCAACTCGACATTCAACAACCATGTCCTGTGGCCAGCGCACCGTTACTTAGATTTCATGGACGAAATGATCAATTCCGCAGTTTGGATCAGAGAATTGTTTGTGACGGCGCATTACAACTGCTACGGCTGCTAATCAGCCCACCATGGCTTCCGTTCGATCTCTCGGCCTCCACGAGCCTTCGGCTGTATCCTACCTTGTCGCAGAGGGTATCCTCCCTCCTGATCCCTCGGAGGACCACTATAAATGGACGGTATGCGTTGACGAAAGCGGGTTGACTGGTCCGGTGGACGATGAGCTGGTATGGACGAAGCATTGCGTTGTATGGTCCCGCGCAGGGATGGTGAAACGAGTCTTTCGAATGGACCCCGAGAAAGAAGAGATTCGACATGCCCTGTTTACCCAGTTTGTGGCCGTCAACACTAAGCGTCCTGGAAACACGACTACCAGACCAGCCGGCACCGCAGAGAGATCTACAAAACAGAGCCAGCGAAATGGGAGACGATCGATGGAAGTCCAGGGCTCAACATTGAATTTGCATGGAGATACCCAAGTGGCAGCGGTTGCTCCTCAGCAATCTAGTGAGATTCTTTCCAGAGCTCTGGTGGTGGTCCTGAAATCACAAGCACATATCTTCTTTGTCGCGGGTAATAGCCATACAATTCCTCTGCCCTTCGAGGTGGAATCTGTCTTTGCAACCCCTCGTGGTATTCTTCTCCAAAGGAAAATCCCAGAACCTGCCGAAGGACGCCAGCAACCGGCAGCGCCTCCCAATTCCTTCATGACAAACTCGCTATTCGACCCGGGTGCTTCACAGTCATTTGGCATGAGACCACCTTCCAGCAAAGGCAGACGCCCTTCGATTAAGCTCTCAGCTCCAAGCTCTTGGATGCCTCACTCTAGTCCAAGTAATGACTTACCTCGAGTCTTCTCTCTCATCGATCCTCATTCAGAGATGGGCCTGGTCGTGACATCGCAGAGCTCTCGATGGCTTCAGAGTAGTGTCAACAGCACCAGAAGGCGGCCATCCGGACTGGAAGTCCTGGATCCATTGGATGAGATTGTATACATTTCTCCAAAGGACGAGATTCTAGGCACGAACAGAGGTTCAACCAATGGTCCATTGATCCTAGTGGTAACCCTCAATACCACTACAGGAATCTATACGATCTGGACTGCACGCTACAAAGATGATGAATCTGGTGGCTCGATGAAGGACAAAGCCAGACGCGAGACAGGAGGCACTCGGTCAGTAAGACGGAGCTCGCATTTCAGCATGGCAACTGGTGCAACAACACCAGCTGCTCGCACTACAGGCCGAGAGAGCCTTGGAGCTTGGACCGAAAAGAGTCAAACCGAATCTCAGCAACCTGAAGACGATCTTGCTTCAAGGGTCGCACAGGACTTCGGTGATGTCGGTGTGCCCCTCAAGACATCAAGACGAGTCAGCTCTTTGCTCGCGCGAACGGATCTTGCCACCAGTCAAGATCGCATGACATTTTCGGAGCTGGCTCACGGAAGTCAGTCTAGTACCATACCTCATGGTCATGGCAGCTTTCGGCAGTCCATTGGAGGAGCAAGCACTCGTGGAAGCTTTGGCTTCAACCCGCGAGGCTCTCTTCCTCCTGGGACAGGCTCTGTCTATAGTACTGCAGGCAGCTTTGTGGATGCCCCGGTGGATAGGCTGCTGGAAGAACTCAACAACGATGCGCTGTCAGAAGGGTTTGAGAACATTGCCCTTCGTGAATCGGCATCCGGGCTTCCAGAGGAGCTTTTGCTAAACAAGGTCGAGAGTTTCCCGTCGAAATTCTCCGGAAACTTCCAAAAGTCCACATCAGAGCCGGCATCCCGGCGGTTGAAGGTCTCTACTTTGGTTTCCACTGATTATGGAAGCGCACAAAAGGGAAGCACTGCTTCCGTTGCCATTTGCATTGTGGACCAAGAGGCACAGAACATGACCATTGTAAACCTGAAAGCAGATCGAGTTTCCATTTCAAAGAGCCGGAAAAAGAAGAACAAGTCTGACCAGAGTCCATTGCTTGTTCACGCGGTCAAGGTTAAGCATGTGCCGAACATTTTAGATGCTTGCCCGATCTCCGATGGAGACATCTCACGAATTCTTTCACTCAGCGAGACAGAAAGCGGTCACCGCGAGCTATCTTTGCAAACACTCTGGGGTAGCCCGACAAAGATTGAGGTTCCTATTCCACTACAGCTGTATGAACCTCATGGTATCTCTGCCAACAAGCTGGAGGCACGCCCAAGAGAAAGCGGTGTTAACCGAGTGATGGCTGACCCTAACCTCATCTTCGTCAAGTTTGATCATGTGTGCTCTCGAGGCAAGATTGACCTGGTGGACACTGATAACCAACGACACAGGCTCCAAATTCGAATGGAGCCCCGCAATGATCTGGTGAAGAAGATCCTTAGAGTCTGCAAATTCGCCTTGCGTGACTCGGATAAAGCAGGCGATGGTATCATGGTTGCCTGGTGGGAAGTCATCAAGTGGCTACGAGGTAAAGAGGACATTGAAAACGATCTTGAATGGACAGCCATGACAGTCGTGCTATTGAGCTTAGCACTTCCATTCGTCACTCCTCCGTCCACTCCGACACCCAAGCGAACCCGCCGTAAGAAGGGCTTGTTAAGGTCGAGCAGTGGTGGTCATCTGGATCTTGAAAGCTGGGAGACCATGCTGGACCTGGAATCCGGTTCATCCGGTGTTGTAGCACCTTGGATGATGGGCAGCTCATGGGGGTGGATTGTTGAACAAGACGCAATTGAAGACCTTGCAACAACATCACGTACACCCAAGATTGACCAGCCAAATACGAGCCGATCTACCTACCGCAGCAATTCATACTTGCTTCGATGCATTGTACTCGGTCGTGAATTCCTTCAGACCCCCCAAGGTATTAGGGCTGCTGGCGACGAAGGCTATCTCCCTATTTCAGAACTGTTCTCCGAAAATACAAGATGCACCGCTTTATGTAGTGTCGTTGTGGCCTTGCATTTGCTCCGAGAGGAACAGAAACTGTCAACATGTGATTCGGAAGAATCCCAGAGACCACTGGGTCTGCTTGCTCCCGTGCTTGCACAACTGGGCGGCTGGCTAGGCTGGAACTCTTGGAAATGGACCGAGGACGCCTACTTCGGAACCGAAATGGCTAGTATGGAGCGCTGGCAATTCGAAGATACCCAAATATCCGGACTGAAGGTACCCCGAGAGCCATTCTCTCCTCCGTCTATCTTTGCTTTCCTCATGGAAGCTGCTCACCAAAACCCTACACCGTTTATTACTCTTCTCGATATTGTGACAGCGTCCGAGCGAAGTCCTAGGAAGGGCCGTATGTGGCGTGAATGTTTCAGTCTTACACCAAGGACATTGGCACTGAATGGCTTCTTCACTGAAGTTCACAATGTATCAACATCCTTGGAAAAGATCAAATTGTTGCAGCGTTGGGGATTCACCAAGAGCGTTATTGACAGCTTCCCTGAAGGTGTCAGTGCACCACTATACGAAGCAGTCATGCAATGTCAGATCGAAGCCTCCACCTCATGGAACGCATCTCTCTTGGAATTGATTGACAGGGAAGACCTCTACATGTCGATGAACCCCACTCAAAGCTCTTCGTTGCCAACGCCACAGCAACATACACCATCTCACGACGCTGTGCGAGACTTCCATTACATCAGCAGTGCGGCGTTAGACATCGATGCGATCAATGCCTTCGAGGCCTCTGCCGAGGCTGATCGATTCTCTGTCACAAGATTGATATTCAAAGAGGATAAGCGGTTCCTTGAGGCAACCAGACTCCTTAATCAGTCAAAAGCCCCTGTGGCAGAGTGCATAGCCGAGCCAGGTTGGAGCGATGCTGATCTTCTCGAAGCACAAAAAGAGATTGTACAGCTGGTGACAGTTCGTACTCTTTCTACTCCTGCGGGTCGTGGAATGCTTTCCTACAGTGGACGGCTTCCATTGTTGACCGAGAAGCTACCAATCCCGTCCTTTTCGCTACAATGTGTCATGAAGCCATCTAATGTCACAGTCAGTGCAGACCGATCTGCCTTCTCGGAAGAGAAAGTCTGTTGGGCATTCTTCCACAATGGTGTCTCCACTGGCTTGGCAATCTCCAAGGCGTCCAAGGGAATCGACACTTCCTGGATCTTGTTCAACAAGCCACAGGAGCTTACCAATCGCCATGCCGGTTTCTTGTTGGCGTTGGGTCTGAATGGTCATCTGAAATCGCTGGCTAAGTGGGTTGCGTTCAAGTACCTCACTCCGAAGCACACCATGACCTCGATCGGTCTCTTGCTAGGACTTTCTGCTTCGTATATCGGCACAATGGATACCCTCATCACACGTCTGCTCTCGGTCCATGTGACACGAATGCTTCCAATGGGGGCAGCTGAGCTGAACCTTTCGCCTTTAACCCAAACTGCCGGAATTATGGGTATTGGTATGCTCTACTGTGGCTCTCAACATCGTCGCATGAGCGAAGTTATGCTCTCCGAGATTGAAAACAGTGAGTATGACGAGCAGGCTGCTACACAAGAAGACCTCCGCGATGAAGGTTATCGACTGGCCGCAGGATTTGCTCTTGGTTTCATCAACCTTGGTAAGGGTGATGATCTACGTGGTATGCGAGACATGCACATTGTTGAACGGCTGTTGGCAATTGCTGTGGGGACGAAGAACGTCGATATTGCCCATGTGCTTGACCGCGCCACGGCTGGCGCAACGATCGCCTTGATGATCATCTTCATGAAGACGAACGATTCGGTATTGGCCAAGAAGATTGATATCCCCGATACAACTGTTCGTTTCGACTACGTCAGACCAGATCTATTCCTGTTGCGAACTCTGGCTCGGCACATCATTATGTGGGACAGCATCCAACCCACTGCTGAGTGGATCAGCTCAAGTCTTCCTGAGGTATACCGAGGCAGATCGCGACTCGTGGACGTGCGCCGCTTGCGCAGTGAAGACATGCCTTTCTTCAACATCATTGCTGGTCTTTGCTTTGCCCTCGGTCTCCGCCATGCTGGATCAGGGCAAGCACAAGCACGAGACCTATTGTTGTTCTACCTAGACCAGCTCATTCGCATTTCACGGTTGCCTGTGCGCAATTACGATGCCAAACTGGCGCGCAATTCTGTCCGTAACTGCCAGGATGTGGTAGCTCTCGCCGCTGCCGCAGTCATGGCTGGCACTGGTGATCTAGCTCTATTCCGACGCCTACGCTCTCTGCATGGCCGTGTCGATGCAGACACACCCTATGGCAGCCACATGGCAGCACACATGGCGATAGGAGTTCTCTTCCTAGGCGGAGGCAGCTACACACTTGGCACATCCAACCGCGCTCTAGTCTCCCTCATCTGCGCATTTTACCCAATATTCCCTACCTCCGTGCTCGACAACAAATGTCACCTCCAAGCCTTCCGCCATCTCTGGGTCCTAGCCGCGGAGCCACGCTGCCTCATCCCACGCGATCTCGACACCCGCCGACCAATCTCCATCCCAATAACAATCACCCTCAACGACGAAACAACCCGCACAGTCGGCGCCCCCTGCCTCCTCCCAGACCCAAGCAGCATAACACGCATCGACATCCGTGGCCCAGACCACTGGCCCCTAGCCCTAGACTTCAGCCAAAATGACACCCTCCGCGAGAAGTTCCACCACGGCGACCCATCCATCTACCTCCGTCGCAAAGCAACCTACAGCCCCTCAGGCTCCTCAACCTCCGTCTTCGCTTCAACCCTAACAGGCCTCAGCGAAGCCCAAGACATCCTCCAAAAGTCAACAGCACAATCCTCATCCCAAGCAAAGGGCCTCCCTCCCTCCGCTTGGGAAACCCACACATCCCTCCTCTCCCCAACATCCCCAAGATCCCTAACCCCCTCCCAATCCCCTTGGGACTGGATCTTCAACCTCCCTTCCCTCCAAGGCCTCGACATCCGCGAACGCTCCCTGGTCCTCCCATCCTCCTTCCCAATGCGCGGAGAACGAATCACCTCAGACATCGTCTCGGCTCCACCCTGGCTCCGCACCTCAGCCGTTGACGCCCGCCTCGCGCTCTCCCATACCGTGCGCAATATCGTGCAGTCTGCCCGTGGCCGTGGCGGTGATCCCGACGAAGTCCGTGATCATATCTGGCAGTTGCGATTGCTGTTTGATTGGCTGGATCGGACCCAGCCTGTTGAGAGGGATTCGGCTGAGCCGGGTATCAAGACTGTTGCTGTGCAGCCGCCTTCTGGGCTTTGGCTGCGGAGGGACTTTGTTGAGGAGGCTAGGTGGCAGGTTTGGGGTGTGCAGATTGGTGATCGGGTCGATGAGTAGGATTGCCTTGGTTGGTTATGATTGTCATGTTGTGTTGGAGAGTGCGAGCTCGATGCGGGCGTATGCTGTCTGTAGGTTATTCCCATATGCTACTTGTATTTTATTTGCTTGGCTTTAGCTCAAGAGATTAGGAGATTATGATTCCTCATGATATCAACTTTGTTTCTTTTAGTACCTATCTACGTATTTCCTTTTTTTCGTATTCTGTATTTGACTTTGATTTCACTAACTTGGATTTCATTCCTCTATCTTTTTTTCTCATTCCATCATATCAATAACATGCAACAGCCATTCACTCGTAAAAAGCATAGCAGTAAATAGAAATGCATATATGTAATCTATAACGAGCGGTGTTGTCCTTCCTTCAATAGTCCACGATCACCACCACCACCCTTTTGCCACAACCAAATACCCTCCACAGCCCAAGCAGCAGCACTAGCATGACGCCCAACACCAGACGCAGCAGGCCCGCCATCCTTCTTAGCCTCGCCGTCTTTGTCAAGGGAAGGCTTCTTCCTGCCAGCGCTCTGGCCAGCCGCACCATCCGCTTCAGCGAGCATGCCCGCGACAACACCTTCCTTCTCGATAACGAACCATAGACCCTCGGACAAGGGTCCACCACGATCACCGAATTCGGCCCGACCGAGGCGGAAGAGGATCCGGCCGATGACTTGCCATGCGATACAGCGCTGGGCGGGGAATGTTGAGCGTGCGAGAATAGCCAGCTCGGGGATTGTGTATCCCGCTGCGTGTGGATCGTCGCCGTGATGGTGCAGGCCCATGGTTGTTGGGATGGAAAGGGAGGTTTCCGGGGCGAGGACTGTGCCTGTAAGGGAGAAGCGGATTGCTGAGGGGGCCATGGAGATGGCGCTGCTGGCTGGGTGATAGGCGGATGTTGAGTCTGGGTCTTCTTCATCCGCGCTGAGGGGTTGGAGCCAGGAGAGGGTTGATGGGTCCTGGGATATTTCGGGGAAATAGTGGGACTGGAGATCGGAGAGGAAGTTAGGGGAGGAGGGGTCGAGGATTGGCATGGGCGTTGAGGGCTGGGGGAAGTGGAAGGTTTCGAGGGTTGCTGGATCGAGGGAGGGACGTTCGGATGCTGGATGGAGATCCTGAGGGAGAGAGAGTTGGGTGGGCGGTCTTCATTGACCGGGTGTGGTTTAGACGACTTTTTGAGGGAGTGGGATTGAGCTGTTGATGGCGCTCGAGGTCTGGTTGTTGGCTCGGGCACATCGAATGACACCGATTTCTTCGATTTAGACGCAGTTTCATTCTTTAATGCCGGTGCCGGTACTGTTTCTGTTGCTGGTGCTGGGGGCTCTTTGTCATTATGTTCGTCCTCGTCGATTCTAGCTCTGCGAAGGAAGCGTTCTAGAAGACTTGGGTCCATTTGTTCCATCAACTCTTCCCGTTCCTGGTTGATCTGGGCGTCCGACATGGCTGCCAACTGTCGCCGGTTCTGCTCGTCGATAAGCTTCTTTTCATCTTGCACAGGTTCCTCGGTCGAGGGTGCTGGGGCAGATTGTTGAGCTCGTCGCTGTTTGAACGACGATGGCTTGCGCTGGCGAGGTGCCGGGAAGCCGGTTGAACTCGACAGCGTGGGGACGGGAGGTTTGGCAGCAGAGGGGGCCCGTTCTTGGATTTCACCGACTAAAGAGAAGGGAGAGGGGATTTCAGGAGCCCCTTCATCCCCATCGAGGTCGAGCACGAAACGTTCGCCGCGGAAAGCCATGTTGTCAGAAGAGAAAAAAAGTTATGTCAGCGCGGGGATGCGGCTCCCAAAGCCTAAAATGGGTCTGCAGAGCAGGCTAACCTCTTTAGGTTAGTGGGCGATAGCGGATGTGCTAGGCCCAATCAGGAACTCCTCACACTGGTTCCGTTGCATCTATACACCTCGCTTGGCTTTCGGCTCTGTTGTTCACCCGATGATGGTATATATGTGATGTGGAGTATCTTGCTCACAAGATTGATATGGTGGAGATCCCATATACCCATTGAGCATGCCATCCTTGTTGTATTCTCTACGTTGGTACTTTCTTCATCCGATTGACCAACGTGACGTATGGAGCTCGCGGTCCAGTATAAGCTTCGGGATGCGAGACAAGACGGTGTTCAGGTGAGTCGCTATAAAAAGAACCAAAGAACAATCATCGTGACACAAGACAGCCAGAAATCGAGTCTGACTCGTCCGAAGGTAGGGAAATGCCTCACATCCACTACCCCATAGAGTTAGATCCTGTAGTAGTACCTGAGGTACAATGGGCACAACTGCAGGAAACTGGAATATGATCCCAATGACCTCTGTTGGAACAACTCATCCATAGTGGAAGAGACAGCCCTTGTTGTCAGCTGGACTCTGGCGATTTCCCCCTTCTCATAGACAACGGGTGGCATTTCAACTTCCTTTAGACATCTCGACTGTTAAGTAGGTTCAGTTAAGTGAGTTATTCAATCCCCTTTCTGCCCATTTCCTTCCCTTTTTTTCCTTTTTCTTTTCTCCCTTTCCCTCCCCGATCTTAATCCCTTCCATTTCCCTTCTTTTTCTCCCATCTCCCATTTCCCATTTTCCGTTTCCTTCCTTTCCCACCCTTTCCATCTCTCGGTTATTGATGTTCTTTTCCCAGGCCTTTCTTATCTGTGTTTGATTTCCCCAACCTTTCCTTTCCTAACACATCGTATTCCCTGCCACACTGGGTCGCTGTGTCACTGTGATCAGAACAGAATTGTGTACAATGTCTACGGATCCAGCAGCGGTGCCTACCGAAGGCTTAGGGGATTCTGAACCCAAGCCCGACAACGCCCGACGTGCCTCTGCTGCCAATAGACGGTCGCGTCGGACCGAACCCAAGCCCAAAAAAGAGAAAGAAGCCAAGGAGAAGCCAGCTCGAGCGACGCGTCGACCGCGGGAAAAATCCACAACGACCGCCGCGTCTCGAAAGAAGGCCAAGTTGGAGCCCTCGACTGATGGCACAGTGGATGTGGCCGACGCCCGCAGCCCGGTCGAAGTAGTGACAGCACAGCCAACTCAACCCCAATCCATCCAGTCAATTCAGTCAATCCAGTCCGCTCCGCCAGCTCAACCAGCTCAACCAGCCCAATCACCGTACTCACAAAGCCCACATCCCACAGCCCCGGGAGCTGCATACCAGCTGTCCCAACCGCTGCAACCCCCGCGTCCGCAATCACAACCGCCAGCGCCACCACCACAAGCGCCTCAAAGGACCAGTGGACAAAACTTCGACCCGATCCGATCTGCCTTTGACAACCCTTCTCCGGCTCCAGCATACAGCCCTCCGATTCACGCAGTCTCGCCCCATACCGCTTATCGCGCCAGTGCATCGCCAGCCATTTCGAGCATTATCGATCCTCCTCAAACCTCCCAACCTATCTACACTCCCCTTCAACGTACCTCCTCTGGCCATGTCTCTGGTCTGTCTTCACCCGCACCGCCGGCAATGGCTCCCACGCCTACCCACCCATCCCTAGCCCCATCGCCCCTCCCCGTCTCGTCGCCTTCTCATGGAGCTGTGCACACACCACACGCCTTCGCCCAACCCAATCACTACACAACCCCATACCCACCTACGGAGCAGCGGCCAGGGCAGTCACAACCTCCAACCCTTGAGCTTTCTCCTCCTGCTATGCGCCAATTCCAACCCCAACCTCAATCCCACGCGCAACCGGAAGTGGCAGTGCAGCCGACCCCGCCCAAACCCCAGCAGTCCGAGAGCATGGAACTGGATCCAAAGGAACAACCAAAGGAGAAACCCAAGGAACAACCACAGGAGCAAGCAAAGGAACAATCCACTCCTGCCACCAAGAAGGAAAAAGGAACGGCGACTCCTGCCTCCAAGGCTTCATCGCCTAAACCGGCTCGGCCTGCCAAAGAGACCCCACAACTACCGCAAGGCTCTGGCCTGATCAGCAACGCCCTCTTTGGAGTAGATGAATCTGCCAAATCGCCAGACTCGCGCAGCACCCCGAATATCATTGTCCACGTTCCCCTAGGAAAGGGAAACCAGATTGTAAATTTCGCACGACTGGCCGAAGAACAATATGGTTTCGCGGCTTTACATCCACGTCTGGCTGCCCACAAAGCGCGCCTGGCCCGCGTGGCAGCTGCTGGGGCTGCATTAGAGCGCAACGACAAAAACGCCAAGGGCATTTCCGCTGGCGAAAGTGCCGACGAAGATCTGAGCCTGGATGCTGAGCGTGATAGCGATGTTGATGGTGATGTTACGATGGGTGGCACTGGCCTCGGAACAAACGGTGCTCCCTCTGAAGCAAGTGACGGGAAGAAGAAGCGCCGCAAGAAGGTCGAAGAATATGACCGTGACGACCCCTTTGTTGATGATAGTGAGATGGTCTGGCAAGAGCAGGCTGCTGCTAGTAAGGATGGTTTCTTTGTCTACAGTGGGCCACTGGTACCAGAGGGAGAGAAGATCCAAGTGGAGCGGTATGTTTCCATTGCCCGAATATTAACATGCGCCCCCGTTTCTAACGATTTGCAGGGCCGATGGTACCATCAAACGCGGTCGCGGCCGCGGCCGAGGAACAGGCCGGGGTCGTGCGGTGGCTTCTCACCCTCACGTCCCCATCGCCGCAGCTGTGCCCATTTCCCAGGATACCGGTCTCCCGCTACGCGGACCCGGTTCACGAGGTGGCACCACGCGCCGTCCTCGTGGCAGTAAGAAGGCTGATGTCGAGAAGCACGCTGATCGCAACGGCACCACTGCCTCCGCCGCACAGGAAGGCCGTGGTGGTCGTGGCGGCGGCGCTGCCAGCTCTGGTCGTGGTGGAAGCTCTAGCGCTCGAGGCGGGAAAACTTCTGCTCCTGTGTCTACTCCCTCCATCCCGATGCCGGAGCTTGCGCCGTCGCCTTCGACGCCTACTGCTGCTCCTCCTGCTCTTTCTCCTGCTCCTGCTCCTGCTCCGCCTGGTCCTAGCCCTCTGGCTGGACCCGAGCTTATGATGAAATAGATAGATGCTTGATTGATTACACTTGCGCCAGGTTCGGTGTTGATTAGGTTTGATTTGATTTGATTTGATTTGATTTGATTTGATTTGATTTGATGTTGATTCCATGCTCATGGTGTCAGGAGTTCTCCTGTTTTTTATGTCTGTTCCCGGTTCCTTGTGGGATTTGAGCTTGTTTTGAATTGCGCTTCCCTGTTGTTATTGCGTTGTTTTCGGTTCTGGACTCGGTTTCTCTTCGGGTTCTTATTTTCTTTGTCAAAGTCTTTTTGTTCATCTTTCATCTTTCACTTTTACTTTTACTTTGAGCTCTGTATCTATACCTTGCTGGTCTTCATGTCATCTTTTACAATTGATTCAAGATTTCTACAGTATGATTTCTCTGTTTTGTCTTTGAATTGCGTATTTGCTTTACAATCTATAGTTGAATATATTTGTTCTTGAGTACTCTGACAAGCCGTCCGTATATTTTCGAGATCCCCTTGTATAGATCTTTCAACTACCACGTAAAACGCCAGAGACAGAACTAGACTAGAAATAAAAAGAACAAAAGAGTATGAAATTGCACTTATGTACGCCGAGTAATGCAGGAAGATAGATCCCAGCAAATAAGGAGATGAAGTCAGAGAAGGGGAGGGAGAGGAAAAGGAAAAAAAAAAAGGATGTCGTTGCCAAATCAACCATTTCAATCAGACAGGCAGAGAGTCATTGAAAGAGAAACGAGAATGAAACAAGTAGAGAAAAGGACCCAGCAAAATGTACCGACATGTGAAGAACGAGAGATATTCACCAGTGGATTGTGGTATTGATCAAAGGCTAGGCAGAACGAGGGGAGAGAAACAGATAAGAAAGAAATATGCAATGCGGCGTGGTGCGTCTTGTGTCTTCATGGTCTTGTTTTGTTTTGATTCATCAAGAAAGCGCCGAATACACAGACAGAAAGGGAAAAGAGAGGATCGACGTGCAGAATCCAGAGTCGATGAAGTGGAATGATGAGAAGCCAGACGAGATGGGGGTCACGATGGAGTTATGCAATCCCACCTTGTAAGATGGGTAGGAATCAACGAGAAAATATCATATTCCAGTCCATGGCCTAGCGATATGCGTCACGGCTTGGCTGGTTGCGCCAGGTCCCACCAGCTGAGACTGGCGGAGCGGGAGGTGCACCGTTCGGAGGAGCAGGGCGCAAAGGCAGTGTGGCTGCGTGAAGATTGGTGCGGGAGTTGGAGGAGGAAGTGTTCGAGCTTGCAGAGCGGGGGCTCATAAATGGGCGAGATGGTGCATCAATAGCTGACACCGGATCTCCTAGGTGCTGACGCATTGCCTGGCGGCCGGAACGGATGTCGCTGTCATCGTTTGTTTCCAGCGAAAGGTGCTCCAGAGATGGGGGTTGAGGAGACCGTGAAGAGACGTAGTGGCTGGACTGAGGCTGAGGGTAGTAGCGGGGATCATGCAGAGGCAGGTCGCTCGATGCTGGGTTCGTTGGGAAGGGAGACTGCTGGGGCGTACGAGATGGCTTGCTGATGGGTGGGGGTTTGGCACCCGTTCCTGATGAGGGCACCGGGGATGAGGCCGAGTTGGAAACTGGGGTCGAGGTTTCACGGAGAGATTTTGGTGCTGGAGGTCCCAGGTAGGACTTGCGGTCGTGTCGCTTCATCATGCTCATTGCCCATTCCTCGAGGTTGACGGGCGTGCGCTTGGCAGCCTGCAGGAATGCGTCCTTGTCCTGGAGGGAATCAGTTATAGTTCAGAATATAGACTCATATCAACGTACGTATAGTTCTCGTGGAGTTGGTCGCTCCTCAGACTTCTTCAGGAGACACTTGCCGACAAAGTCGTGCAGAATAGGTGGAAACGCATCACTCTTAGGCAGCTTTGGTGCTGTCTCGTGAACAATTTGCTGAAGGAGATCCAGAATACCCATTGGGCCAGCACTAGCACGGTTACCAGCTGCAGAGTCAGAGTGGTCGAATGGGAATTTTCCAACGGCCAACTCCATCACTGTCAGACCAACACTCCACACATCTGAACGGACCGTGTAGGCTCCTCCCTGAATACGTTCAGGGGCCATGTATGTCGATGTGCCGACAAAGGTATCAGCAATGGAGTTGACGGTCTCTGTAGCGACACCGAAGTCGCAAAGCTTGATATTACCGCGCGAGTTGACCAGAATGTTGGAGGGCTTGATATCACGATGCATGATACGGTGGACTTCATACAGGTACACCAGACCAGCCAGCACTGACTCGGTAATCTTTCCCAGCACATCCACCCGGACGGGACCGAAGTCCTTAGAAACGCGGTCGAGAGAGCTGTGTCTATTAGCAATGTTCACATATATTCCCCAGGGTCGACCTACCCGCAATCCATATATTCCATACACAGCACAATATCTCTCGCTTCATTCTGGAATGCACCGTAGAAGGTCACGATATTGGGACAGTTGCAGTCGTGCCCCACGCGCAGTTCTCGTAGAATTTGTTTCCTCACGTTCTCTTTGGCTTCGACGCGAATAATCTGATGTGTGGGAATGCGAAATCAGTATACCGGGTTGCCCAGCCGTCACAAACAAGGAATCCCATACCTTTCGGGCCATCACCACCTTGGTTGATGCGTGCATCACCTTGGACACCGTTCCGCCATTTCCAGCGCCAAGCTCCTTCAATGTGACCAGATCCTCGCTGCGAAGATCGAGACGAAACTCGAGACCGATTTCCAATGTATCTGTGCGGTTGACCTCCGAGTTCCCGAGTGCACCAGGGGCCTGCGCATCGCCATCGGAGTTGGCGGTGGCTTTAGGGGCTGCATTGAGAGCAAGACCCTTGACGTTCTTACGTTTCAACGTCCGGGCCTGGAAGGCGTCCGCCATGGCACTTTTATGGGTGCGCTGTAGCGCTGTAAACACGAGAAGAATAGAGAGAAAGATAACAAGCTTGGAAGTTCCCCCAAAGCCGATGGGATGTCAGAGGAAGCTAACCGCGGGGAAGCCGATATCACCTTCTTGGCGCTGATTGGGTCGCAAATCTATCACTCGGCGCCAAAAGGGTATCACTGTTGTAAGTTGAGCGGAATCACGTCGAGTTGCTCAGGGGAACAGGAAATGGGAATATCTTTTTTTTGTATCGGAACTACTGAGACTACTGAAACAACAGGTGTTCGGGGTGGGATCCACTAGGAGTTTTTGGGCTCAGATGGGAAGATTTACGACCAACACCTAGGACGAATGAGAGGACCAGAGAGAGATGTTGCTAAGAATAACAAAGAAAAGGAGCCCACAGAGAACATACTATCATCCTGTGAACATTCCAAGCTGTGATACTTCCGGGAGTCATGTGAGTGGTCAGCATGTGAGGCGCAACAAAGAAACACACGTGACACACTAGCCACACTACCTATACAGGACTAGTGTGACAAGCCACATAACCGGCCAATCACTGCGACCTGCGTCCTCCCTCGCCGATGGCCGCGATTCTTCCTCTGGTAACTGCTTCACTCGCTTTTCTCTCTTCCATCTCAACCCACCTTATCGAGCTCGGCGCTACCGGGTGTCGCAATAGCGCTATTGAACTGCGAATCTTTTACCCGCCGCCTGCTCAATCGGTTCTTGGTCCTGAGGAATAGGGATCGTCACCTCCGGGCAAGATGAGCCTCCGCGATATGATCGAGGGCGAAGCCCTCATGGACGATGATGAGAACGAGGAGGTTCCCGACGACTATGATGGGCAGGTCCGCGAGGGTGCCGGTACCTCCAATCACTACAATGATTCGAGCGAAGAGGACGACGAAGAAGAAGACGACGAGGAGGCTGCTCGCGCAGTAAGTTTGGCCTCGACTCGAAGCTTAATCTACTAACTAACATTCGTGTAATAGGTTCGTGAGGGCTTCATTGTCGATGAGGATGAGGAAATGGAGGAACGGCGCGCTCGCAGACAACACAAGAAACGTTCCCGCCCCCGTGAAGAAGAGCATCTGGATGATGAGGATCTGGAACTCATCGGTGAACATGTACCGGGACTTCAGCGGGGACCTGTTCAAGAGGTATGTGTGCGATATAGTCCGTGGTCGCAATTGCTAAATCTGGTCTGTTACAGTCTAAATTCAAACGTCTGAAGCGCGGCAAGGATCGCGATAGCCACCAACCTTCCCAAGGCATCGATGATATTTTCAACTCAGACGAAGAGGAGGAAGCACAGCAGTATGCCCGCCCGGGTCAGCGCCGCGGTCTGCGCGATGAGATGGACGATTTCATCGAGGAGGACACATTTTCTGACGATGAAGCCCAACGAGAACGGGACGACCTGGAAGTTGCGCCTGCTTCTCGTGTGAACAAAACCGGCCTTTTGCCGACTGATATCTCTGGTCTGGACGAGAATGCACTTGAGGATATGCGCGCTGCGTTTGGTGACGGCACTGAGTATGACTTTGCACTGCAAATGGAAGACCAGGAGGACGAAGAAAAAGAAACCGAGGAACGTCATCTAGACTTGAAGGATGTCTTTGAACCGTCCGAGCTTGCCGAACGCATGTTGACAGAGGACGACAACCAAATCCGTCTCCTCGATGAACCTGAACGACACCAGGTCGCTCGCAAACCATACCGACATGTGACGTTGACCGAGGATCAATTCCGCGAGGAAGCGCTTTGGATTTCTAACTTGATGTTGCTCAAGAAACGTCTGGATGAAGAACTTATAGAGCCCTTCCAGCGCTCTGTCGCCAAGATGCTGGAGTTCTTAATCACAGATGATTGGGAGGTTCCATTTATTTTCCAGCACCGCAAGGACTACATGATTCACGCCATCAAGGAGATGGATCATGGTGCCGATCCTGCTGATGAGTCTGCTCAATACAGCCTCCGTGCTGAAAAACTTCTTAACATGACCGATCTATGGGATATCTTCGATGCCGATCTCAAATTCCGTGCCTTGGTCGACAAGCGCAATACGATTCAAAAATCCTACCATAGTTTACAGAGTCTGTTCAATGTGAATGACTCTAACGTGGAAGATCTACTGACTGCAGCCATTACCATGGAAGAGCTTCAAGATGTGCAGGACTATATTCATTTCCAATATTCTTCACAGCTCCGTGATTTGGCACAAGTGAATGGCGAGACCAATGGAGAAACACAGCGTCGCAAAGCCACCGGAAAATCCTTCTTTGAGCGAGTCCGCAATGGCAAGGCTTATGGTCTGGTGAAGGCCTTCGGCGTCACAGCCGATGCCTTTGCTACAAACGCTTCTAAGGAAGGACGCCGGCAATACACCGAAGACCCCAGCGAACAGCCTGAGGAGTTGGCCGATCAATTTGTCGACAACGACTTTTCCAGTAGCTCTCACGTTCTCAAGGCCGCTAAATCCATGTTTGCCGAAGAGCTGGCCCTCAGCCCCAAGATGCGCAAGGTCATGCGCCGAGCATACTACATGAACGGTCTGATCGATTGTTTCCGCACAGAAAAGGGTCTACGCCGCATCGATGAGCATCACCCTTATGCGGAATTTAAATACCTACGCAATCAACAGATCCCCGATATTGCCCGTCGCCCCGAGATGTTCTTGCGCATGCTGAAGGCCGAGGAAGAAGGCCTTGTTGATGTCAAGGTTCGATTCGAGAACTTTGATCAATTCCGTTCACGGTTGTACGCCGATATTGAGTCGGACAACTACAGTGAGCTTGCTGACGCGTGGAACCGTGTTCGCCGCGATGCATTGGACTTGGCTCTCAGCAAACTTGAGAAATTGATCAACCGCAGTGTCAAAGAACACATTCGACAAGAATGTGAAAACTCCGTCGCCAGGGAGTGTCGTGAGGCTTTCTCCCAGCGTCTGGATCAGGCTCCCTACAAACCCAAGGGCATGGTGCTGGGCACAGTGCCCCGTGTTCTTACGCTGTCTACTGGATCTGGACAGGTTGGCCGTGATCCCATTCATTGGGCCTACACAGAAGAGGATGGTCGCGTGCTCGAGAACGGCAAGTTTGTTGACCTCTCGGTAGGCGACCAGAGCCGTGGTATTGCAGACGGTGATGGTGTCGCTGACTTTATGAGAGTGGTCAATCGCCGCCACCCGGATGTCATTGGAGTTTCAGGCATGACACCAGACACTCGCCGTCTTTACAAGCTCGTGTCTGAGATTGTTGAACTCAAAGACGTGCGCAGTGCTACCTACACAAATGAGGATGACGAAGAAATCAGTGACCCCTTAGACGTGGTCATCGTTAATGACGAGGTTGCTCGATTGTATCACAACAGCCCTCGTGCCAGAAGCGATAATCCTGGCTTCGGACCTCTAACCCACTACTGTGTGGCTCTTGCCCGTTACCTCCAAAGCCCACTTAAGGAATATGCTTCTCTGGGCCGTGATATTGTTTCCATTCAATTCAAACCTGGCCAGCAGCTTGTATCTCAAGACCTAATCCTCAAGCAGCTCGAGTCTGCTTTGGTGGATATGGTCAACCTGGTTGGTGTTGATCTCAACGAAGCAGTGGCCGACACAGCAACAGCCAATCTTTTGCCATATGTTTGCGGCCTCGGCCCTCGAAAGGCCGCTCATTTGCTTAAGATTGTTAACATGAACGGTGGCGTCGTTAACAACCGCGTCGAATTGCTTGGTGTCAATGCACAATACCCGGCCATGGGAGTCAAGGTCTGGAACAACTGCGCCAGTTTTGTCTATATCGACTATGAGAACGCCGACCCAGATGCCGACCCGTTGGATAACACTCGTGTGCACCCCGAAGACTACGACATTGCTCGCAAAATGGCCGCTGATGCCCTTGAATTGGACGAAGAAGATATCAAGGCCGAGACTGATGAGAACGGTACTGGGGCTATTATGCGAAAACTGTTCCGGGAAGAAGCACAGGATCGTGTCAACGATTTGATTCTGGAGGAGTACGCCGAGCAGCTTGAGAGAAACCTGAACCAGCGCAAGCGTGCTACTCTTGAGACAATTCGAGCGGAGTTGCAAAGTCCATACGAAGAATTGCGCAAGATGTTTGTCTTCCTTGGCACTGATGACATCTTTACCATGCTTACTGGTGAGACGCCTGACTCACTCACTCCTGGGATGGTTGTCCCAATTGCAATCAAGCGTGTGTTCGATGATCACATCGAGGCTAAGCTGGACTGTGGAGTTGATGTCCTTGTCTCCGAGACTGATCTTGGTGTTCCCGAACTCATCCCTGTTCGCAATGTCTACTCTGTTCACCAAGCTGTCCAAGCAAAGATAACTTACCTGAATCGCAAGACTTTCTCGTGCAATGCGTCTTTGCGCGAGGACCAGGTCAGCCACCCAGCTCGCCGCAACCAGGAACACGGCAACGGCGATTGGGATGAACTGCAAGAACGTAATGACAAACAGTCACTACAAGAAAAGACGGAGCGTAGCATCCAGGCCATGCGTGTTATCAAGCACCCGCTTTTCCACCCTTTCAACTCTACCCAGGCCGAGGAGTTCCTTGGCGCTCAGACCCTTGGCGATGTTGTGATCCGCCCGTCCTCCCGGGGCCACGACCATCTTGCAGTCACCTGGAAGGTGGCCGCAGGTGTCTACCAACACATTGACGTGCTTGAATTGGACAAGGAGAATGAGTTCTCCGTTGGCCGTGTTCTCAAGGTCGGCGGTCGGTACACCTACAGCGATCTCGATGAATTGATTGTCAACCATGTCAAGGCGATGGCCAAAAAGGTGGATGAGATGGTGCACCACGAGAAATTCAAGTCAGGCAGCAAGACTGAGACGGGTATGTTCCCTGTTCACACCCTCCTTTCGTCACTCACTAACCTTTTGCAGACCAATGGCTCGAGACCTATACCAAGGCTAACCCCCGCCGCTCGACGTATGCCTTCTGCATCAATGCCAAGTACCCAGGCTATTTTTTCCTTTGTTTCAAGGCAGGCGAACACGCTCGACTTCAGAATTGGCCGGTCAAGGTGATCCCACAAGGCTACGAACTACAGAAGAACCCTTACCCCGATATGCAGGCTCTGTGCAACGGCTTCAAGCTGATGTTCCAGAACATGAGCAAGGGAAACCGGAGATGAGTCTTTTTGTGTTGCCTGTACAGTGTACTATTGTATTTTCTCGCCATCTTTTGAAACCTTCCAGGCCAAAAAAAGGGGACTCCCACCTCAGAATTGGGCATTGCATGGACTTTCTCTTTAATTTGATACACCTATGGATTGGGAGGGCATTGGGCGTGCATGTAACCATTATTTCCTCAATGAACAACCTTGATTTTCATGTTTTGTATCATGTTTCTCGTGCTTTAGTGTAGAATACCCCAGACTGTGGCGTAAGGACACTAGGATCTACTTCCCACGTGAACCCACCAGTGTGCAGCCTCGGTTTCAACATGTTTCTTGTTTTTTTCCCCGGTCAAATCTCCGATCTCAGTAATGTGAAAGCTTCAAGCCTTGTATAGAACCTTCATTATCTTGTTTCCAAGTCTTCAAGTCTGCAAGTTCTCAAGTCAATCGTGTGGCTGGAAACTAACAAGGCTCGGCATCGAAGCCACCTTCAGCCCGCACCTCCGGACCGCGACGGCTGTACACATCGCTGAGGCTCTTTCAACCCTTCTGCGCAATCATGGCGGCCATGGAGGAGCTGGAAATTCACAGCAAGGTATGAAAGATGGCTTGCAGAATCTCCCAATCTTGCTAATTTCGTGATAGTCTTACTTTGTTCGCTGGATTAACGTCAACGCCAACCACACCATCTCGTGGAGCATTCAACCGCACAAGAAGTCCGTCAACTTCGGCATCTTCAAACACCCAGGCCAGACATCCTCACTGGGCTCTGTCCTTCCGGCCTCTGACTCCCAGAGCACCGATTCAACCGAGAACCTCCCCGCAACCGCCGCAAATCCCAGCCGCAACCAACAATCCGCTGTTATTGACAAGCTGACCGGCATTGGGCTCAAACAGATCAAATGGACTGGCAAATGCGAGGCAGACAAGATCACCCAGGGAACATACGATGTGCCCAATAGTGAGAGCGGCAACTACGCGCTCGTCTTTGACAATACCTTCTCTAAACAAATCTCCAAGACCCTGACACTTGTCCTTCTCACCTACCCGACGGGCCAGCCCCCGCACAGCTCTGTCTCCAATACACTTCCGCGCTCGCAAACTGGTGCATCGACCGACTCGCTGCCACAGCCTAAGACCCGCCGCCGCGGAAACAGCCGCGCCACACTCAACGGACAACAAGAGTTATCAAACGCGAGTGTGCACACGGGACTGCTGCAGAAGCGACGAAGAAAGCGCCACCAGGGCTGGGCACGTCGCTTCTTTTCTTTGGATTTTGCTTCCTGCACCCTGTCATACTATCATGACCGTAACTCGGCCGCCTTGCGAGGCGCGATCCCCCTCTCGCTAGCGGCCGTCGCGACCAACGAGAAATCGCGTGAGATATCCATCGACTCTGGCACCGAGATCTGGCATCTTCGTGCTAGTGATGAGCAAGGCTTTATTGCCTGGAAGCATGCTCTGGAGAGAGCTTCTTCTAAAGATGCTCAGAAAGCTAGCAATGCCAGCTTGGCTGCCCCCCCAGAGTTGCGTCTGCATGCACCAACGCATCCTGACCCAGCAGAGGAACGCGAATGGACCCGTGTTGAGAGTTTGGTCAGCCATATTTCTGGATCTCGGGATGCTGTGCGTCGCTTGGCTAAAGATACGGATCCCAAATATATGACTTCGCCTGTCCCGGCTGCTGGTGTTGACCGACCCAAGTCTCGTGGTCGGTCGCCCAGTCCCCAGCCTAGCTCTCATGATGCAACTCCCAGTGATGAGCCTAGACGCCCTTTTTGGAAACGCAAGACAAGTGGGCAGTCGCATGCTAGTGGTCGGCGTCCAAATGCTGTGACATCTAACTCTAGTTCCTCGCAGCTTGTCGTACCTCCTACAGATGGGAAGGGAAGGCCTGCTAGTATCCATAGTCATACAGATCAGATGGACGATATCCACGATAATCTGATGGCTGTACTGCGGGATCTTGATACTGCTGTTTCGGAATTCTCTACGTTGATTGCTGAGAGCAAAGAGCGACGGCACCCGCCTCGGCTGTCCATCATTCCACGGCGAAGTATGGAGTCGGATATCTCGCAAGAGTTCTTTGATGCAACGGATGGAGGTGGTGACCGATCTCCCCTCTTGACCATCCAAGACAGCGACGATGAATGCCCCGAGGAAGACCGACCTGCACCTCCAGCCGAGGAAGTCGAAGACGATGCTCCATCCGACAGTGATGGTGAATCCGACACTCGACAGGAGAGCAGCAGTGGTCTCTTCCCGATCAAGCCCAAGTCCCTGATCCCGCTCCCTCTGGACCCCATAAAGCGTCGCGCCAACATCCTCGCTCCAACGGTCATGCCACCAAGCTTGATCGGCTTCCTGCGCAAGAATGTCGGCAAGGATCTATCAACTATCTCCATGCCAGTCTCCGCCAACGAGCCCATGTCCCTCCTACAACGCGCAGCAGAGATCCTCGAATACTCCTCTCTCCTCGACAAAGCAAGCCAATCATCAGACGCAACCGAGCGCCTAATGTACGTCACGGCCTTCGCCCTCTCCTCTATCTCAAGCAACCGCGTCCGCGAACGCTCAATCCGCAAACCTTTCAACCCAATGCTAGGCGAGACATACGAGCTCGTCCGTGAAGACCGCGGCTTCCGCTTCATAGCAGAGAAAGTCTCGCACCGCCCCGTCCAACTCGCCTACCAAGCCGACAGCAAAGAATGGTCCCTCAGCCAGTCCCCACTCCCTAGCCAGAAATTCTGGGGTAAATCCGCCGAAATCACAACCGAAGGCCGCGTCCGCGTCACCCTCCACGCAACAGGCGACCGCTACAGCTGGACCCCGGCAACATCCTTCCTGCGCAACATCATCGCAGGCGAGAAATACGTCGAGCCCGTCGGCGAACTGGCCGTTATGAATGAATCCTCTGGCCACCGCACTATCTCGACCTTCAAGGCTGGCGGTATGTTCTCTGGCCGCAGCGAGGAGGTCTCCACCCGCACCGTCGACGCCCATAATAAACCCCTCCCGCTTGGTCTGTCGGGTACATGGCCTTCCTCGTTGACACTGACCCGCGATGGAAACCCTACTGGTAATACCGTCTGGACTGCCGGCACCCTGGTTCCATCTGCGCCTAAGCACTACGGATTGACATCCTTCGCGGCCGCGCTGAATGAGATCACTACGATTGAGGAGGGTCATCTTCCTGCCACGGACTCTCGTCTCCGTCCTGATCAGCGGGCTTTGGAGGATGGGGATCTGGATCGTGCGGAGGAGGTCAAGGTGCAGCTTGAAGAGGGTCAGCGTGCACGTAGACGTGAGATGGAGGATGCCGGTGAGGCTTGGGTTCCGCGCTGGTTTACGCGGATTGGGGGTGAGGGTGAGTCGGATGAGGCCTCTTGGAGGTTGAAGGGTGGGAAGGATGGGTATTGGGAGGAGAGAGCTAAGGGCAGCTGGACAAATGTTGTGCCTGTTTTTGAATAGACTAGATTTGGTCTTTTTTTTTGTGGTTGTTTGGGATCCTCACGCTGATGAGAGTCATGGTCATGGTGAATGAATGTTTCGTGGTTCTATAGTATACTCTTTGCGTGCAAATTCGTTGATCTTCACTCTGAGGTTGGGATTGGGCAGGACCTTCTGCACTTATAGAGATGAATCATGACTTTTTTTGGTGTCTTTTAGTATATACTCTACGGTTGTAGCTGTTCGTCATTGGGAATTATAATGGGCAAAAGCAAATTGAATATCATTGAAGTATGCACAAGTTCAAGCGTTGACGTTGGAGCGTCGAAAAATATCAAGTCAAGTCATGCTTGAATAAGAAAACAATGCAATAATAGCAACAAAACAAGGAAAATAATAGAATATGACTCAAAGGAGAAGAACAAGAACAAGGACAACAACAAAGGGAGCCGTAGCACGCAAAGACTATGAAGCGGTTTTCAAACAAAAAAATACTGTCTGTGCAAAGTGAAAATCATTCCACCCAGAGTATAACCATAACAGTCGTAGTATCGACCCAGGTATCCCATTTTTATTTACTCATCGTCGTCATCTGAATGCTGAGCAGCCCAGCGGCGCGAGTTACGCTGCTTAGCGGCCTTTCGCGCACCCTGACGATCATTCGATCCAGAGCCCTGCTCTGGCATACGCATCATAACAGGGAGACTGTCGAGAACAGCTCGGTTACCCTGGAAATAGTGCTCAGCAAAGCCACCCTGGAGAACGCGACGCAAAGCAGTCAATCGAATCCATTTCCACCAGCGGTCGATGCTCATGATGCCATGGCGGCCGATCTTGACGGTGAGAGTGCTGCCGTAGTGGCGGTTGGTGTCTTGATCGATGGCTGTGTTGTAGCGTGGCCCACGACGTGGGTTTTCGACGGTCGTTAAAATCGAGGCGAAATTGCTGTGCAGGGACTTTTTGTCGCGCTTGCTGATGCGCTTGTGATGGATTGTGGCCAGGTTTTGAAGTTGGCTTTCCAACTCGGGAGTGTTATGGTAAGCGTTGTAGCGCTTCACTAGCTTCGGGCCGGGAGTATTGTCTTCTTCCTGATCGTCGCTTTCTTCCGAGTCACCGCTTTCCTCATCATCATCGTCCTCTTGAGGGGTGTAGCTCTTTTCGTAGAGAAGGGCAATATTCTCGCCAGCTGCGATCTGGACGTTGGAGTCGGCGCTATCAAGCTGATCCATAAAGATTTGAACAGCCTCTTCGCTCTCGCTTTCATAGTCATCAATCTCGGTTGCGAGGAATCCCCATTGTTGGATTGCAGCAGTCACAACAGTGGGGTCGTCGGTGGCTTCGATAGATTGACCATCAGAGGCAATGATGTCCAGGAGGAAGGTCATCTGTTCAAGAATGCCACCATCACCAGCGCCTCCGAAAATAGTACTTGCGCCTAGAGCGTGGATAGCAGCTGTCTTGACAACAGGAGAAGTAGCATCTCGGATGGTGCGAGTGAGCAAAGGCTCAGCATTCTCGAAAATGGTGTTGTCAAATGCTGATAGAGCGAGCAGTTCAATCGCACGCAGAGCAAGGGTTGCTTCACGCGTACTGACTTCAGTGCGAACGCTGCGAGCGAACGCAGCTAGAAGATCAGGGACAGCGCCATTGAGTTCTTCCACTGTGTAGTGGTATTTAGTCAAACGGTTGAAAGCCTGCAAGGCCTCCTCGCGGCCTTGAACACTGCTGCGCTTCCGGTCGAGGATTTCTTGAATGCGATCACCGAGCTCCTGCTCCCAGTCGGGGTTTTCTGTCTCGGGGTTCTCATCGTCGAGAGAGCCAATACTGTTCCGTACTTAGTTAGCGCCGTTGCTTGCAAAAGTTCCCGACATCATTGGTAGTGACATCATCCCGCCACGGGAGTGGGGGCATGTGAATATAGCTTGGAATGCACACACAAAAAAAGTGCGCGGGGGAAGGGTAGAGAGAAACAGGGGGGATCGTACCTCATAGCAGTGTCGTCAGATGTAAATCCAGAGTCTTCTTCGTCCGAGGGTTGTCTGCTAGCATTTCGAGAACCCTGGCGAGAGGTCTGCTTAGAGCCAGCACGAGAACCGTTGCGGGATGCTTCACGGGAGGCTGCTTTGCGTGAGACAGTCTTGCCGCTCTCAAAGATTTGGCGACGAAGATCAGGCATGTTGGAGATAGTCAAGAAATAGGTGTTTGAAGAAAAGTCCTCGGAGGCCGAGGTGTAGATGTGAAGTCGAAGTAATCGATAAGCCGATAAGAAAAAAGAAGTGCGCGTTAACCTATAGGAACCGGGCAGTAATCAAGTGAGAAGGAGATGATTAAAGTAATGGGCATGATCTCAAGAAGGGTCGAGTATGAAGAAAAGAGAAAGGAAGAGAGTTCAACGGAGACTCCCCTTCTTAAGGCGCCCGTGACTGAGTATGTAATCGATGAGCATTGGAGAACTCTCTATAGATTCCACCAATGGAAAAGTGATACTATTTCCGTTTGTTATTCAGAGATTTTCTACTGTTCTTATTGACTGAAACTGACATTCCACTTTGGCTGCCTAAGCACATTATCAAATGCAGCTCTGTGGTTGGTCGACTAGATGATCGTGGGCCATTGATATCATATGGAGAAGACGCTCGAAGGCCCGCGTACAATGTGAACAATTGCCTATTCCCTTTTTGATTGTTTGGGTATCATTATCATACTTTCTATTGTTGCGCAACCACCAGCTCAATGATTCGTCGTGCCTTGACACCCTCTAGGTACTCACGACCTTCTTGGCGCCATTCATCCTCCTCATCCTCGTCATCTCCAACCTCCAGATCCACCTGTTGACTGGCTTCGTAGGCACTCTTGACTGTGTCTTCGTCCACACGAACACTGTTCTGTACCAAAACCCGAATGCACTGTGTCAACCGCGCAATTTCGCGGCGGGTCTGTGGTGAGATATCGTCGTTCTGGCTAGAGTAGATCGAGCTCGAGACCATCTCTTCCATGCGAGTGATAGCAACACTATCCGTGGTCGAAGATGCAGCGTCCGTACCTTCAACATGCTTGTAAATGTAAATGTACCCGTTGACACCAAGAATAATATCCACTTCGCCGCCACCGTTGGAACAGGTGATAGTAAACATTTGTCGTCGTGACCGCACCACGCCACCGGTAGCAGAGCCTCCAGGCGCGCTAAGAGCGCTACCTGCAACAGGCCCAGCTCCATGACCACCCTTCGTACTGGAGCCGGATGCTCCACCACCTCCGGTTCCTGTCACGGCAAGGAAGATACCGTTGCGCAGCTTTCCGTACTTCACAGATCTGGTATGTAGTGAGGCAGAGCCATCTTGATGCACACTCTGCACTTCGGCCATCACAAGATCGCCCTCGCTGAAGAATGTGCGGATCTGAAGTTCATCGGCAGTAGTTCGGCGGCGCAGAATTCCACCGGGCAAGTTGATTGCGGACAGAGGGAGCTGAGCGAGTAGTGGTGCAGCAATATCTACCTTCCACCGCCGCGATTGCACTTCGACAATGCGACCAACGACCAAATCTCCAATCTCGGGGGTGTAGCGGGCGCGCATAGGCTGTACGGAGAGTAGCTTATTCGTTTTCTGGACTGTACCAGCGACAGTGGCAATGATGGATGTTGAGAGCGGGTTCATGAACGTGCCGTGACCTCTACAGATTGTTAGTGTTGCTCTCCGGGAAAAAAAAGTTGAGGTTTGAACCCCGCAGGTCACGAAGTCTTGATTTCCTGTAAAATACGAACCTCATCCATTGCGGATCATCTGTGACCACTTCTCCTGGTGTGACAATTCCTGTGCCGATCTTGGACTCTCCTTGTACGTGGGATCGCTTGTTGGGCAGAGAGACGCCGCCCATTTCAACATCTTCATCAGAGTCCACTGACATAGAGTCATCGGATTCAGCTTGGTAAGGACCGAGGTCCTCTACCACGGGAGGTAGAATGGTAATTGGCATTGCGAAATATGGTGATTCTGTATCTCAGAATGTGAGTGGAGTGTCGGAGACAAGCTCTGAGAAGAAAAGATGGTCACATGACTACTCCACCTTACATCTACAGTAGCTTTGCTTTTGATAGTTCGTTGGAGTAAAAGATAGAAGAATGAATTATTGTTTAATTCTTTCCGTTATGATTGGTATGCCTCAATATTTTTAAATGCAAATGGTCCTTACCAAGCCAGTAAAATCAAACCCAACGCCCATAGTAATACACATTGATCCCATTCCGCAGCGCCGACTCTCAGGGTTTCTTGGCAGCTTTGTTAGGAGTCGAAGTGGGCTCTTCTTTCTTCTTTTTGGATCGGCTACTGCCACCCTTGGGTCGATATCCCGTGTCTTCGTCACGCTTGCGCTTGTTCTTGGGAGTAGGTGCATCAATCCCATCTTCGTCATAGATATCCTCATCTTTGCGTTGAGCTGGTGCGCGCTTGGAAGCACGCTGGTTAGAAGGACGCGAGGCGGACTTTTCGGAGGCGGCCTCATTATCCTGCAGTGCCTGTGGTTGGTTGCGTCGTAGCCAATTGTAGACCGACGCGGTGTTCCGAATGGAGGCGTCGCGCTCACGCTCTGCAAGTGTGGGACGATCTGGAATGCGCGCAAGCTGCTGGGCAGCTGCCTCATCTCCGAGTTTCGCGTCCAAGGCCAAATAGTACTCAGTTTCGTGATCGGGAGCAAAGTAACCGAGCTTGCGGTCGGTAGAGTCGCTTACAGCCTTGAGGGCGTCTGCATTAAGTTGATGGGACTTGGACAATGTGCTGTAGTGGTTGGCTGGGGCAAATGCTTTGTTCCGTTTGATGCTTTCTTCGACGCTACGGTAAGCATCCGCATTGATCCTGCCCTCGGCCAAAGCAGCCTTGGCTTCCTTCCATGTTGTCTTGGCCAGTGTTGCATCGTTGACCAAAGGCGCAATTTCCTGCTCGGGATTTGGCAGCGAAGGAGGGTCGTCCGGCAGGCTCAGTTCGAATCGCACATCAGGTGGAATATGAAGACTTTCATTGAACTCGAGAAGAACCTCGAGCAGTTGACTGGAATGGATGGTTAATAACAGCTCATACAGACCTGTGGAGTACCTACTCGTTTTGTTCCTTGATGCGATTAGACAAATCCTCGATGCGCAGCCCCTCTTTGATCAAGTGATCATTATCGCGAGTTCCGAATTCGAACTTGACCTTGAGCTTGGCGTATTTTTTCCTGTAGAGACAGGTCAGCTTCATACCCAGGGCCTGGTTTGCTTAGGATCACGTACTTGAACGACCGAACCGACTTCTTAGCTGGAGCCGGTGCATCCGGTAGGGTTTCCATGACTGGCTGGGCTTGGTTTGGCTCCATTGTGAAGAGTAAACGGGGTAAAAGAGAGATGAGATGGTGAAGGGGATGTTCACCCTGCGATGCCAAGACACGGAGTGCGGACTGCGTGGGAGGCGGTTCCGGACCGCCGTAAAAAATTTAATTATCGCCGATCTGATTTCCTGCACTCTCGTGGTCTGAGAGTACTGACTTTGAGGTGAATTTTGGGTCACTTTGCGGTTAGTTCACAATGTCTGAAGTCACTGATCCCAGTCTGAAGAAGCGCAAGCTGCAGGAAGGTCCTGAGCTTGAAATTGATGTGTCTGCACCAGAGCCACCCTCGAAGAAGGCTTTGCGTAGAGCAAAGAAGGGCAAGAGTGATGCAACTGATGGTGAAGAGGCCAAGGCCAAGTCTGAACCCAAGGCCGATAAAGAAAGTACCCAGGACAAGCGTTCCGAGTATGGCGTGTGGATTGGAAACCTGTCTTTCAATGTGACCAAAGACGATCTGCGCCGATTCTTTACCGACGATACCTCCATTGAAGACGCTACCATCACTCGCATTCACCTTCCTAAGGGTCCTGAAAAGTTCGGGCGCTCTCAGAACAGAGGCTTCGCTTATGTCGACTTCACCAGCAAGAAGGCTTTGCAGGAGGCGATTGGCCTCAGCGAGCAGCTTATGACCGGCCGCCGCGTACTTATCAAGGACGCAAAGAGCTATGAAGGCCGCCCTGCTAAGTCTGAGACCCAAGGAACCGGCGCGGATGCCTCCAAGTCGGGCCACCCTCCTTCCAAGCGACTGTTCGTCGGCAACCTCAGTTTCGATGTGACCAAGGAAAACCTCGAAGAAAACTTCTCTCGCTGCGGAACGGTCACCAACGTGCACATGGCAACTTTCCAGGACACAGGAAAATGCAAGGGATATGCGTGGGTGGAGTTTGAAGAGCTCGCCGCCGCTGAAGCAGCGGTGAGAGGATTCACACTCATCAAGGAGGAAGACGAGGAATCAGACTCATCTTCCGAGAGCGAGAGCGACGCTGCCACTGAGAAGAAGTCTAAGAAGACAAGGAAGCCCAGGATGCGCAGAGTGTGGGTCAACCAGCTCATGGGCCGCCGCATGAGAATGGAGTTTGCAGAGGATGCCTCTACACGATACAAGAAGCGCTTTGGAAAGGACGCCGAGAAGAAGGATGGACCCGCTATCACAGAAGTTGACGGCGAATCACGAGAGAAGCCCCGACACCAGAAGAAGAGACGTCCTTCTATCGACGAGTCTCGTTATTCCAAGGAGACCGTGCAAAAGCTCAGCGGTGCCATTGTCGAAGCCCAAGGTCAAAAGACTACATTCGACTAGATCTCATGTTTTGCGGTGGATGATTTGCGATCTTTTTTTTCCTTCTCGATGTATGACCATTTGAACCAGGTCTTTCCACATGTTGTATACTCTATTCTTACCGGATATCTAAAAGTCTGATCCCTGTCCATGATCTGCTATTTGTACCCTGCATTCTGAGCTGGCCTTGATTTCACCTCTTTATTGTATGCCTTATGATTCAACAGCCGCATCACCCCTAACGGTAGACGTTGGAGATCTTATCAAGTGGTGGCACAGTTTGTAGATGCGCGGAGAAGAGGCAGATATACTTCCGGATCCGCATATCACAACGTCCAACCCGCATAGAAATTAACTTCGAGTCTGACATACGCTGTCAAAGAAACGCACCATCAGGGCACTAGTATCGGTCTAGAGGAGACTCGGCATCGAAATGGAACTAAAAAATAAGTAAACAAATTCTAGACCCATTCTTGGCAGAACCAGCCTCACCGCCTGGGCTAGGCCCGATCAGGCCTGACGTCTCTCGCGATGTCATGCCCTTCTTCATCGACTCTCTGTGCTTCTCACTCTTGGGCTGCTCCTTCTTACCCCTTGCTCTTCTCTTTTTCTTCTTTTTCTTCTCTTATTCATACCGGTACATCTTGTTGCACAAGGTGTTCATTTCATTTCTTTAACTTGATCTAATTTGTTGTTTTGTTTCATTTCCATTTACCTGGGTATCGTTTCCTTGCTCAGCCCGGGTTGGCCCTCACCCAGACCCGTTCTCTTTTCTTCAGCCGGCACCCGTCCCGATCACCTGGTCTCGAGGTAAATCTTTACCAGCAGGGAACATTTGAACCATCTCAACATCCACTATCCCTTGTATTCCAGCATGGCTCCTGCTCGACGTCATATCGGGACTAGCCGCAGAAAGAGACGGGACGATGATGGCGAAGATGAGGGCTCAATGGCTGGAGATCTGGGGGAGGACTCTCTGAGTGAAGGCTCGGCCGACAGTCACCAAGAGGATGAAGATGCAGATGCAGAGGGTAGTGAGGAAAGCGAGGGAGAGGTGGCCCCGTCAGTCAACGGCAAACAAGTCAACGGTCGTCGGGACAAGTCGACGCGGCACAAGTCTACATCACCCGAGAAGCGAGGGCCCAAGACAACGGTTTCGGATACTGAGGCGATGATGAACGGACTGAAGGTTTCAGATGCTGCTAATGATGCTGATGTCAACTTCGATCAACCAGAGGAGAGAACGCCCTCTGCTCCTCCCACCGAACCGAAGCGAGATCACTTGGCTGCAAGGAAGCGTCGCGAGAATGACAAGTATGTGAAGGAGCGTGACCAAAACCCGGCTTTTGTCCCCACTCGAGGCAGCTTCTTCCTTCACGACAAACGATCCGCCGAAGCGGGCACTAACGGTCACCGGCCTTTCAACAAGAGCAAGTCCCGTCCATATGGTCTGATCGTGGACGGAAACTCTCGCAGGTATGTAATTTTCTACGCAAGGGTAGTGAAGCACTAACTAACGGACCTAGGCCTTCAAAGTCCGATGCCAGTGGAGGGCAGTGGGCACACGACCTCCACGACACCGTGGCAGACGATCGACCTGCTGCTGCGCCGAAACGACCAACGCCGTCCGTGGGACAACCTGTGCCTACCGCCCCGAGATCCACACCGCCGAACCGATCATTCTCGAGCACAACGTTGGTTGGAAATGTGCCGGTGGTTGTCTCCTTGCCTGGAATGGCCAACCCCGTCCAATTTGTGACTGAGAAGAGGCTCCACACTCGACTGCCTCAGCATCGGCCTCCCTTGAGACGCGATAAGCCGGTCCGAATCTCTCTTCCCAATCAGGCTCCACGGTACATCTTCCCCTCAGTGGAGCGCTCGTTCATCTTCATCCCTCGCGCATTGCGGCCGAACCAGAGCTACCGTGGTCGCGGTCGTGGTGGTGGGTTCTACGGTGGGCGTCGTCCAAGCTATTATCCAACCTCATCGTACACTCCGAGTTTGGTGAGCCGTCGGTCTTCACTGGGTCAGGATGGGTGGCCGTCGCCAGCAGGATCCACCTACTCCAGACCCATGATCCCCACTGAGCCCAAACCCATTGTTCGCATGCCCCCGCCAAGTCGCCCACCTATGGGGCTCCCACCTTTTGGGGCTCTCCCTGCTGGACCCATGGCCATGCCACTCCCTCACCCCGCATATCGGGAAAGCCGCCCCGCTCCGATCCCGATGCATCAACCCCGTCCCCAAAAGACGGTCTCTGTGGCTGACATTGAGAGTCCGGCTACTTTCCCATTCCCATTAAATCCCCCTCAGCCACAGCAAGAACAGCCCTTCCACCACCAGGTTCCTGTCATGCACCCCGACGGTGGAGGCCCACCTAGCCAACCCTCTGCCACCCCACTCTCCCAGATCCCGGAGCGAGCGATCCACGCTGCGCCTTTTCAGCCCTACACATACCAACAACCTGGTTTCTACCCCCCGAGCTATCCTCCGGGTGGAGGCATGTACTACCCGACCTCGGGCCCCGACTATTACACTGGACCGGTAGGGCCCGGTGCATCTGTGCCGAGTTTCCCGGGACAGCAAGCGCCCTACTCAGCAGGCGAGCAGTCATCTCAACCTGGAACCGTTGCCCATGAATCCAACGGTACTGTCTACTTCTACGATGCCAATCAGATGTACCCTGGATCAGGCTACAATGGACCGGCACCACCGGGACCCGGATCTGGACCTGGTGGTGTGGTTGGCATGGGTGGGATGATGACGCCCCCTGGTACTACTTTCTACTACCCGCAGCAACAGTCCGGGTACTACGGTCAATGATCGACGATATCAATTTCCTTTTGACTCCAGCTTCACTTCGGATTTGGTTTTCCTTTCTTCACACCTTTTGCATTTATTTTCTCATTTTTGTGAATCTCTTGATCAACAGGGGTCCTCAATTTTCATTTCTTTCTGCTCTCTCTCATTTCTTCTTTTTCTTTTTCGTCTTCCAGCCACATTCATTAGCATGACTTTGTTTTTTTTCTATCCTAATCTTTCTGGTTTTCATGGTATTTGCGACATGACTCATTGGGGCCCTTGTTAGATCTGGATTATTGATGCATTTAAGCGTTTCCCTCTTCATGTCTCCCACTCCTCACAGTACCCTCACGGTACGATCACGCTAGGCTCCAACACTTGGTCTAGCCTCCTGCCCAATCGGGATACCCAATCTCATTCTTCACCTATAACTTCATTTTTTTTTTTTCTAAATGTTGTTCAACCTCGGCTTTTTGACAATAAAAGTAATTGCAAAGTCATGTATACTGGGTCTTGTGTTCACCATTGTTAGCTGTCATCTGTCACCCGATGTAGAGTGATGTAGAACATAGCTTCCATTGGTTTGAGATTGTGCTGGGAGGGTCGCATTAGTGCTGTTTTGTATGGTCCCATTAGAGTCGACAGCCCACACTGTGGTAGTCGGCAAGGGCGGATTCTCATCACAGTATGACCCGACCGAAACCGTGAAGTGCCATTGCTGTCATACCATGCAATTTGAGCCCAGAATCGACAACAGAGCGAGCCAGGCAGATTGGCACAGCAACCTTGCAGCGTACTCGGACCAAGGGATCGAACAGGTATCGATGATATTGTGGTTGCCTGGGTTTGATAGAAGCTCTATTCTGAAAGAAAATCCTTGCTTGTGTTTGAGTGGCTTGTTGGAGTGGCAACTCTCCTGGTCTCCCCTGTCTCCCCTGGTCGATCGTAGGCATCTCAATACAAGTCGAGGCTATGCACTTCCTTATCTATCGCATTTCAGTCAAGCCTTCGCCCAATGGGCCAGGCATTTCCAGGCCGAATGCACCCCCCTATTTTTAGGGTGCAGAGTGACGTCCGGTTGCCAATGGGCTGGGCTTGGACGGGGTGATACTTCCGGGGAATATACCGGGGTGAAGATGTGCATCTTGAGGAGGAAGTACTCCGTACACAGCCCCCTCTGTCGGGGATAATCCAGTCGATATTTTGGACTCACGTCTACTGGGTCGAAAGTGGGCAAATGCCGTTTATAGATCCCGTTGAGGATCTTCCCACTGTCGATCGACATGAGGTATTCCCAGGTTTCCCGTAGTTCGCCAGTTCGCCAGTTCCCCCTCATCTCTTCCCCACAGACATGATGTGCATGAATCTAGCCCTCCACCTCCATCATCTGTCGTCCTCCAATCGGGCGAATCAATCCCGGTCAGCAATCGGTTTCCATGACCTCATGCAGTGATGTGTCCTGTTTCCCATGACACGAGTCGCAGTAATTTGGAACCCCCGGCTTTGACGCCATATTAGGTAATCGCCTCCTCACCGCCTCACCGCCCTCTGGAGGCAGCTGACCGTCTCTCTCCGCTTTTTCCCTTCAATTCGATGCTTGTACAACTACTCCTCTTCTGCTTTCTATCTTCATCTCCATCTTCTTCTTTTTCTTCCTTTTGCATCAACGTATTCCCCCCTATTTCCTCATTAGTGACTTGTCACTGTCTGTCTCCCTCTCTCTAGCCACTATTGTCTTATCTCCACTAGTGCCCTTTGGTCATCCACCCTTGGATAGAGAGGGAGCTTCACATCATGGCCACTCCATCCTCTCCATCGAATCCGGGCCTGGACCAGCTGGTTACCGTCAAGGTTCTCTATAACGACAGTAACCGTCGCTTCAAACTCCCGCTGAAGGAGCTCAAGGCTCAGGTGTTCCCTCAAACGGTATGTCTCCACTCTAGCTCTGACCGGACTTCTACTCCGACTCCATCCTTATCACCGATCCTCATTTCAAGCAAGCCCGAACACATCTACCTCCCACTCCTATCATGATTCAATAACAAAACACATCATCTGGCAAGATAAGGGAATGAACTGATGTTTTTGGACTAGCTCCGAACCCTCCTCGGCGTTCCGGCGGATGTCAACGTCATTCTTGAACGCTATTCCGACAGTGCTGGCTCCTACATTCGCCTGGACTGTGACAACATCGCAGTTTACAAACAACTCTATCGAGCTGCCAAGGCAAAGTCTAAGCTCAGAATTAAGGTCACAAAGGTCACTGTCCCCAGTCCCACCGTCACAGAGCCCGAGATGTCCTCGGAGCCCTCGGCCCCGGCCGAAGAGCCCTCTGTGTTAGAGCAGCCTCGAAACAGCTTCCTAGACACTGTCCTGACTCCGGCCTATCAGGAGGCTCACATCAAGAGTGTTGTTCTTCTCAACACAAGTCAACCTCCCAAGGAGCTTCCTATTGGTCAGCCTCGTTTGCGCAACTTCGAGTTGGATGAAGAGAAGCACCACTTCCCTCTTGTCTCTCACAACTCCGTAAATGGAATGTTTTGCATCGACTGCAACAACTGTGGTCGCTCTATTGCAAACGAGCACTACCACTGTAGTATTTGTGAGAACGGCGACTACGACATGTGCCCACGCTGTGTCACAGACGGAGCCTCCTGCAACGGCGATGGTCACTGGCTGATCAAGAGATTCGTTCAGGATGGCGTTGTTACTAACAGCACCACCGAGACTATTGCTCCTCGCCCTCAGTTTCCAGCCAAGTCTGAGGTGATTACCAAGCCTCACGTCCCCCTGAAGACTGAGCTTGTCCAGACCCAGCCTCTACCCGAAACTATCCCTGAGCCGGTTCTCAAGTTGGATGTAAAGCCTGTGGACTCCTTGGATGCTGCAGTCCAGGGCGAAGAGAAGCCCATGTGCAATGGCTGCTGTCGTGAGGCTGATGGCAGCTATCTTGTCCGCTGCAACGACTGCGAAGACTACGACTTGTGCCTTCGTTGTCTTCTTAGGAACAAGCATGGTCACCATCCTGGCCACACCTTCCACCTTGGCTCTGACCGCAACTTCTCCTTGAAAGATCTGATCACTTCTCGCTGTCTTCCTGGTCGTCAATTCCGCCACGCCGCTGTCTGCGACGGTTGTGATAAGCGCATTGTTGGCGTTCGTCACAAGTGCTTGGCTTGCCCCGACTGGGACTTCTGCCCTGAGTGCATTGCTACAGCACCTGAGAACCACCCTGGCCACCGCTTCGTCAAGGTTTATGATGCTATTGGTGAGGCTCCTCGTGAACACGAAATCCACTATGGCATCTTCTGCGATGGTCCTTTGTGCAAGAACAAGCCTGCCCAAAGCTACATCAGCGGGGTTCGCTACAAGTGTGCTGTCTGTGATGACTGCGACTTCTGTGCCAGTTGCGAATCTCTCCCAACTGACCACCACAACCGCACTCACCCACTGGTCAAGTTTAAGACCCCTGTCCGCAGCGTAACTGTGAGCACCCTGGGTGATGACGGCTCCAAGGGAGCACTTGCCCTCGGCGATCGTTGCCAAAGCCACCGTTGGGAAAACACTGCCGTTGATGAGCAGGAGCCTGTTGAAGTGGCTGCCAAATCCGTGGAGATGCCCAAGCCCTTCAAGCCCGAGGCCGAAGCTGCCTCCATTACACAAGATTATAATGCAGAGTTCCTCAAGGATACTATTGAGGATGGCACAACTATGAAGCCAGGCAATGTCTTCTCACAGACTTGGACTCTGGTCAACAACGGCCATGCCGCATGGCCCGTTGGCTGTGACGTACGCTACGTTGGCGGAGACGCCATGTTCGATGTCGACACCACCCACCCCTCCGACACCATGTCCCTCTACTCGGCACAACAGAGCAACAAGCTGTTCGCCCCTGTGGAGCCCGGTCAATCGGCCGAGTTCACTGTGAACCTTCGCGCCCCCGAGCGGGAGTGCAAGGTCACTTCTTACTGGCGGTTGAAGCTCCCCAACGGCATGGCTGTTGGTCACAGCCTGTGGTGTGAGATCCAGGTGCAGGAGCCTGTTTCCGCCGTGACCGAGGAATCTCCGGTGTCCGAGATTGGCGGAAGTGGCATGATCTTCCCCAAGCTCGAGAAGGAATCCCCCGAGTCCAGCACCATTCAAGAGGCCCCTGCTCCCCAGGCTCCCAGTCTCTCTAACTCCTCCGAAGCTGATGTGGAGGATGTTGAAAGCCTGGCTCTTGACGATGTCAGCACCGACGCTGGCTTCCTGACCGACGAGGAATACGACGTCCTCGACGCCAGCGACCAAGAGTTCTTGGAGGCCCAGGAGTCTGCGCACTAGGACAATTTGCGGAGGACAATATTTGAAAACAGTATCACGACACGTTATGGAATCGGGAATTTGCACAAGTGCAATCACTTTTTATTTGGATTAAATTTTTTCTTTCTTTTCGGATTTGCACCTAGTCACTCCACTCATGACTAGCTCATTAATGATGTTTTGGTTGGAAACGAAGCAAACCTCACAAAAACATGTATCATTTTCCATTTTCATAGGATAGTTGCCATATTCAATTGCTTCAATTGCTTCCTTCTTGTTCCTCTCTCCACTTCCCCCCCCCACGGTCCGATGATCCTTTCTCCATTCTTTCTGATACACACCAGTCGACCCGAGGCTCGATTATTAATTCTCCAACCTCCCCTCAGGTACCCGGAGTGTACTCACTTTTCTTTCAATCCGAGTCCTCTCTCTCCAATCCAAAATGGCCCTCCTCAAATCCCTCTCCTTAGCAACCCTCTTCGCCCTCCTCTCCCTCCTCTCAGGCCCAATCCTCCACATAGTCCGCATCGGAGGCGTCTTCCACACCCCCAACCCCACAATCCTCTCCAAAGACCAAGGCCCAATCTATATCGACGACACCGTCCATTGCGAAGATGTCCACCACTATAAGCCTGCCAATCTCCTCTTCACGGCCTGTGAGGATACTAAGAGTACGCGCTTTGCTTGGTTCCCGCCCTTGGGGCATCTGATTCCTGCTACTACCAGTGGCTCTATTCATATTGTCGATCCCGTGGTGAGTTGTTGCTCTTTTTTTACCTTGTCTTTTTCACATACATGCTCAATCATGTCTGTGTCTGTGTCTGTGTCTGTGTCTGTATTTGTTTGTGGTTTTGTGTCTGTCCAATCTAACCATCATGATTATAGACTATGAAATCGACTCGCTTGCAATTTACCAATTTCAAGGGTCCGTTCGTGACGCATGGCATTGACGTCATACAAGACTCGAAGTATGAACATGAACATGCAGATACAGATGCAGTCTATATCTTCGCAGTCAACCATCTCCCCAACCCGGCTTATTTCAACTCAAATGCAAATGGAAATGAAAATGAAAATGCAACATCAACCCCACCAGGCACGCACAAAGCAGCCTCGCAAATCGAACTCTTCCACCATGTCCTGGGCTCAGGCACAGTCCAGCACGTCCGCTCCATCCAGCACCCGCTCATTGAAACGCCGAATGACATCTACGCCGAGTCCGAGACGTCGATTTATGTCACGAATGATCATTTCTATCGCGAGGGTGTGATGCGTCATATTGAGGATGTGTGGCCTTCGGCGAAGTGGTCGAGTATTATCCATGTGAGACTTTCTGCTGCTGATTTGACTTCCAATGTGGAGAGTAAGGTTGAGGCCGAGGTTGCTTCGACTGGGTTGTGGAATAATAATGGTCTTGGACATGGTCGGACGGCCGATGAGATGATTATTTCTAGTGCGATTGGCGGGGAATTGTTCTTGTCCAAGGTGGACTCGAGTGCGGAGTTGAATGGCTCCGTTTCGGTCGGGGAGTCGGTTTCTTTTGGCACTGTCACGGATAATCCTAGTTATTATGTTGATCCGTATGCGACGGCGGACGATGATGTGAGTGGGGTGGTGGTGGCGGGCATTTCCAAGGCCATTCAGCTGCCTGTCACTGCTAAGGATCCTGAGGGGGTGGATCCTGTGCAGGTTTGGTATGCTCGTCCTGCTCGGATTGGATCTGGATCGGGGGGATGGGAGAAGAAGCTTTTGTTTGAGGATGATGGGTTGAGGATTCGGACGGCTAGTGCTGCGGTTCTTGTTCCTGTTGAGCCTACTGGGGATGGAGTCAAGAGAGCTTGGCTGTTTGTTACTGGGTTTATGTCGGAGAGGATGGTTGCGGTACAGGTTGAATTGTAAAGTACAGTGGATTGATAGTCTACGCAGAGGACAGGACTGGAGATGGACAGAAAAGAAGATCAACACAGATTCCCACAGATCCCACAGAAGTAATAGTACTCTCAGTATTTCCTGCAATTGCTTGCGGGACCAAAGTCCAGACAACGGCTCTTTGGATTCATCACCGAGTACAGTAAAAGCCCACACAGTCACCACCCACGAGATTATCAGAGAGCAAAGCTGTCGCCTCAACAGAACGTCCTGGCTTCAAATGCACTGAAAATGTCCCATGAGAGAATGTGAGCGCCGGATCCCAGGCACCCACAACAGAGAGGAAAGAGTAGAAGAATCATGAAGGGACGCACGAGGCTAACCATGAGAACCCAACCAACCTCCGGACCCCCGATCTCTGCCCGTTGCATAGAACATGCCAGACAGAAAGCAAGCGTCTGAACTCAGTCTTCGCCATTTGGCAGAAGTGAACACGGGATATGAACGCAAGATCCATCACACTGCCATAACAGACCCGGGGTTCAAGTTATTGACCTACCCCCCATGAGAACATGAAGTTGCATTTCTTTTGGTACCGTCGCCACTTAGCCGCGGCTCTGGGTCCTCAGTCCCGGGCCCTGAGGATGTCGTTGATCGCGCAGTAAAAACTGCAGACGTGATCCCAGACTAAGCGTTGCAAACCGCAGACTCTCCCCCATGCCCACAGCCCGTAGCCCACAACACGTCAAATGACAAAATGAGCCTCTCTGACCAGGAGAAGACTCACATCCCTCAGTGCCCACGCATGGGGGAAGAGTAGAAGCCACAAAGAGGACCTCGGAGGTCGCCAACCCGCAAAGCCATTCATGACCCCAATCTTTAGCGTAGACTGACCGGACGAACCGACCAGAGAAGCGTTGAAGACCTCTCCCCTCGAGTGCCCCCCTGGACCGTAGAAAATGCAAAGTGATCGTGGGACATGTAACATGGTGAGTAGCAAGTTCACCAAATGGCCCACGCCCAACCGCACACTGACCACAGCAGAAACCGGCGTCGATAACAAGCACCTCCATACTGAGTAATCTGGTGCCCATTTCCAGTGATGAACACTGCCCACGAAGCCCACGCCCACAGAGCCCATGCTCACAAGAACAGACTCCTCAGAATCAACACCCACACAGACATCCCTCACCCGCAAGCCCATGTACCTGTCCACTAGGAGGAGCCTACGAGGACAGACCCATGGGTAGAGGGGGAGGGGTGAAAACAGAGGGGGAGAGGGGAAGAGAGAGTTGAGGAAGAGAGAAAGAGAAAGGAGAAGTTCGTGGGGGAAGAAGGTATTTATGCAGCACCTGCCCTCAACCCTATTGCCTAATCGGGAAATTGTTTGATATTGGCCAATTTCCCGTATCATACGCTTCAATACGCCCTTCAATACGGACTTCTTCGCCTTTGCTGCCTGTTTTTTCTATTGCTGAGGGTGTTTGCCATGCTTTGATTTCGTGAATGAATGAATGGTGCCAGGTGAGGTTATTCATCCACAGTGAACTCTACCCAGGTCAACTTTACCCAGGTGAACTTTTACTCATATCAACTTTTATACCCAGATCAACTTGATCCAGGTCAACTTATCACCATATCAACGTTTATCCAGGTGAACTCTACCCTGGTCAACTTTACCTATATCAACCTTGCCCAGGGCCAAGTCATCCTGTCCTCGTTCAACACTTGATAAGTCTACACCTGAAGCACTGCAAGAGCCATGTAATATAAAGTAGATCCATGAGTTATGGTAGCAATACAAACTAGAATAAAACATCATCCAGAAAGACTCCATCCAACCCCCCAAGCTTCTATACGTAACCAAACCCAATACCAACTTCGTCGTCTTATTCTGAACAAAGTCCTACCCCAGATGAACAGACGGCAGTCTCATTAGTTATTGGACAGAAAGCAGAAAGCGTGTTGTAGATATCTGAGATGAAAGACAGTGCTAGCGCCGCTGCAATGCAAACGAGTGGGAGAAAAAAAAAGAGAACAGCATAAATCACAAAAACGAATCATAAACGAAGCATCCAGAAATACACCACATTAATCACATCATTTTGACTTGCCGGATGGCGTTGTTTGAGAGGAGAAGGAGCAGAACTTGTCCTTGATCGCGATCACTTCGTATGTACCCTCGTCCGAGGTCTTGATGGTCTTGATGTTATCGTACGAAATGTCGTGTTTGATGTCAAGGACTTCGGACTTCTTCCCCTTGGCGGCGTTGGAGCTTCGGATGTACCTGCTGGTTGTTAGTAAAAGTGAAGAAGAGACAATACTCGAGGATATGACTTACGTGAACTCGAATGGTGGTGTACCCCAGAACTCAAAGTGGAGCTCGGCTTCTCCACCCTCGTGAATGTCCACAATAGTGGTCTTGCCCTTGCTGATCCTCACGCTGGGCATCGGGTGGATGACCTTGGTGATGTCCTTGTGGGCTCGGCACTTGCCACTGGCACCGTCACTAACTGCAGTGATGGTGAAATCACCGGGGCGTTCGGCAATACGGCGGAAGTTGGTGTTGGGGGAAGAAGCCTTGCGCTGGGCACCGTCAAAGGTATAGAACACGTCGAATGGAGCGTGGCCTGACAGTGAGAACGAAAGACGCTCGCCGACACAGTAGTCAACCTTGGACTCAAGCGGGATGATGGTGGGGACGTCGGAAACGGCAACCCGCACAGATGAAGAGTCTAACTCGGTGGTTTTTTGACATCCGCGAGAGTCACGAACCTTGTGGATACTGACGACATGTTGGCCCAGATCGAGGTGACGACGAGGAATGAGCAGGTTGTGACGGTTGGTGTTGATCTTGGGAATGGTGACAATTTCCGGTCTAGCGGTGGAGTGATGCTTGATGGTGATCTCCAGAGAGAACGGAGGGACTCCTTCCAACGTGATGGGAACGGATTCCTCACCGCTGACATCTTCCTTGCAGAACCCATAGACGTGACCAGGTGAGTCAAACTTGGCGGATGGGAGTGGATTCACCTTTTGCGTCACAACCAGCGGGGTGCTCCGAGAGTCGTGGTTGTAGAGATTGTCGCCAACCTGTGTGAACTTGTAGCTGTATTGACCAGGCTCTGAAGTATCCATCTCCATTGAAGTGGTATGGAGAGCAGACTTGAGGGCTCGGGGCTTGGCTGAAGATGTGCCACGATCTGTCTTGCGTCGCTGCTCGTATTGTAGATTATACGGAGGGTTGCCGGACAGCCGAAGCTCCATGCTATCATCATCACCTTGGCAGACCTCTGTTTTGAAAACCTCCTTGGCAGCAGAGACGGGAGAGCCGTCAACAGCGATTATCTGAGGTCGAGGGATCCAAGAGATCTCGAACTCGTTGGCTGTCTGTTCCACGGTACCTGGGCAGCCACTATCCATGACTCCAGTGATCTCATAGAGACCTTGCTTGTCCACGTTCAAGACGCTGTTCTCTTCCCAGAGAATCTGCTGGATTGGTTCTTGGTGCAAGTCGACATTCTTGTAACTGATAGTCCAAGGTCGTTCACCTTTGAGTCGCACCGGGATATCAATCTTGGAGTCTTGCAATGCCGACACGGTTCTCTTCTTGTCGATCTCACCGAAGGAGACATGTGGTGGTTGAGAGCGAGCTTGGATCTTGATGCTTTCTTTCAGGGTTCGTTTGCAGCCTGACTTGTCCTTGACACTGGTCAGAGTCATAGTGTACTCGCCTCCACTAACCAGTTTGTCCGTTCTGATAGTGGCTGCATCGACATCGGAATCCAAAGTGAGCTTTTGCTTCTTGCCGTTGTGGAAGATCTCATATTGGAGGGCCCAAGGTCCCTCTCCGAGGAAAGATACGTCCACAGCGACTTGCTCTCCAAAGCAAGCCCGACGCACTCCGGCAGTTCCAACGAAATGGGCCGATGCTGGAGGTTTGACGTCCTGCTCGAGCACAGGTGTCTTGTCCCTGAGAGACCGCGGCGAATAAACAGAGTCCTCAATGTCCAGGAAGTAATAGCGGTAAAATCCGGCTTCCGATGGGGTGAAGTCAAGCTGTGTGCGCACACTGTCAATTCTTTGAGACTTGGTTTGTGTTGCACCTTTGGAGCTCTCAACGCTGTATCGGAGAGTGAATGGTGGAGAACCAGTCAGATCAATGTCAACCAGCAATCCAATAGCATTGTTGGCGCAGCGGTCAAAGATCTTCTCGGCCTTAACTGCAACCTCAGGTTCAGGCGGGTTTTGCAGGTAGCAGGACGAAGGCTCCAAAATTTCTCCAGAGCAGAATTGGGTGGAAACGGATGACAGAGAATACACTCCAGGCTCTTTGATCTGATGAACGTGGTCAATGGTCTTCTGAGAAAGAGTCTTGATATCCTCTGTCTCTTGATCGTCCCCAGTGTAAGAATAGCTAACGGAGAAAGGTCCATCGTCGTAATATCCATGTCCAGATGAATGGAATTGGAGTGGGAATCGAACACTTTTTCCTTTGGCAACCCGTAACGGATTCTGGGCATTGCAGTCATCAAAAGACAGACGCGGACGTTCATGAACAGAGAACTGGTACCACTGGGATTGCGATTTTGTAGATGGCCGGTCCGATTCCTCAAAGATTGTGGAATAGTTGGCGATATTGCCAGCAGCATCATGAACTTCTTCGATTGTATAGAACCATTCTCCACCGACATTCAACGACTCATTCAGTGGGACCTCAATCTTTTGACTCTGGGCCCACGAGACATCGGGTTGGTTGATACTGAATAATGGGCCGGTAGTTCTCTGGTTCAGTAACGGGGAGCGCAAATTATCCGGTTGGATGTTGAGAACCGAAAATCCACGATCATGGTTATTGACCTGTCGGCTGTATTTGATTTTCAATGGAGGAGTGCCCTCCACTTCCAGGGCGAAGTTGGACAATTCTCCCTTGCACTTGTCGAGATGCGAGTTTTTGATGAACGCACGCGGGCAGGATACCACCAGAGCATCAACAGTCTTGGTATGAACATCAAGTTGAGACTCGTCCACCACCCGCTGAAGACGGTAGATTCCAGTCTTGCGGATAGGAATTTGCAAATCCCGATGAAGCTGACCAGGAGTGTGCTTTTTCTCCGCCTGGCGTTTGATATTCTTCAATTGCTTTGTCGGAATCGTGATGGTTTCATTCTCCCCGGTGTGAAGATCCATGCGCAGCATTTCGATCATGATCGGGTCAGTCTGGTTGACACGGATTGGAAGGTCGATAATAGATTTTAACGAGTCGAGGCAAAGGGCATTATGGTCCGGGTTAAGAACAGCAGATCTAAACCTGTTAGCAAGCAACTCAATGGCTATAATAAGGTAAAACTCACCCCTCTGGCAATATATGAACGATTTGCTTTCCGAGAATCAATGACGCATTATGAATTATATCACCTGGCTTGACCTTGCGCTCAGAGATGGACACTTCGCGGTCATAGGCCACCTTGACCAGTCCGGAAACCCACGCAGCCCATGGGATTGGGATACGGAACATCAAAAAGCCATTGCCTACCACATGGAGCAAGAAAAGAGCAAGTGTGGTCGGGAATGTCCACTCTAGCCAAGGTATGCGTAGAGACTGCAGACAGAACAAGAAAACCAAGTCAATGAACATCCATTTCACGAGAAGCCCTGTAGGCTCGTTATCCGATTCGGTCCACGATTCATACAATCGCCACGCATGTAGGGCGAAGTAGAAGCCGACCACATATAGTCGTTGCGTGGGTGCATCGACCGTGCTCTCCGGAATCAGCGGCGCATTGGTGCTTGGGATTGGAGCCGGTCTGGGTGCCTTGGTAGCGGATTTCAGCGGCGATTTGGTCGGCGATCTTGTACGGGTGCCCCGCGATTGCGATCTTGAGGGAGTAAAGAGCTTTCTCCTTACTGCTGGGTCTCCTGGGTTCGTTGAAGGCGTCTGGGGAAAGGCAGACGCGAGGAGGGGTGTGCCGTTCATGGCATGCTGTGGTTGCCAGAGCGAGGCCTTTCGAGGGAAGAAAAAGAAAAGGATCTAAAGCAGGATCCAGGTCAGCTGAAAAGACCTTTTAGAGCAGGTTGAGAAGCTGTGTCAATAAGATGCGCCTATAGCTGCCAAGTTGGAGAATGAAGGGAAACAAAAAAGTGAAGTTTGGTGGAGACGCGGGAAGCGCGTCGGGGGAAGCTCGGTCCACTAGACGACATTCTCCCATACTCTCCCATACATCTCTTTGCGTAGATCTATTGTCTACTATCCACCTTTAACTGTGTGTGTTGTCTGGGATTGGTGATCAGTGGTCAATTTATTGATCCCAATTACTTCTTAGCTCGGTTCTTTTAGAGAGTTTTTGTCCTCCGTCACACCTTATTGCGCCGTATTTAATCACCATTGGATCTCCAGCCACTTCGTTATTCCAACTGATCTTATTTGCCCCGGCCAATCATTGCCAACCTTTGCAAATTGGCTTCATTACATTCCTCTTAGAGCCATGGGTCCCCGGGCGAAACGGCGTCGGATGACAGACCCGGACGATGAAAGTGATAACATCTGCCAGGCTGCATCGGCTTTGGAGAAAGACAGCTGGAATGGATTTTGCGAGATAGAGTCAGAACCGGTATGATTCCTCAGTTGCCTACATACCTGTACCGACTGACGGGCTTCTAGGCTCTATTCAATGTGATGTTGCGGGAATTTGGCGTCAAGGGTGTCCGAGTACAAGAAGTCGTCTCCCTTGACGAAGAGATGATGGCCTTTCTCAAGTATGGATTTGACAAATTCTGTACCAGACTTCATCACTAACTGATACATAGTAAGCCTGTTTATGGTCTAATCTTTTTGTTCCGGTGGCGCGAGGATGACCAAGGCAAACAAGAAGCCAGTTGCCCTGATGGCATATGGTTTGCCAACCAGGTGAGAGCCCTGACACTATCTAAATCAGGGTTGTTCTTTACTAACAAACAAGACTGCAAATAACGCTTGTGCCAGCGTGGCATTACTCAACATTGTGAACAACATCCCAGGTATTGATTTGGGAGACAATCTACAGTCTTTTAAGGAGTTCACAATACCTTTCACCCCAGCTCTACGTGGAGATGCCATCAGCAACTTTGAATTTGTCAAAAGAATCCATAACTCCTTTGCCCGGTATGTCAATACCTCCCAGTTTCTTTAAGTGGGATCTGACTCTGTTAGGAAAATGGATATTCTCAACTCAGATCTACAGCTCAAGATCGAAGCTACGGCCAAAAAACATCGCTCCAAGGGCCAGGATGATGACGAAGACGATGCAACATTCCACTTTATTGCCTTCATGCCTGTGATGGGTCAGCTGTGGAAATTCGATGGACTCGAGCGACAGCCCCAATCACTCGGTATGTTGAAATCCAACGTGTCGAATGACTCTGCTAAGACCGGTCGACAGGTGAATGTTCCAAAGACAACTGGTTAGAGTTGGTCCGGCCAAATCTGCTGACCCGAATGGCTGCCTACGAAGAGGAGCAGATTGAATTCTCGATCCTGGGACTCGTGCGTGACCCTCTACCTGACCTCATCAACTCTATGGCCATCAACGTGCGAAGCCTGGACATTCTCCGCCAACGTGCCCTATCCCTATCACCTCCTGGAATTGATCTCTCTTGGGATCATCTCGTTCTTGGTCCTGATCCATCCTTATGTCTCACACGAGAAGGTATCGATGCGGCGGAACTTCCTGACAGGGTTCAAAAGTGCCAATCATGTTCGGCGGGGGAGTTACAGGAGTATCAGCAGGAGCTTAGCAAGGATCAGCAAGAACTCCGAGTGCGCATTCGGGAAGAACAACAGTCACACAGGACAGATGATGAGTACGCCGCTGGACGGCGGTTTGACTACAGTCCAGCAGTGCGAATGTGGCTTCGACTCTTGGCGCGGAAGCAGGAGCTGCAGGAGCTACAAACCGCCCTCGTGGGCAACTGATTGGCCGATGATATACCCGTGGAGTCCAATTTCAGTCCCCATTCCAGTTGCTTTCTCTGCTCTCCGCAGTCCTAGGTCTTTTCACACACTTGACAGGCTGGGGTCAGTCCAGCAGATATGGCCCAGGTCAGAACAAGGTCAGAACAGTACTGTATAGAAGTTGAGAATGGTGTATGTAGCTTGCCGCTATTGTCCAATACAGCAACCGCTTACTGTCTACATATCCTGTCCACATGGTCTATTCCACTTTGTGACCATTTGCAGTATAGTTAAGCCCTGTCAACCCGCCCCGGTGACGTAGTCTACACCAGCTTCAACCTTGAAAAGGCCCAAAGAGACTTCAACGAGAACTTGAACAAAACACAAAGAAGATAAACCGAAAACCCCACCGTCCCACTGGGCAAAAAATAGTTCACACGTCACCGCCTCGTTATCGAGTTCCCCCAAAGCTCCCTTACCTCCTTTCTTTTCTTTTTTGTCTTTGACTCTATTCTTGACGCTGTTGAGATTGGCAATTTGCGACTAGCGAATCCTCCTCATCCTGATTTCGGCATAACGCCCGAGAATACCCCCTCTCTCCAAACCCCCCTACGGGCGACCGATTTGCCACATCTTCTACTCAACAGAGCGTTCTCTCCTCAACACATATCTATCGCACTCTACCGTTCACCATGTCGACGGCTACTGCGCCCGAAAAGGCCCCAGATGACTCCTCCAAGCTCAAGACTTTTCTCTCCATCCTCCGGAAGTATGGCTCTTAGGTCGCTCCCCCCGCACCGCCGTTTCTAGGCGCTAACAAACTGGTTACTAGGTTCGTGGGTGTGGCGGATATCGCTTCGGTTCGCTTTTCACTGCCGGCGCAACTGCTGGAACCGAGACCGAATCTCGGTAGGTCATTGCTGTGCTCTTAAGTGTGGAGTGGGAGGCTAACGGGTGGGTGTTGAAAGAATACTGGCATTACTTGGACCGACCGGAGACCTTTGCGAGGTCAGCAACGCCCATATTTGACAGACGCTCATGTGCTGACCCAAGAGCTACAGCATTGGCAAGTCGGATGATGAGTTAGGTCGTATGTTGGAGGTGTTACGGTTCTGGTTCACAAAGGATCTGGTATAGTTCCCTGTGTCGATTGCCTGGAACAGATCGCTAATCTACACTTCACTCAGAAATACATCAAGGGCAAGCCGTGCAAGCCATACAACTCTACTCTGGGGGAATTTTTCCGAGTGAGGCTCTCTGCAAACATCCTATTGGTTTATCGCTAACTCCCTCTAGTGCAGCTGGGATGTTAGTGACAACATTCCCGAAGAACAAAACCTCCCCGGAATCAGCGCGTCGAGCGTCCAAGATGGCGACGACAAAGTCAAAGTCTGCTACCTCACCGAACAGACATCCCACCACCCCCCAGTCTCCGCCTTCTACATCGACTGTCCCGAGCGGGGAATCACCGCGCGCGGCTTCGACCAAATCAGCGCCAAGTTCACAGGCACCAGCATTCGCGTGAGCCCCGGCCAACACAACCTTGGAATCTTCGTCAACATCGAGAAGAGAGACGAGGAATACCAGTTGACTCACCCAGATGCTCATCTCGGTGGAATCCTACGGGGTGCGCTGGCCATCACAGTCGCCGATACATGTTATATCACTTGCCCAAAGACAGGTATGAAGGCGATCCTTCAGTACATGGAAGAAGGATGGATCGGCCGATCACAAAACAAGATGGAGGGTGTGATTTTCCGCTACAACAAGGACAAAGACACCGTGACAAGAATCAAGGACGTGCCAGAGGGCGATATCATTGCCCGCATCACCGGGTCTTGGCACGGCAAGATATACTTCACTGTGGCAGGCAGCAAGGACGCCCGTCTGCTCATCGACATCACTCCTCTCTTCCCCGTTCCGAAGAACATGCCTCCCACCGAAGAACAACTATCTAATGAGTCCCTCAAGTTCTGGGGCGACGTCACAAATGCCATTGTCGACAAACAGTTCAGCCAGGCCACCAAGTTGAAACAGGACATCGAGGAACGGCAACGCGAGCGTGCCGCTGAGCGCAAGGAACAGGGCACAGAGTGGAATCCGCGTTTCTTCACTGGCGCCGTGACGCCGCTGGGCAAGCCTGAGTTGACAGAGGAGGGACAGAAGGTCTTACAGGGCATCAAGTCTGGAGAGTTTACCTTGACAGAAAGTACAGTGAAGGGTGCATAGATGACTTGGATTATCTTGCCCCCTTGTTCCTCGGCTTGTGCAGTTCACAAATGTGGCGTATCTGGCATGCGACCCATTACACACTCGGCGTCTGTTTCTCATTTTCTGCTGTGTTTATTTATGCCTGGTCTGTGTTTCTGTTACTTTCTTCATCACATACTTAGATCTTGCGCACCTCTCTTTTCTTAGAACTCTGTTTGGGCGGCTGCTCTGTCGGGAGTAGATGGCCGACGGAGTGGTTGATGAGTATTGCAATGAAATCATTGCATATCCTGCACCTTGTGTTTCCCAGAATGAATATAGCGAAAGAATTTTGCTGGGCTAGTTCGGTTGGTAAAACGTAGACAAGATACGTATGTACATGGGATGAATGATGGAAATTATGCATTGCTTTAAAACCCCCTCCCCCCAAAGACTTGACCGACAACGCCAAAATTTACAGACCAGACCCAAATCATCAATTACATCAACACATAAGCTCTCTGTGATTAGGCTGCCACACCGACGACCTTGAACCCGGTACTGACGGTCTTGGTGATCTCCTCGTTTTTGTGTGGCAAAAGGGACAGAGCGTAGGCGACATCGTTCCACTGGCGTTCTGTCTCGCAGCGAGGAAGTCGAGCAGCCAATTTGTCGGCTAGCTGACGAGCGTGTTTTTCCTGAATATATTAGCGAAGTTCATCAATAGTTTGGGTGTGATCTTACCTTCTCGACAAAGCCTATCAAGAATTTGACAATGCGACGGAGAGATGCCTCCTCCAGGTTGCGCTCGGCACTCAAAAGACTGAACATGTCGACGAAGTGGTTGTAGACTGCATTGTCCTTGGTTGCAAGTTCAGTGAAGAACATGCGAGCCAGATCCGCAATCTTCTTGTCGTCGTCCTCCAGACACTTGGCCATCTCGCCCAGCTGACCCTTAACCTTGACTTGACCAGCCAGAATGAGGAAAGTGAGAGTCATGAGACATGTTCGCTTGACAGAATCGTCGTCATCATTCAAACGACGGTAAAGGAAGTCAGTGTTCTCGTCAATAAGGTGATTGAAGCAGACAGCCATGTCGCCCAGGGCAATCACAGCGTTACTACGCACAATGGGATCTTCGGACCGCTCCATGATGGTAATAAGAAGGGGCAGGTTTTTCTCGCAGTACTCTGCAGAAACGCACATAAGCTTGGCCAGGCACAAGGTGGCGGAAGCCTGAAGATCACGATCCGGGTAGGCATTGTTATTGGCCAAGATTTCTGTTACAAGAGGACCGAACTTGGCCAAAAGCGAGTTCTCTCCGTAAAGAAGTTCACGCTCTCGGATGTGGGCCATGGCGTCCTGGAAATCATCCTCGGTAGTTCCGCCGATGAGGTCAAGCTCGTCCTCGTCGGTGTTACCTTCCTTTTGAGGGGCGGAGGCAGCCTTGTTCTTCTCCTGTTCAACCTTGCGGCGCTTGAAGTCGAGTTCGCACAGCTCCAAATGAACAATCTGCTTGATTGCGATGTGACCAACAACGTACAGCAGCTGCGAAAGTGCTGCAGAGGCTGGCTTGGGCTTGGATCCATGTCCTTCGGTTGATGCTGTTCCAGGTCGCTCTTCTTCTTCGCCATCAGCGGCGGAAGCATGGGAAGAAGGTGGGCGCTGTTGAAGGTGTGGCTGGAAGACGAATATTGTTTTCCGCCGAAGAATGTCCGAGCAGAGTACATCGGGGTGCTTGGAGAGAGTATAGACCGCATTGAGCGCGTGCTCTGCGACTCCATACCATTCCTTACTGTTTGTCTCGATTTCGAGCATGGCAGCAAGCTTGACCAGCACAGAGTGATCACTGGGCAGTTTGGTGACTCCGACCTCTTTTGATTTGGCTTGTCGTCCAGGAATCATGCGTCGCAGAGCGATACAAGTATACTTGGCGAGCACGAGGTCGGACTTTCCATGACCACTCAAGCCAATACGTAACATGGCTTCAATTTCCTTAACCACAACCTCAGGGTCTGCCAGAGCTAGCATACCGAGTACAATAATGGAACCCCGGCGCTGGGTCTTTGAGATCTCCTTCTTCTGGATACCATAAACCTGCCATAACTTAGCGATGACTGCCTCCGATACATTTCCAGCCTTCATCATGGTGCTGAGCAGTTGCTCAAGACATGTTAACTCTGCAGGTGTTGCACCAAATGTCAGACTGATCATGTTGCGGGCAATGTAGTTGGCAGCGTCGTTGGGACTAAAAGAGCCCGGTGCATCAAAAAAAAGGCCTTTGTAGCAGTCAATCAGATGAGTCTGAACGCCCTTTCCTTCGTCACTGTTGCCCTTGGTCCAGATAAGACGGAGCATGCGACGAATTCCACTGCGGGCCGTTTCGATCTTGTACGCGTCAAGGACGACAAAAAAGTCCATGGCTTCGATAACCTCGCTCTTGTTCCGCGAAGACAGCAATTGCGAGACAATAGTAGAAGCTGAGTGAAGTACTTCAATAAAGCGGATGGCCTCGTTGTAGTACTTCCTGGTTAGCTGGAGTCGTGTCAACAGCTCAGAGGTCGCAGCCTGTTCTTGGGCTTTTTGGATGGCCACAACCTTTTCTTCTTCGGTCATTCGGGGAGCTTTCGAAGGTGAGTCGTCTGGTAATTGTGTTGCGTCGTCAAGTAGTTCAGGATCGACCTGTGTCATGTCACCTGCATCAAACCCAGGGGTCTCGGCAGGTCGAAGAGCGTTTAATTCGGCATCAACACCATCGAGCCTCTCGTTCCACTCCTTGTATGAAAGCTGTCCGCCGTGCATCACACTGAATGGGTGCGTAGAGACCAGCTTAGACAACAGCTTAATCGCATTACGTCGGACATTGCTACTCTTGTCCTCCAAGCTTCGAGCTGCCAGTTGAGCCGCGGACTGACGTCTCTTCGGGAATTTCTGCTCCAGATCACAAATTCGCATAAATACTTGAATTGCACGGCAGCGGCAATAAGGGTTGATATCAAGGAAACGCTCTTCCAAGACATCGAAAAAGGCGTTGATCTGAGTTTTGTAGTTGTCGCTGGGTTCTTCTTGTCGGCTGAGATCAGCAATGAGGTTTCCACAGACCTCAATGACTGCACAACGGAGTGTATATGCCTGTATTTGTAAGTATAAAAGCATTTAAATTTCTTATTGGCCAAAATTACCTCACTATCAAGCTGCTTTGCCAAAAGTGTCATTTGCTTGATGATCAATCTGGGGGCAAGCTCAGACAGCTTAATAATAAATGACGAGACAGACTTCGGTCCCCTTGTGTCATTTGAATTAAATTCTTTATTTCCCAGCTCCCTAAAGGTTGTCAGTAAGAAACAAGACAAAACAGCGGATGGCATTACTTCAAGATTTCATCGGAGAGCTGCGGGTAGTCGTATTGTTCTGCCAGAATGTGTAGGAATTCGGCCATGGGCTCAGACAAGTGCTCAAAGTACGTCAAACTTTGTACAATCGATGTTTGGGCTCCTATATCAATGTTAATTTACCTGGGCGAGAGCATGTCCGTCAGACCTACCAAATGCATGACCGTGGTGTTTGACTGCAATACACAGAACCTTGAAGGCGTGCATGCGAATAGCCATACTCTTCACCCGTTGCTCACTCTCAAGTACCAGATAGATGGTACGCGTGAAAAGATTAATAAACGTATCACGATCTGAAGTTGTGAGGAAGATGCGTCCAAGCTTGAGCTTCATCACCTTGCACATGGTCTCCATGGAAATTTGAATCTGCGGTGTCCAGTCCCACTGTCCGTCCTTCGCCGATTTCTTAGACTTGGGTCCTCCTCGTCGCAGTGGAGCTGCGTCGGCGGGCTTTTCGGCTGCTTTAACCTCAACAGCAGATAGACCCCATTGTAGGAGGAATCCGTACATTTCCAGTAGCTGCTTGTGGCCCTGGATGGCATCCTGTTCGTCGGACTCCAAGTCTCCATGGATGATGTCGGCCTCGACGGAGAGACCTGAAACAACCAAATCTAAAAGCTTGCTCAGGGATTTCGTAGGAAGGACCGTGGAGTATCTGCAAGTGTAAAAAGGTTCGTCAGAGTCGATTCCTGGCGGGCGAGAGCCTCCACGGGAAAATTGGGAAGGGACCGTTGCGCACTTTAGCAAGAATTGGAGTGAGTCAAAAACGGATGCTTTCGTTAATCCTTCAGGGTTCTCTGCCACCGCATCAACAATCGGGTTCAAAACATTGTCAATCAGCGCAGGCGAGATTGACTCGGGATCCGATTCGCAATCCAGCAGTTCCGGGTCTGCATCCGGGGTAGGGAGTGTCGCGGGGTCACTCAAGTAATACTTGAGTGAATCGTTGATGTCGAACTGGCTCCTGTCCTCCATGGTTGTTGTTGCGAAGAGATCAAAGCGGGGAGGAAAGTTGTTGATAAGGCCGATTGTTTGGCTTTTGCCAAAAAGGGCCGATCCTTACATAATATTATGTAAGTCGTCATAATTTACCGCTAACGCTGCAGCTTCCCCTCCTTACCGCCTTGTATCGATCGATCTGCCAGCCATTCTGGGCTCTTTGTACTGTCACCGCGCGTTTTGCCTGTATACCTACCGCGTTTGGCTTATTTTGGCAATTGATCTTAGAAAACAATCAAACTTCAAGGCACCTCCACAAACACAACATACACACGCAACGACCTAGACCATATCCTTGACCTTTCAAGGCCTTTCCGAACCAAAGTTACGACCAAACCCTCCTCATACTTGCTCTCGGGAGCTCTTTCAAACCATGTCGGCCCTCCGCGCCGCCCCAGGTGTTTTCGAGTTGCAGCGCAGCAGCTCATTCCAGGAACCACAAGCGGTGCAGCCCCAATACACACTAGCAGAAGAGGATGATTCAGCTGCTCAAGGTGCGGCACCTCAAGAGGAGAGCGAATTTGAGGAAGAAGTGGACGAATCCGTTCGAGAAGATATGAGAAAGCTTGAAGATACCTTTCCAGGAATCTCGGACAGGTTTCGTTTAGTGAACCGGATTGGAGAAGGTATGGTTCTATCTTTTTTTTTGGCTTGTTGTCATGTTTCCTAATGGGTAATCTATAGGAACATTTTCTACAGTGTACAAGGCAGAAGACCTACACTATGACCAATACCAGAACGACTGGAACATCTTTGACAAAGCACAACAAGACACATACGACAGCCCTCCATCGAAGCGGAGAAGAGTGCAAAGCGACTCAAGCGGGCGAAAAAAGGCACGATTTGTCGCATTGAAGAAGATCTATGTGACGAGTAGCCCGCTACGGATCCAGAATGAGCTGGAGTTGTTACATGATCTTCGAGGTTGCGGGTCTGTCTGCCCGTTGATCACTGCTTTCCGGTTTCAAGATCAAGTCGTTGCCGTGTTACCCTATTTCCCACATACAGACTTTCGCATTCAGTACCGAACGTTCATGGTAGCAGACATGCGCCACTACCTAAGATCTCTGATGACTGCATTGAACTCGGTACACGAACATGATATTCTCCACCGTGATATCAAACCAACGTTAGTTCATGGTATTCACCTTGGTTTTCCTGAATACTAATTTCTGTCAGAAACTTCCTCTACAACCCAGACCTGAAAGAGGGTGTTCTAGTTGACTTCGGTCTTGCAGAGGTATGGCTCTCACTTCTATATTACGACCCGCATACTAATAGCTTTAACAGCGCCAAGGCTCAGAATACACTAGCCCATGTCTCTGTACCCATCAAAGCTATGTCCGCCGGAGCCGGATACTCTCCAGCTACTACTCCAAGAACCCTCCATCGTCTGGATTGTCAGCCGGCTACCCCAAGAATGACTCACGGCCATCAAGACGAGCAAACCGTGCTGGTACTCGAGGCTTCCGTGCCCCAGAAGTCCTTTTCAAATGCACGTCCCAAACCACAAAAATCGACATGTGGTCTGTTGGTGTCATTCTCTTGACGTTGCTAGGCCGTCGATTCCCCTTCTTCAACTCGGCAGATGATATTGATGCGATGATCGAGATGTCAAGCATCTTTGGTACTCGCCGTATGAAGACCGCAGGAGCCATGCACGGGCAAATCTTCGAAACAAACATCCCCACCATCGGAGAGAAAGGCTACAGCTGGGAAAAGCTGGTGAAATGGTCAAGCTGTGTGGAGGATTTGACAGAGAGCGAGGAACAGGCAACACGTCTATTATCAGGCTTGATGGAACTGGACCCGTCCAAGCGCCTTAGTGCCGCAGATGCGCTGCAGCATGAATTCTTCACAAATCCCGTCCACCATGATGTTGAATGGGGTGGTAACCCTGAAGAGAGCGCAGACTCGGCGGAGGAAGACGAAGCGGAAGATGAAGCAGACGAGGTCGCTATGCTATGAGACCCGATTTATGTACGATATGTGATATCGATTTTGATGCCATACGCTATGCTATTCATACCATGCAGATTCTAATCGCTGCAAATGCATTATCATTTATTCTAAATGCTTAGCCTGCTTCGCCAAAGTCGTAATGTCCCGTTTCCGCTGCATGCTTGGTAGCCCCTCTCTCTCCAGTAAATGTACCGCCACAGATGTTGCACCGCACAGTGAATCCCGAAGTGTCGGTGTAGTAGTGTTTCCTTCGAAGAACCTCGCAAAGCTCCTTGGCTTTTTCCAACACAACAGGGTCGACAGCCTCGAAAATCTTCGTATCACCATCAGCCAAGGGGTTGGCGCGAGTGTACGGCGGAAGGGAGGGTGAAAGGGCGAGGACGTCGTAATGAATTCCTGAATAGACAACGATACACCGCGTAGGTGCGCCTTCGTTGAACTGGAACATTTTGAGAGTCTGTACGTCGATCGAGCAGATCTCGATGTTAAAGTATTCACTCATAATCTTGAGCTCGATGGCACCACCCCAGGAATCCTCGTTCTGGATCCACTGGCAATATTCATCCGGCTTCTTGCCTAGGATAGCTGCTGTATATTCTGTTGGGTTTGCTTGGATGGCGGCTGCGATGATCGATCGAAGCTCAACCATGGTGTCCATATCGCCCATTACTGCCGCGCCGACTGCTCGGAACAGACATGAGTTGTCGTCAGGCATGACGCGTAGGACAAAAGTCCCTGCATGTTCTGGCGAAGCGATCTCTGGTGGATCGTCGACGTTATTGGTTTCTGGCCTTTGCGACGACGTGGACGGTTGCGACAGAGTGGCCGGTGCTTCTCTTGTGGGTTCGCTGGGAGGTTTAGTCGCTTCCTTCGAAGCGACGATAAGTGACTCTCCGTTCAGCTTCACTCCTGTTTCTGAGATGGTCTGGTCTGGTTGGAAGCTGCCAAGCTCGAGGGGTTGGAGAGGGTATCCATATTTCACATCAAAGGCAGTTAGACCAGTCTTCTCCGCAATTTGGTTTTGGAGATCTTTGATGGTTGCAGTGTCGTCTAGGGTAATAGTTGACTGGCCTGAGGGCCCACGGACTCGGATTCTCATGATGCGATGAATGTGATATATGCGACAGAAGAGATGCAAAGGCGAAGAGGCGAGAGCCAGGGCGGTGATGTGTCCCTCCGATAGATATGACGATGCCGTGTGGGGTAGCTGTCGGAATGCCATGCAAAGAACTGACAAGACAAAGTCACTTGATCGCTGAGGTGTTGATGAGCTTAAGGACCTTTTGAACCAGTTCTGAGGAAATCTTGAGATCTGATGTCTGCAAACAGAGCTTCGTATACACAGTAACTGAAGTCGAACGAGTCCGCTTCAACCCATGTCAAGAGCCACAGTTGATATCAGCATATTTAGATCGAAATCCAATGGCAGCCATGTCAAGCATTACCACCTAAGACGATATACGACCATGAACAGACTGAATCCAAGACTGCAAAGCGAAGCAGTTCGAAAGGCGTGAAATCAGATTACCGTATGTAAGTATGTAACGTCAAAAGCTGGCTGACTCAGCAGTAGCTTCACGCGCTCGTAAAACATTCTCCGACTTCCCCTACGATTCAACTTGGGCAATTCGCTGGACCTTTTCTAGCTGAGCGCTCACCCAATTATTGCAACATCCAAGTTTGTGAGCTTTGCGTGGAAACGCGCCCGTTCCCGGCATGGAGACATCCGAGCATGAGTCGCATCCCCCGCGCGAGGAGCCCGTCAACTCCATCGAGGATGACGGTGTGATCACCCGAGAACTGTGGAAGTCGATGATGGATCTGGTCCTATCGATATACAACTACCGGGAAGACGAGTAAGTTGCTACCGTAAAGCTGTGTGAACCTTTGGTCTGACATTGTTCAGTGGCCATGATCCGTCGCGATTGTTCCATCGCAGTGTCAACAAGCGCTTTGTTCCGGACTACTACGATATAATTAAGGAGCCAATGGCCCTAAGTATCTTGAAAGCACGCATCAATAAGCGGGAATACACCCATTTCTCGGAATTCGTCCGCGACTGTGCCCTAGTGCGTCAATTGCGCCCAAATCTTCGGCTTCTGAACTAACTTTCTCTAGATCCCACACAATGCGCAAACCTATAACAGACCTCGATCACAAGCTTATGAGGATGCGCTGGTCATTAGGGTATGACACCCCCAGTGAAACAAATAAAAGACCCGATAAACTAACACTAGTAGGATGTTTTTGCGTCCGAGTTCAGGAAGCTAGCTGCGCAGGGTGTGATCTCTGCCGATGAGGCACAACTTCCCGATCTAGGAGAAATCCCTGAGGCTGACCCTCTACCCGATGATGACGAAGATGAAGAGGAGGAGGAACCGGAAGAAGACGAAGACGAGGACGAGGTTGAGATCGACGGCTCCGAGGATGAAGGTCGAAGAAGAAAGAAGCCCGGTCCCAAGCCCGGGTTCAAGCGTCAGAAGCCAGAGCCAGACCTGCGCAAGAAACGAGGTCGTCCTCCTCGCGTGGATACCCCCATGGAAACCAGGATCAAAACCATCCTCAAGGGAATCCGCAAATTCAAGGGTGTTGGTGGCCATTTGAAGATCACACACTTTGAACGACTCCCCGATAAAGCTACTTATCCAGATTATTACATGGAGATTAAGGATCCCATTGCGATTGACATCATCAAGCGCAAATCCAAGCGCAAGAAGTACAACTCGGTCGATCATTTCATGCGGGATCTTGATCTCATGTTCGAAAACGCCAAAACATACAATCAATCCGATAGCGAGATTTTCAAGGACGCAGTTGACTTGCAGAACGAATCACGCAAATTGGCCGAGCAAGAAAAGAAGAAGCCTGACAGTGAATTCTTGATGGAAGATGGCCGCTTCCCTTTGCCGGACGGTATTCTTCACCGCGGAGAGCTGTGGAAGGTTGGAGATTGGGTTCACATTCAGAACCAAAACGATGTGACCAAGCCGATTGTTGCGCAGATCTACCGGACGTGGCAGGATTCCGAAGGAGAGAAATGGATCAATGCATGCTGGTACTACCGTCCTGAGCAGACCGTCCATCACTTCGAGAAACACTTCTTCCCCAACGAGGTTGTCAAAACCGGACAATACCGAGATCATCGAATCGATGAAATTGTGGACCGTTGCTTCGTAATGTTCTTCACTCGTTACAGTCGTGGTCGTCCAAGGGACCTCGCGCCGGACAAAGAAATCTATGTCTGTGAGGCTCGCTACAACGAGGAAAAGCACAAGCTGAACAAGATTAAAACATGGGCCAGTTGTCTACCCGATGAGGTTCGCGAAAAGGATTATGAAATGGATCTCTTTGATGTTCCGCGCAAGATCAAGAAGATCCCCAGTCCGATCAAGCATCTTCTGAAGGATGACGCCAAAGAGACCGACGACCTGCCCCGACCGACATGGGGAACAGACAATGCACCCCCCGTCGTTGGCGCAGTTCACCGCCGGCCCCGCGATGAGAACGTGAGTTATGCTTCAAGTCAGCTAACAAAATGCCAACACACATCTAACCTTCCCTAGGAATCTCCACCACCGGAACCAACTCCATCTCCTCCACCTCCCCAACCCATGGCAGTCGCACCCCGCCAATCCATGGGCTTACGAGGGGCCCTGGGCAGTCCAAACACCGCAGCTGCCCTCCAAGCACGCTCACCCGCAGCCCCAATCGCCATCCAGACATCACCCGGACCCGGTGCCTCCCCAGCCTTCCAGGGCCAGATGACTCCTGCGCAGATGTACCAAGCATCCCTCAACCGGCGACCAAGCAATTTCGCAGCTCCGCAAACACCAGCAGGCTACCAGGGATTCCAAGCCCCTGTAAGCTCGGCCCAACCCACACCATATAACAACTATCCAGGACGCATGCAGGCCCCAGCCGCAGTCTACAACCCCAACGCACCGCGCCCAGTGGAAGTATTCCACCTCAGCGATGCCGCCAACGCCTCGATCCCAGAAGACATCCGCCATCAATTCCACTGCGATGACCTCGGCCGCGTGCTTTTCTTTTCCACCCCGCCCGTGGACTACATCCCAGCTTCTCCCCAGACACTCGGCCACTCCCTCAAGTATCTGGCTACGAAAGACGAACACCAGAAGAAGGTCGAAGAACGCAAGCGCAAGCTAGCCGAAGAAAAGAACGAGCGCGACGAAGAAGCCAAGCGTCAACGCGCCGATGTCGACTCCGCTCTCAAGACCCGCGTCGATGCTCTCACCGGAAAGGCTTTCGAGTCCCTCGTCTCCCGTGTCGTCTCTGGAACAGATCAGATCTACCAGGACCTCCACCACGACCACGCAGACGGCGCTCGTGCCGCGGACGTGAGGACGCGCGAGCGTGGTGTTCTCGCGGATCACTTAGCCAGAGTGCAGACCCGGCAGATTCAGGCTCAATCGACTGGCGAGGGCTTGGTCAATCTGAAGGGGAGTGCCATGTACCTGGATGAGATGTGAGTGCAAGGCAATGCAGAGGTGAACATAGTCGGGGGTTCGGCATGGTTTTTGTTATGAACTGGCGCATTTCTTTTTTTTTCCCTGGTTCTGGCGTCTTTCTGGCTGGGACTCCGGGTTTTAATGTATGATTAAGTCCGTTAGAATGAGTTTTCTACCGTGCTTCTGTTTTGTTGGACTATGTTTCATTCGTAGGGTAGTTTGGATGGGGTGTAGTCGTGGTTAGTAGGGTATGAACAGCTAAACTCCCGTCTATCAAGCATTCTCATTTGACTTAAGTTAACGTATAGGCAACATGTACATGTAACTACAAGATAACGTTATGAGGCCATGCAGAACTTGATGAAAGAGATTCAAACGACCTCAGTGGGCATATTCTGCGCTCTCGCGGCCACGTAGAATTCATTTCGAATGAAGGGTCACAGCAAGGCTCCATGCACTTGAAATATCATAATCGGCCTATTATCGGCCGATTCCCATTTCCCCTCTCGAATGCAGTGCAGACAAAGTCCGACCTGAATACTCTGGACAGCCTGCCAATTCCCCGCGTTTTCTCTTGGTATTTCATGTCTTTCCAAAGTGTCCTTTAAATCGCTCCCACACAAATCCTTCGCCAGTAGCTCGGGCATCTCATTGACTCGCTTCATGACTTCGGAGATGATGTACCGAACTGATGGCCAGTGATGTCTGTTTGCGATCAACTTACAGTATTCGTACGCAGATGCCTCCAGGCATTTACAAATGGTCTTGTTGCGCAATCGGACACGCTTGTCCTCTTTGCCCTCTTTGTAGTTCTTTGTGGGTCAGACTACTCTCAAGGACTCATCGTCTAGGTTCACGCGGGCAATGCTTCTTTGTTCCTCTAGCAAGACTTTGTGGATTCGTCAGTCACATCTCATAGTTCGGTGGGCCGTGTCCAGTTCTCACAGAATATCTTCAACTCGACTACAGACTCGATATCTTTGACTGCAAGATCCAGATATGAGTCTGCGTAGTTGAGAACGAGTGCTCTCGTGGCGTTATGGAATGCTTCTCGGTTCTGGAATACGTACGCTGCGGCCATGGGTGTAAGGTCCTGGAGAGACAGCTCTGATGGAACCCAATCGGCTAGCCATGATTTGCTTGCAAGTTCCAAGGCATCAAGCAAGTCATATATTTAATGGCAGTGGTCGAAATATCAAAGAGTTCCTGTAAGCCCAAGTTCTGAGGTGACATATCTTTCTGATGATGGATGACAGCACAGGTGTGCTTCATTACAATAGCGTTGTCTTCCGGCAGTGAGTAGGATGGCATCTTACCCATAGTACCAATCAAGTCCTGTCGTAGGTTCCAGGCTGGTGAAAGCATCAAAGAGAAGGGCTTTGAGGCGATCTTGAGGACTTGTGAGAAGACGCGCAACCGTAACTGCATCGGTCCTACGATGAGGATTATGTCGCCAGACGGAACAATCTCGATCGTTGCGCTGCACTGGGTTCTTTTGTTCCTGGTGGTCCTCTGTTCGCTGGGTTCGACCATATTGTCGGAGTGGATAGAGATTGAACGGGGAGGGATTGGAGATATAGATATTTAAATAAGAATCAGGTTGGAGAAAATTCAAGCAGGGGTAGGAAGACGGAGAAGGGAGAAAGATAAAGAGAGAATTTCTTGATGTTGAGACTGAATTAGAGGTAGCAAAGAGAGATATTCCGGTAGTCTGCGATCTCGTCTGGCTTGACGGTGAACCCCGTAGAAACTGATATTAGATGGTTTCTATACACAAGCCTGGAGGCGAGTATGCGGTTTCATTTATTGCTTTCCCCGATGTAAATATATCTTTCTCGGCTTTTCTCTCGTGATCTCTGGTCCATCGCCAACTAGGGCACAAGTCTGATAGGCGTAATGTTAAAGTATAACCGTAGATCTAGCCCGCTTAGGGCAAAAAAAGGGAAGAGAAAGAAAGTATAGTAGTTATATGCAAATCATTTGTATTAGAAGGAAAACTATCGATATTCTAACCTTGATCCTCTGTTCAAAGATCACTTTTTAATTTCAGCTCTCAGTAACAGCATCCTCGTAGATATATCAGCGCAAGAAGATATCCAATTCACAATCAAGCCGAGATATCACAAGGCAGCGAGCCACAGCAGTATCCATGACCAGCATCGAAAGCACCCTGGAAGTCAATGTTGTGGCAACCATCACTGGTTCTCCAGAGCTTGGCTGTGAACTGATAGTTGCCGCCACTGTTTTCCTCGAAGCTAGAATTCAATGTGAGCGACTGTATATTTGGTTTCCTGTCCGGGGTGTCTGAACTTACTAGACAGAGCATTCAGTGGTTGTGCAACCGTTGAAGCCACCATAGAGCCATCCCTGGTAGGTCGATCCAGTGGCGTAGTCAGTCAGGTGAATCTCCTGGGTGACTTGACCACCCTCGCCGGAGTTGTAGGCATCGGCTGCCAATTGGCCGTTCCAGGCAGCGGCGCTGCCGGCCAGAGCAAGGGCACTGAGGAAGCTGAGGACCTTCATTGTGGATGTATGGAGATTTAAGAGTGGAGGATGATGAAAGCTGTTGTAGTATGTAGAGAAGAGATAGTTGGGAGTTGATGGATGAAAGTCATTCAGACGGGGTCAGTCTGCCCTATTTATACCAATGTCTGCTGGAAATTGACCACTAGACTATATGTTTCAAAAGATAACTTGTTCACAGAATAGACACCTGGTCTTAGCTTGTCATACCGTCGTGGTCCTACTTTCTTCTGCACTATCAGGTGCAGTGAGAGATACACCGGTATCCCCCACTGGACGACTGGATTATAGTATTCTTCAACCGGTTAGAGCAGGGCAATGTAACCATATTCGATAGACTACTGCTGTAGCTAGGACTGCTAGTTAAACAGCTAAGACGGCCTTGGAAATTCCTCTGTCGAGTACAAGTATTGGACCCTGTTTCCTACTATTTAGTTCAGGGACCTGTTCCCACTTCCAACCGAGGGTTCCGCCACATGTCTCATCCGCGATTTGCTTGTTACACCCGCGACCAACCCAAATACTTTAAATAACTTTAATCGGTGGCACATGAAATCCCTGGTGGTTTCTAGGAAGACAAGTGTTAACATGAAATCCTATCTCCGATTGACAAGTTCCCTGTGGAATTCAAGGAGAAGCTATTCTGTGACCCTATATTTGGGCCTTGCTAAAAGCTAGCAGTGCAACACAAACACGGCAGATGGCTCTAGCGCTGACGGTGGCAATCTGCATGTTGGATATCCACGCGAGAAGACCCATATTCTACATGCAGTTAGTGGCCGCTCCCGTTTTTCCCTGGTGCGCATCTATAGAATGGAAATTAAAGCCGATATGAGGTACGATGGGATTTATGGATTGGTTTCAGTGGAAATCTTCAGGCTGATAAGCATTTTATCCTGCATTTACCGAAAATGGCATTCTCGGGTTCTGTCAAGAACATTTCCAGTTCGTAATTCTTGGCCATGGGGGCATTGGAATTGACCCTGTCAGTTAATATTGGACTGCAATGAATGGCTTGATTACACAGCTACCATTGTGAAGACGGAGTCTGAAGGTATTTGTGTCATGTTGATAATAATGATCCTACTATCACAATTCCCTCGTTATTTCCCAGAAAAACACCCTGGCAGATTGGTTTCCAAACAGAAAATAAGGGTCTTGGTCCAGAAATGGGCTCTTCTCCGTCTTTGGACCATAGCATGAAATTCACAACATCGTCAGCGATATCCTCGCTCCTATATAACCTGAGAACTACATCCACAACTTCGACCTATGATAGAAGACGAACGCATTCTAGGTCTCAAGGATACTGATCGCTACGTCGTCATATACATTATGTTGACCACCAATTCAACGTTAACACTTCCAAAAAATTACTCAAATATTTTTGGATTAGTCTATTCCCCGAGAATAAAGTAACAAGCAATCGCCTGGCATAACACAACCTCGTGTTGATGCCCGAAAAGATGGTTATGTCAACATGCAAACGCGATACAACAGTACAATCTCATAGAATCGATACCCACTCTCCAGTGAACATGACGAAAACATAAAGAGATCAAGAGAGAATACCAAGTGAACACTGGGGTAGAGTCGTGAATTCATGAACCGAATAAAGTAAAAACAGGCAGAAAAATAACATAGAGTAGAGATCACAACCCATGTACAAGATAGTCGAGGAAGATAATCCCCATGGAGTAAACACAGATAATGAAAAAAAAAAGCAGAGATTAATACAGTAGATGGCTGGCCGGAAGCCCAATGGAAAGCACATGTGACATGACTGGTCTAGATGATTTCGAAAGTGGTCGGGAAAGAAAAACGATGCTGTTGGGCCAGTTCTATGAAGAGGAAGCTTTTGTTGCCTTTTTGTTTTTGCCAAACCAGATTCTCATGAGAAATATCAGCCAAGGTTGTATCTGTCTTGGAATCCTCTTTTTTTGGTTCTCTTGTGATGCTCCCTTATGCGTCCAATTGAACTCCAATTTCCTTTTTTTTTTTTTTTTGAATCTTTTGATGTGTATCAGCATTGTCCGCGGATGCGGACATGTCTGGGGGCATATCTTCGTGATGATTGTTTGAACATTGAACAAATAGGGCGGGTTATGCGGTGGTAAATTCTTCATTCCCGGCTCAGGGGGCGCCGCTCCGCTTGTTGCCCTCCTCTTCTTCCATGGAGAAGACCAGATCGCTCTGCTCCTCTTCTTCGATCTTGCTGTTGGTAACCGGAGAGGAGATAGCTCGGTCAATGCGAGCCGAAGGAATAGCGGTGTGACGAATGGGAGGGTGAAGTGACATGCCACCAAGCTGTTCGGAGATCATAGACATCGAAGATTGACGTCCAGGGCTTGAAACAAACGGTGAGCCATCATGGGAAGCACGGCTGCTACCAATAGGACCGAGGCTAGGACTAGCAATTGGGTTCAATGATGATTCACGCAGGGGAGATCCAATGTGGAAAGAAGAAGAGCCGTGTGACTCCTCTTCTTTGCGTTGACGCTGCTTGGCAAACAAGGCCCCAAAACGAGATGGACTCGATGCCAAAGGAGAACCAGTTTTGGAAAAGCTGGTGCTAGTCATGCCAAAACCACTGATGTCACGGTGACTAGAGCCCAAGTCATTGTCAGTGCGAGAGAGCCGACGCAGCTTCTCCTGTGGTGTGAGAACATCGTCATGCAAGTTGACTGGCAAATAGTCTTCCTCCATCGGGAAGTTCTCGTCCCAATCCTCGAGAGCGGTAGGTCGGGGCACACTAGCGGAAAGCATGCGCGGCTTAACAGGGCGGGAAGAATGCATGAACCGAGGACCGGTGTCTTCGGGAGCTGGAGGCGACGATCCAATGTTTGAGGAAGGCTTCCTCTGGAAGCTAGAACCGTAAATGTCATGGAGATTGCGGAAAGCATTGTTCAGCGCGGGTCTCTGGGCCGGAGGCGATTCTAGGCCAAATTGCGATGGCATCGAAGCAGCCACCGGGCCATAACGAGCAGCATGGGAGATGCCCTGGCTGTCAAATGAAGCAGGAAGCCCCGCATCAAGAGCAGTCAGGTGGTTGTTGTTGGGCGACATCGGGAAGCGAACATCTTCGGCTGGGGACCCATACTTAGATCCGGCATCGGAGGCAAGGCCCGTGTCAATTGTTGGGATCGCATCATAGGGGGGCTGTTGCAGGGATGTGTACTCCTCCTGCGGGGGGAGCTGCGGGGCATATCGAGGCTGCTCGTGACCGTTCATGCGCTGCTGCGAGAGAACAGAGTTGGTAAGAGCTGAGTCCTGGTTAACATATGCCTGCGGGTTCACTCGGCCACCCAAATTGAGGTGGCCACCCATGTTTCCAGTTGGCCGGTTCACTCGTCGTCCATCGGGGAGGATATGCGCCAGTGCGCATTTGGCGCCGAACTTGCAGTTTCCCTAAAGATCATAGCCCTGTTAACTTCCGAAATCTCCAAAATTTGAACAGCAAGAGTGCAGATTCCTGTAGAAATGGCATACCTTTGTGAAGTATTTGCACGGGGCGTAGTCAATTCCTGCATCAGTAGAGTGTAAGAATGGACAAGCGGGGCCTGCCTGACAGGCACCCTGGCGGAAGAATTTGCAAGGAACATGTTTGGTGTCTGCATATGCAATTGACGCAAAGAATTAGCCTGCTGGTCTCGGCTCAGACTATGGGAGTATCTAGGCATCTGTGAAATCTTTTCACTCACTCTTGTTGCTCTGGTTCGGAGGACTGCGGGCAACGTCGAGTCCCGACTGACTGCGGGTATGACCATTCTGGGGCGCTGCCCCCGACGAAACTGGGAGAGGTGCACGACCTCTCATCTCTGCTTGACTGTGTTGACAAGATTAAGGAGGACGAGAATACACCTGCATGGAGAAGTGGGAGGGGTTTGGAGATTGGAGAGGGGAAGAGATAGGCTCGGCGGGCGGTGGGCGGAGGGTCAAGAGCGAACTCCGAGTACAAAATGAGGTGACTTGTAGTAGCATGCAATAGAGTCGATTAGCTGCACTCATTCGTTTAGCTAGTTAAGCTAGTAGGAAATATGTTCTAAAATATACTCCTGATCTTCGATCTTTCATAATCTCTCCTTCGCTTAAGCTTTCCTTCGTTCCCATGACAAAGTCCATCTGATTTCCCTTTGCCTCCCACCGTTGCCTCCATTCCAGATTGCTGCAAACCGTCGAATCAAATGTTCAGACCGGAAATCCAGGCTCGAGCAAGTCTCCGCTCAGACTGAAAGCCGCAAATGTCAAATGATGTGAGTGGAGACTGGGAGGATCACCACACGATCATCGTCATCGCCTCTTATTGGAGCGTTCCTTCAAGCCCCAAAGATTCCTAGGCATTTGTCAACATTCTGATACAATAGACATGAAGCGTCTCATAGCTTACCCACAGCTCCGGGGCAGTCACGTTCTCCGGAAGAACCTCAGAGCATTGTCCCCACAGCTCACGACAGATTCGACGGCGAATGCCGGCCTGTCGCTGCCATTGTTTCCACTCGGTTTCAAGTTTTGCTCTTTCGGTCGGCGAGATAAGAACCGTTTTATCCTCGTGGCGGCTTGCCAAGCGGGCCTGGATCGCCTCTTGTTCGCTTTCTAAACGGGCAATATCCTGGCGAAGATCAGACACCCGGGGTTTGGCCCCCAAGGCTGTCAGAGCGGCTCGGGCCTTCTTTTCATTGGTTTTGAATTCTTCGAGTTGGCTTTGAAGGTTTGCAATATGTCGGCTTAGCGCGGCTGATGCCTCGGGCGTAGCTGTATCCGAAGGATCTTGCAGTGCATGGTAGACGGTCTGTTTGCCTGTGTGAATGTCGTAGAATTAGCAGGTCCCTTGTATAAATAAACAGGACTTGCCTGAAGTTCTTGCTTCGATTTGTTTCTTTTCGTGCAAGTCTCGCAGAATCTTGGTGGCTTGGGCTGATATATATTTATTAGACGAACACTTTGACTCGTGATGCCAAACTAACTTTTGGTAACTTTGTTGTGCAGATTCGCAGATATATCGATGGCCTGAACTTGTCAACCATGTGTCTTTAGCTTCCCGGGAATGGACAGCAAACCGAGTAAGGACGACTGTCCCAGACAGGGTTAGTTACTGTGAAAATGCCCTGGATGATTAGAGCCGTACTTTTGCTGGCCTGCACAAGAGGTAAGCTACAAGGCAATCAACGGCCTCCAAGGACACTCACGCAGGTAGTCACAGACGATTGAGGCATCTTCGAGTGGTCAGTCTTGATCCGGAGCAGTCAGTTAGGAACGCACCATCCTTTCCAGTAGTGGCATCGGGGTTTACTTTTCGAGGAGCCATCATGGACGAGCAAGCAAGACAGTAAGAACAGATAAATGATGAGTTGGGAAAGATTGAGTCGAGAAGAGGCGTGACAGCCATAAGATATGGATCTCACGTGGAACTACTACACGGGGACATTGAAAATTGGAAAATTGAAACAATTCATAGCTACTCCTGATATCTAACCCAAAAAGACTCAAAAAACCGAATACTATATGTCCAAGAAGATACCCCGAAGTCATTGATCCGGGGTGAAAATGCAATTTTCTCATAAGGTGAGACCATTCGCCTCCCGGACGACGAGCCTTTTGGGTCCCCGGGATGATGTGAAAGGGAAAAAATGCAAAACACGAAATTGAACACCTGGTCTGCAGTACAGCGGACGAAAATAATCGCAAAGAAGGACAGAAAAGGGACAGGGGGTATCACATCACAATCTAGAAAAGTCAGTTCTGGCTCAATGATTAATGGATTGACTTGACTCACGCAATCACTGTCATTCTTGGCACTAGGGACGCCCATCTCTTCAAAGGTCTTGGGTCCCTTGCCTGGCAGCTGACCACCGGGTTTGGCAGACTTTCCAGCGACACTTCCGGCAGTGCTGCCAGCGGAAGATTTGGGAGGTGCCGAGGAGGTTGACGATGCGATGGAGGGTGGTGGTTGAGGTGTGGAGGATGCCGATCCTCGAGATGGCTGCCGAGATTCTGTGCGAGGAGGGAACCCGGGAGATCCTGGTGGGCGTGGGGAGGTCGCAGTTCTAGGTGAAGGCAGCCCAGACTGGACAGAAGACTGGGCAGAGACAGGAGTTCTGATGGGCTTGCGGTCCGGAGGGGTCTGGTTGAGTTGTGGCGGCGGGCGTCTGCGGTCACCTGGTGGGGGCATTGGTGCAGAATAACCAACATCGAGACGAGGAGTTCCGCTGGGACTTATCATGTTGGCAGCCTGGGGGCTTCCTGGTCCGGCAGGTGCGCTCATGGGTGTGCCAGGGCCAGGCTGGCGATAGCTCATGGCTCCAGGAGGTGCCTGCCCATAGGACGGAGTACGGGATCCCGGTCCACCAGGAGGAGGACCGCCATAGCCCGGCGGGCCATTGGTCCGGAGGTTTGGGTTGACACCAAAGGCAGAGCTTGGGCGAGGATCTTGCAATTGGTAACCCTGACCCGGAGGCCGAGGACGAGAGGTTTGGGGACGATCGGGGTATGGAGCAGCCGAAGGGGGACCGTCAGACAAGCTCATTCGCGAAGGATCCGGCATTTGGATATTCTCGGGTGTTTCATCAATAGACCCACCTCGCTGATGGGCTGAATATCGCGTGGATTTGATGCGTGAGATCGCAACCTTCTCGTGGTCCTTTCTGGAAAGCGTCTTGGAGCGCGAGATACTCTCAATCCGACCCGATGCATCCTTGTTTCCACTGGCGGCGGCCTTGGCATACCAAGACCGAGCTTCTTTGATATCAACTGGCACAAATATACCAACCTCATAAAAGTAACCAAGAGCGAATTCGGCGGTGGGAAGTCCACTCTGGGCAGCGCGTTGCGCATACGTAAATGCCAACTCATCGTTCTTCTCGAACACACCCTCGTGTCCACAAAGGAACCATTTACTGATTGCCATCTCAGCTTCAGGCTCGCCCTGGCGAGCTGCCAGTGCGTTATAGTGCAATGACAGCGCCGGGTTGAAGTCGCAACTTAGCTGACACAGCTCGTATGCAGCACCCATTTTGACTTGGGCTTTAGCAAAGCCGTGGTATGCAGCTTTTTCGATATTGACACGTGCCGAATTTAGATCAAGAGGAAGAAAACTTTCTGGGACGCTCACTTGAGGGAGCTCGCGAGCCAAAAGCATACCGTAGACCTATGTTCGATATCAGCATATATCAGGCCGTGGTTTGAACGGAACTTACGTATGCGCCTTGAGGTGCATTTTGATCGCAGGACTGAGATGCCAATCGAATATACTCCAACCCAGTGTTAAAGTCCTGGATTTGGCCATGTTGTCCAAGGAGAATCATCATTCCAAGGCGCTGCAGAATGTAAGCCTCGACTCAAAACACGGGTTCCACAATACTCACATAATACGAAGCAGAATCGGCTTGTGCAACGCCCCGCTGATAGTGCCTAATCGCCTTCTCCGGCTCCCCCGAGCTTTCGAACTGCATTCCGATCCGATATTCGGCACGCGCATATCCCTTCTCAGCGGCGCGGGAGTAGCATCGGAATGCCTCCTTGCGATCCTGAGGATACCCGAATTTAGCGAACTCCAGCCACATGCCCTTGATAAATTCCGCTTTGGGATGACGCTGCTCGGCCAAAAACCCGACGATATTCATGGCGTCGACCCGCAGCTGCCGTTCAATCTGTGGGGTCTGCGGGCGCGGTGGCTGAGTCAAACAGAGGCGGGCTTCGTTCTGCGCCGCCACCTCAACAAAAGCTAGCGCGTCCAGAGCCCACGCCAATTGCATCTCTGGGTCTGTAGTCGAGAGCACCGCCATCCGTGCGCGTTCTAAACTGGCTTCCCGCTGTTCATCGGTGGGAGGCACATTCGGTGGTGGATTCCGCAGCACGGGGAATGGCGAAAAGTTGGGGTGATCCATGCTATCATACGTCGCAGATTGCGCGTAGGAACTCGGGTCTTGAAACTGGTTCTGTTGTGGTGGTCCTTGGGCAGCGGACGAGGTTCGCTCGGGGAACGGAGCCGGGGCGCGTTGGTGCTGCGCGGGTGACTGCTGACCACGGCGGGGGTCGCGGGTGTTATACTCCATCTGAGCAATGTTGTCCTGCATGTGCTCCGGTACATCGGGCATGACTCTGCCGGGATGAATCAATACTCGTAATTTCGGCATCTTGCGGGGATAGATGCTAGAAAAGTAGATTGCCTTACCGCTGAGGAGAGGGGGATATGACCTCTGGCATGTAAAAGTCATCCTGGCCCCCTGGATACCATGTCGCACCCACGCGTGGCTGACCACGGCCCTGTGGCGGTCTATTCATCATGGAAACGAAGTGGGGTGGGGACAATAGTAGACAACAAGCAAAGACCGAGTATCAGACCGTGCCTTTTACAAAAGCCACGTACATTGAAGACATATGAGGGGAAAGGAGAGAAGGAGGGGGGGGGGGGGGGGGGGGAGCATCTAAATGAAAAAAGTGCGCCAAGAGAACAACTGGAGCCCACTTGATGCCAGCCAAACACCAAACTTCATCTTCACTTCTTCTCCACCCCCGCCAGGTCAAACACCCGCGTTTATTAATAGGGAAAACATGGCAGATCGATGGTCTCAGCCTCATATCTGACAGGTCTCAGACTAGGCAATGTGGCAATAACCAAACAAAGAAACACTTTCAATACTTTCAACACGTCCAAACACTTCGTGCCTATACTCCCGTGCTTTTCTATTGGTCTCTGTCATCGTGCAGTAGCCCAGGACCCGCAAACTATTGTCCCCTTTTTTTTCTTTTGACTGGAGCCTTTGGAACTCCACTGCCCTGTTCCATTTTTATCCCTTCAAACTCTCGGGTTGTTCGGGGACTATACCGAAATTTGCTACTTTCACGTCATGTCCTCCACTATGCGCGATTTCCATCATCCTTATACGCCATACGACATCCAACAGCAATTTATGCAGGCCCTGTATGACTGTTTGGAAGAAAGCAAGATCGCCGTCTTTGAGTCCCCTACTGGTAAGCGCGGTTTGACTAGCTGTTTGTGTTCAATCTAACGTGCCGTGCAGGTACTGTAAGTGCATCAGCCACAGTCAGGGATCTCAGCGTGCTAAGCCTCTTCCGAGTAGGGAAAATCCCTGAGCTTAATCTGTGGCTCTTTGACATGGCTTCGGGACCATAAGCGCCAGGCATTTCAGGAAACAGTCGACAATGCAACATGTACGTCTATTTCGACCACGTAAGATCGGCTGGCAGGCTGACATGTTTCAGGCGATGAGGATGAGCCCGAGTGGATGGTCGAGTTTGCCAAGCGGGAGTCCCGTCAGGCTATAACCGAGAAGCGACAGGAATTTGAAGCGCGGCTCACCAAGATCCGCCAAGAAGAAGAACGCCTAAAGCAGGCCCAGAAGATCTCTGATCGCCCGAGAAAGAAGCAGGTATGTATATCTCTGACGTGGAAAGGGGCCATTCACCAACCTGAATAGCGACTCGACGAACCAACGTCTGAGACTGTCGACGAAGAACAATATGTTCTTGATGATTATGATAGCGATACAGAGCAGAAAAAGCCTGACTCTGGCAATGAGGGTCTATCTGCCAGCACTTTGGCTTTGTTAGAACGCTTTAAAGGACAGTTTTCTTCTCAGAAGAAAGAGGAAGACAATGACGCAGATGATGAAGTAAAAATCTTCTACTGCTCAAGAACGCACTCTCAGCTCAGTCAATTTGCCGGTGAACTACGACGAGTCACATTCCCATCCAGTATACCGAGCGATCTTGATCCAGAGAATAAAGATGAATCCTCCACACTTGAAGAGCGTGTGAAACATCTCTCGTTGGGTTCTAGGAAGAACCTTTGCATCAATCCCAAAGTACGGGCATTGGAAAACAGCACTGCGATTAACGAAAAATGTTTAGATTTACAACAGTCCGGTGTGGCAGCTGATAAAAAGTGCAAATTCCTTCCATCTAAGGACGATGAGGCCCTGTCCATTCAATTCCGCGACCACACTCTGGCAACCATCAAGGACATTGAAGACGTAGGCAAGGTCGGCAAAGAGCTTGGGATATGTCCCTACTATGCATCTCGTCCCGTTATCAAACATAGCGAGGTCAGTTCTAGGCATGCGATGTATGGCATCTAAGAAGCTAACGAATTCCAGATAATCACCCTCCCATATCCACTGCTGTTGCAAAGATCAGCCCGTGAGGCTCTAAATCTGTCCGTCAAGGGTCACATTGTCATAATCGATGAAGCCCACAACCTAATGGATGCAATCGCCGGCATCCATTCGGTGACAGTCACACTGAGCCAGCTGCAAACTGCCATCACACAGTTGACGACATATGCGCGCAAGTTCAAAAATAGACTTAAAGGAAAGAATCGAAACTATGTTGCTCAGGTTATCCGGCTGGTGAGCTCGATTGCAGACCATCTACGACCAATCTCTCAGCAAAAGGGACAAACAGAAGGATCACTGCAGACATCAGATCTTATGGCTGGCAAAGGAGTCGACCAGATCAACCCTTACAAACTATCTCGGTATCTACAAGAAAGTAAACTCGCCCGGAAAGTGGATGGATACGTTGAATCCGCACAAGAGTCTCAACCTGGCCGCTCAAAAGACAAGGCAACTATGCCGGTCTTGTTCCATATCCAAAGCTTCCTTCTTCCTTTGATGAACCCGTCGGAAGAGGGAAGGCTCTTCTATCAAAAAAGTCAAGATGATATCATGCTGAAATACATGCTTCTTGATCCTACAAATCACTTTCGCGAGATCGCTGAAGATGCCAGGGCTGTCATCTTGGCTGGCGGTACCATGTCTCCGGTAAGATTTTTTCTCATCTACAACACCATATCCTAACTTTGGAAATAGATGTCAGACTATGTAAACCATTTGTTTTCATATCTGCCCCCGGAACGACTTGGTACATTCAGCTACGGCCACGTTATCCCGCATACCAATCTAGTGGCACAGTCCTTGACTCAAGGGCTCTTGGGGTCTGAGTTCGATTTCACCTATGAGAAACGAAACTCTGAAAAGATGGTACGATCGCCATAACCCAAGATAATCCTACTGTGTTTTACTAACACTTACTTAAGATCGTGGACCTTGGTCGCACCTTAGCAGGCCTTTGTCAAATCATCCCAGATGGCGTTGTTGCTTTCTTTCCTAGTTATGACTACCTGAGCCAGGTTGTGAATGTCTGGAAGAAACCGATTCCCAACGGCAATGGCCAATCCACCCTTGATCTACTGGAACGAAAGAAGAAGGTTCTCTATGAATCTCGTGAAGCTGTGACATCAACGGACGCCTTGCTAAAGGAATATACCGATGCAGTTGAATCGGGGTCTGGAGCCTTACTGCTTTCCATCGTTGGTGGAAAATTATCTGAAGGCATCAACTTCTCTGATAAGCTAGGACGAGGCGTTTTTATCATCGGTCTACCATTCCCTAACATTCACAGCGCTGTCTGGCAAGCAAAGATTCAATACCTTGAGGAAAAGGCCTACAGGCAGGCGTCTGGTTCCGAGTCTGAAAGAAAAGCAGCAGGCAAGGCGGCCGGAAGAGACTTCTATGAGAACTCTTGCATGCGTGCAGTGAATCAATGTATTGGTCGAGCTATTCGACACGTGAACGATTATGCTGCGATCGTCATGATTGATCGTCGATATGATTCGCCTCGCATCCAAACAAAATTACCGGGTTGGATTCGAGGGAGCCTGGTGCCAACACCACCCACGCGGGCGGCTCAGATGACCGTGCAGAGACTTTCCAAGTTTTTCGCCGAAAAAAAGCGAAGCACAATACCAAAATAGAAAATTCCAAGACAATTAGCAGACCAGCACGTCGCATACACCGAAACCAATGTTGGTCACATGTACCTCCAACAGATGTCAACTGGTAGTTCGACATATGATGTCAATTCTGACAAAACAGCCCTAAGTAGACACGGCAGAATGGACAAATGGTAGGCGGTGTACTGTCAGCATTTCACGTGGTCATGACAAAGATAGGGTCAGGGCTTGACCCTATCACGGGACAAGCGAATTTGTTAGCGCACACTCTAGCTTGCCCGAGCCTGGATTTCAACATCCAAGACGGAACGACCCTCCCCCTTCAACGCCCAATACATAACGGTCTTGTCGAAACACCACCGCCGACAAGATGCCTACCCGTTTCTCAAAGACCCGGAAGCAGTGAGTCGACACCCTTTCCTGTGCCGTCTATCTCGAATTCTTTTTTCACGCAGATCGCGACGTCAAAAAGATCATCTCGACATCGCATCTATCGAACACATCACTAACCTTTGATTTCTTCTCACAGCCGCGGCCACGTCTCGGCCGGTTACGGTCGTGTCGGCAAGCACCGCAAGTCCCCCGGTGGTCGTGGTATGGCCGGTGGTCAGCACCACCACCGTACCAACATTGACAAGTTCCACCCTGGTTACTTCGGTAAGGTTGGTATGCGTTACTTCCACAAGACCAGCCAGCAGTTCTGGAAGCCCACTGTCAACGTTGACAAGGTACGTTTCAATTTCAATATCCGAGTCGAGCCGTGAAAAGAAGATTTGTGTGGATTGGTCCGAGTGCAAGGGAGAATTGGATCTGGCAGAAGAACACGAATGAGGAAAAAAAAACCTCAAGACCAATCCGACATAAATTCTACGGCACACGTTCTTATCTGGACAGTATCGCTGACCTTGAGTCTTTTTTCACAGCTCTGGTCCCTCGTCCCCGCTGAGCAGCGTGATGCCTACCTGAGCGGCAAGAAGACCGACGTCGCCCCCGTCATCGACCTCCTTCCCCTTGGCTACTCCAAGGTCCTCGGAAAGGGCCGTCTCCCCCAGATCCCCGTCGTCGTCCGTGCCCGCTACGTCAGCCGTGACGCCGAGGAGAAGATCAAGGCCGCCGGTGGTGTTGTTGAGCTCGTCGCATAAGCGTTGATTCGAGTTGGTGTTTCTAGAGAAGGCGGGTGAATAGGGGCAACATCAGCCCTGTGTTCGGTCTTGCGTGAATCAAGTTCGTTCGCACGGAGGACGATCGGAAACTCAAAATGAGACTGTCGGGATCGAAAGGATCGGTACTGGCGATCGAAAAGAAAAAGGGTTTTTTGTGTATGCAATATCAGCATAGCATGGCCTCCGAATGCCCTTACGATTTCACATTGTGTTAAACAAATACCATAAGGAGGATTTTTTCAACTTGTTCATGCGCAAGCTATCTGAGGGCTACTGTTTGTGTCAGTATTCTGATACTTGCCCATGTAGACTGGATGGTCAACGCTGCTTAGTCTGGGACGTGTATGCTTTGAATGTTGTCTCCGACTATGGGTTACGTCCTCGTAGAACTGTCTCTTGTGGTAGGGTTATGTCGACTGCTAATTCGTGTTTGATCATGTCATGGTCAAATCATCTTGTATCTAACTGCATTTTACACATTCATCTCGTCACATATTTATATCTTAGATCTTCGACTCCCGCACCGAACCACGTCGGCCAGCATTGTCCGAGCCTGTCAGCGTCTCGCTGATAAACCGAACGGCCTCGTCGACCATCTTCCCAGTCACCTCGTGACCCGCCGTCCGGTCAATGATATCCTCGAAAGACACCGCCCCATCACCAAACCACCCATCGGACGAGATGCCCTGTTTGAACCAATCAAGGAATTGTTCTCCGCGATGATACGGCACAAGCTTGTCCACGCCACCCGACAGATTCAAGATGCGCTTCCCAGCCAAGCACTTGGTCAAGAGTGGCCGGAGCACCTGCTGCTCCGTTTCCGATGGCTGAGGCAGGATTCCTTCGCGCAAAGGCCCCGTGGAGGACCCACAGTCCACATGCTTCAACATCATACTCGCCGGGTCGTATTGCTTGACTGTTTCCAGGAATGAGGTTGGCAACGCCTCTGAGCCAAGAACCTTGGCACCTGGGGGGTCGCTCTCTGTCCATGATGGCAGCTTCGACAGTCGTGCGCGGTCTGCCATGAGATTGATATAGTCCGGGCATCCAATGATCACTACTCCGGCACTCACGCGAGGCTCGTGCAGCAGACAGCTCCACGCCGCGTGTCCACCCAACGAGACTCCCAGAACTAAGTTCTCGGTGATCTGGTGCTCACCACTAGGGAAAGTGTAGGCTGCGAGGTAGTCCATCAGTAGCGATGTATCTCTGGCAGTGCCCTCTGGTGCAATCATTAGAAATAATACTAGTCACCCATTCGATCCAATCACTTACGGAAAATAGAGAACATATCCTGCGCGTGGCGAGGATTGCCCTGTCTCCACGCCTCATTGGCAAGAGGATCAACCATCCGAGTTCCGTGGTTCCGTTGGTCAAAAGAGACAGCAATCAATCCCTTCGCCGAGGGCGTATCTTTGTTTCTTGTGTTCCAGTCGGTGATGGATGAATTGGCGATCCCAGTCATCCGTTCCTGAGTAGCCAGTCTCGGGTGAAGTAACCATAAACATGCTACTTCGGATGCTTCTGCACGGAGCTCCTCCAATCCAAATACCGTTACTGAAATTCCGGCAATTGCGTAGACTTTCTTGGAGATGTCGGCCGGCTTTGGCCGGCCCGAGTCATCGAAAGACTTCAATGGGTCTGTCATTGGGAGTGCCGGTGAGAATTGAGTTGGATATGAGTCGCAAGGTGGAGTTGTTGAGAGGTGGAATGGCGGGGGAGAGATTGTTTAACGGCGACTCGGGTATACTACGAAGAGCCGAGGGTCTTTGCCCATTTGTCCCTACGCACATTTCACTCTCGACGAATCTTGAATCTGCTGGGTTTCTTGGCTTTACAGTTTTATAGCTTTGTAGCTTTGTAGCGACTGAGGTCTAATTCGACAATCTATGGTCAATTGATTCGAGGGGCCTGAGACATATATATGTGTTTCATATTAGGACTCCATATGGCCCATTTCCCGATAAAAATCCATTTTACCCCTGTAATCTTCTGTGCTCGTGTGCTTTCCAAGCTTCTGTGTTTCTGAGCTTCTCGACATCCATTGTAGTGGACTCAACCCCCTTTTCCAGTTCAACTGACCGCTCTGTGGCTGTTCAGTGGACCTCTCCAGAGCACTTCAAAGTGGAACTCCAAACTAAATCATCTCCCTTTAATATCAACACTCGCGTGTCCGACTTTTTTTTTGTGGCTTTTTCCCAAGACATGACGCGAGGAACTTTGGTGCTGTGACAGGGCCTCGATTGATCCACACGTATGTAAAGTGGTTCCTGACCCGCCCCCCATGAACTGCAACTGATAATCACCTTGCATTAGCACCACCCCCCGACAATATGTCGGCCGCTTCAGTTCAAAAAGAGCCGGAGGTTGGCTCGTTAAAAACCGAATCCAAGAAACCCGAACCTCTGTCCACCTCGAATGGATCAAAACTAGCCTCGCCCTTCCCTTCTCCTACGGATACCAGGAAACCGGCCTCCCTTCGTCGGGCACCGACAGACGAGAATGCAGTCGTGGATCCAAATCAGATCAAGGAAGCGGGGGGGATACTGAAGGACACCGAGAACCATTCGTCGTCACTAAAGCATGGTTCTCCGCGAGGCAGATCATCCCTGAGTACTCGACCACCAAACCGGTCGACCGAGGATCAACAACCATGGACTCGTTACCAACGCCAATCCTCCGTTCCGGGAGCCTCTCCCCCCTCCAGAACCCAGAGCGTGCAATTCAGAGACACCGACACCGAAGCCCAGTCACGACCCCAATCGCGACCCGCGTCTATACATGGCGATGAGGAGCAGGAGGAGGAGGGCCCTAAGGGGAAACAATCATTGTTTGGAAAGCTCAAATCATTGGCCGCCGCCCCTGCCTTTACATCACATTCGCGATCCCCAAGCAGTGCAAGTGCAGACTTTCGACCAGGGCCGGTACCCGACATCGCGACCCCGGGTTCAGAAAGGGGAGAATTCCGGTTCCCGGAGCCATTGGCAGAAGAGGGGAGCGAGATCGATGCGGATGCAGAAGAGAGCGGAGGTGAGCAAAGCCAGCGTCGGGAAAAGAAGAAATTGCCCAGGCGTCGCAAGCAACAGCAAGAGGAAGCTCAAACCGCGCCGAACACACCCAAAACCACCCGCAGACCATCGTTCAATTTTGCGGCTTCCTTTGCGCCCTTTGAGAACTACCGAACCAACCTCTTCCCTCGAAGAGCAAGCACAACGGATTTCACACCTCAACAGCGTGAGGGGGTATCGGAAGATGAAGGCCGCGAGAGGCTCAACAGTCGCAGGACCCGTCCGTGGGCCGCCAATCGGGGCCTAAGCTACACGGGGCGCCAACCAGATGGCACACAGGATGAACAGCGGCCGAGCAATTTGAGACGATTGACCGGCTTTGCTGGACCTGGAAATGAAGAAAGTTTAGCAGCCAGCTGGAAACGCCATCGAAATGAACGTGGCACTAGTGCTAGTGCCCAGCGATGGAAACAGATCAAAGCTGGGTTGAAACTCATTGGCCAGCGACGCAGGCCAGAAAATACCGTGGACAACAAAAAGTCCGCTGAGCTCCTTGCTGAACTGGCATCAGCTGTGCCTGCGGCATTGATCTTGGCTAGTGCGTTCCAACGTGATGAACATGGCAGCAAGCGAATCCCCATTCTTCTGGAGCAGCTCAAGGTTCGTGTTACGGACAGCCGCGTTGACTCAAGCTCGGGTGATCGCCATCTGGTCTTTCGCGTTGAGATGGAGTATGGCAGTGGTATGACACGGATGAAGTGGATAATCTTCCGCACACTGAGAGACTTTGCCAATCTGCATCTCAAGTACAAGCTTCACCTGGGCACCCAAAAATACATCCAGCTACGAACAAGCGAGAACAGCCCGAGTCTTCCTCGTTTCCCCAGAAGTGCCTTCCCTTACATGCGAGGTGTGCGTGGCCTGGAAAGCGAATTCGAGGATGAAGATGAGGAAGGTGGTTATGAGACTGGTGCCGAGGGTATGAGTGGAACAGAGAGACCGATGAAGCGGAAACAGAGCCAGCAACCAAGTCAGCGTCGCGCCTCTGGAGCCATCACCCGCAGAAAGTCTAGCATTACCAACCAGGAAGGGGAGTCGGCTGCAGGACCTTCCTCCACTCTCGAAGGTGCGAGCGGGAAAAAGGAGACATATCCAGAAAAACAGCGAAAGAAGCTTGAGCTCTACCTGCAAAAGATGATCAGGTTCTTAATCTTCCGAGCTGACAGCAACCGTCTATGCAAATTCATGGAGCTGTCTGCTCTTGGTGTTCGTCTGGCTGCTGAGGGTAGTTACCACGGCAAAGAAGGGTTTTTGATCATCCAGTCCTCCAAAGGTCTTGACTTCCGCAAAGCCTTGACACCCTCTTTGATTAAGAAGAGACATTGGCCTAAGTGGTTCTTGGTCAGACACAGCTATGTTGTCTGTGTTGATTCCCCCGAAGAGATGAATATCTACGACGTCTTTTTGGTGGATCCTTATTTCAAGATCCAGACACAAAAGATCAGCCTTCGCAATCAAAACACGAAGGATCTTGCTAAGTCTGCAAAGCAGTCTGCAAGACACCCTCAGCACCATACCCTCCGACTTGAGAACTCTGAACGCAAGCTGAAACTTTTGGCTCGAAACGAACGCCAACTCCAGCAGTTTGAAGACTCGATCCGTTTCATGGCTGACAACACCCCCTGGATGAAGCCCAACCGTTTCGATAGCTTTGCGCCTGTGCGAAAAAACTGCTTTGCACAATGGCTCGTTGATGCTCGGGACCACATGTGGGTTGTTTCAAGAGCAATTAATCAGGCAAAGGATGTGATTTACATTCATGACTGGTGGTTGAGTCCAGAGCTGTACCTGCGTCGCCCTGCCGCCATCAGTCAGAAATGGCGGCTGGACCGTCTCCTGCAACAGAAGGCTCGTGAGGGTGTCAAGATCTTTGTGATTATGTACCGCAACATCAACTCCGCCATCCCAATTGACTCAGAGTACTCTAAGTTCTCTCTCCTCGACCTACACCCCAATATCTTCGTCCAGCGTTCGCCCAATCAGTTCCGTCAAAACACTTTCTTCTGGGCCCACCACGAGAAGCTTTGTCTGATCGATCATACCATAGCGTTCGTTGGAGGCATTGATCTATGCTTCGGTCGTTGGGATACTCCCCAGCATCAGTTGACCGATGACAAGCCCACTGGCTTCGAAACCACGGATGGTCCTAAGGATGCAGACCACTGCCAGCTTTGGCCTGGAAAGGATTACTCTAACCCCAGAGTCCAGGACTTTTACGATCTTGACAAGCCATATGAGGAGATGTATGATCGTAACGTCGTGCCACGTATGCCTTGGCATGATATTTCCATGCATGTCGTCGGCCAGCCTGCTCGAGATCTTACTCGTCACTTCGTGCAACGCTGGAATTATATCCTTCGTCAGCGCAAGCCTACTCGACCCACGCCCTTCCTCCTGCCACCCCCTGATTTCAACCCCGCCGATTTGGAAGCTCTGGGACTGGACGGAACATGTGAGGTACAGATTCTTCGTTCCAGCAGCATGTGGTCGACCGGAACACCAGATGTCACCGAACACAGTATTATGAATGCCTACGTCAAGTTAATCGAGGAGTCTGAACATTTCGTCTACATCGAAAACCAATTCTTCATCAGTACTTGCGAGATTGATGGCAGAAAGATCGAGAACCTCATTGGAGATGCTCTCGTTGAGCGTATCGTCCGAGCCGCTAAGAACGAGGAGGCATGGCGCGCCGTCATTGTCATTCCACTGATGCCAGGCTTCCAGAATACAGTCGACAGCGAAGGTGGCACAAGTGTGCGTCTTATCATGCAGTGTCAATACCGCAGTATCTGCCGTGGAGAAACCTCCATCTTTGGCCGACTCCGTGCTCTTGGAATTGAACCCGAGGACTACATTCAGTTCTTCAGTTTGCGAGCATGGGGCAAGATTGGACCACAAAAGCAGCTGGTGACGGAGCAACTCTATATCCACGCGAAATGCATGGTTGTGGATGATCGTGCTGCTATCATTGGATCTGCAAATATCAACGAACGATCCATGTTGGGATCGCGTGATTCCGAAGTTGCATCTATCGTGCGCGACACTGACATGATCATGTCGACCATGGCTGGCAAGCCGTACCTTGTTGGTCGATACCCGCACACCCTACGTATGCGCCTAATGAGAGAGCACCTTGGTATTGATGTCGACGAGCTCATGGAGCATGACTTTGCCACCGAAGAAGAGTTGCGCAAGATCCAAGTTGCCGAGGGTAATGATCGCTCAGCAGATGATCGCGGACGCAGAAACTCTGTATCATCGGTCACTGAACGTCAAGATGAGAGGGATATGATTGAACGTCGCCATCGTGTTCAAGACGAGTTCCTTTCTCGTTCGGAGAACATGTATAGTTTCAACCATGATGTCGACTGGGAACAGGGTGCCAACCCTAACCTGAAATCAAACCGAAAGCTCACCGCCGATCCTCGAGTCACCGAGAACGCTGATCACAGGAAGGATGTGAGTGGTGACGGCACCGATCACTGGACAGCTGCCAGTCAAGCTGGATTGGGAGTTGGCCGTGACTCACAGATGGTGGCTAATGGATCCGAGGCTTTGCTCTCGCCGATTGCGGCAGAAGGGAGAGGTACTATTGAGCAACCTTCCTCTTCCCAAAAGCCATCCCGGTCAGCCTCGACCCGCAAGAATTTACCGCCTGGTGCATCGAGCGATACCATGCGCGACTCCGAAGCAAATGGTGATGCTGCACAGAACCATGGTGACTCCGGAACATCAAGCCGCGCGTCCGAATCCAATGGTGTCGGTTTGATCATGTCAAAGGGAGAAGACCATGAGACCTCCAAACACCCACATCCCGCCATCCCAGACCTCAAACAAATCTTCATTGATAAGGACTGTATGAGAGACCCGGTCATCGATTGTTTCTACTTGGACACATGGCAAGCCGTCGCTGAAAAGAACACAAAGATCTACCGATCTGTGTTCCGATGCATGCCTGACAGCGAAGTCAAGAACTGGAAGGAATACAAGGAGTACGCCGCATATGGCGAGCGCTTTGCAGAAATGCAGAGCCAACAAGGCAACAAGCCACCTCAGCCACCTCAGCAAAAGCAAAGCGGTCCTCCTGGAGCTGCTTCAGCCAGCTCACCCATGTCTCCATTATCTTTCATTAGTGCCAACAAGATCGACACTCCACCGACGGACCCGAAATCTCAAACAATCGATGAGAAACTCAATACTAGTTCCGTCGATGCCAACCGTCCCCATTCCGAGCAGCTGGCCAAGCAAGAGACACTGTCTTCTATTGATGAAAAGGGCCCATTGACAGTGGCATCGGACCCTAACCTGCTGTCGACCGCCCAAAATGGCTCCGGCGATATCGTCGCTGGCGAAGATATTGAGAAGCCTCGTTCAACATCCGTTCAAATCGATTACTCTGAAGCTGTGAATCTGAACTCAACCAGCCAGTCTCGCAAACGGAGACGGAGAGCCGCTACTATTGGCTCGAAGCGGGATCCCCTTGGCGCTGATGAGTTCCTGGATAAGGGACGCGCAGAGGATCTCCTCAACAAGGTCCAGGGTCACCTTATTGCCTGGCCGTATGACTGGTATGTTGCCTCTTTGGTTTCAATTTTAGATTTGATTTACTGACGCTTCGATAGGCTCGAGAAAGAAGAGCAGGGTGGAAACTGGCTCTATGCTCTGGATCAGATCTCCCCATTGGAGATCTACAACTAATCTCTCAGCTTGTATTGCTTTGCACTTGCCGGCGTCTTTGTTTTTGTTTTGCTTTTGTTTATTTTGTTCGATTGTTTCTGAGCCTCTGCCTGCTTCAAATTCTCGAGCCCTACTATAGCGATTGATGCATTTTCACCTGGTCTTTCTAGACTTTTGTTCTTAGCTTTTCGAATGGTGGCTGTCTCTTGCTGCATGCTCCTACGCATGGGGTTTACTAAAATAATAACAATGTTTCCAATTGCCAGAAAGAAAGAGATGAGAGGGGAAATTTTCAATTATCATTATGCTGTATGGATATTTAACGTGGTATTTATTTGCTTCAAACTGTTTCGTCGCTCGCTGTGTTATCTAGGAATGGTCACCTAGATAGACGAGTTGATTGCGGATTTTCTCCAGGGTATCAAAATTGGCATGTAGGGCAGTCGTAAGAATACTCGAATTCTTATTTTGGCCATCACTTGCCCAATTGTCGCATGCTTGACGAAGTTGCTGGTGCGCAGCCATGAAAGCGCCCTGCAGTTCAGATGTGCGAGTGCATGAGCGGCCCAGGTCGTTCATATAATGGGTTGGATCCTGTATGCACAGCCGGTGCGCGACCAGATGGTTTCCTTTTGCTGCTGCGGTACGCTTCGTATTGATAAGAGAACGTTGACCGCGCTGGTGGGCGGGTTCGTCAACGTCCGAGGTAGTCGATATTATGTTCGCGCCGAAGAGTCCAGGAGGATCAACTGCGAAGCCGACGGACTGGAGGTCAACTTCAGTGCCGTAGAAGTGCATGAGAGCAAGAAATTGGTCACCCAGGCGATTGGGCCCTGTGAAACAGCCATGGTTCATCTTCAGGAAGGCCACGATCAGCATGGCGAGCCCATCTGGTCCAATACTCGCTTGCGGTGAGCCGAAAAGCCCGCGCGACTCTAGTAGTGTACGCGCTGCGGTATACAGAGGTCGGAGGCTGGGATATTCGGCCTGGTAATCCTGCAGATACTCTGTAATGGCAGGAATACCCTCACCACAATAAAATTGGAGCAAGAGTCCCGTTGGCCGGTGTCGAGCTGATAGGGCAGGATTGCGCTTATCAGATAGTTGCACTTGGCCATTGAACGCATCAGTATGCTGCAGGGTTCTCTCAACCTGGCGGAGGAGGCGGATATGGGCATCTTGAATCTGAGGCCGGGTGGGACTAGGTTTCCGATCACGATCTGGTGACCGTGGTAGGTCCTCAAATGGTAAAACGAAGTCGATATCAGAGTGTGCCAGAGCAAGACCGGTGCAGTGCGATCCAATATTTCTGGGCGCGTGCGGAACTACTGCTTCAAGAAGTGAGGCCACCTCTGCCCGAAGCCTTTCAATCTGATCTGTCTCCTGGGAAGTTGGCATGAGATACTGATCTAGTGCGCGGATCTCGATGTCCAAGAATGTCTCGCCACTAGCGCGAGGCAGCTCCAGACCTTTCAGCCATGGAGATTGTGCTGGGCGCCCCTTCCCAGCCCTTTGAATCGCGTCTTCTCCAGCTCGATCGATTGGCGTCTGACGAGGCGGTGCATTGGCATCATCTTTCCGCCTGCTTTGGCGCTTCTTAGACGTCGGTTTGGGGGCATCTGGCGAGTATTCCGCTGTCGGTAGAGCTGGCTCTGTCGGCGGTTGGTAGCCCGCGCGACTCTCCACTGGGACCTCAGGGCGCCACAGTCCCAGAGAATCTTCTTTGGAGTATGTTTTTCGAATTAGCCGAGCCCGATTGGTGGACCGATGCGCCTCTAAGGTCTTGCGGAGGCTGTTGGCGAAGACATCGGGCGTCTTGGCCGCCGCAACAGAGCTGTGGAATGAACGGAAGAAGAGCCGAGGTCGGAGGGATTGCCTAGAAGCTTCGAGGCATGTCGAGATCAAAGACACCGGAGTAGATGTCACCATGCCGAGTATGCATGCGGATAACATTCTCCATTCTCAGCGGCGGGAACTTTGTAACTTATAGATTGCGGCCTCAGGCAGCAAGGGCCATGTGACCCGATTGGAGAAAGAACCGGGCGAATAACTTCGTTTCTGCAAGTTGAAGAGTCACTCTGAACGTGAAGGATCCCCTGTCGAATTAATCCTTCCATGTCTTCAGATTGCACCTATTCGCTGTTAGTGGTGTCTCCCCTTCGACCATCTCCACGATGATCTCTCCAAATAGCTACGAAATAAGAATATACCAAGGAAAAAAGTAGATCGACCAGGGCATCATGACGTAGCATTGAGGAAATATCCACGAACCCAGCCAAACCCCTCAAGATCTCGAGTTGACTTCTTCGCATTCTTGTCTTCTCTTGACTCACACCTGACCGGTTTCCCAGTTGAGTCCCTTGATAAGATCTCACCGCTTGCCCCTCCTTCAGGGCTTCCAAAGACTACAAAACACTATCCTCGGAGCTCTTCTTTCTTCAATTTGCCTTGGATACACACTGTTGAACTTGAACCTTTCCCCCCTCCCCCTTGAAAAACCCCCATGGCTTTGCAATAGGTTGTTTGCGTGTCGATCTTGCTTATCGACTCCCCTCCGAGGTAACTTACTTCCCACCAACTTGCCCACCTCAAGGTTTCCCACATCGTTAACGCATGCGATTACAGGAACCGTGCCTCATTGCTACTTAGGTAGTCTCATCAGATCTTGATCTTCGATATATTCCGCAGTTATTATGTCTCAACCAGAGAGCCCCGCCGAAATCCCCCAGGGACAGCCGAACCCGGTGCTCGTTGGTCCCGGATTAAAAGCCCTTAAGGAGCAGGCATACACCCAAGCAACCAGTGCAACACCGGCGGTGGAAATGGATGCGAAACCTTCATACTTTAACAATGTCCCTGGGGACTCGCCTGTGGAGACGGACCCCGCCAACGTCACCAATCCAGCTCAGAGTGCTAGGAAAGCATCCACGGGCATGGACTTACTCCGCCGTCTAAGCTTGACGTCTGATGCCCCTTCATCGCCCGAGATAGACCCGCGTGTGCAACATCCCGGCCTTCGTCTGAGTGGCCGCCTTATCAGCGCCGCTTTCTGTATACCATACAAGATTGGCTTTACACAGGGATCGGACTGGGTACGTGAGGCAATACGAGACCACACAGAATGACGCTGACAGACTACTTAATAGGAGCTCAAGCCGCGATCCGGTACCTCGGCACTCTTTGACTCATTCGCACATCTGGCTTCGGACGAGACAACGTGGTCCCATACCCTGGTAGGCTGGACCGGAGAGGTCGAGCCAATTGTGGACCTGAAAACACCACTGCAGCAGATTCAAGCCAATGCCGGAGCCAAGCTACCTACCACTCCAAACAGCGCTATTGTCAATCAGACCCTGAATAAGGCTGCTGCTCCGGTACCGGTGGATGCAACCCAAAAACCACCTGCCAACCCACTAGTGGAAGGAATCAAGGTCAGCCCGAAACAACGAGAACAGCTCGAAGAGAAGTTGAGCTCAGGTCGCCACGGTAAGGTGGTGCCCGTATGGCTATCAGATGCCCCGGAGGAGCCCGAAGAGACCATCTTATTGAAAGACCAGGGGAGATGGCGCCGTTATGCAGAACGTGAACTTTACCCCCTTCTCCACTACAAGCAGCATGGACCAACAGATGGTCGATCTGAGCGACGCTGGTGGGTCGATTATGTCCGTTTGAACCAGTTGTTTACCGATCGAATCGTGCAAGAGTACCAAGAGGGAGATGTGGTCTGGATCCACGATTATCATTTGTTCCTTCTGCCCAGTATGTTGCGGCAACGCATCCCCAACATCAAGATGGGCTTCTATCTTCACTCGCCTTTCCCTAGCAGCGAGTTTGTACGGTGCCTGGCGAAGCGCAAGGAAATTCTGGAAGGTGTGCTTGGTGCCAACATGATTGGATTCCAGACATTCTCTTATTCTCGTCACTTTACTTCATGCTGCACACGTGTTCTGGGCTTTGAATCCAATTCTGCTGGTGTCGATGCCTACGGCGCTCATGTCGCAGTGGATGTGTTCCCTATTGGCATTGACGCACGTGCCATTCAAAAGGCTGCGTTTGGGGCTCCAGATATTGAAACGGCAGTACAAGGAATACGCAAGCTCTATGCCGGAAAGAAAATCATCGTCGGTCGTGATCGGTTGGATAGTGTTCGGGGTGTAGCGCAGAAACTCCAGGCCTTTGAAATCTTCTTGGAGCGCTATCCCGAGTGGCGCAACCAAGTCGTTCTCATCCAAGTTACAAGTCCGACTAGCGTGGAAGAAGAGAAAGAGGATCCCGACAATAAGATTGCTGGTCAAATCTCCAACTTGGTTTCGACCATCAACGGCAGATTTGGCTCCCTAAGCTTCTCACCCGTTCAGTATTACCCACAATACCTGTCTCCGCGCGAGTATTTCGCTCTCTTACGCGTGGCGGATGTCGGATTGATCACCACGGTACGAGACGGCATGAACACAACCAGTTTGGAATATATCGTCTGCCAGCAAACCAACCACAGCCCGCTGATTCTTTCGGAATTCTCTGGTACCGCCGGTACTCTGCCTAACGCTATTCACATCAACCCGTGGGATCTTGGTGGAGTAGCCAAGGCCATTGATCAAGCTCTGAACATGCCCGCAGATCAACGCAAGGATCAGCACGTCAAGCTCTACAAGCATGTGCTCACCAACACTGTTGCACAGTGGTCAAGGCAGTATCTTAACCGTCTACTGACCAACCTTTCATCCTTTGACCAGTCTGCTGCGACGCCCGCACTTGATCGCGCAAAAATGATGAGACAATACCGCAAGGCTCGAAAGCGTCTCTTCATGTTCGATTACGACGGCACATTGACCCCGATTGTCAAGGATCCGCAGGCGGCCATTCCTTCCGATCGGGTGCTCCGTACTCTGAAAAGCTTGTCTGCTGACCCGCGAAATGCTGTTTGGATCATCAGTGGACGAGACCAGGCCTTCCTGGATGAGTGGATGGGTCATATCCCAGAGCTTGGATTGAGTGCCGAGCACGGTTGCTTCATCCGACAGCCCCGATCGGATGATTGGGAGAACTTGGCGGAGAGGAGTGATATGGGATGGCAGAAGGAAGTTGTCGAGGTGTTCCAACACTATACGGAACGTACACAGGGCTCATTCATTGAACGGAAGCGGGTGGCATTGACCTGGCATTATCGTCGGGCTGATCCCGAGTATGGTGCCTTCCAAGCGCGTGAGTGTCGCAAGGAATTGGAGAACACCGTTGCCAAACGGTGGGATGTGGAGGTCATGGCAGGCAAGGCCAATCTGGAAGTGCGACCTACCTTTGTCAACAAAGGGTTCATTGCAACTCGTCTGGTCAATGAATACGGCACCGGACCAGGGAAAGCACCAGAGTTTATCTTGTGTCTAGGTGATGACTTTACCGACGAAGGTCAGAATTGCTCAGCCTGAAACCTATTCCAGTGTCGAACAAAGTTGGCTAACCTCGTTTTAGATATGTTCCGCGCTTTAAAGAAGTTCGAACTCCCTCGCGATCACGTCTATTCCGTCACCGTTGGCGCCAGTTCGAAGCAAACTGACGCTAGCTGGCACTTGTTGGAGCCAGCCGATGTCATTGGATCGATTTCCATGCTCTTTAGCAGCGCCAATCAAGACCACTGAGACGAACCCGATCATTGACCTTATACTACAGTCTCCCCGGCCTCGGCCACGGCATGCCGGATTCATCGCAAACGATCTTGAAAATGGGTTGCCCTCCTTATTTTTTTGTTGCTCATCATACATTCATCCATTGCCTTGTTTTTTTTTTTTAATATTTTCTGGAGTGGCTTTGTTCCCCATAGATGACATGTACATGTTAGAAGTGTCCGAATTTTAAGCGTATCCGAGACAGCCGGGCTTTGCGGGGACCCCGGACAATTGCGCCAGAACAGTCTGGAGACGGCAATACCAGTGGGTCTATATTCAATATCAAGTTCTTGTATGTATTCTGCAGGACCTGCTTTGCGATAGGGATTTCAACATTAGTTCTCTTAAGTGTGTATTGTCGAATCCGGAAAAGCAGCCGTCCTCCAGACACAGCACCTCCAGCATTTATTTCATAACCAAACGCCCTAACCCCAAGATCATACCTACCCAATACCCAATACCCAATACTAAACATCCAACACCCAATAACCTGAGTCCAGAGTATCTATGTGGACCCTATCAAAAGGGCGCATTCGGCCATCTCTGCGAACCCCGGGATCGGAACCAATCCCGTTATACTCGGGCAAGTTTTTTCTCCCCGGTCTCCATCTGAACTTATAAACTCGTTGACTCATTTGAAAAAAAAAACTAGGATTTCTCTATGTCTCAGTCAATCTTGTTATACTGACTGGCTCAGAAAAGCATTAGTCTACAACCTTGCATCTGGCATCTCCACGACGTGACTATCAGTGCCATACCCTAACTCACTCAGGGCCGACGCAATGCATCAACCACATTTACAACCACAAATACAACCACAAACAGAACCGGAATCGGAATTAGACTCAGAAAAGAGACCATCCAGAATGTCTTCCCAACCATCCAACCACGACCTCGAGAAATCCTCTCCGCGCCCTCACAGCGCATCCTCAGACGAAGAATCAACATTCGACGACGACAACCCCCATCACCCCCACGACTCTCTCGACCGCATTCCCACAACAGCAAGCGCCATCTCGCGCACACTCTCCGCTGTGCGGACCCGGGAATCAGGCAAATCTTTAGGTCCGCCCCCCGACGGCGGATTCCAGGCCTGGTCTCAGGTTGCGCTGGCGCATTTCGTCATCTTCAATACTTGGGGCTATATCAATAGCTTTGGTGTGTTCCAGACATACTATACCCAGACCCTGGGCCACCCGCCGTCGGATATCTCGTGGGTGGGCAGCATTCAGATCTTCTTGTTGTTCTTTATTGGGACGTTCTCAGGACGTGCTACCGATGCTGGCTATTTCAAGCTGACGCTGGCGGTTGGGGCCACCCTGGAGGTCTTTTGTATCTTTATGACTTCCTTGTGTACGGAGTACTGGCAGCTGTTCTTGGCGCAGGGTCTTGGGCAGGGTATTGGGTGTGGATTGATGTTTTGTCCGACGTTGGCTTTGATTTCGACTTATTTTGTGAAGAATCGGGGCATTGCCATTGGGATTGTGGCTTCCGGCTCGGCGACGGGTGGTCTGGTCTTCCCGGCAGTGATTATGCGTATGCTGCCGGCTGTGGGCTATGGGTGGACTGTTCGGACGTTGGGCTTCATTTCGCTGGCTACCTTGGTTCCGTGTGTGCTTTTCTTGAAGCAGCGTCTTCCGCCGCGTAAGACTGGTCCCCTGGTGGAATGGGCGGCGTTCACGGAGATGCCCTACCTGTTGTTTGCTATTGGCATGTTCTTGGACTTCTGGGGCTTGTACGTCGGATTCTTCTACATCGGCAGTTTCAGTCGGAACGTCATTGGTGTTTCCACTGACCGATCGATTGATCTGCTCTTGGTCATGAACGGAGTTGGTCTGGTCGGTCGACTGGTGCCCAATCTGCTCGCGGATCAATTCACCGGACCTCTCAACCTGTTGATCCCCTTCAGTTTTGCCACGGCTCTGGTGGGCTATTGCTGGGCGGCTGTGGGAGATATGGGAGGATTATGGACCTTTGCTGTCTTTTATGGTCTCTTCGCGGCGGGCATTCAATCCTTGTTCCCCGCCACCCTCAGCACCCTCACGACTGATCTTAAGAAGATTGGCGTGCGCATGGGCATGGTTCTCAGTGTGGTCGCTGTGGCTGCTCTGATTGGATCCCCTATTGCTGGAGCGCTGGTGGAGCGCGACGATGGCAATTATCTCTATGCACAGATGTTCATGGGGAGTGCGATCATCGCCGGCGGCATCACCCTGTCTTTGGCGCGAGTGGCCAAGGTGGGCACTGGGTTGGCGCGAGTCTAGGGAGTTAATAGTATAGTGTTGCATATCATCGCATATCATAGCTCATAGCATCTATATCAAAACCATCAAAATCCTCAGATTCATCAAGATGTTCGAGATGATCAAAGCCCTAACTTGGAAATCGAAGCGTTGTGGTTTGCCAAAAAGGGTCCCCACATGTGATTCATGGCTTGACTCGTTTCCACTTTTTGCTTCCTCCAACACCTCATTTACACGTCCGGTAAGTTGTTTGATGTTGATCTGAAGAGCTTTTGGGTCTTTGGTCTTCGGCCTCCAGTGTATGGGCATCTGGAATTCCCCCCGCTTTGCCCCTCTGTGCGCCCTGGTGAAAATCCCACGCTAACCTCTCTTCGCTTCTAGATACGCATTGTTCTTCTGAACTCACGAAATACTCTCCCCCAAAAATCTTCTAAAACTACAAAATGGCGCGTGGCGGTCGTGGAGGAAAGTTCTCCAAGCCCTCTCGTGGAGGTACGATCGTGTGACAGGCCAAGACAAAGCAATGACGCTGATAAGCAACAGGCGGCAAGCATTTCAGCAGAGATCTCAACCCCTTAGACAAGGATGGCAACCAAGTTGGTCTCTGGCGGGTACGTAAATCCCACAAACTCACCACAGTACAAGAACACCCGACCTAATCAAGCGCTCCCCCACAACAGGAACCAGAGGACGGCATCAAGTCATCCAGTGAAGAAGAATCTTCCTCGGAGGAGAGCTCCTCAGAAGAGAGCGAGGACGAGTCCAAGCCCGAAACATCCACAGGCGCCGGAACCCGCGAAGAGCGCCGCGCAGCCGCCAAAGCGAAGAAGCTAGCAGCCATGAAGAAGCGTGGCCAGCAGGCCGCACAGCCTGGCGACCTGCCCCCATCAGACTCGGAAGAATCCGACGACGACCTCCCCGCCAACCCTAACCACACCGCCAAGTCTCGCTCGATGACAGCCAAGCCTGTCGATGCACCCGAACCCGCCGAGCCCAAGAAGCCCGCCAAGGTGAAGGATATCTCGCAGCTGTCGCGCCGGGAGCGTGAGGCTCTCCAGGCACAGCAGGCGCGTGAGCGTTACCAGAAGCTGCATGCGGAGGGTAAGACTGATGAGGCCAAGGCTGACCTTGCGCGTCTGGCTCTGGTCCGGGAGAGACGTGAGCAGGAGCGTTTGCGCAAGCTGGCTGAGCAGGAGGAGAAGGATGAGCAGGCTAAGGAGCGTGAGCTGATTGCTCAGGAGCGCGAGGCTAAGATGCGTCAAATTGCCATGGGCAAGGGATCTAAGAAGCTTGGTGGAAAGAAGAAATAAGGGATTAAGTTATCCAATGTTGAATGCTTATGTGACTATGAGATGCATGCAATGTGTTCGAATGTTGAGTATTTAGACCACTAGGTGCAAACAAAACAAAACGTTGTCATACTCATTTAGTAGACTCGAGTAACGAAAGATGCCGGCTCTGATGCCTGGCCCTAAAGGTGAAATTGAAATTGAAATTGAAGTCATGTACACCGACGCCTCCAGCATTAGATAGACACAGCATAAGTAGCTCTTTTTTGGATAATGTATGAGCCAGAAGAAAAAAAAGAAAAGGGAACCATGACAGGGCATACCACTGTTCATACATGGGGATTCTGACTCCCCAGACTCTTCAGACAGAAGAGATCATAAATGAAAAGCAGAGTCTATTGCGCTGGGCTTCCAACTATCCATTCACACCCCCCAGAACAACCCCTCCACGCTGCGGCCTTGCATAACAATACCCCAACCGGCTATCAAGCTGACCAGCCACATGATGGCGAAGATGAGGATAGGCAGGAGGAGTAGCTCCGTGTTATGTAAGAAAGGAAGAGCATTGTATCCCAAGAAGGTGATGTAAGTGTAGTAAATCAGGGCAGAGAGGTAGAGGGAGTTTCCAAGGAAAGTAGCCAGGAAATTGCTCGGGCTGCGGGTGAGCAGGGGCAGAAGAAGGAACTGCACCACATATAGATGAAGGTAGAGGGGGAAGAAAGCCCGGTTGGACACCTAGAAGAAAAGGTCAGAGATCGTCTACCCGAGAGACTCGTTAGCGGTCTTACATCAAAACAATATCCAAATTCCAATTGGTCTTTCTCTCCCGGTTGCATGAAGAGACCTTGTGCCGCTCCCCGTCTCCGGCCACGGGAGCCCCGCAGGCCAGCTAGAGACGCCGCCGCACCATTGGGACCAAAGAGCTTGCCGATCACAAAGTATCCAATTGTGGAGATGAAGAGCGACGAGCCGATAAAGTGCACGAACACGAACAGGAACGTTAGACGCAGAATTGCGCCAAAGGAAGGGGTGTAGGCGAGTCCCCAGGCAAAGGCTGTGAGGAGAAGGAAGAACGATAGGAGGTAGGCGAATGACGGATCGGGGCGATGCCATGTGTTTTTGGTTTCTGATTGAGAGGTCAATGTTGTTCAGAGTGATAGAAAGCTCCGGGTCATATCCATGGCAGCCCGCGTGTGTTTTCTAAGCGTCGATACAAGTAGCACTCACGTTTCTATACCAAAGAACCGCATTGATTAGCATAGTTCCAACACATCATAAACGCAACATCCCACTTACATGGTAGTATATCGATTTGAAGACCTTCTTCGGCGCTATCAACAAGGAGGTCATCTCCCAAATGGCCATCTCAAAGTCCATCTGGGGGAACTTGAAGAGTCTGTTTCTCCTGCATATCAGCCACTGGTCTCGGGTTGGTCTCTCGTGTCCTTTACCTCTTGAAGAAGCGCGGCATTCGCACACTCGACCCGCGAGATGCAGGGGTAGAGCCGAAGTTGGCAGAACCAGCATGTTGGCGGGGCAAGGAGATGTGAGGGTTCATGATCGAAGACCTGTTCAATGAGCTCCCCGAAGGTCCAGCAGTTGAGCCCGGGGGACATGTCGGCCCTGTTATGTCATCGGATCACGTGTCTCCAGGTGAGCCGAATAACATCAGGCTGGGGTTGGGGGCATTCCGCGCTCACTTTTCCCACAGACTGGTCTTCCCTGACAATGGCCATGTGAGCCCTGGTGCTGGTATCAACCCGCTGAAAATTCCAGTTCACTTCTACAGGATTGCCTACTTTGGGCGCCCCCCGTGGTGATTCCACTCCCATACCTATCGGAACGGTATACTGTATGGAGTTACCGTACATCTCTTGAGAATCCACTCTGTACTCTGCAAGGGGCTTAATTAAATAGTCCAGGGCTTTTCGCTGGTCACTGGATTTATCTACTGGATTTCGTACCCGGACAGTAGCGTGGGTGCATCGACCGCGGTTGGTCGTGGATTCTTCCCTGATATATCACATCTTGAAGCCTCCGAACGCACCAGTTCCTTTGAAATCGCCGATATTGGATCCATTCCCCCCACTGCTCCACTACTGAGAAACACTTTTGGGACTGAAGGTTTGTGTAATTTGGCAGGCAGCTTCAGGGTGATAAGCAGAACTCCCAAGGCTCCATACATAATGAACCTGAAACCCCTGAATCTGCATAGTGTATAGCGTATGTGTTGGCAAGTCAATCCAATCTCACCCAGTAATTTTAATCTCCCCTCGACGGTGCCCAGTACTGTAGTTCGAATCAATTATTCCTTCCGATCGGACCTGCAAAGACTCGACTGGATTACTTCGGCAACTTTAATTCGGAGAGTCTCAGGAGTTCGTCCCGCCCCCGGTTTCTCTCAGGCATTTCCATTCTCCGGACCCTTGCCAGTGATCTGAATGTCGTGGGCGACAACGCACTTTTGTTTGGCCTGATTGTCTGGCTTTGGGCAGGTTAGGTACGTTGCAGTATGCGCTGGCACTCCCTTGAATCTTCTAATATTCCCCTGTCCCACGTTTTGAGGGAGATCGCATCTATGCTCTCCCCCCCCCCCCCTCGCGCAAATCAAATTTGACACCCCTGGGAAACAAGAAAAAGAGAGAGACAGAAGATTAACATTGCCTAGCGCGATAATGTCCCAGCAACGGGAAGCACAAGCTGCCAATTCCCCTCCTCGCACTCCTCCGTCACAAACCGCCAGATACAAGCCTTCAAAGCGCGGGTATCAAGCTCGACCTTCCATTCGCGATGCCTTCCCGGACGCCCCCGTCGAGAATACTGCAAGAGTCAGCGAATCCGGAGACGAACGAGATCCCCATGACCTGTCTTTATCTCCAAAACATGCTGCTCGAACCTCTATTGTCGACAACATGCTCCTCTCGTTGGACCAATTCGCCCCCAGCTCGTCCATTTTAGATGACTATCGCCTGTTTAACTCCGCCTTTGAATCCGACCAGCACAGTCATTACTCCCAGGAATCGAACTCGCATGGCAGATACCGGGGCCACACGTTCTCTTCATCAATGTCATCGGAACCAGACTATGGATATGAGGATGGCAGTGGCCGATATGCAACGATCACGGCCACCAAGGGCCGACGAAGCAACAGCAGTTCCAATCACCAGACAGCACCAAGGCGGATGGGAAGCTCTCGCGGCGGAGACGCAATGAGTTCGCGTGTTGGTGGAACTATGCCACGAACAAACAACGCTCGTCAAGGTAGCAAAGGGAGCTCTTCGTCCGCCGCAGACTACTCGTATACAATCCCCAGAGCACGAATGGATCAGGGCTTGGACCGACGCTCAAACAGTTTCGACTGCGGACCCAAACGAGCCTACGTTCCGTATGCGGAACCTAATGTTGGGCAGGATTCGATGCTGTACGACGACGACGACGCTGCGCCCACTCCAAGTGTCCCAGCTGGACCCCGAAAAGTGCCCGATTACAATCAGACACCAACTGCTTCTTCTTCGAGAACCCCAGTGGCATCACGACGCACGAGCCCGAAATCTGCAGCTCCTCAGGCGCGGAAGACTCGTCCTGATAATATCGGCACGGGGACCCTGAGAGTTCGGGATAATGAATTCCAAAATATGGGTGATACGGACCTTGAACCCCCGCCGGCCATCTCGGATTCGTTGGATCCTCCCGCTCCAAGTCCGACTATTTCGTATAACAAGCCAGCTTTTCCCCCAGCAGACCCCGTGCACACAACCACAACCATCACTTCAAACGGTGGCGGAATCAACGCAAAAGAACGCCCAGGCTTCTTCAGGCGTGTGTTTGGGTCTAAGAACCAGTCTCCTGGGCCTGCAGATTCGCCTATTTCCAGCTACAACGCCAACGATCTCTCTTACCTTCAGGACCCCGAGCCCAAGGACAACAATGGGGCAACTGCCAACCTGAGGACACGAAATCTCCAGGCTCCAAAGAGCTCTGCGGGTGCTTCTCCGGCATCTGTCCGCACAGGGTCACCTCAGGTGGTGAACAAAAAGTCCTCGTTCTTCCGTAGAAGAAAGAAGTCGGTGGCTGAACACGTCCCTCCGCCCATCATGATTCCCCAGCATCTTGCGTCAAACAATGCGGATACCATGAAACCACACCCAAGCCCTGTGAGCAGTTTGCGGCAGGTCATGAATCCATATCTCGACCACGTACCAGACCAAAAAGAAAACAAAGAAGTCTCTGACTGGGAGGCTCAAGTACGAGAGCCCGAATTTTTGCAGGCACAGAAAAAACGAGAGAGCGTATCGGCTCCCGGTGCTCCCAAAGCTAGGGCTTCTCTTCAGCCTTCTGCTCCCCCACGTGGCCAAGATCATTTAGCGCCCATAGATACTCGTGCTCAACCATCGGATGATGAAGTGTCTCCCGACCCGATTATTCTAGAAAAGCCCCAGAGCAACGGTGCCCCTGCGGCTTTGTCCCCGGTGGTGGAAGATTTCTCGCGCAGCGTCAATTCCACCAAAGAGGCCCCTCGCATCAATGTGACAAAACTGATACTTCCTGATGACAATCCTTGTGACTCCCCCGTGGAGTCTGTTTCAGAGACATCGCAGTACCAAACAGCTGCCAACACTCCACACATTGAGCAGGAAGAGCCCACGGTGGCACCTGGCACTGCAGACAGTGCAGACGGGCCAGGTGAGGCGGTTGAAGATGGTCCTACAGTGGCAGACCGAGAACAGGCCCAGAAACTCTTCGATAGCCAGGACGAAGTTGTGGGTGATGATCCAGCTGCCGCTTGGCTGGGTGATCCCGATCGAGCAACGATCCGAGAGGCATATATGCGACTTTTCAACTGGTCCAATCTTAACATTGTTGCAGCCCTTCGGTCTCTTTGTGAGCGTTTGGTCCTCAAGGGAGAAACTCAACAGGTGGATCGAGTGTTAGATGCATTTTCCGTTCGATGGTGCGATTGCAACCCGAGCCATGGCTTCAAGGCTACTGACGTTGTTCACACTATTTGCTACTCCATTCTCTTGCTCAATACCGACTTACACTTGGCGGACATCGATTCGAAGATGACCAAGTCTCAGTTTGTCCGCAACACCATGCCCACTATTCATCGAGTGGCAATGGATGCTGCCCCCGAGGGATTCGAAACTCTGCGCCCGATTCGCTCCAGAACCGAGAATCGACGCCCGGAATCTGTATCTGCCCCTACATCGGCACGCTCTGCAACTTTCCCAGGCGATGTCACTCGCAACTCTTTAGACAAAGACAGCGAGGCTAATGTTGACGCGGGACCATTGGTTAACACGCCATTCAATGGAACCGTGAGAGCATGGGAACAACAAGTGGAGATTGTTCTCAAGGAGTTTTATACTTCAATTCAGAAACAGAGGCTTCCTCTCTTCGGCGCTCAGCCAGAGAGGGAGGTCTCACGTATAGCATCCAACAACTTTCTGGGTCCATCTTCCAGCATGCTTCGCAGAAGTCCCAGCACAATTAGCAAGAGTGGTTCTGACATCTATCCCCGCGGCCGCTCTGCTGATTCGCGCCATGGAGCTGCACGGTGGTCATCCAAACCTCGCTCGCGTGCTGGTCGGTTGTATCCTCCTTCGATGATGGGCTCCAGTCGAACCAGCCTGGATGATCAATCTTCAGTTTGGAGTCCAACAGGTTCCAGCACCTGGAGCAAGTATTCTCTGGGGAAATTTACCTCAGCTTCAGTGGATTCCTTTGGTTCGGACTTCCCCCGCGGGGACTATCAGCAATCTATTGGGTTCGCCAATGCTCTGAGTCAAGCCATCATTCGCGAAGACACGGCTACTTCTGTATACAGCTACGAAGAGCCAGCCACCCCCTTGCTTGCGGACGAGACCTTGGCCCTTGCCGGTGCTCCCTGGGCTAAAGAGGGAAGTCTGAAGCACAAGCATCATTTGGATGCAGTGGACAAGAGAGCCAAAGACCGCAATTGGAATGACTGCTTTGCGGTCATCCAACAAGGTTGGATGCGTCTGTTCTCATTTACCAACACCACCAAGTCCATGCGGGCTAAAGCCAAACAACGCGGTGGTGTTGTGGTTGGCGGGGGTAACTGGACGGAAAATGCGGAGGAGCTTTGGAAGTTCATGCTGCGCCAGACCATCGCCAGTGCTTTGCCATCCCCGGGTTATTCCAAGTCTCGTCCTCATGTTTGGGCACTGAGTTTGCCCACGGGAGCAGTCCATCTTTTCCAAGCCGGAACCCCCGAAATTGTACGAGAATTCGTTTCCACTGCCAACTACTGGAGCGCGCGATTGTCCAAGCAGCCCCTAGTTGGCGGTGTCAGCAATATCGAATATGGATGGAGTGAGGCTGTGATCAACAGTGCCCTGATTGGAGGCGAAAGTCGATCCCCACCACCTTCGTCGGGCGCACGACCCAGTATTCAGAGCTCTATCCGAAGCTCCATTGATCAACAGGGCATTCGGCCCCGACTTCCTGCGGATCGGGTCAACATCAGTGACTGGAGCCCGCCGCAACAGAGCATGGTGGCCTCCAATTTCAGTGAAGAGGATCAGCTTAAGTCTCTGCAGGATTATGTGAAGAATGTCGAAGACGATCTGTCCCGGCACAATGAGCTACGCTCTGCTATGAACCTGGCATTTTCTCCACGCCACCCTAACGCCGCCAAAGCCATGGCCAACTGGGAACGCAAATCATCCTATCTATTACGAGAGATTGTCAAATTCCGCACTTATATCGATTCCCTGCGCAACGCCATCAACTCCAAGGAGAAGATCTACGCTTCTTCCAGTGATACTCCGACTCCAGCTGAGGAGGTGACTATGGAGCAAGCTGCCGTCGCATAATTGACTCCTCTCTCTTCCTCCAACTCTCTGAATGATCCTTCGACTTGTACATACCTTTTCGACTTTGGGAACCGTTCCCGACAAAGACTTTAAAAACGGCTTCCTGTCTTTGCCGTTTGACACCACCAATTTCTGTATACTTTTCTTCTGTGGCTATAGTGTTCCCTCGGTTATACTCGTTATACTTGGGGCGTGGATTACTGATTATTTTGTTTTAATGTTGGGACGGTTATGTGATGTTATGGATACCATGATTGCTTAGAATGCTATGAACACTCTCTTGCGCGTAACGACGACTATAGTAGGCTCTAACGTCAATGACCCAATATGCGTATAGACTACTCTGCGTGGTCGTGGCAGTGGTTCCTTCCAGATGAGATTCGACGATGCCAACCCTCATCAGTTGGATTGCTATCCATCCTTCATCTTATTTTCATCATTCCCATCACATCTTGTTCGAATCTTTTTCTGTTTCTGTTTCTGTTTCTGTTCCTGTTCCTGGCGTGGTTCCTGGTGTTCCTGGTGTTCCTGTGTGTTGATCCGTCATGGACGCTCATTCGTCGATCGAAGCGGGTAGCGAGTCGCAAGGTGTGGAGACCCAAACACGCCTAGACACCGTCACCGTTTCAACTCCGATCAATTCCCCGTCGTACTCGGCATTCCAGACGCCAGAACTGTACTTGGATGATCTCAGTTCCCAATACTTCATGGCAGAGGAAGCAGGGGGTTCCCCCCCTCCGGTAACAGCGCACGCGCCTACAGCTCCGGAAAGCGAGATCGAGGACCCTGAATTTACCATGTCCTCAGCGCAACTTGACCTGGAGGATCACAGCTTTACTCCTTCAATGATTGACCATGACCAGAGCAGTCTATTCCCGTTATCCAGCGAGAATGGAGATCACGAACGCGCCACAAACCAGACCCTAATTGAGGAGCACGAAATGCGCCGCAAGCTAATGGATATCGAGTCGAGTTTTCTCCCTGAGCCTTCCACAATTGATGTCGCCGCGAAAGGGGCTACAGCTGGAGCAGACGATACCTACTTGGTTGGGGTCCCGAAGGATTACGATCTGTCGCAGAACGATTCGTCACAGCTCTCGTTCAGTGAACCGACCGAAGCCCAACCCAACCAGGATCAGGAGAATGTCGAAAAAGACGATGCAAGGACGGACGAGTCAGCGCCCACGGCCACTGCAGAATATGGACAAGAACAGGAGGAGCAACAGGAACGGGAACAACAAGGCGATAGCATGTTTGATTCACGCGCCTCGTCGCCCTCAGCTGCGGCAGCCCTCCGCCGGAGCCAGTCTACACTGTCGGAAAATGCGCAAGACAGCAGCCAGTTCTCTCAAAACGAGCGCCCCTTTCGATCCGAATTCTCCATGACCGGAAATGAATCACAACTCACACCCTCCAAGCTTCGAAGCACCGACCGAAGCTTATCGCCTGGCGCGTCGCGACTGTTCAGTGACCAGGGGGGCAGTGCTGCCAGTAGTCGCAGGGCTAGTCGACCCAAATATCTGACTAGCCGCCAATCAGCCCATCGCCTTTCTCAGTCTTCGATCGCGAGCCACAACACCGAAACAACAAATAGCGATGCTACAGTGGGTGCGGACTATGCTCTTCAAACTGGCGGTGCAATTCCCGATAACTGGAGTAGCCTACACGCTCCGAGTCGGGCTCATATGATCAGGACTACTAGCCTTGGAAGCATGGCATCAGGCGTATCTGGATATAGCGAAGAAAACTCCGTTGACAAGCGCAACACGATGGGCACAGCAGATGGAGGCCTTCATACATTGGAAGAGGAGAGCTCGCCACAGTCTCGAACTGGCTCCCGGCAACAAGCCAACTACGATGATGCATCTGCACCGGTGACGCCAAAGGCGAAACCACAAGACAGCAATCCCCCCACCGATACAGTGATTGCTGAGCGCGTCAAGGGGATTCAAATTCCTACTACCTTTGCACAGCGGTTCCGGGAAGACTTCCAGCCGTCTCCTGAGAAGAGGCCCGGGGCTTCAACCCCGGCATTTGGCAAAAGTGGCCGAACATTGACCCTGAAGGAGCAGAGCAGCACCATTGACCGTCTCTCCAAGGATAATTTTGACTTGAAAATGCGAGTTCATTTCCTCAACGAAGCGCTGAATAGACGCTCCGAGGAAGGTATCAAAGAGATGATTGGGGAGAACGTTGAGCTCAAGTCTGACAAGGTGAAGCTTCAAAAAGACAACCAAAGCCTGAAGCGCAAGATCCGAGACTTGGAAAAGCAAGTCAAGGATCAGCAGTCAGACAAAGAATCCATGGTTAATCATGATCCCGAAGGGTCGGAGGATGGTGATCGTGATTTAGCACAGGATGGGGAGATTGTTTTCCTGCGTGAACGTGTTGAAATCTATGAACTCGAGATTGAGCGCATGAGATCAGAAAGCATTGCGAGAGAAAGCGAGAAGCGACGATTGGCCGAGATGGTCAAGTCACTCAGCGAGAATCGTGCCGGCGAGTCTGATGCCGGTGCGAGGGAGGAGCGAGTAAGTTATTCGCGAAATTTTCATGCTCTCCAGGCTAATCAGCTATGTAGGAAATGTGGAAGGATATGCTTGATGCGGAAACCTCTGCGCGTGAGCAGGCTGAAGATGAGAACCGGAGACTACGTGATGAGTCGATCCGCCTGCGGAGCGAGATGTATTCAACTGCCAAGTCTGGTCAGCACCAAAGCGAAGTTTCATACTTCTCTGACAGAGATGGTAACCGGGTTCCAGCTACCAGCAGCACCCTTATTGTGGAGCTGGGTCTCTTGAAACAGGAGAACGCGGAGCTGAGAAAGGAGGTCAGCGCGCAAACTTCGATGCTCACATCTCGCAACCGTGAGAAAGAACGTCTTTACCAGGAGATCGAAGAATTGAAGCTGGGTCAGCGTCGCGAGACTGGCCGATCAGTGGCCGGAGACAGTATCTTTGATCGCTCTGTCTCGCGCGCCCATATCCGGCCATCGTCTCAGGCTAGCGATGGAGGCATGTCTCGCAGCGACCTGGATCGTGATGAACTTGAAGCTCGGAACGGACATCTGCGAGACCAAGTGTCAACACTCAAACTCGATAATCAAGCCCTCCGCGCCCAAGTCGAGGAATACTCGGGTGAATTAGAGGCTCTTGACAAGGCTTATCAGGAAGATGTTGATCAAGCCGAGGAAGAGATTCAAGGCCTCACCCAGGAACGAGACCACGCCATGCAAATCGCAGATGAGCGAGATGCCGCTTTCCAGGATCTGCGGGCCGAGGCTCAAGATGAGTTAGATAACCTCGGAGACGAGCTTGATCAGAAGATTGTCGAGTGCCAGCGTATGAACGAGGACCTAAGAAACCAGGACGAAACCCTCAAGGTCTTGCAAGCGGAAATGCGTTCTGCCACCGAGGGCATCATCCGCCTCGAGGAAGATGCCCAGAGCAACTTGGCGGCATACAAGTCCGTGCAGCAAGAACTCGAAGAAACTAACCGGGAGATGGAGTCTATGGAGAAGAGTCTCTTCGAGGCCAACACCAAGGTCCAAAGACTGACCGTGCAAATCGAATCAAGCCAGAACGAGATTGCTTTCCTCCGCGAAGAGCAAGATGGCGACAAGATCCGCATTGGTGACCTTGAGTCAGAGCTTAAGAACTATCACATGAGCTTGGTGAGCGAGAAAGAGAAGACTAGAGAACTTGAACAACGACTGGCCGATGAAAGACACCAGCGAGAAGTTGTTGGTAGTAAGGAGAAACAAGATGTCCAACGCATCATGAACGAACTGAACCGCGAAGCCTCTGCAGCTAAGGAGGAAGTCCGACGACTGAAGAAGAGCTTGTCGGCTCAGGAGATTGAAACTTCAACCTGGCGCGAACGTTTGATGGACCTCGAGAACAACTTGAGAGAAACCCTAGGTGATCTCAGCGGCAGCCGATCTAGCTTGATCACCAATATCATGAAGCTGCAAAAGGAACTCGAGTCAACCGCACTTGAGCTGGAGAGTATCCGCTCGCAGCTTGATGAGAAGGAGTCGGTGCTTCGCAACCGTGACGCTCTGCTTGAAAGCCACGGGCTTGAGTCTCGCAAACTTTCAGAACTCCTGGACCGCGAACGTCAAGCACGTCGGGCAGACAAGCAGTCCTTTGAATCGTCGCTCAAATCTCACCAGCATGCTTCGCGTACCATTACACAGAACAACTCCCGCATCACCGATCTTGAGAATGCTCGTACTCAGGATCGTAAGCGATATGCGTCGCTGGAGCAGCAATTCAAGGACCAGCTTAGCGAGCGCAACACCATGCTCCTCGCCATCTGGACAAGGATATCCGGTCTTTGCGGTCCAGACTGGGCACACTCCAACAGTCTCATCAATGGTAATCTCCCCAGCCAAGAAGTAATTGGTAACATGCTCTTCTGGCCTGGATTTAGCCGCAATTTGTTGCTTGCGATGAAGACAGTCGAGGCCGTGATTACTGGATTCAAGGGCCGTATCAAGTCCATTGACCACGAGATGACCAAGCGCTACCACACTCTGGAGCAGTCGTACAATGGACGTATCCGCAAGCTTGAGCGCATTGAAGAAGCAGTCAAGAATATGCGAGCCAGTCGCGGGTCGGGCTCCTCGCCAGAGATGTCGAAGCTGCGCGGTGAGAACCGACTCTTGAAAGCCGAACTCAACCTGATTCAGACCAATTCACGCGGACATGCATCTGCAGCTGCGGCTGCAGTGATGTCAGGACCCCGGTCTCCCTCCTTAGCTTCAGCGCCAGATCCAGAACGCACTTTGGCGCGCCAAAGCTCTTCAGCCAGTGAAAGACCTCGCCCAGAGAGAACCCTCACTCGCAGTGCCACTGGTCTTCCACAGCCCTCTCACTCCTCATCCAGCAGCACATTGACCAACAATGCCGGAGCAATGGTTCATCGCACCCGCAGCTCGCAAAGCGGCTGGGAACCCAGGGATACCAGTGATGAGAAATGGGTTCATCGTCTACACGAATTGGAGAAGCGACTAAAATCCGAGCGTGAAGGTCGTCTCCTCGACCGCAGCGGTGCTCGCAAGCGGCTTGAGGAACGTGATGCCGAGAACCAGAAGCTTCGAGACCAGCTAAGCCGAGAACGCACACGGCGTGGACCTTCAGGGCCTGTTCCATCCAGTGGTAACCGCCGACCCCCAACCTCAGATGAAGCACATGGCTCCAGTGAGGGAGAAGGCATCACAATAGACATCGAGGTCTAACGCCTAGCGCTGCAGTCAACTCCTGTAATTATATACCCCCGCGCATCGGAGTTTCTTTCCCCTATTCCACATCCGCATTACACTTACCGCATATGCTTGCAATGATCATTGACGAGGATCACGAGAGGGAGGCGTTTTTGTTTTATCGCGGCCAATTATATTTTCGTTTCTTGTTATGTACTCTATGCAAGTACATGTCTTTTATCCAAGTGATAACTTAACTGCAAATCAAAGCATTGTATGATACACGCCACGTCTCTCTCCCCTCTCTCCCTCTCTCCCTCTCTCTTACCGCAACGACACCTTCAGCGAGAAATCCACAATCCCCGTCCCTTGGTGGATAGAACTCGTAGACAGGATATCCACATCAGGACACACATACGACGGCGCATTCTCCTCAGTCAACCCACCACTAACCTCAATCAAGAAAGCCTTCTTAGCAGCCCACTCCCTCTTCAACAACCCAGCAGCCTCCCGCACCCCCTCCGCACTGAAGTTATCCAACATGATCACATCCGCCCCAGCCCCAATAGCAGCATTCGCCTCCTCGACACTCCGACACTCAACCTCCACCTTGGTCGAAAATCCTCCAGTAGCCTTCGCCGCAGCCACAGCCCGCGGAATCGCCGCCGCAATCGACTCAATAGACGACGCATCCGCTACACCCCCATCAGCCGCAGACCGGTTGTTCGCACACGCCCAAACATGGTTGTCCTTGAGCATGGTCATCGAGCTGAGATCGTGTCGGTGCGGATCCGCCCCGCCTGCTAGCATGCCGTATTTCTCCACCAGTCGGAATCCAGGCGTCGTCTTGCGCGTTCCCGCCAGTGTACCCTGCCAGCCTTGCGCGCGCAGTGCCGATAGCATTGAGGCGCTTTTGCTGGCGATGCCGGAGCAGCGCGCGAGGATGTTTAGGGCTACGCGTTCGCCGAGGAGGATCTTGCGGATCGGTCCGCGGACTGTCGCGCAGTGCTGGATTGGGGTTATTGTTTCGCCTTCTTTGATGTGCCATTCGATTCTGCGGTTGTTAGTTGCTTGTTTTGTGCGGGGTGGGCGTGGTGGACGTACGTGCAGCCTAGTTGGGCGAAGACTTCGTCGAAGAATGGTACGCCTGCGATGATGCCCTGGTTGGTGGTTGGTCGTTAGTGGTTTTGATGGTTTTCGGTGTGAGGTTGTGATTGCTTACATTGCTCTTGCCCAGTAGGCGCGCTTCTCCTTCTGACTCTCCCACGACGAAACCACCATAGTCCAGACTCGGGCAGTCCTCTTCCAACCAGGATGTGATGAGGCCTTTGTAGTTGCCCGGCAGAAGATGCCGCAGATCGCCGTGAGCCAAAGCCATTGGATGTGAGCTGGTGATTCCGAACAGTAATGTAGATCAATTGGTCCAAGAGGTTTTGGATGTCAAATGCGTTTGGAATCCCCCGCGCGGGGTGCGTCGGCCCGGAGCTCCTAATCTCTCCGGTTCCGGGTCACGTGGAACTATACATATGCAGACGCGAGATCACTTCGCTTTCGTGACGACTATTTACTTTGCTCGGGGTGGATGGTGGAGCTGGGGAAAATGACTGTATAGTTCCGGTTCTGTTCATGGTCAGAGAGGTGATCATCTCTCCCGTTGATTACCACGACTCCATTCTTACAGCAGCCGATATGCCCCTTGGTCTTCACTAGAACTTCACTAGATCTCCCGGCAGGGGAACTGCGGGTCGATAGTAGACAGCTCATGCAGATCCTACGGCACTTTATGTCTTACGGTAAATCGTGGAGTAGTCCTTGAGGCCCGTGTAGATCGCCGACTCCGTAATCTTCGCGAAAGAAGTGTATATATGTGTGTGTGTACCAAATAATACCCAAATAGGAAAGCAGTCGATCCCAGTCCACAAATTCAATGATCATCAACTAGCAATTTCAATAGATCCTCAAATCGCCAAGCATGGACGGATTTTGGACAAGTGCCATACACTGAACATTAACGTTAACGTTAATTCCATTTGGGCCGGAGCTCGGCAATACTGTACGTGTATACCCCCTTCAACCCTGCAGCCCACCAACTAGTCAACATGACTAGTGAGCAGATCCCTGACTCAGACCCAATCCCAATTGGGTCATACAGGTTCAAGAATCCTCCGCCGCCCTATATCCGGGATATATCCGGGGGAGCTAGTACTGTATCCCGGGTGCTGGTGCCGTTCTCCGGAGGGAAATTTACGGCAAACGGCAAACGGCAAACGGGATGTGGCACGAGGTGGATCCGTTGCCGAGGTTTCCTGTTTGGGTATTTTTCGAGAATTCCAGAACGGCTTGGCAAAGGGGTCTGGCTTCGTTATGGTTTGGGTTGGATTGGAAATCGGAGTGATTGATGGGTTGGGGGTCTCTTGGGCCCGATACACATGCTGAAACGAGGTTTGACTTTACTTGATTCGCGATGTTTGGAATTCGTTCCTTACTGGATTGGGTTGGCGGATTATTTGGGGATTTTCTTTTTGGGAAACTGTTTAATTATTTTTCAGACAAGAAAACTTGGATATGTTTACGGGCCGAGAATCGGATCGGGGAAATGTCACGGAACATAACTCGGGATGATTAGATGTCTGGACGGAGCCTCGGAGCCTCGGTGCCTCGGTGCCGAGTCCCAGATCTGATATGGGTTGATGTGTGATCGGCGTTTGTTATGTTTGCCTTTTCTTTTCGCATCCCCACACCAGGACCATGTACAGTAGAGACATCTAAGCCTTCCACGACTTGTACACGTTCTTGCATCCAAAGATCTGACCCTTCTTAAGCAGAACCATGGATCTCCACTCAGGCTCATTGATGGCATTGACGAACCTACTAGGCTCAACACAGAATCCGGCTCCCTCATGGTGAGCCGGGGCACCATTGATCTCGGGCACGTTGATATACTTGCCCGTGTAGAATTGGAACGCGGGCTCAGTGCTGTGAACCTCAAGATGCAGGCCTGTGCTCGCGTTGCTGAACTGCGCCTGGCGGCGCAGCGGCAAGCCACGTGTGTCCAACGGGATCTTCGAGGCGTCCTTTTCCATGACGAAGACATCGTCGATGTGAGCGCCTGTGGCGGTCAGCTCGAAGGGCTTGGTCACATCACGTCCAAATTTGGAAATTCCTCCTGAAGGGATGCCGGTGTCGTCCAGAGGTAGGTAATCATCGGTTGCGAGCTGGGCGGTGGTGCCCGAAACATCGGGGCCAGAGCCGATGTTGAAATAGCTGGATTCTTGTGAGCGGGAGTTGCTAGTTTAAACTTTGGAGGGGTAGGTGAGATCTGACCTGTGGTTGGTGATATTGACAACGGTCTCCTCGCACTCATCACCAATGAACTCCACCTCGTACTCGGCCGTCAGCACGGTCTTGGCGGCGCCGTCATCTTCCTTGCTCGCTGTGTACCATACGCGCACCTCAACAGTGCCAGGATACCCCTCCTCCCCATCCAGACAAAGGTACTTGAACAGTAAGGCGTCACTACCATGGCGCTTGACGTGGTGGGGGCCATCAAAGACACGCTTGCCCCAGCCTTGTTCACCGCCATGCAGCGCATTGGGACCGTTGTTCTTGGTCAGATTGTACTCTCGACCATTCAGATTCTGAATCAGTCCATCCTTGATACGATTGGCGACACGACCAATGGTGGCACCATAATGCGGGGTGTTGTGCTTGACATAATCGTCCTGTGTAGGGAACCCCAGAACAATGTTCTTGTCACCGACACGGAACTCCTGAATGATGGCGCCCAAAGGCAGGAAGGTGAATGAAGCTTGTTCCGGGACAGACATGGTTGACAGTCCCAAGTTAGTGGGGGAAGGCAGGTTCATATTCTCCGGGTCGACATGACGTTGGAACCCCGCAATCTGCGGGATCAAGTTCCATTTAGCATAAATCCGTTGTAAATGGTAGGGAATGGTAGGGATTAGGCTAAACAGGAGCTCAACAGAAGCTCAACAGCAGGCTTGAGCTCTATTAGCCGCGCATGATTATCTCCAAGTCTAAATGTGGAATGTATAATGTGTATCAAACTAAAACGTGACCACATATCATGTGCCTTCACGTGCTCCAGTCTCCGGCCCCGAGCTGCACAGGGGAAATTTCCCAGGTTGCCCCGGGATTGGCACAGTCAGCATCCGGTCGGACAAGACGGGGTTCCGGTGGCCGAACAGACTCGACTTTCTACCCCGAACACCTTTCTACCCCGGAGTGCCAAGGACCTAAGGCTAACTGCCAACCTGCCAATCTGCCAACTTTTGCCAAACCCTCATTATGGGAGAGATTTTAGGCAGCAGATTTCTCGGTGGATCAACAGGTAGACAGGTTTCATGTCAGGGGGTTTGCATGCAGGCTGTGTCGCGGAACCGAATACGACGTATTGATTACGATTCAAATCGATTACACTTCCATCCCGCTATACGAGTTCGATTCAGGGTCGACTGTCAGCACCACCCAATTTTGAACTCCGTATTATGAATCCCAAAAGAAGCAACACATACTCACACACAAACCCTTACATACTGTACACAATGCCACCTCCCAAAGGAACCGGAATATAAAACTCCGTGTATCGGGGAATCGGCACTTCGGCGACTTTTGGTCTGGCAAAGAAATGGCTCAAAATGTCCAAATGCCTCAGTGGGTTCCGCTGAGTCAGACACGATTGATAATCCGTCAGCGCTGCCCAGACAGGTTAAGTTAAGTCCGAACTATATCCGTGGATTAGTCAACCCTAAATCAGCAAACGTTAAAAAAGACAAGGGCTGGGCGTATTAATTGTGGAGCACAATACATATCTAGTATACTGTAAAAGAGCTCGGCACTCAACTCCGGTCCCTGAACAGCTTCTAGAATGTATGGTGTAACAGAACTTCATTAGATTGAAATTAAAGCATGTAGGGTATGACGCCCCCCCGCCTTTTGGAAAACGCCCTCGAAACTCCCATGTCACTGTACAAAACCTCCCCCCAAAGTGCGCCTGAACCGCGGGTAAATAAAAAATCAAACATCCAAAAAAATGGCTCCGGAGAGAAGAGAGAAATGAAACATGTAAATAAAGTTACATGTGTCGTCATACGGCATTAAAGTCGAAAGCCTCAGATCCCTTAGAGAGAGGTGATTTCCGCAGGGTTCGGATTCAAGAACTGGTTGAAGTCGTCGTATTCGTTCTTGGAGTCTATATATGACCCTTGTGACATGCAATTCATCGGCACCTGACGGTTGAACATCGGTGATGATAGCTGGTCGTCAAAGGGCATATGTGAGTAATCGGCGGACATCAGATCCATATCCTCAAAGGGATTGAACCCGTGGTTGGACCACTGTTGATCGAGCGCCAAGGGATTAACGACCCCCATGGGCATCGGCTGCGCAAATTGTGGTGTATTGGGCATCTGGGGCTCCGTCTTGATCGGTGCGCGTGTGGATGGGCTATATGTGGGTGGTGTAGGGGGCATCGTGTGCTGCGAGAAGGCGTCGGAGGAGAACCGTGACCGGGCAGGGGACTGTGGACTATCGGAGCCTCCGTCGGAGGATTCTTGTCGCTGCATGCCTGTGTTGGTGCGCCATAGATCCTGCTGGAGGGCCTCGGGGTGCTCTTCAAAGCGTTCGCCTTTGCTGCTGTCGAGGGCACCGAGGCGCATCAGAAGGTCGTGTGTCAGCGGGTGGCCGTTGGGTTCAAGCTTCAACTGCTCGCCCGGCCAGCCTTCGCCTTCCAGGTTCCGTCGATAAAGTTCTTGGAGGCCGTTGACTAGCCATGTTTGTTGCTGTTCCAGCATTTCCACGTATCTAAGCAAGGCGATGGTTGTTAGTCCGGCTGGGTACCCAAGTATATCGCTTTTGTCTCCGCTCACCCTTTAGGGTACACCTTATCATGTGCCTTCTTTCGTTCCCCAAAGACACAGATGGCGTTATCAGCTCGGCATCGTGAGCACGGACTGGATCCATCACACTATGCAGGTCAGTTTCGGAACGATGGCTCGTCTTTGCTGCATTCCATACCTTGGATTTCTTCAAACGACACCGATCGCACGCCTTGCATACTCTTTTGCGGATTCCCCCATCGGAATGCGAATGCTCCGAGGCTGGTGTTGATTGGCGTGCTGCCATGATATCTGATGTATATGGAGATGGATTGTCGAGCCCACCGGGTAATAGTGACCAGAAGAGTCCAAATTTGGGGGGAGGGTGAATTTTGAGCTTTTTTCCAGCTATAGTTCCAGATCCGGCGAGTAGGAATTGATCGACGTCAATATCAATGATATAATGATGTCGGATGGAAACCAGACTCTTCCAAATAATTAAGTTAAAGAGTAGACGGTTGCAGATAATAATGTCTGGGTCAGCACAGGGGAGCAGTGCATATATAGGGAGTTAAGGACTTAAAAAGAGGGGGGGGGGGGGCCTTCGGATTTACAACTAATTTTTATTACAAGAGTCATGGATTATTGTACATAGACAAGAGTCGAAGCATAAGATCGGATCGAATCATAAACGTGTTCTCCACTCATCTTTTTCTTTTTTTTTTTTCCTTTCTTATTTTTTTGTTCTGTTTTGGGAATTCCGTTCGACGAATTACTCAAAGTGGAGATGACTGGAAGACTCGGCATTTGGTCAGAGTTCGCTAGTCGGAGACGGAGCTTCCTGTTCGGCCTTCGGAGCCTTGCTGACGTATATCCGAACTGGACTACACTTCCGGATACGAAATCATTTCTCGCGTTAGGAGAGAAACAACCTTGGGAGATAAGAAACTATAAATCTATGAATCTATAATATTAAAGTAAATGTCCGAGATATGAGGGTTGGGGCTGATGGGAGGTGAACATGGGCAATGTCCTGGAGACGTAGGATACATTGCATAAGATGGATAATTCTGTGCACGGCGACTCGGCCAGACCCTGCCGAAGGATCTTCCGTCGAACGGAAGAAAAGGAAGAAATGGACGAAATGGACGAAATGGACGAAACGGATAGGAAACGAAAAAAGAACGGCAAAGAAACATCAGCACCAGGGCGTCTGCGCTCTTAGTAGGAGTCGAAAATCGTTGATTCATCACCTGCTTACCAACGAAGCATAATCTGAGTAATCATGCGCCACTGCCAGATCATGACGTTGACCACTCCGAACTTGATCTTCATTAATTCCCCGGATCGGCTTCAAACAGAATGATTCTTCGTCCTTCGTATTCAAGATTGCATCATCTCCAGTATGGTACGGTACTCATGGGAGACCAACGGGTCCTGTTTGGCCCTGTCTCTCGGCTCGCATTCCGGCTTCAATCCCTGCGCGATGCATGACTTCATTGTCCACAAAGCTTGGCGGAGGACCTTACTAGTTCAGGCAATGTGTGAATATGGAAATATGCAGCCGATACCCTTATTGGCTCTCCCAGGACAAGTGCCTGATCCTGCCAGGTAGAGGACGGTGTGGTCTGGAGCCATTCGATCCGTGGAGAACCACTGGTGCCTTGGACCCCCCCCGGAGACACGTTCCGAGTCCATTCGCGCCGAAGGTGGGTTCGGGTTGCTCTCGATATACTTCCATGTCCGACATGCAGTCGATGTTTCGAGGGCAATCGTTGATGTACAGGAGACTTTTATGCACAGTGTGCTAATACACAGGGATATAAACCCAACCCAAAATGATATACAAATACAGATATATAATAGACAATGCTGGCAAGGGAACCGCCTACCGGAAACAACAGAACCCACGTGTTTTTGTTTGTTTTTCTGTCGCCATTGCACTCGATCCCTGATCCTCGCGTGGTTCCGTTGTCTTCCGACATTGGAAGAGTCGCCAAACACGCGTTCGGGTTCGACCCTCAGTCGTGGCATCTACAGTGGTCGGCGGTAACGCCGTCGTGGGTATCGGCTCGGCGCATTGGGGAGGTTGTGGTGTATCTGGTTGACAATGAACTCGACGGGCTTCGATCACGCGACGAACCAGATCTACCACCGTTAGCCTGGCTATGATGGATTGTGACGGTGCGCCTTACGGGAAAATGTCTCCTCGATGTTGACCATTTCACGCGCACTGGTTTCCATGAATCCGCATCCATGTTTGCGCGCATACTCGAGCCCGTCGCGTGAGGTCACCGCGCGATCATCTTTCAGATCGCATTTGTTGCCCGCGAGGATCTTGACCGGCGGGGGCATGCCGACTTGAGTCCCTGGATCCTGGCGGCCGAATTCCTTGCGCAATCGCTCATTGTCCTCCACGCGTTGCTCGGCCTCCATGTTGATCATGTCCATGAAATGGTCCAGTGTTTCGAGACTCGAGGGATTGGTGATATCGTAGACCAGGAGGAATGCATCGGATTTCAACGTAGACGCCGTCCAGAGGCCGCGGTATTCCTCCTGGCCGGCTGTATCGGTGATGGACAGGAAATAGGGGAGACCATCGACATTACGGGTGACAGAGTACGAGTCCTCTGCGATCGATCAGGACGGCACCTCACTGCATCGGGATAGGTAGGGTAGGGGGGAAATGCCATACCAATTGTTGGATCATATCTAAAGATGAGCTATCAGAGGCTTTCTCCTGCAGGGGTAGGGAGGCTCACTCATGGATCCATTGACTACGGACCAGCCGCAGTGTGATTGATGATTTGCCTGATTCCCGATCTGATCAGATCTCGATCGCGCTCCAAACCCAGAGAGGCGGCACCGAATCACGGTATCGGGATATTCCCAGGAATAAGAAGAAGGTTGCTGCAACGTACCGCATCCGCCATCTCCACAGATGGTGATTGAGATCTTGTCCATGGCCACGCTAAGGGGGGAACGTGAAACATTGGCGATTGAAGGAGAGAAGATGAGAAGAACCGGGGAGAGAGAAAGGAAATGAAGAAAAGGGGGCTCCGATAAGGCCGGACCCTTCAATTACTAGTTAGAAGATGATGATCAGTTTAGATCTAGAAAAGTATAGAGAAGTATCGAGTTGATGCTTTCGATTCCCTAGTTGTACTAATACGATCGTTGCCGACTGGAGAGACTCGTGCCGTTGAAGTTGGGCTTTTGTGATAGATCAACTGTGCTTTTGCTTTTGCCTCTTGACACTTTCCCACCTCCGTTTCCCCCCATCTCATCTCATCTCATCTCATCGCATCTTCTATCTAGAGAGAGACTCACTCGTACTTCTATGACAGACTGAACAGACTGACTCCCAACATCTCACGTACAGGCCGCGGGCAGCTCGAATCCACCCCAATTTCATCCCTCAGGGTTTGTGGGTTGCTTATTGGCGCGCATTGCTTCTCCCGGGGTCCACACAAAGTGACAGCGTACTTTTGAGAAGAGGAGAGGCATCTTGTTTTTTTCTCTCCCTCTTCTCTAGAGGATAGTCGATCAAGGTCTTCCAACACATTCAAACAGAGACAGCAACCACTTGGTCTAGTGAGACCAAAACTCAACACGCCACCCCCCCCGCAACACCGCAGTGGAGGCCCCCTCCCAACTTTGGTGTGTGTTGCCCAACCCGGGGCTCTGGAACTCAGTCCGGGCGTTGCATTTAACCCCACGAACGTTATGGCCAACCCTATGAACTTCAACCTGGACTATGATCGAGATGATCGTGTAGGTCGTGATAATTCGGGGGACTCGGGGGATTCGGGAAGCTCAGCACCCCTCGACCCTTCCTACATGTCTTTTCCCACACAGGTCGGCAGTTATGCCTTTAGCGCCATACTACCCCAGGACCCCAATATACCCATGCAGAGTTACGAACGCCCGCCCCAGGATTTAGAAGGACGCATGTCAAATGTCATGCTCGCCTACGACTCGATGCCAGCCCCGGTCTCAATGCCCTCAACCCTGGACCCCAACAGTGCCTATACCTATAGTGTCCCGACCACATATCCAGCGACCACGATGGGCCTCACGCAAATGGAACAGCCACAGTTCCAGCCCGCCTACCAGTCCTTCCCACAATCAACGCCGGTCAATTACTACCCCCATGTCCATTCTCAGGTTCCACAATCGCAGCCACAGGCACAGCCGGCCCCGCTAGCGCACAAGGAACCGTACGACGCAAGCACCGATTCCACAGCCAATTTCGAGGATTCGGATTTCTCAGGCCAGACGAGTGATCGACCGCAGGCGCAAATGATGCTGCAGCCGCGCCCTCAACGGCCACCCCAAGTGCGTCGGCCGCAGCCTGCAGGTTCGTATCGTGCCTCGCAACCGGTCGCGATCCAACCCAAGAAACCCGTACCCGCCAAAGGTAAGTTATACACCCGATACTTGAGCTGTGGGCTCTGGCACAGGGTATACTGACGCGGAGGCACCTCCAGGGGATTTCTCACCGGGGCTGGAAAAGCCCGAGATTGGCAAGACCGAGCACACCGGTATCTACTCGAGTAGTGGATTTGATGTATTGGGTGCTTTGGTCAGTCTTGTTCTTTCGTATGAGTAGCGATATTCGCTAACACAACCTAGGGTCGCGTGGCTATGCGCGCTAATCCCAGAATCAATATCGGCGCAGTCGATCTATCCTGTGCCTTTGTGATGTGTGATATCTTACGAGAGGATCAGCCTATCATCTATGTATCGGATGCTTTTGAACGATTGACAGGCTATCACAAGGACGAGATTGTTGGTCGGAACTGTCGGTTCCTTCAAGGACCCGATGGCAAGATCACCGCTGGTGCGAAGCGGACCTTTGTTGATGGGCAGACAGTCCATCGGCTACGGTCGACCATTGACGATCGCAGTGAGATCCAAGCTAGTATAATTAACTACCGCAAGGGCGGACAGCCGTTCATGAATCTCATCACGATGATCCCTATTCAATGGGACTCGGAGGAGTATCGATATTACGTTGGGTTCCAGGTAGATCTGGTTGAAAAGCCCGATGCTGTCACGAGGAGAAATCCTGGTATGTATACGGTGACCAATGGAGAATTTTTTTGCTCACATACTCGCAGACGGCACTTACAGCATTAATTATCAACGGGACCAACTGCCTCAATATGTAGTCCCACCCCCAGATGCCTACACGACTCGGCCAGACCTCGTGGCGCAATTTGGGCACGATGAAGTATCTGCTATCCTCAATGCAGTCAGCTCATCTGGAAATGAAGTTAGCCGCCACTACTTGGATCGCATTCTGGTTGAGAATACTGATGATGTGATCCACGTGGTTTCATTTAACGGGGAGTTTCTGTATCTCTCGCCGTCTTGCCAGAAAATTCTCGAGTATGATCCCGTCGAGCTGGTTGGCAAGACCTTGTCTACAATTTGCCATCCTAGTGACATTGGTCCCGTCATGCGCGACTTAAGGGCGAGCACAACACCCGCTCCAGTAAGTGTGGTATATCGCATCAGACAAAAGTACCGGGGATACATGTGGTTCGAGAGTCACGGTGCATGGCACATTGACCGGAGTCATGGTCGAAGACATCTTGTCATGACCGGCCGTCCCAGACCCGTCTACGCATTGGATCAAATTGCCCGATTGGGCTCGTCTGCTGCCTTGGCTGAAAACGATATCTGGGCCAAGATTTCTTTGTCCGGTGTCATTCTGTTCGTCACGACCAAGGTGAAGCCAGTCCTCGGTCGCTCGCCCGACGATCTTATTGGAAAGGGCTTGCAGGAGATCATGGAACCCGAGTCTGGTGGCTCTGCCACCATCACAAACGCTCTGGATGCAGCAGCTTGCGGCCAGGGTGCAGGCATGACCACCGTGGCGGGCAGCAACAACGACGTAGAGGAACCCCCCTCTTTCAGACACCAGATGCGACACAAGAAAGGACATGTCCTCTCGGCGCATACAACTATTTACACCGGTGACGCCAGGAAAGGAATCAAACCATCCTTCCTCGTCGCCCAGATTCGATTTGCTCGATCTTTCCCTCCATCCTCCACCGCTGTATCGGCTGCAAATGATGAAAGTCTTGCTAAACTTCCCGGCACTGCACGAAACTCGACGCTCACCGTTGATGACCCCTTGCCGCCCCGCCAATATGGTGCCCTGGGTCAACGGATGCCCGATCTTTCTCACCTGATCGGACTCAATGGTCTGCCAGCCGGCAACCGTGACATCTCACCCACCTACGACCCAGCAACGTTCTTCACAGAACTCAACCCCACCCGCGGCTCAAGCTGGCAGATCGAGCTGCGTGAGCTGGAGAAACAGAACCGCACTTTGGCAGATGAGCTGCAGCGCCTCCTGGCCCGGCGTAAGAAGCGCAAGCGCAAGCAGAGCGCCATCTCCGTCGAAAAGGCGTGCGCCATGTGCAGGACCAAAAATACTCCAGAGTGGCGCCGCGGTCCCAGTGGAAATCGTGATCTTTGTAACAGTTGCGGTCTTCGGTGGGCGAAGCAAGTCCGTGGTCAGGCGCAGGCGCAGGTTGGGACTTCTGTGTCGGCAATTGCGGGTGTTTGAAACGTATGAACCAGTGGAATGCGCGTCTGTCGAAGTGCCGGTTTTGATTTCAAAGCATCGTTTTCTTTTTCTTGGAGAGCTGGTTTCTTGATACCCCCTGTTGACTTGGTCGAAATTGCCACAAGTATTGTCTTCGAGCGAAGTTGGATTGTTACGGTTTCATACGCTTCAAGTTTTGTTTATTTCCTTGATTGTTTGTAAATGTTGCCAATTTGATATCACTGGATTTACTTGAACAATTAAGCATATTCATCCTCAAAGCCGAATGAGATACTTCAAACGCAAACATCGAGTTAACTGATCCTGCATGCTCTATGGGGATCGCCTAGTGGTCTCTGAAAGCAGCGCCATTTCCCCTAGATATCATGTTGAGATTGAAAATAGTTGACATAAATACAAGAGAATCCTCTAGAAACAATTATACTATACAGGCAGAGGTCCTTCAGGCTGCTGGCCCAGATCTACTGTTTTGGGGACTTCAGGCTACCTCTACGAACAAGCAACCACTGCTCCAGCCAGCGTCTTTCGACAGTTTCCGCCTGTTGGCGATCCTTCGCACTGGTAGAAACATCCACTCCACCTCGCTCCTCAACTGCGATCCGAACCTCGGCGGCATTCAAAGCTCGAACACCGCCGCCCACCCGAATCATCTTGTCATCAATGGACAGGTACTCAACATGCCGTGCGAGCCGTGGTCGATAGATCATCCCAGCAAGTAGTGTCCCAGCAGTCCGGTCATGACGCTTGACCAGGCCAAACACAGCAGCTGCACGCATCACAGAGGCAGGGTCAGCGCTTGCCACCCAAGCTGGGTCGGCAAATTGCTTAGCAAGGAGATGCAATTGCCCTTCACTATTAGACTGAAGCAGAATTAGAGAACTGTCCTTGGAGGTAGTCACATGCGCATCCAGCGCAGCTATTTTTCTCTTGGCTGCGCTAACTCGCTCCTTTTCTACCTGCGAGGGAACGCGACATGTAGCTGGAGTAATAGCGGATCCGAATATAGGGATAATCAGTGGCGTGAATTCCCCGCAGACAATTAATATCATTGTGAAGGGGATCATGCGTCGAACATCGCGGGCTGAGCGGCAGACTAGCTGGAATTGTGCCCGTCCCAGTAATGATTCTTTTTGTACGGACGGGGCATCCGCGCGTGAGACTGTCCGTGGAGGTGACACGGGGAGGTATACTGGGAGGCCTAGCTCTTTCCGGAGGGGAATTGAGGCACGGTAGTTCCGGTACACATTCTTCAAGCCTGTCTTGTAGAAAGTAAGGTATGTTCGGCCAATTTCGACAAAGCGTTTAAGTTTGTCCGGCAGTCCAGCGGATGGAGAGATGGGTACTGGGGTGACGATATCGGCGGGAAAGGTGCTGCTGGGAGCATTGACTTCATTTTTGAGAGGGGTTGTGACTATATTGGTAGAAGGAACGGAGGAGGAGGATGGTGACGGAGAGGGTCGGCGCGATTGTTGTCTTGAAGCCGAGGTTGAGAAGAGTTGACTGGACTGTAATTGCAATCGGACTTGATGATGGAATCTGGGGTCAATCCAAGGCTGCAATGAAGCATGCAGGCCTCGACTTCGGGTTAAAGACGCCATTGGGGAGTGAGAAGTGAAAGGAGACAAACCGCGTGAGAGTTGATAGAGTTGATAAGAGATCAATTACGGACACCTCAGGCAGAAATACATAAGCAACAGATACAGACAGATCTTAGGCTTCATAGTCCATTGAATTTACTGAGGGCGCTGAGATCCAGATCAAAATATAGATAGTAATGTATATGCACATATTGCCAATTCTAGCACTAATTAGATAACAAGATTATTTTTCAGCAGCGTCGTGAACTTCAATGGTTTCAATGAGACCATGACCCAATCGAGCGATTTCGTTCAAAATTGCAGGTTGGTTGATCGAAACCTGAGTATTGGAGTCCACTGCTGGGGCTGTTGAGAATGCTGTTTTCAAGTGCCAATCCCGCGACTTCAAAGTCTGGGGATTCCAGATTCCAGCAATGACAGAACAACGCTCGTCCCCGTGGAAAAGCAGGATACTTTGACTGTAACAGGCCTGCACATCTCGAACAAATGACTTCACGGTTGACATCATTCCAGAGCGGGGCTCTGTCAAATTCTTGAATTTGGTCACCGAAGAACGGCCGCCAAACAGCTTTGGGCGGAGATGAATCACAAAGTCGTAGGGGGCAAGGGAGGTATCAAACAGATCAGAGACCTCCATATCGTGTGGCTTGGTCCGCAGCAGATTCACTGCCGCCTTGGCCAAGCTGGAGATCCGTGCTGCCACAACCTTGGAGGGCATCTCATATTGTGTCCAGGTCACACCTTCGGGGTCGACATCGGAGGCCACAAACAGGGCCAGGCTGTTCATCGCAGGGTCAATGTTACGCCAAGCAGTGAAACGAGTGCGAATATTTTCGGTCACTGCTGGGCTCAGCTCTCCACCTAGGTCGACGATGAACGGCTCCTGTTGCCAGTCCCACCGGGATAGGGAATGAAGAGTTCTCAAAAATCCAGTCATGACGCTCGAAGGGCATTCCCAGGGGTTAGGCTGAGTGAATGCTCGCATAGTTAACAATTCAATCAATTCTTCGCTGATTTGGGCATTGAAGAGGTGGGAGTTGAACCACTGTTTGGTGAGACGGATGGTAGGCGACAGCAGAGGGAAGCGAGTACATAAGCTTCGCAATGCCTGAGTCAAACGGGGAGTTTGAACAAACAGCTTCTTGTAAGCGAAGAGGGCATAAGCAGCCTCTTCGCGTTCTCGAGGACTGAGAGACCGATCCTTGAGGTTGCGCTCAAGTAATACCTGCTCTCGGTCATGGTGAATTCTCAGGCGGAACAAGACTCCTGAAGTGTGAGGGATATCCAAGTATGCATTGTTGACCACCTTACTCGATTCATTCTCCAAACCAACACGACAAGAAGAAGCTGCGCCGGATGATTCCAAAGAGTCACCGATCTTGAGGAGGAATGCAACCTTGGTCATCTGAATTGCCGCAAAATCGTCGGGCCAACGGGAAGAACTTTCAAACTGAAGCACAACGTCGGCGGCTCCGTTCGGTCTCAATGCAGTATATCGAAGGAGCGGACTGGCCGGAGCCAAATGACGAACAGTCAATGGAACTTCTTCCATATCACGAATAGATCGCTCTAGATCTTTGAAAGCGTCGTTGACTGACTGGAAAGCAGGGCTAGAGTATGCCAAAATGCCATCACCCGACTTCTTGAGCTGCTGGTCATACTCATCGCCCAGGAACCCGAAATCTTCGGTTGTAAGTTTGAAATGCCGTTGGAGGATATACTCCAAAATCTGATAAATGATAGACTCATCTGATTGATCAGACCATACAAGACTCTCCAAGATGCTGCCGTCTTTGAATCGACGCAGCTCTGATTTCTCACCCCAGAAGGACCGGAATGAGGCGGACTCCTCTTTCTCCTCTGCTGGTGGACCGTGGTCAACAATTCGTCCAACATTGTCAGCATCAAGCAAAAGTCCTACGAACACACCCTGGCTTGATCTTTTGTTTGGCTTGGATTTGACTGGCCACGGATCAATGGAGTGGCTGGTGAGGGAGACAAGTTTTACCCGATCCCCCAAAGCCCTGGAGAGAACCTGCCACAGCGTTGTTTGTTCATGGAGAGCCCGAAGAGTGTCCCCGTTGAAAGACTTGGGGAAAGAGACCAGGCGGTCAAATCTGAGAGCTGGTTCATCGACCTTCAGAATGAAAACTTTGTCGAAATTGTCCTCTCGGCTCTCGTTCAGCATTTTCAAGGTTGTGGTGGCCTCATGGCGTAATGTCGCATAAGACCAAGGACCCATTTTGTAGAGAATGTTCAAGCCACTGCGGCCATCGAAAATGACTGGGACACCGGAAGGAAGTGGGACCTCTTTGCCAAAAAATAGAGGAGAAGTAGTCAAATCTCTGCCAGCCAAAAATTGAATGGTGGCTTTGAAAATTTGGTAACAACTGTATGAAGGCAAGAGGACCGGTTGTCCAGAGGGGCCACCTGCTTCAAACAAGAGAGACAAAAGCGCCGTCCATTCAAAGCCTCCAAAACCTCCATTTTGGAAAGCAGCATGGAAGCCACGTTGCTGCAGCCAAGTGCGACCAAGAATGCATGCGTCACTGAATGATTCGCACTTCTTTGAGGCCGAGTGAACAGACTTGTGATATAGAGAGACGGCAGCATCTGAACGGAGGCTAGCATTGTAGAACGAAGTTGGTTCACCAGGTTCAGAGCTATTGGTAGAAGAACCCTGTCGGATGTTGCTCTTCATAGGGAGTGTTCGCGCGATTGGAAATAATGTAGGATCGATTGCAAGCAGAATTCGAATTGACTTTTGAGACGACTCGGCTTGACGTGGTTCCAACAGGAGCAGGGGACGAAGGCTGTCTCCGTCCTGAGGAGCAAATTTGACATCGAATCCAAGAGCAGCCACGGTCTCTTGAATCCCACCAGCCACGGACGCAATGTAGTAAGCCCTCTTATGAAAGTATCGGAAATTGACATAGTCCTTCTCCTGGAAGAGAGAACTTGGCATGGTCACAGCCAAATCAACGGGGCGCGACTCCAAAGTGCGAGCGCCAGTCTTCAAAGCGAAACTACCTACGACGTTAATGTTCGCTGGTTTCGCATACGACATGGTATACTTGACATCCTTGTGTGGGCGCGGCTCGGGCCATGGGACCACTATACCAGAGGCACGCAGCTCCTTCTCGGCATCGGACACGGATTGCGCAACTTTCTCAGGCACGTTTTCGATGGCGGTCTTGATTTGGTGAAGGGTTTCTTGGAGCTTTGAGACTTGCTTAGTGTAGTTGGGTCTCAATCCCGTAAGCAGTTCATCCATCTGCAGCTTGAAAAAGCTGGATTTGTAGAAGCCACTGGCCATTGCAAGCTCCGCGGAGCGCTCATCTTTCCCTCGGGATGCCTGTCGTTTGGGATTCATTTTGTCGGTCATGTTCGATGTCCGTTTCGCGTCGGTCGAGGAATTAGCGTGAGACGAAGAAGTGCCATTGTCTGGAGAAGGACTAAGCTTCCGTCGCTTAACCGTGTGTGCCGACATCTTGTTGAAGAGTCGAGTGACAGGCAGTTTGTAAACGAACGATTTTTTTTTTGAAGATAACGGGTACGGTAATCTGGTATTGGTATCGTTGCTGACTCATTGGGCGCATCGCCGAAGTCGCAATTGAGTACATCATTTGACTCAAATCTCTCCATTGCTTTTTCTCTCTTTGTTATTTACATATCCAGACTTTCGACATACGTTTGATTGAATCGGGAAAATGTTACAAGCTTTGGGAGGACCTGTACCCCCCAACACTGACCATGTATGTTCCGAACCCCGCGATAGACCCCTCCATGGGCCTCTACTTCAGTACTAAGTCATGTCTACAAGGCCGTCAGTGTCTCGCTGCCAACATGGAGAGCGAATGTGGGCTACGAAGAAGGAGAGGATTGGGTCCTGAGCAAGATGAAGTGTGGCTATCCCCGCTTCTTCGTCCATCCTACTATTCAAAAACTCGCCAACGAAATCATCCGCCGCGTCGGCGACTTGAACCTTGAGGCCGCAACCCTGTTTGCTTCGACTAAGACGGCGCGCATCTGCCAATCCTTTTTGCTTAGCAAAATCCCTGCGGAACAGGCGCACAAAGTCCGCATCGTCAACTTCCTCCCATCCCCGCAGACCGAAGCCGGATCAACTGCAGTAACATCTACCTTGTCCTGTGTCATATATCCAAAGGAATACGCTTCTATTACGAAGCAGGTGTGGCAGCACTCTGGAAATGGTATCTCGAGCCGACGGGGCGAGTTTTGCCTTGGTGCCCTGGAAGATGGATTCTTGGTGGAAGACAAGGGCTCTGCAACAGCGGAGTCGATTTCGCAGCGTCCTTGCAAGGGTCCTCGGAGATACCAGGCTAAGAATGGAGCGAGGAAGGGCTCTATTGGTGACTCACCTCCCAGGGGAACCGAAGATGGCCGGGACTATCCTCAGTTCATTGAGGAGCGATTTGGTCGAAACCTGAGCACCTCTCTCGCCAACCAGGCCAAGCTAGCTGTCCGCAAACGCATCGCAGGTGTCTTGACAGCTGATGTCGAGTTACCGGAAGCTTTAGAGACCACTTCATCGGAAGGCCGTGTCGCCGGCATTTCCGAGGACGATGTTTTCCTCCATCCTTCGGGCATGAGCGCCATTTTCAATGCTCACCAAAACTTGCTGACTACTCGAGGTGAACTGCCGTCAATCTGTTTCGGATTTCCTTACACGGATACGTTAAAGATTCTTCAAAAGTGGGGGCCAGGCTGTGTTTTCTATGGTCACGGCTCCTCAGAAGATCTGGATGATTTGGAATCTCGATTAAAGGCCGGTGAACGCTTTCTTGGACTATTTACTGAAGCACCAGGCAATCCTCTTCTCAGAACACCAGACTTGAAACGCATTCGTGCGCTGGCAAGCCAGTACGATTTTGCTATCGTGGTTGACGAGACCATTAGTAACTTCATCAATATCAATGTTCTTCATCTTGCAGACATTGTCGTCAGCAGTTTGACAAAGATTTTTAGCGGTGACAGCAATGTGATGGGAGGCAGTGCAGTGCTCAATCCTCATGGACAGTACTATGCAGCCCTGAAGAAAACTTATGATCAAGACTTCGAAGACATCTACTGGGCAGAAGATGCCGTCTTCTTGGAGAGAAATAGTCGTGATTTCATGTCTCGTATTGATAAGATCAACTCCACTACTGAGAATATCACAGCTATGCTGAAGGAATCTCCATTAGGTACGCCAAGTCATGATCGATTTCATGTTAATGACTATTCTGACCAAACTACAGTGAAAGATGTGTATTACCCCAAATACAGTCCCACGAAGCCCTTTTACGATGGTCTCCGCAACCCCAACGGTGGCTACGGTGGACTATTCTCTGTCACTTTCCACTCAACGGATGAGGCGATTGCGTTTTATGACACCTTGGAGGTCTTGAAGGGTCCCAGCCTCGGTACCAATTTCACATTGAGGTGAGTGAGCTTGAGCTTGTTTAAAAAAGTCTTACTGATCTTTTAGTTCTCCATATGTTCTGCTAGCCCATTACGGTGAATTGGACTGGGTATGTACCACCTCAACTGTTTGTCGGCATTTTCTAACATGCATATAGGTGAGATCTTTCAACGTGGATCCTGATTTGGTCAGAGTAAGTGTTGGACTAGAGGAGGTGCCAGATCTACGCGCTAGGGTACAGCGAGCTCTGGACGCCGTGCAAAAAGTTCAAAAATAAAATGAGACAACCTGGAAGTAATCTGGCTTGTTTTATTTTCTCAGATATCAGAACAACAGAATTGTGATCATTCGTCTCCAGTGACTCCATGCACCATGGCCAAAGCCCAACAGGACCAGGTGTCGATCAATGAAAACATACAGCCTTCAGAGATCTTGGGATGCGACGAGGGGGTCATTTTACATGATAAGTAGAATATTAACCGTATCTTATTTTGAATATACGAAGTTTCAGGAAGAAAAGTCGGGATCCTACGAGTCCTTGATATTGCATTCCATTCGCGACGGTGTTCCAGCCCCATCGTCCCTGACTGCCCAGTTAAATGCCAAACATCTCAAAGTGGAAAATGAGTGGATGTATATGAGAGGCCGCTGTGTTAAGATGTGCGATCGGAGACTTCATCGATCCCTACAGTACTCACGGCCTGGCTTGCCACACCACCCAAATCACCACTACCAGTTCTTCTCAGAGCCTGTCGCATGGTCTCAACGTTGAGATCGCCACCAAAACTGGAAGAGACCGGGCTCTGAGCAGAATTGAGAGTAGGCAATCGATTGGGAGGCATGTCAAGGCCTGTAAATGAGGTCGCAAGGCTTGTTGGCGGAGAAGAGTTAAATCCATGCGAAGAAGAGGGAGACCGCAATGGGGACGGTGATCGATTAATCCCTCGCTCACGGACTGGGAAACTGGTATGACCTTCGTTTGTTTCTGCGTGTTCGGCATTGACGACGTCTGCAAAGGAGATAAAGCTCAATCGACGCACATCGGTGGTGTCGAGCGCTCCATAGCTTGAGGAGACATCTTCCATATCAGATAAATGATGGGTATCAATCGTCGAAGACGACATTGATTGCTCTGCAGATGGAACACCCGCTGGCTGGTGAAGACTATGGGTCACGATCTCAACCGAGTCTGGATCAAGGTGGTCATCTGTGATGGCAGCCGAGGAAGCTTCAAGGACAGGAGGTATATAATTCTCTGTGCGAATATGCGCGGGTATCGATGGTGAAGCTTGTGCTGATATTATATCTTCCTGTACGCTTCGTTCAAATATCTGAGAGGCGGGAGAATGCAAGCGGGGTGGCAGTTGTGATGAGCTCTCAGGAGAGGAAGGGTGCCTCATAAATCTCGTGTCCTGGTTTGGTGTTCGCAAGACTTCAGATGAGCTCACGGGCGAAAAGCTACCTCCTATGTCCTTATCCGTCTCAGATGTGGTATACCCCAGGTCGGGTTGTTTGTCTTTCATTTGACTCCAGGATAGAGCGGCAGGCTTCGGGGCCCGTCCACTCCTTGAGTCCGATACATTCTGATCTGATGCTGCAGGAGATTGCGAGAACCGGCGCAAGTCCATAGAATCCGTAGAGTCCGACATGGCGATATGAACTGTCAAACCTCCATGACCAAGAAGGTGTAAAGTTAGTGAGACTATAAAATAGATGATGACATGGGGATGAAGACCAGGTGATCAATTCCCCAACGGTCGGGAATACATTGACGTACTTTGGTATCTTTGGTATCTTTGGTATCTTTGCGGTATTGAGTATGTTTAATACCCGGTATTTGGGAGTTGGTATTGTCTAGGTCCAGGGGGGTCACGAGACCAGGGGAAAAAAGTTCGGGCTTGGGTTTGAGATGCGAACACGTCCATCCTGGTCCAACTACCGCCAGCTCGACTTCCTTCTCACCTCGTATGTCAATGTTGACAATATCCAATGTCAAATTGTGGACTTGACTAATTCTTGTACTCCTTCATCTAGTTCCTGACCAATTGGCTCATGTTTGGGACCATGGCGACCTCTATTGCCGCGGCGAAGCGGCCGTTCCTCACGCTTCCATTTCTTCTACCCTCTCTGTCAGATTCGCTGGCACTCGGATTTCGCCGAAATCAATCTTCATACCGACGAACAAAGCAACGCCTACGTGTGAAGCCCGATGCTTCCTTCGACCATGCTCACCAGGGTCGTGATCACATTATCCACAACCCGCCATCAAGCGCTCCATCCGTCTATCACACCCCATCCAAGTTCCTGCCGGCCGATGATATTCGCAGAGCGTCTAGTCCTACTGTTGTGACTACCAACGCTGAAGATCTTACCGGCGTCTACAAACACATGCCCGAGAAGAAATATCACCTCACCCCTTCAGACGTCGAAGAAATCCGCAATCTCCGATTGAATGATCCCATGACTTGGAGCCGAAACAAGCTCGCCAAACGGTTTGATTGCTCGCCCGTTTTCATTGCCATGGTCTGTCAGGCTAGTCCAGAGAAAAGGGAGATCCAAGCCCGGATTCTGGAGGCCGTGCAATCACGATGGGGTCCTAAGCGTCGCATGGCCCGGGAGGACCGACAGTTGAGACGGGAGGCCTGGGGGCGAGATGCATAGTGTGCCCGCCGCAGGTCGCGGCTTTCTTTATGCATGACCCACTGGCTGTAAGTCTTGAGAGATGTCAGGCCCCATAGACAGGAAAATGGGGACCCTGGACTTTGTAAAGAAAACCCATGTATTCTATCTAGTATTCGAGCTATGTAGCATTTGTTGTATTCCATACCATTTTTGTTTTTTCTTATGCCAATGACTGTCCCACGCGAATATCGCCATGTCCAAGGCCTGTATACTAGACAAAATCCCAAGATATACCACCAGCATCAATATCATTATGAATCTGACTACTTCGCTTGGGCAAAGTGGAACTGTCAAATCTAGCTCCAAATCATCCAAGCTGTGATAGGGTGAATAGATTACGTGATAAGAAGTCTTTCGCGACTTTGGACTCTTCCCCCGGTTACTTCAGGGCAAAGACGGACATGCCCCTCTTTCCCCTCCGTCGCGTTCCATTCGCAAAATTCGCTTTCTCTCGCTTCTCTCCAAGGCTTCCCTCTCGTCGTTCCTACTACGGGTACATCAGTGATTCCAAAATGGCGCCGCAGTTGGAGCCTTTTTTCAAGCAGTAAGTTAAGCTATCGAGCCTGCTTCTTCAGACACTGATTTTTCTTCAGAGTGGACGACTCGTCTAACGCCTTTATTGATCGTACGTTACTTTGATTGTCAACTGCCAATCCTCGCCAATCCCTGCAAGGTCCTCAATAGGCTGATTACTGTCCAGGTCTGCGAAAAGCCGTTGCTATCCCATCGGTCTCTGCGCAAGATGAGAACCGAAAGGATGTCTTCCGTGTAAGTAAGGCTCGATTTTCCAGATTGGTACCCTCTTCTGATATTTTTGTTGCAAAAGATGGCCCAGTTCCTTGCCGATGAGCTTGAGGCTCTCGGAGCCGAGGTCGAACAGCGTCCATTGGGCAAGCAGCCCGGCAAGGAGCATCTCGAGCTTCCCCCCGTGGTAGTTGCGAGATATGGTAACGATAAGAACAAGCGCACCATTCTCGTCTACGGACATTATGATGTGCAGCCTGCTCTCAAGGAAGACGGCTGGGCCACTGAGCCGTTCGAATTGACCATTGACGAGAAAGACCGCATGTACGGCCGTGGTTCCACCGATGACAAGGGTCCCGTTCTTGGATGGCTTAACGTGATTGATGCGCACCGAAAGGCTGGCATTGAATTCCCCGTCAACTTGCTCTGCTGCTTTGAGGGCATGGAGGAGTACGGATCCGAGGGTCTAGATGACTTCATTCAAGCCGAGAGCAAGAAGTTCTTCAAGGACGCGGATGCTGTTTGTATTTCTGATAACTACTGGCTCGGTACCGAGAAGCCTTGCTTGACCTACGGTCTGCGCGGATGCAACTACTACTCTGTCAGCGTGTCAGGTCCCGCCCAGGACCTGCACAGTGGTGTCTTTGGTGGCTCCGCCCACGAGCCCATGACCGATCTGGTCAACGTTCTGTCTAAGCTTGTTGATTCTCAAGGCAACATCCTGATCCCGGGTCTCATGGACCTTGTGGCTCCTCTTTCAGAGGATGAGAAGACTCTTTATGGAAACATCAGTTACACTATGGATAACCTCCACGAATCATTGGGCAGTGAGACTGGAATCCACCCGACCAAAGAGCGCACTCTCATGGCTAGATGGAGATACCCCTCTCTGTCTATTCACGGTGTCGAGGGTGCTTACTCTGCTCCCGGTGCCAAGACAGTCATTCCCGCCAAGGTCATTGGTAAATTCTCCATTCGCACCGTTCCAAACATGGAGAGTGCCGACGTCAACAAGCTTGTCTTTGACCATGTCAAGGCCGAGTTTGCCAAACTGAACAGCAAGAACACTCTGGACGTGTGGCTGCAGCACGATGGTAAGTGGTGGGTCGCCAGCCCGAAGCACTGGAACTTCTCCGCTGCTGGCAAGGCTGTTCAGCAGGTCTTCGGCGTTGAGCCTGATATGACTCGCGAGGGTGGAAGGTAAGATTCACCATCCGTCAAATTTCGAAATTGTCGCTAATAGTTGATAGCATTCCTGTCACATTGACCTTCGAGCAAGCCACTGGCAAGAATGTCTTGCTTCTCCCTATGGGAAGCTCGACTGATGCTGCTCACTCCGTTAATGAGAAGCTTGACAAGAGAAACTACATTGAGGGAACCAAGCTGCTAGGAGCCTATTTGCACTATGTTGCCGAGGAGCCTACTTCATCATAAGACTTTACTGCTGTTCTTTCATCAACATGCGGTAGAGATCCGCTCTTTCAGCTTCTTGGCTAACCATACTGATAATAAATCTGTTCAGACATGGTACCATGATGATTCTCGGAATAATTATTAACACTGAAATTGGTCTAACAATTCCCTATATCCTAAATATATCACAAATCCAAGGCTTGCTCGACTATATTTTTTATCTAAGTTGAATAGAAAGGAGACTTAGAACTCGTATCGTGTATTTTTGTTTAGTTCCATCTGCGAGATCCCTCGGGCTCTTGGAGGGCTCCAGGGCTAACAATTTGCTTACTAAGAACCACCTGCGACGCGATTTGCGCGACGCGACTATCAGCACCTCTTTGTATCTTTTATCACTGTCGACCTAACGGTAAATCTTCGATCATGTGCTAGCTACTGAATCTGCTGGCATCTTCGGTCTTTTCAAATGCCGTCCCTTAAGCGCTTGCAGGTGCCCGCCCACTCCGACGATGCCTCCGATCTATCCACCATGAGTTCGCCTTCGGTAAGATTTTTGCAATGCAATCAATAACGGTATGCTAATACGATTGACAGAGGAAACGGCCACGAATGTCTGATTCGCCAGACTCCGAAGACGACGAACCCCCGCAAGAATCGCATCTCTCCGTCAACGACGACGCGCTTCTCGGTGATGAGGATGAGCTAGAATTTCGCCAGACTCAGATTATCCAAGAGAAATATGCCCATCTTGTTGAAGAAGCCAACGTACCCGCTGAACATGGAATACTGGAGCGCGTCGAATGTTACAACTTCATGTGCCATGATCATTTCAACGTGGAGTTGGGCCCTCTGATCAACTTCATCGTGGGCAAGAATGGTAGCGGCAAGAGTGCCATTCTGACCGCCATAACTTTATGTCTCGGTGGAAAAGCTTCTGCCACCAACCGAGGACAAAGCCTGAAAAACTTCATCAAGGAGGGTAAAGATAATGGCACAATCATTGTTCGCATCAAAAACCAAGGTGACGGCGCCTACATGTCTGATGACTATGGCAAATCTATCATCGTCGAACGCCATTTTTCCAAAAATGGTTCCAGCGGATTCAAGATAAAGGCAGAAAATGGGCGCATAGTTTCCACTAAAAAAGCTGAGTTGGACGCCATAACAGACTATTTTTCCTTGCAGATCGACAATCCCATGAACGTACTTTCTCAGGATATGGCTCGCCAATTCCTCAGCACCTCAAGCCCAGCTGAGAAATACAAGTTCTTCGTCAAAGGTGTGCAGCTTGAACAACTTGATCAGGATTATCGTTTGATCGAGGAATCTGTCGATCAGATTGAAGAGAAACTCAAAACGACTATGCAGGATATCCGTGTACTTGAAACTCGGAAGGATGCAGCGAAGAAGAAGCTACAGATATCTGATCAGCACGATTCTCTGAGAGCCCGTATTAGGAACTTCCGGAGTCAAATGGTCTGGGCTCAGGTCGAGGAGCAAGAACAAGTCAGTATCAATACTCCCTCATTTCCAGCTCTACTGTCTGACAAGCCTCAGATGCAAGCCTCACTAACCGAAGAAATTGCGAAAGCGGATGACATGATTCTTCGCGCTGAATCTGAACTTGTTTCGTTCGATGATGCCTTCCAAGCCATCGAGACAGAACGTGAAACCGCTGCTGAATATTCATGGCGAGCCGCAGCGGCATTGGAAGAAGCAACAGGCGAAAAGGAAAAGATCAAGGAAAAACTGGAGGCGGAGATGAACAGACGGCATGATTTACAGGTAAAGTCTCAAGCTTTGTCTAGTTCGACTGCTTTCTAACTCTCTTTTTAGGCCGAGCAGCGTCAAATCAGGGAATATCTAAGAGGAGCAGAGTCTAGAATCCAGGAAACGCAGCAAAAGGTTCACGAAGAGAATCAGCGTCTCGCCGACGTCAGCGGCGGGGGTTATGCACGAAAGCAAGAGGCGTGTGAACAGGCCGTCAACGACGCCGCTGCCGCTCAAACGGAATACAATGAGCATCGTTCAGGTGCAAGCCGTCTACTGGAAGACGTCGAAAGGTCTGAAAAGGACCTTGAAGCAACTAAAGGACCGATTGATGACAAGAAAGCGGAACTTGAACAAGCAGAGAACCGGTTGAGAACACTCACCCGGGAAGGTGGAGCAAGACAATCCGGATTCCATCCCAAGATGCCAGACCTGCTCAAGGCCATTGAACAAGAACAGACATTCGAATTTCGACCTGTTGGTCCAATCGGTCATCACATTACACTGCTACAGCCAAAATGGTCCTCCATCTTGGAGAGTTCGTTCGGTGGTACACTTTCCAGTTTTATAGTAACTTCCAAAAGAGACATGAACATTCTGTCCAACATCATGCGACGAGTAGGTTGGTAAGTACATTTGTAAAGCGAAAGTCTTTTTCAAAGGCTTAACAGCTAACACCACACATTATAGTATCTCGCCAGTGTTCATTGGTACTGGGGGGCATTTGGATACCTCAGCGCATGAACCAGATCCTCAATACGACACCGCTTTGAGAATCCTTCAGGTAAGCTGATGTTGTACTATCAAAGATGGCTATCACCGCTGACAATTTAATAGATTGACAACGAATTAGTTCGGAAACAGCTGATCATCAACCATGGCGTTGAGCAAATGCTGCTAATTGCAAAGCTAGACGAAGCCTCCTCCGTACTCTTCGACGGGGCACGTCCGAAGAACGTGAAACGCTGTTACTCCATTGATGAGAGAGATAGACGTCGTGGAATACACCTGTCCTACAGCCGAGCCGGTGAACCGAGTCAAGCTCCAGTGTCGATGTACAGCAATCACCCGCGCATGAAATCAGATCTGGCTTCACAAATCAGGTACGAACTTAGAAATACTGGGACGTAAGTTTTGAGTCGCTCTGGCCGCTAACTAGCTTTTTTTTCTCATCTGAAAGTGTACAACGTGATGTTGTTAATGACCTCAAACGTCAGCTAAACGACCTTCAACAAGAAATGGTCTCTGTTCGCTCGCGTCTTAATACCTCCAAACAGTCATATGTAAGACATGGAAGAAGAGAGAAAGAACTCCAGATCTCTATGCAACGCAAGGAAGACTACGCCGAAGAACTCAGGGACACCCTCGATAAAGAAAATGCAGAAGATGGGCGCATTGATGCGCTCAATTCTGCTCTCAAGGAAGCGGAAGATGAGAAGCAACTGAATGAAGGTTCATACAAAGACAGTGAGACTGCCATGGCGGCCATTATGCAGACACTCAAAGAAATCAGGCGCGAATTGTCCGCCAAAGATTCTGAGCTTGGAACCCTGCAACAAAAATTGCGAGTTGCCGAAAGCGAGCACACACTCGTTAACTCGAAGAAAAGCAAGATTCTCAGTGATAAAAACGCAGCCATCGCCAATATTGAAAATGAGAAGCGAGAAAGGGCGACTATTCACGGCAGAAGAGAGCAGGTCGCAGCGCGCATTATCGACTACAACGAGAAGGCAAGCTTGGTCTCCTCTCGAGTTTCTGTGGACGAGGGAGAAACTCCAGAGAGTCTTGATCGAAAGCTTGACCGGCTGATCCGAGATCTGGAGCGCTACAGTTCGGAGTATGTATCTTTCTTATGCCTCTTTGATCTGGTCTAACAATCAAAATTCTAGGCTGGGGGCTTCCCGAGAAGAGATTGCTACTGAAGCAGAAAGAACCGAGGCAGCTTATTCACGAGCTAGAAAGCAGGTCCAGGAACTATCGACGCTGGCTCAGGTATATTTTATCCTTTTCACAGTTCTGACAATTGCTCTTGTTCTAACCTCATACAACAGATATTCAAAGATACCCTTGGTAACCGTAAAAAGCGGTGGGAAATCTTCCGGTCTCATATTTCGTCTCGAGCTAAAGCTCAATTCACCTACTTGCTGAGTGAACGAAGCTTCCGTGGTCGGCTTCTGGCTGACCATAGTGAAAAACGCCTGGATCTACAGGTAAGGACATCACCCCCAGAGGTCCAGCCTGTCAAATTGACTAATCGCCACCACTTCTTTTAGGTTGAGCCCGATATCACCAAAGATGACAGCACTGGACGAGGTGCGAAGACGCTCTCCGGTGGCGAAAAGTCATTTTCGCAAGTGTGTCTTTTGTTGGCGCTCTGGGAAGCCATGGGTTCCCCTATTCGTTGCCTTGATGAATTGTACGTTCAAACCCCGATTTTTCTTGGGATTTCTTATTAACCTCGGTCAATAGCGATGTATACATGGATCATATCAACCGGAAAATGGCCATTGACATGCTTGTAAGTCCCACAACTCTCCCCAAAATATAATATGCTGATCCTCTGTGAAGATGATTGCCGCCAGACGGTCCATAGGGCGACAGTTCATTTTAATCACACCTGGCTCGAAAACCGATATCACTATTTCCCCTGATGTAAGGGTTAAAGAGTTGGCAGAGCCAGAACGTGGACAAACGTCTTTATCATTCCGGCGTTAGTCTTCCAGGTTCTGTCGCAGCTTTCTCTCTTGAATTGCCGTCTGTTGTTGTTTTTTTTTGGTCTTTTTTTGCAGCGAAATACCCTTGAACAATTCAATCCCATAATTAAGTCAGATGTTCAACCTCCACGGATATTTGGCTCGTTCCCTCATGTTTTTGCTGTGTGGACCTGGTGGGTTGCGTACTAGGTATAGGCCGATATTCTCTTCTACTCATCAACCTTTCTCATTATCGGTTGAACACTTATAAGCAGCAGTCATTTGGGGGTCAAAGGTATTCTCGGTATGATTCTCAAGGTGAAACGCCCATAAGCTTGGTTTTATGTAAACAGAAAAGTGCTAGTACTGGCCATGGCACGTGATCTTCAAGAACCGGCGGGACCGTTTTAGCTTCGTTCGACTTCATCCAGAAACTCCTCGCTCCCCGCCATCATCATCTCAACCTCCAGTCCTAGACCTTATCGTGAATATACCAGGTCTCTTCTACCCATCCCTCTCTTCGTGATCCTTCTCGCTGCGATATCTAGAAAGCCCGTCAGTTTCACACAAGAGGCTTCGTTGATTGACCATTCCGATCTATTATCCACCTTCAACACGACTTTTCCAGTCGCAATCTGACTCAAAGCACTTCTTGAAGAACAATAACTACCCCCTCATTGGAAACCTCTTTCTCCGCACTTCCGACCACGCCTTTGATCCCCCTCCTCCAATCAAGCACCATACTTGACTGCCTATTCCGTCTTGCTACACAGTCAACTCTTACAAGATTTGAACACCTGCCTCGGTCTTAGACCCCCGATTTGTTCACTGAATCAAAATTTCATCCTCCCACTTCTCTCATACATTTACATCACAATGGCCGACGCACTCACTGCACAACTTAGCACTACCAAGCTCGGGTAAGTCAGATATGTTTCATTGATATCAGAACAAACATTAACAGCATGGGCGATGTAGAGAAGCTCCTGCCGAGCAGAGGCTACAGGACACATTGAATCTCCCCCCAAAAGATTCCCGACCACAAACTGAGGTTCGTCTCAAGTGATTCTCGCACCCAAAATGAAACTAATTGGAGGAAAAAAGGATGTTACCGCTACTAAAGGCCTCGAATTTGAAGATTTCTATATCAAGCGCGAGCTCATGATGGGAATTTTTGAGGCTGGATTCGAAAAGCCCTCTCCCATTCAAGAAGAGACGATACCCGTTGCCCTCACGGGCAGAGACATCCTGGCCCGAGCCAAGAACGGCACTGGAAAGACCGCTGCTTTTGTTATCCCCACCCTTGAGCGCATCAATCCTAAAAGCACCAAGACTCAAGCTTTGATCCTGGTCCCCACACGAGAGCTTGCCCTTCAGACATCACAGGTCTGCAAGACCCTTGGAAAGCACCTGGGTATTAATGTCATGGTCACCACCGGTGGAACTGGTTTGATGGATGATATTATCCGGTTGAATGATGCTGTTCACATTCTCGTGGGAACTCCCGGCCGAGTCCTGGACTTGGCCAGCAAGGGCGTCGCTGACTTGTCCGAGTGTCCGACCTTTGTGATGGATGAGGCCGACAAATTGCTGTCTCCTGAGTTCACCCCTGTCATTGAACAACTCTTGTCGTTCCACCCCAAAGATCGTCAGGCCATGCTCTTCAGTGCCACTTTCCCCCTCATTGTTAAATCATTCAAGGTATTTTTAATAACGCTTAGTTTTTGTTGGTTCGATCACTAACTCCCCGCAGGACAAGCACATGCGTAACCCATACGAGATCAATCTTATGGATGAGCTCACTCTGCGTGGTATCACTCAGTACTATGCATTCGTTGAGGAGAAGCAAAAGGTCCATTGCTTGAATACCCTTTTCTCCAAACTCCAGATCAACCAGTCAATCATCTTCTGTAACTCAACCAACCGGGTTGAACTACTTGCGAAGAAGATCACTGAGCTTGGTTACTCATGCTTTTACTCCCATGCTCGAATGCTTCAGCAGCACCGCAACCGAGTGTTCCACGATTTCAGAAATGGCGTGTGCCGCAATTTGGTTTGCTCTGACTTGTTGACTCGAGGTATTGATATTCAAGCAGTCAATGTTGTTATCAACTTTGACTTCCCAAAGAATGCTGAGACTTATCTTCACCGCATTGGTCGTTCGGGTCGTTTTGGACACTTGGGTCTTGCTATCAACCTTATCAACTGGGAAGATCGGTTCAATCTGTACAAGATCGAACAAGAGCTTGGCACAGAGATTCAGCCCATCCCTCAGAACATCGACAAGAAGCTCTACGTGTACGACTCCCCTGAGAACATTCCGCGCCCAATTTCCAACCCCCCGCCTCAAACTGGGGCTGGATCTGTGAATATGGCCAACGGAGACCGTCAGCCCCGTCGCCAAAACAACCACCCAAACAACGGACAATACTACAACAACACTAACCGAGGAAGAGGCTCTTATCGTGGCGGACGTGGCCAAGGTCAGCGTCGTGGGCAACACAACGGTGATCCCAACAGAATGGCTTTCGCTCAAGGACAAATGGGTGGTCAACCTCAAGCGCCAATTTCTTAAGAAACTCCCACAGTTTAGGATCCTTGGGTCATTCTGGCTCTATGCTCCTATTCCTGACTCGACCTCGCAGCGACTAAACTACCTTTCCCTCCTCATTTTTCCATCGGTGCGCTGTCGTTCCCGTTTCAATGCTTTGTTCTTTGCAGTATCACTATTTCTCTTCTTCGCTTTTTCTTCCCCTATTTCCCCCTTTTATCCATGCGGAGGTCTTGCAGGACTATTTCGGCATTTGAGTTTCTTATCTGGTCATAATGATACGGTTCTGGCGCGACGCATGTATCATATGTTTCTTCTTCTGTTGTTCACGGTTCCATCTGATTCACTGAACTCGCCATGAGTCGGCTTGGAATTTCGGTATGAAACTCTCGTGCATTTCCGGCGCCGTCCATGCTTTTCGTTTCTGCTTCGGTTCATGAAGGGGTGTGCATATGCCCAACGTGATTATTTTCTTCGCAGATACGCCGGGCAAATGGCGTTCATCTTTTGGATCTATTGGTTGAGTCTGGCGTTCCACAGAATTTCAGAGAAGCGGTTTCTCTATATCGACCTCATGCGGCTTTTCCTTCTGTCGGTCTCTTTCTGTTTACCACGCTCCCAATGTGTGACGAACTCACCTTGTTACCTTGGTCTTCATGGCCCATTGCCTTTCCGGCACTCCTTCCCTGTCTGGCCACTGACAGGGTTCTATTATTCCCATTTCCAACCAACCCCCATATGTCTCTTATCGCCAACATCTTATCCGCAACAGCTATACCCGAAAGTCACTGTTCCTGGCACTGTGGTTCCACAGATAATTCATGGGGACAAGAGGGTTTTGAGAGAATGAGTTAATTTCTCACTCCAGACTTGACACAACCTTCACGTCCCTGGTATCTCGCAAAAAAAACAACCACAAAAAACACCACAAAACCAAAAAAAAAACCTTTGGAGGAGCACTATTTGCTGAATGAATCCAGCTAGATAAAGCAGATAGTGAATTGACAAAATCCCTTCAATTTGATGAGTAGTAACTATTCGTAGTCGTAGTGTAGAAGTGCACAGGGGGCACGTGAGGGGAGCCGTATATCATTACTCCGAGGTCCAACGGATCCAGGTCTTCGATCTACCCAGCATTCGGCGACAATGGCAACGGCAACTGCGAACAAAGATCAGAAGGCGAAGGTTTGCTCCCCAGTTACTTTCTTGTTGAATCCCTGAAGCTTACCAATGGACAGCCCAGCGCCCTCCGCTCCATCCTTGCGGGGTCCACTGCTGGAGCCGTGGAGATCGGTAAAGAGCTCAACAATTCCCTCCCCGATGTCCAGATGTTTAGCTGACCATTGTGCCCTCCAGCAATCACCTATCCTGCTGAATGTATGTTATTCTATGGCTTCCCAACAATCCCTCGCTAAATCTCTTCACTAGTCGCAAAGACCCGGACGCAGCTCAATCGCCAACTTGGCCACGGCAAAAAGCTCCCGTTCCCGCCGTTCGGAAGCCAGTGGTACGCAGGATGTACAACACTGATCATTGGAAACTCGCTTAAGGCGGGTATTCGTGCGCCTCCCCAATCGCAATCGATGCGCCGTTGCATGTGGACTGACGAGCGAATAACATAATAGGATTTGTTGCTTTTGATGCCATCAAATCCGTTCTCCAGGATGAAAACGGCAAGATTTCAGGACCAAGGACGGTCGTTGCTGGCTTTGGTGCTGGATTTACCGAGTCTCTTCTGGCGGTCACTCCTTTTGAGAGCATTAAGACTCAACTGTTCGCTGCCTCCATATTCCTCTTGGGCAATTTCACTCGTTCTAATCATATACATGACTTATAGAATCGATGACCGCAAGTCTGCCAACCCTCGCATGCGCGGTTTCTTGCACGGGAGCAAGCTCATCTTCCAAGAGAGAGGTGTTCGAGGCTTCTTCCAGGGCTTCGTTCCCACCACAGCAAGACAAGCTGCTAACTCGGCTACCCGGTTCACGGCTTACACAACATTAAAACAGCTTGCAGAGGGGTATGTGGCGCCAGGTGAGAAGCTGGGCACTGCCAGTACATTTGCCATTGGAGGAATCGCGGGTTTGATCACTGTGTAGGTCTTTTTTTTGCGTCTGAGCAATAATGACCTTGGCTCTAACATGCATGCAGCTATGTGACACAACCCCTGGACACAGTGAAGACACGGTGAATAACCCAAACAACGAAAGGTCTCTTGGAATTTACTAATCTTCCCGACAGGATGCAATCTCTGGAGGCTAGCAAAAATTACAGGAACAGCTTTGTGTGCGCAGCAAGAATCTTCAAGGATGAGGGTGTCTTGACTCTCTGGTCAGGAGCTGTCCCCCGACTCGCGAGATTAATCCTGAGTGGAGGAATTGTGTTCACCATGTTAGTTTTGGTACTTGAAGCGAAGGATTATGGCTAACTGCTGCATAGGTACGAAAAGACTATGGATCTACTGGATATCGCAGACCCTGAGCGCAAATACCTCTAGATTGTTCTTGTTCAATAGACTGTTTCCTTGCTTGTCTGTTATATCTTACATGGTATCTCTTTATTTTAGTGTACAGGAAAAATACATGCGGAGTCGACACTTTTCAAGCGCCTACTTTTGTTCTTTGGCCAGATCCTCGGCCACCATGGCCTCGACTTCGCGATCAGCCATCCAGGTGCGCACACTCTCCATCACTGTATCCAGCCCATCGCCACCATCGAGTACACCATCCAGATTATGGATCGTGAGGCCAGTACGGTGGTCAGTGCAACGACTTTGGCCGAAATTATAGGTTCGAATCTTGTCACCTCGACCCATTTTGGCCACTCCGCCCAAGATGCCTCGTCGGAGTTGGACAAGTTCCTGCTCTCGGGCTTCCTGCCTAGCTTCGGCCAGCTTTGCTCGAAGAACCTGCCATGCTTTTCTCCGGTTGGCCTGTTGGGACCGTTCATCCTGCATGGAAACCACAGTATTAGTGGGTATATGAGTTAGTCGAATTGCGGACTCTGTTTTGTTCACATGCTGCCCGCCAGCACCGCCCGCTCTCATCTTTTCAATGCGAACTTCCTGGGGGTCGATATAGTAGTCGCTAGTCGGATCTTCAAAGTTCAAAGCACTGTCCAGCTCGCTGCCAGTCTCGGGGAAGCTTGGCAATACCATCACACTAACAGCACTAGTGTGAGTACGACCCTTTGTCTCTGTTGCGGGCACTCTTTGGACCCTATGTACCCCCGACTCTGTTCGCAGAAGATCATATGCTCCATCGGCTTCAATTTCTATCACCGCTTCGCTAAGACGATCTTCCGATGGCCCAACCTCTGTTTCTTGCTTCAATATGGTTGGGCGAAGGCCCCTTCGAGTGCAAAAAGAGACGTACATCCGTAACAGCTCATATGCAAACAAGCCCGCCTCGTCACCGCCTGCACCTGGACGGATTTCAAGCAGACATGGGAGATCTGCAAAAGGATGCCGAGGAATCAAGGCCTTTTTCAGTCGATCTGAAACCGCTGGTAGGGCATTGTGACTGCTTTCGAGGTCTTCAATTGCCAGTGACCGTAGCTCTGCATCCGTACTGGGATCATCCAGTAGAGACTTCAGCTCATATATAGACTTGAGAAAAGTTGCGTTAGGAATTTAGTCAGCTGCTTGGTTGATTGATGGCACATACATCATTGGCATTAACCCATTCTTTTAGGACGTTGGCAATCGGTGCTAGTTCCCCGGCTCGCTTGGCGGTTTTGGCGTCAAAGGACTCGGCCAGTCGATCAGCAAGTTTGGCATGCTCGGCTGTGAGTAAGCGAGCTCTAGTCAAGAGAGCTGGTGACAGAGCGGAATCCGAAGCTTTGGCACGTATTAGCCGTATTGAATCGACATAGCATATGGGGGGAGGGGGTAATCAAGTACCGGTATTGATGGCGCGCAAAGGCGACAGTGTCAAACCAGGCCTAGCTGGTCGTAGGAGACATCGGCGGCATATCGACTGAAAGCCGAGCATACTTTGAAGGAATGGATGCCAAATTGAAGGAGTTCGGAGGGTTGGGGATTCGTGAAACAATCCATGTCACATGACAGTAACGGAAGATTACCTTGTAAAGGCCACGGATTCGAGTATGCGACATGCTATCCAACTTCGCCCTCCAGCTTCCTCGTTTTTTGACTCTTCATTTTAGTCCATTCTGATTCTGGCTTCTAGATTATGACCGTCCTACGCTACAAGTGAGACTGATCAATCACAACTCTTGTCTTGAATTACTTCGTTTCATACACCTCCGGTACTGCGCCGCATACTCCAAGATGCTCGTTTCATTGGAATTGCTCACTGCCTTTTTGGCGTGTTTTTCCACCGGTTATTCTCTTCAAATTGCGCCAGACACGCCTTTATCGGAATTGATTTCTTCGGCAAAAGCCCACCTCGCTCAAGGTTCGCCGCGGGACGCCGTCGCATACTTCGACGCCGCAGTCCTGCGTGACCCTACCAACTACATTACTCTCTTCCAACGTGGCGCGGCATACCTATCGATTGGAAAGAACTCTCAAGCGTCGAACGACTTTGATCGGGTTCTAGAGCTCAAGCCGGACTTTGAGGGCGCTCTACTACAACGATCCCGCCTCAAGGCACGATCCGCACACTGGGTAGAAGCTCTGCAGGACCTTGAACGGGCCGGAAAGAAATCTTCTCCCGACTATGAGGAGTTGGAGGCTGCGCGTGACGCGGCAACGTTGGCTCTCACTGCCGAAAAGCAAGGCGCCTGGGAGAGCTGCATTTCTGAGGCAAATGTGGCTATTCTAAAGGCAAACACAGCACTGTCTCTACGTCAGGCGCGAGCTCATTGCCATTTTGAACGAGGCGAGACAGAAGAGGGTATCAGCGACCTGGCGCATGTATTGCAAATTTCACCTAATTTGATCGAGTCGCACTTGCAGATGTCATCGATGTTGTTCTACTCTTTAGGGGACAGTGACCGTGGCCTTGCTCAGATCCGCAAATGTCTGCATGCTGATCCCGACTCAAAGGCCTGCAATCGTCTCTACAAACGTGAACGGAAGCTTGTCAAGCGGTTGGAGAAATTGCACACAGTCCTGGAGGCACGCAAGTTTAGCAACGCAGTCAATATCATGGTTGGGGATGCCGAATCCAGTGGATTGCTTACAGACACCAAGACGGATGTTGAGGAGGCAAAGGAGGCGGGTCATATCCACCGTCTGGCGCCAAACAATCTTTATGTGTTCCTTGTCGAGAAGACCTGCGAGGCTTACCGTGAGGTATGTTTACAAAACACAAGTTTGTTTTTTTTTTTTTTTGACTGACTGACTGACTGACCTTCATATCAGATGCGAATGCTTAAGAAGGCTGGCCCTTATTGTTCGGAGTCTCTAGAACTTGTTCCTCACTCGCTCCATGGGCTCCTGTACAAGGCCCAGACCGCTATTGATGAAGACCGGTTCGAGGATGCTATACGCACACTAGACTCGGCCAAGGAACACCACCCTAGCTCTCAGGAGGTTCAATCTCTCCATCAAAAAGCTCAGACTCTCTTGAAACGCTCGAAGCAAAAGGATTATTACAAGGTCCTGGGTGTCAGCCGGGATGCCGACGATCGAACGATCAAGCGAGCTTATCGCACACTCACTAAACAACACCACCCGGACAAGGCCCACGCCCAGGGTGTGAGCAAGGAAGAGGCGGAGAAGAAGATGGCATCCATCAATGAAGCCTATGAAGTTCTATCTGATTCCGAACTTCGGACAAGATTCGACAACGGTGACGATCCCAATGACCCTGAGTCGCAGCGTGGAAATCCGTTCCAGGGACAAGGCCATCCATTTGGTCACGGTGGTGGTCAACAGTTCTTCTTCCAACAGGGAGGTCAGCAGTTCAAGTTTGGCGGTCAAGGATTCAACTTCCCCGGTGGATTTCGCTAGTAATCTTTAAGCATTGTTCTATGTTATTCTTCATCTTCTGTTCTGTTGATTTTTTCTGTGTAGAGCATGGCGTGTCGAGGAGTTTCACGCTTGGTGACATTGGACACCCTCATGTATTCGAGGATTGGCGTCACTGTGAAGACCCTCTCTGCGCATTAACATGAAATACGTTTGGCATGATCATCCGTTGTCTGTGAGCTAAGAATCCCTCAATGGGTGAATTGTAGAAAAGGGCCGTGGCCCAGCATTTTGTAGAACATGCAGGGGTTATGGCAGTAAGAAAGATAGACAATCCACGCAAATTTGATGACCACAATCCTTTTAAATCAGCGATCTCTTCAACGTGCTGGCGCATTGGTCAAGGGCACGTAGCTAACTTGAAAGACCTTTTTTTGGTGAACGGATCCGTCCTCCTGTTTATCTACCACCCAGATGTATTGGCCGCCAGTCAGACTTCCCCGAACACTTCCATCGTGTTCGGACTCCACGGGAATGAACATTCGTCCAGGGGCACGTAGCTGGTCCACTAGGGTTGGATGAAGTTTCTCGGCCGCGGCCCCGACATGAATTGCATCGTATGGAGCACCCTGTTTCCACCCGAGACGTCCGTCGGCGGTGATAAACTCAACCTTGTTGGAGGCCTGCAACTCACGGCCTTCGTCAGACTTATTCATATTATCGCGGGCCAGGTCTGTCAGCTCGGGGATGTGATCGATTCCAATGACATGTCCTGGGGCTTCATTGCCGGATGGGTCGGTCACCAGGTTGGCGAGAACATGGGTCAAGTACCCTGAGCCAGATCCGATGTCTAACACTCGGAAGCCAGGCTTCAGGTAATCAATGAGGTACTCGCATGCATGGCCATGCATGTGTGGTGCTGAAATGGTAGCTCCATGCCCGATGGGCTGGGGCGAGTCCGAGTATGGCCGAGATGGAGCATAGTGAGCTCGATCAACCTTGAGCAATTATGAAATGTTCAAACTGTAAAGGAGGTGAGGGATTTGCTTACTCCCAACATGGCTTTCTTTACCCGCTCATTCTGAATTAACTCGGCCTTGAATAGGTTCTCAATCAGCTCAGTGTTGGTGGAGCCGGAACAGTACCATGCCATGTTGGTGGATGTTGTTTTGCACCTGATTCCGAGTGCCAGGGCCTTTTTCCTGAGTACGCTGAGCATACACTAGGCATGTATTCAGCAAGCGATGTGATATGAGGTTGGAGGGGGAGAAAAAAAGAGGACGTGTTGTATATAAATCATCCATGGATCACAGATAAATGACGACACACATATGATCCACGTGACTGGCGTCGACAGTACCCTGTGTTCATCCTTGGCAGTTGGCGGTGGACAAGAATATCTGAATAAAGATCAGCTTGCAAAGCAGAACATGTCAGAAATCAGTTGACTGTATAGTCCTGGAGAGTGTCCAGGCGGGGAGCTATGATTACTAAGACCAAAGCTTGGTATCAGATCAGATTTATCGATCGTTGTTGATATCCTGGATTCACTCACCATCGCCGTGGGAACTCTTGGGAACTCTTCTCTCCTACGGCAAATATGGATTCTTCCAGTGCACCACAAAATCTGCATCACTGACACCATTGTCTGGCTCCTTGACTCATAAACATGGCTGAACGAAACCCCAATGTCCGAGCAGAGGTAGATCTGATGATATTGGACTACCTCGTCTGTTTGGCCGTGAGTAGACTTCTTGCCATGATTGGAACTTCCCAAAATCTCTCTGACGTGGAATGGCTTGTGCAATCAGTTGAAAGTATGTTTGCCTGAAGACCCTTGGGTGGCATCAAAGCAATGTACTGACTTGTCCAGCCTTCCGTTGGATCATCGAGGGCCACCAACTCGAATATGCCCTGCCCTCGGATCTCAACCTCAAACTGCACATCTTTCATATCGTCCTGTCGTATTGCCACTACAAGCCCCCCCGGGATCGCCGTCCGCTCCTCAATTTCACGCCCCTGTCCCACATCACAGTTGAATTCATGCGAGTTTGCCATGCCTCGGTTGAACATGTATCCAGAAGACGCTGGTTTGATCTCGGTGCTCATCTTATGGCGCATGCGATCCTGGAAGAAAAGGACCGCTTTCCGGAGCACCTCCGCCAGCTTTGCTCCTGGAGAACCGGCGATGGCGAGCTAGACGTGTACTGGGAGGCCAGCCGTGGAATGATTCTTGAGCATATTCCACCCCCCTATGGCACTGCAGCCCCAGCAACCCGGGAAGAGCTAGATCGGCTTTTCGACGTTCAATTACTGCACGGCCGTTTTACTCAATTCTTCGAGGATCTCATGGAAGCCCTGGATATACCTCTCCTTGTGCAACTAGAGCAAGGCCAACTGGTCGGGCTGACCCGCGAAGAAACTCAACGGGTGATTCAACATTGTCGACTCTAAAGCAATCCCAACTAGATCGACCTGAGATGCGAGTGCATAGGAAAATCAGTGCATAGCATATTCCACCCTATCGCAAAGCCCAGCGGTCTTGAACAGACAAACAGGTCAGGAACATCTGCGCAAAGAGCAGCATTACATGTTTGATCGCTTTATTCCATTTCCTTCATTACGAGGCCTGATGGCCAATAGACAAGGTCGAAGCTAAGACTCGACCCTCCGTGTAAGACACTGTACTTCATGAAAATCTCGAGTGAGAATAAACTCCAGATTAAGCCTGCTAGAAGGCATGTCTTGACATGGCATTTATATCTTGAAAACCTAATAATTTACAAAGGGCGCAAGAGGCCGCCCTAGACACGAAAACACGCAGGGCAACAGGGGCAATGTTGGCAGTTGAAATTAACTAGCCAAGCAGCATGCGCCGGGGGTCCTCAATGTACTCCTTGACCTATAGCGATAGTTAGTGTTTTGATCTAATTCGAGTATGGAAGAATGAGAGTAATCTACCTTGACCAGGAAAGTAACAGCCTCACGACCATCCAGAAGACGGTGATCGTAGGTGAGAGCGAGGTACATCATCTATCGGAGAATGTTGTTAGTGAGATAGATTCCCTCAAATTGAGACACCTAGGGAGAGAATGCATACCGGGCGAATCTCAACCTTGCCATTGATAGCGACAGGCTTATCCTTGATGGCGTGAAGACCCAAGACGGCTACAAAGAGAATGTTAGACACGAGAGACACGCAAGAAGATGGCGAAGCTTACCAGTCTGGGGAAGGTTGATAATGGGTGTGCCCATCAGGGAGCCGAAGACACCACCCTATCCAAATTAGCTTAGTCGAGACATAGACTACCGGGAACAGAACTTACGTTGCTGATGGTGAAGGTACCACCGGCCATATCCTCAATGGTCAGCTTGTTGTCGCGAGCCTAAAGGTTGATCAGCCGTCAGCAAAACTTCAAGAAGAACACCAGTCCGAAAGAAGACTCACCTTCTTGCCAAGCTCGGCAATCGCCTCTTCAATTCCGACAAGGTCCTTGCCCTCGGTGTTGCGGACAACAGGAGTGACGAGGCCCTTCTCAGTGGCAACAGCAACGCTGATGTCAACGTAGTCACGGTAGACAATGGTGTCACCGCCGTTGGGGCCCTCAATCGAGGCATTGACGGCGGGGATGTCCTTCATAGCGAGCACGCAGGCACGGGAGAAGGCGCTCATGAAACCCAGCTTAACACCGGTCTTCTTGAGCACATCATCCTTGTACAGCTTCCGGAATTCCATGAGAGAGGACATATCGACCTCGTTGAAGGTGGTGAGAGAAGCAGCAGTGTTCTGGGACTGCTTCAGGCGCTCAGCAATTCTCAGACGCATACGGTTCATCTTGACCTAAAGGACGGAAAATACTATGTTAGCAATGCCGAGTTGCGTAGTATGGCGACACAAGGCGAAACGTACCCGGCGTTCCTCGCGGCTTCCGAGGGCAGGCTTGGACTCAGCGGCGCCTTGTGGCTTTGGTGACTCCTTCTTCGCGGGAGCCTCCTTGGGCTTCTCTGATGAAGGAGCAGGCTTGGAGGCCTGAGTCTCCTTGGGCTTCTCAGTCTCAGCGGGAGCAGGAGAAGACTCCTTAGACTCGGCCTCCTTGGGCTTTTCCGCGCCCTCATCCTTCTTTCCTTCGGGGGCACCGCCGAGCTCCAGCTTGATGATATCCTGTCCAACTGTAACAGTATCTTCCTCGTTCACGAGAAGTTCTTTAATGGTACCAGATTCCGGAGCATTGACCGAGACATCAATCTGATCACAGGAAGAGAAGATATCCATGTCAGCGAACCGAACCTTCAAACCAGTCACTTCTTCCAGTATACCAACGTACCTTGTCGGTTTCGATAGTCGCGATTTCCTCATCACGCTCGACGTAATCTCCAACCTCTATTTTATAGTGAGCACTGATAAACAATGACTGATTTTGAGGATGAGCGTCATACGTTTTGAGAACTGCTTCAGGGTACCCTCTGTAATCGATTCGGCCATTTGGGGAACCTTGACGATGGAGTCGGCTATAACAGAGATTGATTAAAAAGACTGTACGAAGCCGAAATCAGATCAACCTTACCATAGGTTCGGAGCTGGTGGCCTCCCAGAGGAGCCATGTTGAGCGACGCATTGAGGCTATTGAATTTGATGAGCTAATTATGCTTCAACTGAGCACGATATAGGCGCATTTGCTTACCGGGACGAAACCTGGAGCAGACCAGAGGCCGAACGAGGCGACGCCTTTGTGCGCGTCAGAGTGGACAACCCCTTGAGGTTGCGGACCTGAGTAGATGCCCGAGGTGTTGTCCTGGCCACAGCCGACAAGCCCGAAAGGCGCGCAAGAGAAATCCGAGAAGCCATGATGGAGAAAGAAAAAAGCAAACAATGATGAGGGGGGAGGGAAATCAATCAAGGATTGAGGAAAAGGGGCTTCTCAGAAAGAAGTTCGAGGTCAAAGGTGAAAGTCAAGCTCGGATTAGATCGGGTAACGTAAAACCGGGCTCCCTTTCGGCAGAGGTCTATTCCCAAGACACTACGGTGGCCCAGAACGACCACTGCAGCATTTCATGAACGAATTAGGAAGCCCAGAATAGTCAACCCGACGACTATCCTACGCACTCCCCCTCTCCATTGGAATTTCTGAACTACGGTGTCTGCGATTGTTGCCAGGCCTGACAATTACAGCCATCTTTTCTCATTGATTCTTTCTTCTAGTCGGTATCGGGCCCCGGAGCAAGACTTGAGATCTCACCATGTCCACCTCCGCTGTCCAGTGGGTATCCATTTCGTCTAACCCAAGAGAAAGCTACTGACAGGTCACAGGTCGCTCTACCGGCGGTCCTTGAAGCTGGCCCTCGACTGGGCTGTCCACCGACAGGTGTGGCGCGGACAAGCAGTCTATATCCGATCCCTTTTCGAGGCGAACAAGGACGTCCGTGACCCCCGCCAACAGCAAGTATGGAATTCAACCTCTTCCTGACTGCGCCATATTTAACACACTCGACCAGGTCTTATTCCGCGAAACGGAGAAGCTCCTGGAGAACTGGAAGCACCCGGATCCTTACCGGGCACCCACTGCGCCCGGCGGAAACAAATGGGAACGCAACCTGCCCGCTCCAATTCTGCCCTGTACGTCGATTCCTCATCTCTGGCAAACTAACATTGGAAAGGAACAACACTAATCGGATTACCAATGCAGATGCGCAACCACCAGGTGCTCACTAGTGGAGAGTGGAGGTGCGAAATACGATATCCGATGGAGAGAACTGGGGTTTCTATCGAGAACATGAACTATGCGTAATTCAACGAAATAGATTCTCGAATCAATACTGATAATCAGTTGATATACTGGATGTACAATAAATAAGGCCGGAAGACAGAGAATTCGAATCTACAAGGGTCATGAATCTGTATACAGTGCTCGCAAGTCTTAGTCCAGTCTCTTGGATCGACGGTGCTTTGATTGTGCCGTTTGCATGCAATTTACGTTCGCATTGTCGTTCCAACCAAGATTGTATACAGCATTCGGTGTATAGATGGGGAACTATACATATTGTGTATAGTCTGCGCGTCTTGGGATGGAACCACGGAAATTGCAAGAGAAAAGAAAACACAAAAGTCAACACTTGAAGGACCTAGAGTCTTTTCATTGATTTGGGTCTGTCCCTGGGGCTAGTATCCGAAACTTGAAATCCCTCAAACGAGCTAAGGTCGTCGGTATCATTCCATGCCCGTAGGCATAATGTACAACCAGGAAATTGATGAAAAAAAATAGAAAACGCAGAGCCATAACGTGCCCGTCCCATAACCCCATTATCGTGTCAAAGAACCAATCCGCGCCGGAAAATAAAACAAAGAACCCGCGAAAACAACAGAGACACCGCTCTACAGCTCTTGGCTACCCTTTCCAGCCTTGGGGGTCTTCTTGGGGAGAAGGTCTAAGAATGAGGTTAGCAACTGAAGATGGAGGACAAGTGCGGGGTAACATACTCTGGTGGATGTTGGGCAGAACACCACCCTGGGCGATGGTGACGTGACCCAGAAGCTTGTTCAACTCCTCATCGTTACGGATGGCGAGCTGAAGGTGACGGGGAATGATACGGGTCTTCTTGTTGTCACGGGCGGCGTTACCAGCCAACTCGAGGATTTCAGCAGCGAGGTACTCGAGGACGGCAGCGAGGTAGACGGGAGCACCGGCACCAACACGCTGAGCGTAGTTGCCCTTGCGGAGCAGACGGTGGACACGACCAACGGGGAAGGCGAGACCAGCCTTGGAGGAACGGCTTCAAAAGTAACATGTCAGTGAATGAATCCGAAAAAAACGCGTAGATAAACAACTTACGACTGCGCGTTCTTGCTACCGCTAGCCTTGCCGCCGGACTTTCCGCCAGTCATTTTGATGGATGGGGTTTTTTGAAAGGGGATTGGTGGGAGAGAAAGGTGGTAAAAGTGTTGATGATTGAGGAGTGAGTTAGAGTAGAAAGTCGCAAGAGCAGGTGGGAGAGCGTGTGGAAGCGGAGGACCTTTATAAGGACGCGGTGAGGGTGACGTTGGGCGGCATCAAGAGGCCTCCAGATCACGCACTCGCTTAAAACGCGCAGCCAATGATCAGTCAGATCAGACATTCCCATTTGGGTAAGGTGTGGTAATCTACTTTGATTACCATACCATACCTTCTATTTGATGTGAATCTGGTCCACTTTCCCCGCCTTAGGACGCGTCAATCCCCCTTTAATCATACAGATCATACCACCCTGTTACTGTATTGAAATTCGGCCTCCTTTGCACCCCCCAGGATCAACTGCCTGTTGGTGCGCGAGTATAAAGACCGCGCCTCCCCTCGTCACCGCGTCTCACTTACTTTTCCTCCCCCATTCCATCTCTGCTTCCCATCCCACACGCTTTCTTCATCTCCCTTTATCTTTCAACCTTCGTGTTTAACCCACCTTTTCAAACCAACATTCGAAATGGCTCCCAAGGCTGCTGAGAAGAAGCCCTCCACCGGTGGCAAGGCCCCCGTTGGTGGTAAGGCTCCTGCTGAGAAGAAGGAGGCTGGCAAGAAGACTGCCACCGCTGCCTCCGGCGAGAAGAAGAAGCGCGGCAAGACCCGCAAGGAGACCTACTCTTCCTACATCTACAAGGGTGAGTGTGCCACTTTGGTGTTACGGGTTCCATGTGACTGGGCGCATTTATATTGACTCTATTCTAGTTCTCAAGCAGGTCCACCCTGACACTGGTATTTCCACCCGTGCTATGTCCATCTTGAACTCCTTCGTCAACGGTATGTTTCTTTTGGTGTCCAATCGTCGCGTCTGACGCGTCTCAATCGATCACCAATCTGACTTTGAATTTTTAGACATCTTCGAGCGTGTCGCTACCGAGGCCTCCAAGCTTGCCGCTTACAACAAGAAGTCCACCATCTCTTCCCGAGAGATCCAGACCTCCGTGCGTCTCATCCTCCCCGGTGAGCTTGCCAAGCACGCCGTCTCTGAGGGTACCAAGGCTGTTACCAAGTACTCCTCCTCCGCCAAATAAGCGGGTTTCTTACGTTTTCTTTTGAGCTTGCTTTGTTTTTACTGCCTCTTGATCTGTTATGGGCTCTGAGGCGGTCGGTTATGGGTGTTTTGCGGGTTTCTAATGCGTCATGGGATGGCTTGAATTTTCTTTTCCCCAATGGGCGATTTTCTTTGATGGTTACCGATACGTGAATGCGGTGTAACATAACTCGGGTCTGGGGCAGGCACGGATTGACCTCCCCTACTAGAACACGAAATTCCAAATGCGTGATAGCATTGCATCATGATATTATCTTTCCAGCTAATTCTGTTTGAACGTGCCTACTTGTGTAGTTATAGCAGCTTCCAGGTGCCAACTGATATCCAATACCCCAGGTACTTTCAATCTCTCATTCCAGTGCATCCGAGTCATCCAACACTTCCACTTCATCAAGTGCCTCTGCACGACCATGACCATGGTCTGGCTGGCTATGTCCAGGGAAGATGTGTACAATCTGCCGCCCAGGAGTAGATTCAATCTGTTTCTTCCAGTCGGCCCAGTCATCGCCATCCTTGATCAAAAATCCGATTAACATGCTGGGATCCATGTCCTTGATGTGGATTCTCCGAAGTCGGGTGGTGTAGTAGCTATCCAATTCCTCTTGGGTGTAGAGCTCATCAGGTCGATATGGTGTTGCGGGTCGGGTAGAATGGGGATCAAGGAAAAAGAGATGGGAGTCTTGAGCTCCTACAAAGTAATGGGACGAGGAAGGGCGCCCGCTTAATGAATATAGGGTGTTAGCAATTGCACGTAGTTGAATGATGACATCCAACTTACCCGGCTACACCAACTGATTGGGGGTATTGTAGTGCAGCTCGCAGTCCATCCCAATATACCGGTGTAATATGATCAATGCCCAGTCGGATTCCTAGGAGAATAAGTGTTGGCTGTATGCGGCCAGTCTGGTCTCGCGCCACTTGATTAAATTTGTCTTCATACACATCTGATGAGTCGTTGGTCACGTAGATCCTAAGCTTGGGTGATTCACACTCGGTTGAAAGTAGCCTGTCTGTGCTCAGTATCAACCGACATACTATGTTGGATCACTCACTGTATACATCTGGCTGTTGCCGACGGTCCAAACCACTCCCCAGGGTATTTCCCACATGAGTCTGCGCCGCAGTTCACAAATCGATGTATTGAGAATTGAGCATCTGGATGATCAGCAAACATTGAAATTAGTTTCGACTCTTCCTCCGGACTGTCTCCTCTGCGCCAGTCTGATATATGTAGGTAAGCTTGGGTTTTCCTATTCATGTCAATATCCATCACTTACCTCTCCCTAACAATAAAATTGCGAATGTGTTCGCCAGAAGGCTTTGCCCAGATCTAATCATGCAGCCCCACCCAGTATCCGATGTGAAGCCCGAGTCCATGAGCTGGCTTCGAAGCCGTACACCTAATGTCATGGATGATGTCGCTTCTGGTGATGTCGCTCGGGGTATCGGTGTGAAGTTTGATCGGTATGTCATCCACTGCCTTGATCCGAAATCAGAGAGAAATGCTGCCGGCCAGGCTTTCCCTGTTGCTTCACTCGGTGTACCAGCTTCTGTGGACTGCTCTGTCGAGCCATCCTCTTTTGGCGGCTGTTAGCCATGTTTGACAAGTTTTTTACTTGTATATCTCTTTCGGCTGATTGAACTGGTCCAGATAGAACTTACTGGTGGTTTGCGGGGTCGCATACTCTCTGCCCAGGCACCATATTGACGCTGCGGGTGCATCATTCTTGGGTTCGGGATCCCAGAAGTATTGCACTATGCGTTTGCATTTTTCTATATCCACTGTCATAACTGGTGTGGTCTGTGGATGATGATGGTGGGGGGGGTTCGAGACTTGGGGGAGGGGGATAGTCAGAGGAGAGGTGGATAGAGAGCTGGATATATATAAGTGATGTATGTATATCAACCGGCACTAGAGCTCAGGTGAACATCGCCCCCAAAAGATCACACAGAACACACAGAACAATCCAAGGAAGCAAATACACCCAGGAGAGAACTCGAAATAAGGGATACGAAACAGATCACCTGCAATTCTGACAGTTTCTCCATTCCCCGAGGGGTCGAAACCCAGTCACAAGCCCAGACGTCACTGCTCAGAGGCCCCAAAAGGCGCAAAAGATAGTCGTTCCCCCCACACCAGGAAATCCGCGATCTATGTACAGGATTATGTATATATCGAATAAGCATACGAATTACAATATCCAGATAGAAAGCTGGAAGGCCTCCAGTATTATTATCTAACTTGGATGGGGTCACCGCCCGGCCCACCTAACGTCAAGTTAGAAATCCCGCTAGACCAACTTTTCCTTCATCAATCTCATCTACACCCATGGCCCGCCATGGGAAGTTTAAGGCCCGTATCAGGCGGGCCCAAGTGGGCAGAGGTATGCATCAATATGCCATCATATCACATCCAATCGAAGCTAATAATGCGAAGACCCATCGCCACAGCAATTTACCATGCAGCAAGAGGCTCGGAACACTGAAACCCACCAACGATCATGGTCAAATGCTCTCCGCCATAAGGCTGTCACATTTGTGAGCGCAGGAAGTCTGGAACCAACACTGGAACAGGAAAACGATGACCAGGAGTCCAACAAAGACGGCCCAGAACCGATGACGGACAGCCCACCCGACCCCGAAGCAACTTTTTTTTCGACTCACAGGGGCAAGACGTTGCCCACACCGGGCACCCCGATCCCGTACTGAGACCTGAATTGTCGGATTTCGACGACTCGAGCGAAGACGAAGTTGTGTTTACTGGTCGGCGGAAGAATGTCAAACCCGTTGTTCTTGAAACAAACCAGCAAGAGATTCAGGAGATCGTGCAGCCGACGGTTGCTGAATTGTCTCAGACACCGTCATGTAAAGTGGTCGTCGAAACCCGGGACCTGTCACCCGTTGCCAGCAACAAAGACGACGAGGAAGATGATGCAGAGTCCGACACAGACAAACCACAATGGCCACCAGCAGCAGACATCGACCCAATAGCCGACTATATCGCCAACATAGACAGTGAATACTACGCGGAAATCATCAAGGAAGCAAATACCGATCTCGAAGGGGGCATTGACGTTGAAAAAGCTGCAACGCAGTTGGACCTATCGGCTGCTAGCCCCGTTGACACCCAAGGAGATACCAGAAGATCATTGTCCACGAACCATCCACACAATGACTCCAAATTTGAAGGTTCAGTCGATGGTAAATCTGAAACCCTCCACCCGTCAAAACACATACTGACGCGCAGGTACACAGTGCTGGCTCAAATGCATCTAGATACAGATCAAGAATCAAGCGCTACATCAAGTGAATCCGACGAAGATGAAAGTGAAGGTTCTGATAACGTGCATTCCGATGATGATCTCGATGATTTTATCCTACTCGAGGACCTAGCCACCGGACATTCAAAGTCAGGGAAAAAGGGTGCTCGATCTGGAAAGCCCCAATTCCCTTCAGCGTCGGCATTTGCAGATGCCCTTGACTCGGATCCTTACTTTGGATTTGACATCATGGATTACGATCGACCGAGTCTACGGAAAAAGCCCAAGGGTAAACAAGCCATCCCCGAGCTGGTGCTATCCGACAGCGAATTTGAGATTGAACTACAAGAAGCCTGGCAGAACGACAGAAGAAAAAAGAAATTGAGAAAGAAGGAACGAGAAGAATTACGAGCGCAGGGGTTACTGGGCAGAAAACCAGGGAACCCAGACCTCAAATTCAAATATTCCAAGGAGATGAATATGGAGCAATTCATGACCGAACTGCGCTCATTCCTTTTGTCTCCCAAGAACAGGTTTGTCTATCCACCTTAATAACTACCAGACATAGCTAATTCGACCAAAGCCTGGCTTTGCCCCCCATGACCAAACAACGCAGAAAGCTGATACACGAATTGGCGAATGCGCTGAATTTGAAATCCCAGTCACGCGGCCATGGAATGGATCGTTTCCCTGTACTCAACAAGACCGCGCGTACGCCTGGATACACACCCAAAACCATTTCCAACGTGGACGATCTCTTGTCTGGAAGGAAGTTCAACCGTCGTCTATTCAGATCATGGGGCGCAGAGCCACCAAAATCATTCAAACCCAAACGATCTGGAGGAGCTGCAACCTACATGGAGGGCGATGTGGTCGGCGCCTCTGCCCCAGAGATTGGAGCAGGAAACCGAGGCCGTGCTATGCTGGAGAAGATGGGATGGAGTACAGGTACTGCTCTTGGGGCTTCAAACAACAAGGGCATTCTACAGCCCGTTGCACATGTTGTCAAGAACTCCCGAACCGGCTTAGGCTAAGCATGGGCTTTGTGCATATCTGGGAGGAATTGCTTTGGCCATTCCATAGTAGAGCAACAGTGTTTCCCTCGATAGACAATCTACAGGTTGAGGTCAAGGGCTGACCTCTGTAAAATCACCGTGGCCCACTATTTGCGCGTATGGTAAACTGGAATCAGGAAGAGACTAACGTTTCTTGCCCTTCTGACTAGTAGTCCCCAACAATGGCTGTGCATGGTCCTCCTTTTTGATGTGCTCAAACAATTTAGACTTGGAGGCGAATGATTCCTTGCAGTTGGCACATACAAAAGCGGTGGATTGGTTTGCTTCTTTGGCAGCCTTCTTCGCCCGTTTTTGTTTGGCCTTGCCTAACTTGGGCGCCAATGGCTGCTCGTTCAAATCAGAAGAACCCAGTTGATCAGACAGTGTGGTGACTGGATCTAGGATTTCTCCCAAGAGAGAACCCATATCAGATTGAAGTCTGGTTTCGATAGATTCTCTCGAGGCGTAGTCTTCGTCATCTGTGGCTGGGGTACGGTCTTCAACTGCATCTTGCTCGGATATTGCCGTCTCTTCAAGACCACGCGAGCTTTCAGGCGATCCGGTAGTTTGCTTCGAGCTGATTTCAACCTCTTCAATCCGAGAATCGACCACTGCAACATCGGCCGGAGGAAATGGGCCATTCTCCATCTCAAGAGGTTGGGTGGTAACTGGATTAGGACTTGAGCTGGCAGACTCCAAATCCAATTGATCGTTTTGCATTCGCATCTCCCAGCATAGTTGCTTGATAGCCTTCAGGTGCTTTTTACTGCGCTCATGGGCCACGTATTGCTTCTGGCTTTTGAAATATTTGTGACATGCCACGCATTCAAAACTTTCAATCTCGCTCTCCTCGCTCTCGCTGTCGTCAAGGTCTGGCTGCTCCGATTGCGCCCATTCTGGAATGACATGATCACGCATATTGGCTTGATTAAGCGCCCGTGATCTTGCTGCTTGTGCAGCCACAGACTGGCGGAGAGTCTCCTGGCGTTGGGCTTCGCTTTGGGCGTTGGCTTTGTATCGAGGATCACGTTTCTTGACAAAGGCCACAAGAGATCTGACTGCATCGTTGAACTCTCGAATACCTTCATCCCGGAGACGCTTATTTTCCTTTTCCATCATTCGTCGCACCCGGCGATCTGGAGCTTCAGAGAGACGATAAACATCTCTCCAGGCGAATGACTTTTGGGTGGAGAATCCACTCCAACTGGCATAAAACGGCCGTACAACCTTCTCAAAATCATCATGACTAGATCCAAATGTTGCATATTCAATGGGATCTTGAGCCTCCCACTGACAAGCAAGCCTTTCCTCCAATGCAAGCTGTTCAAATTGTTCACGAAGGCCACCGAAGAATCCAGTTGGGGCGTCGGAGAATTCCATTCGCGGACTAAACTTTGAAAAGAGCTTAAGAACATCATCGGCGGTTGTAATTCGGACATTGTACGAGTGTTGATCATCGGTACCCCCGCCTGTCCCTAGGAAAGCATCGCTGTGCGAGTCGTACCATGCTCGTTCCTGGGGATCTGCCAGTACTTCATAAGCGGATTGGATTTCAGCAAACAGTCTAGTCGCCTCTTCAACGTTCCCATAATTTCGATCGGGATGCAACACGAGGGCTTTCTTCCTATAAGCTTTCTTGATTCTGTGGAAGAAGGGCAAATCGTTAGTCGCAGGACATGACTGGCTGATGTGTGGACTTACTCATCATCACTGGCAGTCCGTGTTACCCCAAGTAGCTCGTAGTAGTCGGTCTTTTCGCCTTGCTGTTCTGGGGCATCAGAGCTCGCCTGGCTGGTAGAATGAAATTGGCCCATTGGTGGAGAGAGACAGGATAGAATAAAGACAGTGTTTCCTGCTAGAGCTTGAACAGCTCTAATTCACCAAAAAAAAGAGCCCTCAAAAGCCTTGAATTCGAGGCTCTCGAGAAGTTGAAGGAAGAAAAACACGAGGGCTTGGCGCATCACCTTATCAAGCAACTTCCGTCAAACATCGTCATCTTTGATCCCCAAGAAATGTGATCTTGCTTCCTCTCCATATTTCTCTCAAACAACCCTTGTCAATCTCTAGGGATGGTTCGGTCTCTCAATCATATCCCAGACGAGATCTTGAGTTCAATCCTACGCGATTCCCCTCCGCAGACCTGTGCCGCCCTCGAGCAAACGAGCTCTCGATTTCGAAATGTGACGAATGAGCCTTTACTATGGCGATATTATTGTGAATCACACTATAAGTTCTGGGATAAGAAACACGATATGCCCCACAAGCTCCTCTGTCCAGTCTCATCTATTGATTGGAAGACGCTTTTTGTGTTCAAGTATCAAGTCGATTGCTCGGTCACTGGGCTTCTCGGGAGCATCCTCGCTAGCCAAACGGGCCGCATCGAAAAGTTTCGCTCCGTGATAGATCTCGGATACGATGCCAAAGACACTCTCTTGCGGCACAGCCTGGTGGCATCCGGGGATGATCATCTGGCCAGAAGGTGGGCTACTGATTCCGTACAATTGGCCATTATTTCAGTTGAGTTGACCAGCGCTTTATGGGAACCTTAAGGTATTATGCCCGTGCACTCTTGACTTGTCTCCATCGAAGCATTGCAGTGCCGGTGTGGGCAAAACTAAGGCGCGGGGACCCGGTATCACTTGACCGAGCCTTAGGCTGCTTTGATCTCTTCATACCTGAGAATGGACATGAGGATTTGGATGATGTAAGGATAACCCTTGTGACCTTGTGCTGTTGAACTGGATCTGACTGGTTAAAGATACGATGCTCCCTTGCTGGGATTCTTGATCGCTTCGTCGCTGATCATCTAGACCTTAATCTCACTCCTCGCCATAAAGCACTGGCTATTGCAGACTGGCTTGCGACGAATGGTCTTATAGGCATCGATCCGGAGCGGGAATTTCACCGGCTGGAGCATAATTTCCTGGGGCTAGCTCTAACCAATATTGAGCACAATTCTCTGCCGTTGGTATCAGCTGCGATATATTGCTTTGTTGCACAGGGGTTGGGACTCAATGCTCATCCTTGTGGATTCCCTTTTCACGTTCATGTCATAATCACTCCCGTGTCGGGTTTTGATATGGACGGGCGTCCTTTGTCTAATCTCGATCAGGCGCAGCCTATGTACTTGGATCCATTCCGTGGCGCACGAGAAAGTTCCGTTTCAGATTTGCGCAATCAACTCAATTTCCTCGGAATGTCCAACGCAGACCAACCTGCAGCCCTTGGCGAGTCTTCAACGGCGTCAATTGTTTTGCGTTGCGGCAAGAATATTTTGAACTCTGTCCGCATCGCAACTCAGAGCCCAGACTTGGATTCTACTCCAGTAGATGCTGTAAGTGCAAGATATGCTGCACTTTGGTCGGTGATACTCCTATCGAACAGTTCCGCGCCAACGGATCTGCGCCATCAATTGCCATGGCTGATGGAGCTTTTCGCCACTGATTTCCCTTCAGACATCTTTCTCGTCGAACAATACATTGCCCCTCTGTTCGACGGCATGTTTGAGCATGGGCATATTCTAGAAAGTCTCCACGTGATGCGAGCGGTGGATGAGATCCCAAAGCAAATCCATACCCGAACTGGTAACAATGCAAATATTCGATATACTGTGGGCCAGGTTTTCCGTCACCGTCGCTATCAATACAGGGCTATCATCACTGGCTGGGATTCCGAATGCGGCGCAGGTGAGCAATGGATGATGCGGATGGGCATTGACCGATTACAAGCTGGCAGACACCAAAGTTTCTACCATGTTCTGTAAGTATGATAACTCCGTGTTTGTCTCAGGCGCTGACAATATCAAGCGTGGAGGATCGAAGTGTTCGATATGTGGCCGAAGAAAATGTTGAACTTATTACACCTCGCCTGGAGGAGCTACCGCGGAGCTTAATCGCCATTGCGGGCAAGCATTTCAAACGATGGGATGAAAGACGGATGGTTTTTATAAGTAATGTGAAGGACGAGTATCCAGATGACTAGTCCCCGGTCGTAGCGGACATGACCTCTACATAGCCCTAAATCTAGCACAACATGTACAACCCTCTCAACATGTCTGTTCTTATATCGTTGTGTGGACGAATTTTGATATGAAATTCCGGGGCCGCAAAGGAAATCTCAGCATCAGGTGAGGATAGCCAGGAGAAGTCTGAGATGGTTGATACCCATGGTATTCAAGATCATTGTCTTCTATCAGATGAACTTCCTGCTATGTAGTTGAGATTTAGATGAAATACGAAGCAAGACAAGAGTAAGACTGACTATTTGGGAAGAGAAAGTCCGTATTTTAAGAAAAAGAGTGATCTTTTTTAGATACACAATAGTGTATGAGTGTTTATAATTATACCTTATTAGGCATTATGCAGTAAGTGCATTTCTAATGCATCCATGTAGCAAAAGTGCGTCGGTTCTCAACAGTGGCCAGTGACTTACCTTAAGTCAGGTATAGTACCAAGGAAGTATAATTCTAGATATAGACTAATTCTAAGAAAGATAACTAGATATCGCATTAGCATATACCGTAAGAGATATAGCCAAGAAGATAAGAGGAAATCATGAATTATAATAACTCGTGGCCGAAGTAGATCTAGATCCACGAGTATAGCAGAGTTTCTTCTTTCAAACTACTATGTAATACTGTTTGGGGGCTTTGGGACGTGTTTATGACAGATAGAATCCGTCACACCCATGATTCAGGAATGATTCGCTCTTAGAACGCTCCACCAAATCGTGGAATTTTCCCCTTATCCAGTGAATATATTTATATTCTTATTTGAATGTAACATCTTACGTTGGGGTGTTATACTATACCTAATTCATTTATAGATATTTTCCGACCCATATGGAGAGCCTAGCAGATCGAACGGGAACCAAAAAGGCTACTATAACTACCGTCAGGTAGTCAAGCTCTCCCATCAGATTAACTATCGCACTCTATCAAGCCACATGACCATCCAGCGTAGTCCTATCAACAACCAGTAGGGTTGGTTCTGGTTAGTTACCCCTATATGAAAATATATAAAAAGAGTATAGTCTTACTTCATACTCTTTCTCTCTTAAAAGATTAGACTTAAACCAAGGATAAAGGATCAATATGATCTCTTCTAGGGAGCTCACTATAAGCTCAATAATCATAAAAAATATATTTTTATTCTAACTCATATATAGATATAAGGCGTTCAAAATTTTTTATAATAAGTAAACTAATAAAACAGCTACGATTATTCGGACTATTCCATACCTAAGGAACTATTAGCAAATTATTATTAGAACTTCAGAATTTATATAATTTTATTCGATAGTTTTTATCTATTTTTAATGGTATTGTATATATCTATTAATATTTTTATAGGAGGAAATATATATTTTGGGCTCTTTTTGTTATCTTAGAAGCGATTTTATAAGGCTTTTACTTTTAATACTATATAATTTAATTCGAAGACCCTTAACTTGATAGAAGTCTAATTTTTCTTTCTATATTTAAGGATCTAGATATCTATCTTAGTATCTATGGGTCAATAGTAAAAACACCGAAAAGTCAATTTCCGTAAGAGATAGTATCGAATTCGAACGAGAAAAAAAAGAAACAGGCTTTATACTCTATACCGGTATAAAGCCTCTAGAAAAAGTATACTTATCGATAATTCACTTAATAAGTTAGTACCATATCGCGATATTTTCGCCTTAAAGAGGCGTCTAATTTATAGTAAATTAAGAGATTTTAACTTTAGTATTATCGAAAAGAAATCTAGTCTTAATAAATCAACTTAAATCTTATTATAGAGAGAATTATAATAAATATAAGATAGTATTTATAGTCTTAATAATAGGAGAATTAACCTTTTAAAGAATATTATAAACGCTCTTCTTCTTCTTATACCTAAGAAAGATAATAAGTTCTAGTTATACGTCTATTATAGAGGTTAACTGCGAATCGATATCTACTACCTTTAATATTAAAATTTTCAATTACTTTTTTTCTAGTACTTATTAGTCCTATAGAGTCAATATTAAAGGAGATAGGTGTTTCAAACTCACCATAGCTATCTAAAGCATACTATAATACCTTTAGATTGATTACTATATATATAGTATTTATTCTAAGGTTATATATAAACTTTATTGAAGAGTATACTGTTACGACCCACTAGGAGAGCTTAGTGAGGTACACACCGAACCAAAAGGTTACTATGACTGCCTAACGGCAGTCATACTCTCCCACTACATTAAGTAGTGCAATCTGTCAAGCGACGTGACCAATAGTCACTGTGTACTATGTTCAGCGCAGTCCTACCGAACCGTTCTGACACTGAATAAATATTCCGTATAATCGTGTGAAATATATGAGATATTTTCAAAAATTCCGTCTCCAAAGACTTTAGTTTACTAAAATTGATGTTTAAACATTGAAGTATATGTTTTCGTAACGAGAAATATAATTTGTTGTATTTATTATCAATAATTAGCATGAAGATATAGTAGATATAGATCCTAATAGGCTAATCTCTAATTAAGCATATATCAGGACCACCTACTAACTAGGGGTGTCAGGGGTATGAGGAGTCCGAGTACTAGGTTTGATCAATACCAATTCCCAGTCCCTTATTACTGTAGTTTTAGGAACAGAGCTAGTCCCCATGTATTAGTTATGTTATGTGACTAGTGGTCTAAATAGCACTTCTAACACTAATCCCAGGAATCGGCGTTCCATGTACCTTTTTAAAATAAACTGTCATTTATATAGATATATACCGTTCGGAAGTCTCCCTACAATTTTCTTCTTACCCACCCCACTAAAATATGCCAATCATCGTAACCAAGCATAGTTTCACTAAAACACGGATTTTTGGGACGAAAGTTTCTGTAAATCGACCGAAAGCTAATAAATCATCTGAAACTACGTATGCTGCTATAAATTAGGCGGTTAGAAATAGGAGGGTCGCGAAAGTGGCACGATATTTTTATATAGCCTGCAGTGCTATATAATAAGATAAAACGCGAAAAGAAGTCTTAAAAAATTTAAACTCCTGACCCTGACCCGGTGGTAGACTAAAGAAGCTTAGTAGCCTCGCTATCCTTAGGTTTCTTAGAAATTCCTAGAGAGATCTATCGCCAATCTCCACAAAAATAGCGATAAAGACACCATTCGACGGGTATTAGAGCTATACGGTATCTTAAAGTAGAAGATAAGGAATGTTACGTTCTAAAACCTTTCGACGCGAAACGCCGACATAAATTCGTTGAGAAATAGTCGAGGTTTGCTGATTAAAATATTATCATTTTCTCTAATAAAAGTTTAGCCGAGCCGAAATCGAATTCTATCGGGTAATTCGTCATCTGATTAAAATGCGAGAAATACTACCTACCATTTATTTATCTCTAAGTAAAATGTAAGTGATTTTTATAGATAACTTCGGGTATAATTTAACTTGGTAGCCGCTCAGACTTAATTATTATAAAGAAGTAGAAAGCTAAAGGATTTCCCGCTAAATTATTTATCGAGGTCCTAGAACTCGGCCTATTACCTTTCTATAATAATTATTATATCTTATATTAAGATAACACCTCGATCTATGTAGCGAATACTATAATAAAGTAGGTGAAAAAGGAGAAAGCTTGGCTTATAAAATAACCTCTATATTTGCCTGATTTAAACCTAATGACAAATATCCAGTTTCGTTTAAATTATAAGCTATACAAACTATGTCTATATCTCAGTATAGTAAATCCAAGTTAGATTAGGATATTTTTTTAAGACGCTATTCGAGTCACTTAAAAGGCGTTAAGGCGCAATAGATCGATTTATTAAGTCTATACTAAGGCAAATTAAGGCGGCGAACAAAGCACGTAGCTAGTATACTGAAAACTAATATCAGAAGCTAACTTAATTTATTAATTTAAGAGATTATTATGCAGGAATGATAAGGAATTCGAGTTTTTACGTTAAAGAAATTGTCTAAATTGGGTAAAAAAAATGTGTAGAGACTTTTGCAACGGTATATATACACTATTCTCGGATTCTCAATCGCTTACCTATCTTCACCCGGAGATGCGTAGTTTCACTTAATAGAAGGACCTTACTATGTATTATAGAAATATTTTAGGTTTCAATAATATTTGTTAAAGGACACGGTATCTAAGGGGAAATAATACGAGAAAGGATATATAATTGGATATATTGGAGGAATGATTGACTTAATTAAGTCTAAGGGTTTATCTTTCTATCATAATCCTCTTATAAAAAGGGAATCAAGGATTTTTATATTTACCTCTATTATGTAATAATAAATCCTTGATTTCTTCCTTAAAATAATTCTTAGCTCAATCGTTTTAGTTAATGAATACCTTTAACATCTTCAGTAGCGAGTAATTCCAATACAAAAGTATATCATGAAAGTATTTCCTCTTACAGATTAGGATTAATAGCCTACCGATATCTATATAGATCCTATTAAAAATATTGTAATATACCGTGTATTCTTTAATAGTAGGTATGTTCTGTGTTTTTCTAATAAGGATCGTTTACTATTAGTTTCCAATATTATAATACTTGGAGACAAATTATATTTTAACTACGCTAATTCAGTTATAATTTATTTATCCATAATATATAGGATTCTTACTATACATCGCGATAAAACCACCTTTTATCCTTATATAGTAAGTATTCACTTACTAAATAAAAATGAGCTGATTATAGTTGTCATTTTATTTCAGCTTACCAGATTAATGCTCAACTAAAGAAGATAAAATATATCTTTTAGATAATAGATCTTGCCTATATTTATGTGCAGTTAGTTTTATTTCCTTTCTAATATAGTATATTAGATTACTAGTACTTCTCCCATTTCTTCACAAATTATCTAATATATAGTTAATATATTAGGCTCTTTTATTGATTTTTTGGGATAGGTGTCTTACTAGTAAGAATCTAATAAATAGCTGGCTTTCTTCTTATGACCCTGGTACAAACTACCGTCATT